CGGTCGCGAGAATTCCGCGTTTGTAAGCGTAGCTACGGTAAGACTTCTGCTGTCTCGTCAACCAGGAATTAACAACTTCCCGCAGAGTTCTCTCCGGGTACTACACAAGGCGAAGAAGAACTAGGCAAAAGCTCAAAGTCCGATGCGGCTCGCACTTCATAGTAGACAAGCGAACAATGCACTTTCCTCTGTATCCTGAACAGATGGTACAAGCGTTCACCAGGCGCATTCACCGTAGTTTTCAACGCATATTTCGGCCTTGAACTAAGCTCCCGCACAGCCACTAAACAGTTTGATGACCACCTCCGCTTATATGGAAGGCTGGCATTCCCTGAGTATGATGCAGTATTCTACCGGACTCCATGGGATGACCCTCAAGGGATCTACACAGGTATTCGCGAAGCTATCGACCAAGTGACTAGAACCCTAGGCGTCCACCTTTATCGGAGCGGATGCTTTCCGAGAGCGAGGAAAGTGAGGAGGAATGCTTGATGCCGGATACAACATGGTGGTGATGAATTATCTTTCCAGCCTTATGTGAGATGGATTTCAGCGACTACGTCACGAGCTTGGCGATGATAAATAAAGGAAGCTTAGATTTTGTATACTACTACGCTACTCGACTTACTTACAATGCTGACAGTCGAATACCATGAACATCCTCGATGTGTCTTTTGATTGTCCTAGTATCCAGTTCTCCCGTCTCGCAACTAGGATGAGGACAGGTAAGTGATGTAGAGGTGGCTTCGGCTGCCGTGATATGCCTTTGAACATGCCGTAGGAACGTCTGGGTGTGGTCAAACTGGGTGTATATCCCATCCTTCATGCAGTAGGGGCAGCGTCCCGGGGCTGCTAAGATGCCGTTAACGGTGACTTGGCCACATAGTTTTCCTGGGGCAGTAGTGTGGTGTACTGCATGCATATACCAATCAAGATCTGACTCTTTCCACTGTTTGCATTCGATGCAGAAGTGAGCCTTTGTTGGCACGGTCAATGTAGTAAAGACATTGTGAGCTTCTTCGAGGTGTCTGTGAAGCTCAATGACATTACGGACCGGCGTCCGACAGCCGTCCCATAGACAATGGCTCTCGGCTGAGGAGACATGCTCTGTGACATGCATCACTGCCTTCATCGCATTCCCAGGGGGCAAGGCCACTGGCTCGGTGTTCCAAGTGGCCGAGGAACAAGATTTCCAGAGACACTGGAAGGGTTCCACCTGGACAAAGTTCGCTTCAGCTAGCGCTATCTTGTGCTTCCGGGCGCAGCGAAGCAGGTGCATCTTTGCCCTCCAAGGACGCGGCTGCCCACAGTGGCAGTTTCCCTTTTGGTCGGGCTCAGCGCCAGGATAGTATGGCTCGTACGGAACAGTTGCAGCAGACTCCGTAAAGGGCAGCAGGATGTCTGTAACGGCGTTGAAGGTGCAGCACATGCCATACAGGTAGGAGATTATGCTTAGGCGCTTTGGATCGTACTTCAGCTGCGCATTAATCTCTTCGCTGAGGGGGAATACGCTTGCTGCCTCGTCATTGGTATGGAGGAAGGGAACATTCCAAGGAGTGTTGGTCAGTGTATGGAGGAAAGTATTGAGAAGTTCGAGCACTGTGACCCCTTGCCCGCGGGCAATTAGCAGTAGAGGATTCTCAATCTCTAATTATAGTTAGCAGATAACCCTTTTCTAAGAGGGAAATAGTTGTACTTTTACGCTCCCGCAGATAGCTATGCGCTGCCCGTCTGTTGTCCTCTGAGATAGCGGCAAGAGTTGTCTCATGACCCGCCCTCTGAACAAGTGCTTTGATCATCTTGTCCAATGCGTGTGGCTTCATCGCATATTTTGTTATCACCTTGGCTGATGCAATGCGTCTAAACACAGGAATGTGCTTTGCGTCTTGCTGGTATGCTAATGCTGTCCATGTTCCAGGTTGAGCGAGTGCGTCTAGATCGCTTGCTTGCGCAACGTCCTCGAAGACGCGGTCGGCGAGGGCAAGTGCAAGGAATAACAAGACTGGACATTTGTCTCTTGATTCAGGGTTGTCTGCAAGGATCATTGTTGGTGTAGCGCTTATAATTCCTTAGCACATCAATCATCCAGGATGGCGCGGGTAGAACTCACCCTTTCCACCGTCTCACAGTATTGCGCATAGTTGTGCGGCCTTGAAGACGGATAACAAGGAGCGACCTCATCCTGTTGTTCTGTCTAGACACGAGAACGGTGACGTCTTGATAGAAAAAACCTTCTCCTAGCGCCACGAGCGGAGTTAGGTCAAGATAGTACTTAAGAAGTAGAGCAAGTGACAGCTGAAGGCGATATCTTGGGTGGTCATAGTTGAAGGTATCACGAGTCCACAGAAATGTGAACAAGTCTGCAAGTGCAGGGTAGGATAGCCGTGGGCCATGCGGTTGAAAGACATGCGCGATGCGCGAAGGGAGAAGGTACGTGAGGTCAGTAGGCGTCGCCATGGCCGCTTCCTGATTTGATCTTCTTGCATTCTGCGCGCTACAAGACTTAAATATTGGGGATGTCGCAATTCCGATTCTGGTATTCTGGAATTGGGCAACATATTCACCGATTACAGGAACAGGACATTGGGAACTGAAAACCGAATATATTTTTAGTGGTACGAGCCAACTAGGGATTAAGCGCTTGTTCATTCTGGCGATAATTCTACCCTTGGGATTGGTGCGCCATGATCTCGCGCCAGAGGACTCTTTGTGCTTCGCCGCAGCGGTTAAGAACCCCCGGAAACATCGATTTGCCCCGCCCTCATTGAACATCGCTTCAAGGTTTGTCTTTGTAAGTAAAAGCGCGTGATAGAAGATTAATGCACTTAGGCTGTATTTAGCTTTGCTAATAGAATAAGGGAAGGCGTTAGTCTAGTCAAGTGTATCTGATCTATTCTTGATACTAAAAGGCGCTTCGTTAACATTCCAACAACGGAGACGAGCGTTATCGCATTAGTACCCGCACTTCGTGTCTCTGCGTTTGAAGCTAACCCAGAAGCGCGTCAATACACTAGTTACTGCTGTAGTTGCTTATTAAGGTGGGCCTTCCTAGGAATATCACGATATTTACTGAATATTTCGTGGGTATGGAAGATGTTACTGACTAAGCTTCTGGTCAAGAGGGAATAAAAAGTTTGGCGCCGCAATCTAAAAGAAATCTCGTAATTAGAAAAGAGCGCAACAAAATCCAGATAGCAATACAATAGTCCCTTTTGCACCGTTAAAAGATTCAACTATTCAACAAGGCGACCTTTCAGCGGATTGCGGACAGAGAGAAAAGAGAGTTGAAACCCCTAGGAAGCGAAGACGACAGGAACAGGAAAGCGCAGGAAAGGAGTAAGGAACAGACGATAGGTTTAGCGTCTGCAGTGGCGTTAGGGGGTCTTCAATGGCTGGCGCAGGCGGGATTAGCTCTTACCTGATAGGAGGGTTGACTCTTCGGCGGTGTTTGTAACACAAGCACTGGACACTTAAGGGTGGGTTCCCCCCAATCTAGGTTCTGTCACCCTTACGGCTCGCTGTTATGGACGAATCTTTCCCTCCAGATGGATATCCTTTTCCACCAAGCTTGCCTGGACAATTGGTACGCCACACACACACGCTGGATGAGATCAACGAGGGCATCGGGTGGGAGGACCGGGTTACTGTTGGATCTGAAGATTTTGTGCGGCCCTGTCGAAATGTTTTGTGGGTTGGTCCACTTTTGAAGCCTAGCAAACCAACTATTGCTCAGTATGTCGTTTCTAAGGACACCTATAGGTTCGTTCCTAAAGACGCTATCTAGGAAAGAGCACTGTGGTCGATGCCGCTTCTGTCGAGGGTTGGAGACCTTGAATAAAGCTGGCAGACTTGTCATCCTAGTACGTCTAGTATGCAACACTTCAATCAGTTGCTAACCTGTGGAAAGGACCTGGCTCTAGAAGAGCTTGTGATGGTTTTTGCTCCAGCTGGGCTGTACCGCCCAGACGACGAACCCCCCTTTTTTTGGGGTAACGACATGCTTCTGTGGATCCCAGACTCGGACGCCAATCAAAAACTTGGTGGCAGGCAGCCATTGCCACAGGAATTTTCGCACTACAAGGGCATCCGCGCTATTGTCGACAACACGGATCAGGAAATATCCAGGTCATACTGGCGGCTCTTTGAGCACATCCAGGTATAGCTCATGTCGAGGCAATGAAGGACTTATGCTGAAGCTACATAGATCATGATAAAGAACGAAAAGCCTGAGAATTACCTGCCAAAGCTTCGGGTGCTGGCAAGAAGGCGATTCTGGGCTAAGGAAAATTACCGCACCCCCGTCAAACGATGCGAGCCGGCCTGGGAACCCGCGGACCAAAGGGTTCTAAGAAGGATTATACATCTTGTTCAGGCTGCAGAGGTAGACAATCTCTACCTTTACAAAGAGTACGGTCTGGAACGGCTAGGAGCATACATTAAGGACCCTCCCCAGACACGCAGATGCGACAAACACCAGTCGTCATCAATTCCTGGTTGCTACCACCAGCATGTGCTCTACAATCTCGTAAACGACATTTTCGGCAGACTGCTGTCGGAACTGCAAAGTCGCGAGCTTGAAACTGCCGAATATTACTTTAACACAGCGTTTAGATCTGAGTCTGACCGGAGAAAAGAAGAGGAAGAGAAAGAGGATTTGGCCCGCAGCTATCTTGACATATTGGCGTGGACTCCAGAGAGGTTGCGTAAGACAGTGAGAGAGGAGCAGGAGCAACGGCAGCGCACTTACCTTGGCCCAAGCTTACAGTCCTTCTCTGACGTGAGTGAGGCTGATCGGGAGAGAGAGGATGATAGGCGCCGCGGAAAACGACCCTGTCTCAGTGTGATTCGTCGTAGTTAGGTCATTCATAGTGCAGGTAATCCTCGAAATTAGACGTGCCTTGTTTGACCCAGGGTAGTGGTGCAATTCGCGGTTGTCACTTCGAGGCGAAGACTCATGGAGAGTGCATATTACACGGATTGGTAGGGCGCTGTTGCCGTCAATAACGCCTAACGAAGCCTCTTCCCTGACCATGCCTGCTCGCCACCGGAACGCGTCGTGCGTGGGGTTCCTGTGCAAGCATTGATCGGCGATGCACCGGAGGCACCCGCAGCCATATCCAAATTCTCCCGTGATTAGGTTTCAGCTGTTGCGCACTTGTCCCCATTTTCGATGTCGCATTGTCGCAATTGCCGGCTGAGGTTACACTTTCATATCACTGCATTCCAGGGACAGGATTCAGGTGGACAAATAGCGGACAGGGCGAGCTAATATTCCAACTAATAATAGTATGCAAGCCATCAGGATGGCCAGCACATGACGGAAACCATGCAGGTTACCTGTCACACCGCCCGGAGTTACGCAAACTTGTCTCAAACGCGTACTGCTGCGAATATGTGCAAATTTCTGCGAATATGTGCAGATTTCTGCAGATTTGGGCAAATTTCCGCAAGTTTGCGCAAATTCCTGCAAACTTCTCCAAGGCTTCTGCTTCTCTCAAACTCCTATTGGAGTGCTCGTACGCGCGTGGTTATTATTGGTCTCGAACAGGGTCGAACGGGCGAGGGCGGGACTGCTCGGCACTCGTATTCTGTGGAAGCGTTCGGTTCTGAGCTGTCCTAGCTGTTGGGATAAGTGGCTGCACTCTGTACATACTGGGGCTTGATTGCCCGTAGCTTACCTTGCTCTTTGGCATCCCGAATCGCCTTCCTCATGCGCCACAAAAAGACGGTCTCAGTAACTTGGGGAATGTCTTCCCTAGCAAGCAACTGATTTACACGGGCCATCATCTCGCTTTTGACTCGGGAATCTATATCCTTCCACTGAATATCAGGATAACGTTGCACATGATCCCTTGCTACCTCCCGTGTAAAACTCTTCAACAAAGTTATGTTACTATCGTGACTTTGCATAAGGGTATTTCTTACGTAGAATCTGTCCCACTGTATTATAGTATGCCCCGCTGCAGTGCGCGCATCATTCGTCTTTGCATTCCGTGGGATCTCCATGCTAGCTGAATGCGGTACCTTGTGCCAGTCTGCGCGGTTGAGATGGTATGGACGGATGAGACGGTGTGCGGTGGCCCGTGTGTAGTGGAGTCCTCCGTGCTCGATCAATATTCTTGGCATAGCGTCCGTGCAGGAACACGTGCAGGCTGCCACCACTCAGCGCTGCAGCCGACCTCGGGATGCGATGAGAATTTGGGTGGTAGCGACGATCTTGGCCAACATGAGAGGGACATGAAGATTGATATGAGGAGTAACTATGATAGCCAGAGAGAAAGCCCTGCTCGGTCTGCAGTGTTTGTTGCTCACATGTCCTCCAACGAAAAGATGCTGTCACAACTACAATCATGTTCCTCAGACATACCCTGGTCCCATTTGCTAACAAGACTAGGAGCTCGTCATAGAAAGAAGACGTGAACATTCGCTCGGAAAATTCATATCTTCTAGACCTCCTAACAATACATCTCTGTCTGTTTGTTCCAAAGTTGTGCATATTTGCCTCCTTGCTTGAGTAGCTCGTTGTGCCTGCCTTGCTCAATAACTTTCCCCTTGTCAATCACGAGAATATTGTCCGCATCAGCAATTGTAGAAAGACGGTGTGCGGCGATCAGTGTTGTTTTCCTGGCGCTCCAATGTCTTAGTGAGTCCAAGATTTGAGCTTCAAGAACCAAATCAACTTGAGAAGTAGGTTCGTCGAGCAGAAGAATAGCTCCACCTTTCAGTCTTGCTCGACTAATCCCGATCCGCTGTTGCTCGCCCCCAGACAGTGTGCATGTTTCCCAGTTACTTCCAATGTTAGTGTTATATCCATCTTTGTACGACATAATCCTGCTGTGCAAGCTTGCGGCTTTACAGGCTTCGATAACATTGCTATGTGAGATATCATCGCGGCCGCAGCGTACATTGTCCGCAATACTCCCAGTGAACATAGCGGGTGCTTGCGGAACGATGGTAACTGCCTCACGAAGGCTCTTCCGAGTGAACTTCTGAATGTCCTGTTCATTGATTTGGATCGATCCATCCGTTACGTCGTAAAGCCGGACGATGAGGTTAAGGATTGTCGATTTCCCTGCTCCACTCTCCCCAACAAGGCCGACTCTTTGGCCTGGTTTAGCTATAAAACTGACGCTATCCAAAATTTTCTTATTGTTCTGGATGAAGCTGACATTCTTGAATTCAATCTTGCAAGTAGATTCGTGCTGAAGCGGCTGGGCATCCGGACTGTCTCCCACAGTAGCCTTGGCGGTTATCAAGCGATGGAGTCGTTTTGTCTGCGCAAGGGCCCCTGACAGTGAGTCGCAAGAGCTGGAGAATCGATTAGCCGGACCCATAAGCGTTTCCCAGTACATCATGATTGCTATAACGTTCCCAATTGAGTATGTCCCTTGTCCACAGCGCCAAAGAGCTAGAATGATGGAGAGAATTAAGCCAGTCTCCCGAAGGAAAATCATAATGCCCGTCTTAATATTCTGAGTAATGCCCTGCCGGAAACCAGAGGAGGACGTTGCTTCTATTGCGGCTAGGTATCTTTTCGAGAACATTCGTGACGCGCCAAATAAGGTAATTGGACACCAGTGTTGAATAGCTTCGAGTAAAGCGGACCCTTCCGCTATATAGCAGTCGTAGTATTTTTGCATAGCTGGTTGCGTCCAATGTGTAAGCAGAATTTCCATTTGGACCTGCAGTATTCCATTGTATAGGACTGCAAACACCATGCATGCATCAAATCGCCGCATGAGGTAGAACGAAGAGACCACGATATCGACAACGAGCGGACATAGCGTGGTTGTAATGAGATTCGTTAAGGAACTCGCAGCTCTGGCTCCATCTTCAATAGCGGCCTTAATATCACTTGCTCTCGATGTCGAATGGTAGCCAAAGTCGAGGGTGTCCATGATATGTCCAAAGGCTACTATCTTGAGTTTTCTTTCCCATTGGCTAACTAGACCTTCAGAACACCTTCTGCAGGCCATTTCCAGGTAACGGGGAACTGTCTTGTAGAGAAACCAGAGACAGATGTCAAGCCAAGGGATGTAGCCTGGGTTAGAGGTGAGGCTGTTTGTAATGCGGGCGACTTGATCAGGGACCAGAGGTTGGGTGAGTCGGTTGATTAAAAGACAAGTAACCTGCAAACCAAGCATACAAGCCCACTCTGAAAGGTAGCGGGTCGAAAAATGGACGATTTCGAGGTACTCTTTCCAACCTTCGCCTTCAGCGATAGCGCAACAGGTTTCCTTCTGGGACTGGAGTGTTTTACTGGGCGATATTGAGTAAAAAATTCCAGCTGAACACAGAATCCTCAGTCCACCTAGGGTCGCATGAGAGATGAATACATGCCAGGGACATTGTGAAGATGCCAAAACTGTGTCGAACAAGAGTTGAACAAGGACAATACCCCGGTAGAGCGAAGGTTGGATATAGCAACCTGCGCTAGCAAGGACTTGCCAGATAGCGATTAACGACAGTACGTTGATGATACGATGTTGAGGAGGGACCCATCCTGTTTGGCTAACGGAATAGATCCCATAGAGAAGGCCTTGAGTCAAGTAGCTCGTAACAAGCGCTATCGAGTAGTACATGGCGATCCGTTGCGCTTTTTTAGGTAGTTTTGATTGGTGCAGACTGTGAGGAAGGTACAAAAAGCAGACTCCACAGAGTACAACGAGGGCCGGGCCATGAGCGTAAGCAAAAAGAGCTTCAACTAGCATAGTAGAAACGGCGTCTTGAAAGATAGGTGTGATGTTTACCTTTCAACGGGCACAACGCTGATATTGCTGGGCTAGCGGTTACATGTCTTTTTATCCCTCCCCGTCCCCCACCCCCTCCGGCCGCCAACCCCCCCTTCTCCTCCCCCCGGGGCCCTGTCATCACCTAACCCCTGATGCATGGCTAGGCGGTCAGGTCCGTAAACTTAATCGAAAGGAACTTGTTGGACAATGTAGATGCCTGTTGCTAGACGATACTGTATGTGGGTATACTCTTCGTCCGGCTTACACCAAGGACTGCGAAGCAATTTGACTTCACATTCTGGATGGGCCGTCTTTGCTTAGCATACAGTAATATTACGTTGGATCTAGCAGCACACCTAACTGAGCATTTACTCCAACAGATACTAAGGCAAGGTCTTGCTCTGAATAATGTTGGAAGTCTGGGTGGACCCGAAGCATGGATTGGATAAGGCGTTCCCGGGAAACAGAGTCCCGGCCTGGGGTGCGTCGTGCTTCCATCCTCAGCCAGAACTAGAGAAGCAGTTTTTGATTTCCCAAGTATGATAGAAGTTTGCGTTTCTTGCCTAGACTTCAACTAGACGACGAAGTAAGATGCGGCATTTCTCCCGAAGCCCCGGAGATCATTTCGACATGTACAGAAAGGAAAGCCATTCAGCCACTTATGTTTTCTAGAATTGAATTCTGCATGTTGCCGCATGCTTGGAGGTGTTGCTAGCTAGCTACACGGCATTGGTTGGTCCGGAGCGGCGGCGTCTCGCGCGCCGCAGCACCTCCCAAACTTTGGCCCATTTCTTGCACAGAAGAAAAAGCCCGAGACCCACAGCGATTAGACATGTCGTAACTACCACCCCTATCAAAACAGGGCCAGACATTGCCACCCCCTTTCCGCCCCGGCCTCTTCCAGCTGCCTTTGCTGCTTTCGCTGCTGTCACACGTCCGTACCGTGCCATTGTTCTGCGGCTCCTTCAAGGATTTGTCCTTCCAGCACAATGTTCTGAGCTCGGCAGAGTCGTCTTGCGAGTCGGCTGTTCACTAGGCGGATCCAAGGCTTCTCCAACCACACCCTCTGCCGACAAGTCTCCTCGTATGGGGGAGGATCGTCACTGTTTGCTCTTAGTTATAGACTTTCTACAAAGTAGGTAGTCCTACCTTTCCGCTAAGAGATCGTTGAGCATATGCGGATTGCGCTGGAATTTGTAGACGACGATTAAGCAGCACATTTTGCGGTGCAAGATTGGACAATACTTGGATTTATAGAAGGTGACACGATAAACTGTTTACAGTTTCCAGCATATTGGCTTCTGGATTGAGTTAACTGAATTCTGTTTCCCGGCCTTAACTGTGTAATCCTGGGAATAGCTTGGCACACTCCCCGTCTCAGCCTTATATATCACACAAAGCATATTTTCCTGCAGCTTATAACATCTACTTGCTTATTAATTTTTTTACCAACAATTCAGCTAAAGGAGCAATTTTCTACGCACCTTCAAAAATATTAAGCAAGCTAGTTAGGGTTAGGGCCTTCCGCGCGGAAGGGTCAGGGACGACGACAGCAGCATCGAATGTAAAATGGTCAAAAAGATAGAGGTAGCAGCAGCCGCAAGTCCTAAGGTAAAGAGATTGTAATATGTTAACAGTTCTATTGGGGTTTAGTCCTGTATGTAATGCATCAAACCCCCTGTGCCTACAAAACGCTATCCTGAATACCAACTACAAAATCCAGGATCCATGCCTCTAGAAACCAAGCACAGGCGGAAGAGCTCCGAAACCGACGATGTCTGTGGAACTTCATTTGATATTATAGTCTATCCGCACATAGGCAATCCTATCTGAAGTTCGTCAAGTGTGTATCTAGGATTTACGCACATGCCGTATCTGCGTTCAGCAGGCATGTACTCGTAGTGTTCAATCCAGGCTGGTTGTTGTCCGCTTGGACGCTCATTTTCCTCTGGGATAGTTGCAAGAGAAGTGCTGTACCCGCGAGGGCGGACCGTTGTCGGCTTTGGAGGAGGGCACGGTGATGGAGGGAGGAACAGCGTTACGTCGGCTTCAAGAGGTGTAGAATCGTTCAACTGGATCCGATGCCGAGACAAGAGAGCTGCGAGGCGCTTGATACGATAATATAGCAGGGTTCCAGCTGCTTTAACCTGTAATCGCTCATCCTGATCGCAATCCTCGAGTATCTTGTATACAAGTTGTTTATTTGGAACCTTGAACCTAACAGACAGCTGAGATACCCACTCAAAGCTCGGGTAACTTGGAGCCATTGTTTTGCTACAAAACCTTGATTAACTGTTGCTTTTATTGTAGCAGTTCGCGAAACGGAAAACTGGTACTTGGTGTAGACCTCGAAATGGGATCTAGAAGACGGGAAACGGGACAACGTAGACTAATTGTAGAAAGCCGTTCTGTGCATCCTTGGCACTAGCTTATATTCTGCGGATAGCACAGTCTCGTTTAGTTGCAACGATCAACTCTTTGCGTTATCGAAGATGAAGCTACTCCTGATATACTTCTATATGGCGGAGGCCCTCGCCCAAATCCTCCCGTTCGACCAGCCTCTTCCAATCCTTACTGGACCCGTTGTGCAGGCAAATGCTGGACAAGTGCTTGTCTACCAGTAACTAGCATGAGCCAAAGTTACGTTGTAGAGCTAACCTATGCAGGTTTGTAACAGTACGCAATGCTAGCTGCGAAGGAACCCTTAGCTTCCAGAATACGACCTTCCTTCCTCTATCGGCTACTGCAACGCCCAAAAACTGTATAAGAGATCAGGTTGCACAGTTCAGTATCCCGCATAGCGTCCCAAATGGTCCAGCAGCGTTGCAATGGTACGAAGACTCATATTCCTTATACGTCCTAGTGCTAATAGCTCGTAAGGGAATGTTCAGGGATTGGGGGCGTCGCAGTTGATCTAATGGTGATATCTGGAGGGCTAGGGGACTATGAGAAGTACTTAGAGGATCGAAGAACACCTGCTCTTAGGGTAGACTGCAAGTTAGATATAGAGATATGCTAAGTGTGAAAGCATATTTGTAGAAGCAATTGACTAGTATAGACACTCGACTTAAGGACATTCAAGTTGACGTTATACTGTAGTATATTCCTAAGTACTACTATCTACGTCCGCCTGCATCCATCCCTACATCCATCCCCTAACAAGATTGATTCCTGTCCCAATAAGATTAGGCCGGTGGATGTGTCCCGAGTTGTCAATAGGAATAGGTGTTGGCAGAAAGGTACCAAACGTCCGACTAGAGGCAACAGTACTGCTCCCACCAGTGCCTAGAGCGTATGACGAAATACTACATGCGGAGTAAGAACTACTATAAGAAGGTACAGCGCTCATAGCGTTTTGAAGGAAAGAGTAATGTGCTCCACGTGGGTTGAGGCTGAACACCATGCCAGCATTGCAGTGCGACCGAGGTAAGGTTTGTGCGCAGAAGAACCACTGTGGACTTGGGGAAGTGACCTCATACTCAACAACAAACTCTCCACTTATGTTAGTAGGATTGAATTGGTTGAAGCCTGAATCAAAGCCTCCATTGTACAGGCACGGATTTGCAAACTCGCTCTGCGTCAAGGAGTGATTGCGAGCTAAGAAACTGAATCGGAGAAGTGTTCCAGTTGGAACAGCTAACGAAGGTGGTTGGAAGACGAGGTTACCTCCAGCTCCTACTATAACGGACGCAGTTGGTCGGGCCGAAGAAGTGATCGAAGACGCGGCTTTGGTAGTGTTGTAGAACGCTGTCCAGCTATGCAGAGGCCGGCCAGAAGAGATCGCAGCTTGAGAGAGGGGGGCAGAGGAATTGTAGGAAACTGAGAGTGACTGGGGCGAATTGCATGGTGTTGGGGATGATGTGGCTACCGCCAAAGCCAAGGTCCAAGTGGTTATGAAGTACAGGCCAAGCATGATTGGGGTTAGAAGGACAAGTCATGCAGGTGGGCACAGTTTTATAGCATAAGTCCCTAGACCCGTTTCTAGGAATTGGAAACCTAAGAACGGGGTCCGAAAGCCTGTGTTCCAATATTGGCATTCAGATTACGGTTTCCTGTCGAGGTTGATATTTAAGGTGGAAAATGACCCACCCCTTAACGATCTCTAGACCCTACCACTACTTTGAGCAGGACTCATTCATAACACCCTCTGTTTGCTATCTATCTACATCCATATCTGAGCAGGACTCTTGATACACTATAAACACACGCCTGAGCAATTCCATCTAGCTATCTTCGTTGGACGATAATGCAGCGCTCTATCAAGGACATGTTCCCATCCAGGAAGACCCTCACCCCTGACAAGGATGGAGACGTCGTAATGCGAGATTCTTCCCCAGAATCTAGATCGTCCTCATCTGAACAAGTGACGAAACTAGTCTCGCCAGACCCGTCCAAACCTTCGTTGTCTAGCAATCAACCGGCAGTATTATACCCTACTCTACCAGTCTTGTCCGACACCGAAGAGTCTCTATCAGAGAAAGATAATCGAGAAGAACTCCTAAAAGCGGGGGCTGAAGAAGCGAAGCGCCTAGAAGATGTCCCAGATGAGGTACAGGAGGTGTATACGAAGTCGTACAACCTACTGCGAAGCTTGTGGGACGACGCAGAGAATGCTGTTGCAGCAGCAGAAGTGAAAGGGAAAGGGAATGATAAGGAAGCAGTGTTCCAGCTGCCACCGAAGAAAAAGAAGGAAATTGAAGGGTTCGAGCAGGAGATAGTTAGCATCTATAGGGAGCAGCTTAAGAATGCGTTCGAGAAGGAGTGGAAAGAGAAGGTACAAACTGCTGGCATTGATGCCAAATCAACGGATGCGCAGAAGATGCAAGACGATATGCGACATGAACCTCGCTGGCAGCGGATCCAAGAGGATCAGCCTTGGGGTGAAGAAGTGTTCCCTAAGGATACGATAGTTGGGCACATATATGCGATTACGAAAGCTTGGAGGACCTTGAAAAGCCAAAAGACAGCGGAAGATATTGACAAAGCGTCTGAACGTCTTATTCAGGGATGTCTAGTCTTTCAACAGCAACTCCGCCAGAAGGGCTTCGATCCAACGAGGTTAATTCCAGCGTCGCGAAAAGAGGAATTTCTTAAGATAGTTAACTCCTCGAGGAAGAACATAGAGTTGTACACGGAGTTTACAGACTTTATGTCTCAACCGCCAGCAGAGGAGCAAAGGATCTGGGATCTAGTAATCCCTGATATCGAGAAGTTCCTTGAACTTGTCGCTAGCGATGCGGACGAAGTTGGAAAGAAAGGCACAGAAGATCTTCTAAGTGGCATAACGCCTTACAATCGTAAACTAGCCATGACACAAAAAGCCCTTGAAGGTACGGTCTCGCGCAAGATACCTACTACCCAGATGGAACAGCTGTTGGACGACGAGGATCCAAAGCAACGGAGCAAGGTATTTGCTGAGCTCGCGAGCTCTTTCCAATCCTCTGGACAGAAGCGGCTGGCTGTAATATGCTCTGAAGCTGCAAAGACTGAGTTGGACCCCAGGACTGAGTTGGAACCCGAGACTGGTTCAGGGTTAAGTGCTAATAATGAGAGTTCTGATGTCGACATGAAATCAGCATCGAACTTCGGTGCAAACATGGAAGGCGATGATGGAATAGACTTGGGACAAGATGGAATAAACGTGGATAACGACAACGTAATCGAGTTTGATGATGATGATGGCACAATCGACCTACCCAGTTACGAAGACGGAATCACCGAGTATGGGACCCTTGAAGCTATCCGACCGACGTACTCAGATCAGATTCGCTTTTCCCGGTTTATTGTCAATTCTGGAACGGAAAGCCGTCCGTTCTATCGAGCAATAAAAGGGTTCGATCTTGGGCCTGAGGGTGCGCGGATTCTTCTTGAGCAAGAGGATAAGTATACACGGTTCAATTTGCAAGAAAGGAAACTTTCAATTAAGAAGGATACAAAGATTAAGAAACTTGGCCCATGCGTAGAACTGCCTAATACTGGAGGAGCAAAGAGGAAAGCGGACCTCTATATAAGACTGCAGTATTCTACGAAAAGCGGTCTTGAGTTCTCAGAGTGGCTGTGCAGAACAGAGGCCGAGAAGCTGCTTGGCAAGAAGTTTTTTGAAAAACAAGAGCCGACGTTGCTGGCCAAGTATCAGAACAGAGAGCGATTCTTCAGTGATTGCAGAAAGCGTGGAATCCACCCGGACACGGGAAGCCCGCTAACCAAGGAAGACAAGAAGGCGATGCCCTGGCTAGCAATGATTTAATTATTGTTTAGTTATTGGTTCTATTTCATTTTCTTGTCTTGGTAATAGTATATAGATTTATAGAATGGACGGCGTTTAGGTGGAACTGCTTTTTTTTCCCTTTCTAAGTGAAGAATACTAACCGAACAGGATGACATAGACTCAGTTAGATGCGGGTACGGTGTAAGTTCAAAAGTGTGTTTGAGGGCTGTTTGAAGTTGTACAAGCGTTGAAGAGCTGTGTTGAGTTCGAGCTAAGAGAGAGAAGAGGGTGGGTGGATAGAGAAGGATGGGAATATTAGTTTGCCTGCCCAGAGTAGCAGAGTTTCACTAGGGTCTCTAGGTAGCAGCAGGTTAACCGCCCCGCTGCTGCTTAGGAATTTTGAAAGAAGAACATAGGCTTAACATCTCTGAAGTCATTCATCGCGGAGCCTCCTGCCCTGTCCCCAGGGTATGTGGGCATTGGTAGTCCCAGTTTCCAAGGCTGTTAAAAGGGGAAACGAGACCATACGTCAGAAAAAGCCAATTCCCGATTGCCCACTATGCCTAAGGGAAGCCCTAGTTGTACATTTTATCAAGGTTCTCCGCCTTGGTAAACTCCCGCATGAAATCCTTGTTTACAGCCATCGCTTTGGAAAGGTGGGTGAACTTTACTCTACATTTCTCCCTTGTAGCGAGAGCGTGAGCAGTAGAAACAGCGTTCTTGATCTAAGCTCTTTGTAAGCACCACTAGTACATAAAATGCAGTGTGCAGGCACTTTACCTGTCGTCCATTTAGCTTGCTCCTAACTAGTCGTTCCAGTTCGTCATCATGGACATCCGGGCCTCCATGGGAGGTCCTCGACCGCTCGAGGAAATGCCTCCAGATCTGCTCCCTTTGATGTTTGTTCAGATCGTTGTATTTCAGCATAAGATGGATGCGAGTGAGTATTGCTTCATCAAATTCAGATACTCGATTTGTTGTTAAGAACATGATCCCGTCCAGATATTCTAGCATGCGCAGAAATACGGTCACAAGGCCGTTGCGCATTAAGTCGTGTGGTGACCGTCGCTGGAGATAGACATCAGCCTCGTCCAAGAGAAGAATTGCATTCCAGTGACTAGCAATCTGGAAGATGTCTGAGAGCTGCGTTTCCAGCGTTCTTGTCTCGATGCCCAATTCGCCGGCAGAAATCTAAGTAGTTAGTCATCATATAGAACGAAAGTATAGACAGAGTTTACCTACTGAATAAAGGGGTCGCTGAAGATGCTCAGCAACAGCCTCAGCTGTAAGTGTCTTTCCTACTCCTGGAGGGCCGCTAATAGATGTAAGCGAATATAGGGAAAAAATGAATAGAATCATACTGCAAGAGCACGACAAGACTGCGACCTTTCCTGGCGATAAAGTCATCAAAGCTAAACCCCGCTGAATTTGTACGGGTTTCCGCAACAGCTATAATTACTTCCTTGTCTTCTTTTGGAATGGTGAGGCATTCGAAAGATGTAGATGACCATTCGATCTCCCTGATGCCGGCGACTGGAAATTCCGCTATATTCAGGAATTAGCTTGAGGGTTACTAGCAGGAAGTTATGTCCATACCCCAACGCTTTTCACTGAAGCTGAAACCAGGCACAGTAGGGCTAGTGATAAGCAAATCATCTTCCGTCACGTCTTGAGGTTCTAAGCCAGTGTTCCTGACCCGCTCAGGCTGCGGTTGAAAGGGGCGGGGAAAGTCAAAATTGCCACCATCGGGCATTGGTATAGCGTAATCGGGTTGCACCTTTCGAAAGAAGGCGGCATCGACCATGATCCGGCCATCCACATGGAATCGATTCTGCTTTCCTTTGTTCATGGTAAACGCCTGACCGTTGCAGTAAGAGTAGTGGCTCCCAATCAAGCTAACAAACTTCTTCCCGCACTGGAGCAGATTAGCCTTAATCTTGCTGTCATTTGGATGGTACTGAATAGGAAATGCGGGAAGATGATCAATCCGCGCTACTCCGCGGAACATGTTGATCCTGACCTCTGTATATGCCTCACCAAAATCTGTACCGTCGAAGTCGAGATATCGGCACCCAATATTCCAGTATTTTGAACCGGATCTTGTCTTCCCATGCTCCCCAAATGTGTACTTGAGGCATCGAGGGCGGCCAGTTCCAGAGCAAATTGTATATACAAGGGCGTTTGGTTTGAACAATGCCCATAGCAGGTCGTATGTGATCTGGCGGTGCTGTAGAAGTGTGTGCAAGCGATGGGACATGGACTCATAGGATTGCTTGATATAGTCGACAAGCAATTGAAGGTGTTCCTTGCATGTACGGTCTGCGGGCTCAACTTGATCCAGCTCTGGAAGTGAATGATACAGGAAATCTCGCTCGACCTAAATGCGGTAAGCTGATGATCTCCAAAACGCAGGGCGAATATACAGAAGTTTCGGCCTCATGGCTAGTCCTAAGGACAGGTCTTAGAACCTTTCGCAGAGATTCGGATTTGATGTCAGTATAATACGTCATCTCATGTGTATCCCGATCTAGTACTCTGTTAGTAAGGCAACTATGGTATACCCTATTGCACTGACCTATTCGGGCGCGAACAACAAAAACGTAGTGGTCGAAATCCTGAAGCTCGTTGCTGTGAGTCTCTATGATGGTGTATCGGTACGTCTCAGGGTTCCAGCTAGCACATATAAGCTCGTTACCTTGTACATTCACAAAAGTACATACACTTCGTTGACGGTTTTGAACGAATGTAGCAAGCCCTGGCTTCGTGATTGATTATGGCCGCTAGGAGTATCTGCAGACGAAATTGTAGAGTTTGCCATTGCAATTATCTGAATTGTCTCGATAGAAAGGTCTGGTTCGCGATGAAGGAGGTAAAGACTTTAACTCTTGGGATTGTACTGCGTCTGCGAGAGATGTAGCTTCAACACTTCAAAGTTTGACTATAGGCACGAATATTACAGTATTCACTCTGGCTTTGCATATCTTGCACGCAACAATGCAATAGCGGATGTGCTCAGCAGCTGCTCGGGATACATGCATCTAGACCGTCACAGCGCTGCTACATTTAGATTCCGTTGCCGTTGCGTATGACAAGGCTTGCATAACTGCAACATAAGGTGCTATTTTAAATTGCGATAGGTTGCCTGCACTATAGCCAAGATCTTGGTAGCTGCGACATCCTACTCCTATTAAATGTCTGCGCACTTTTACACACTTTTACACACTTCTGCACACTTCTGCACACTTCTGCACACTTCTGCACACTTCTGCACACTTCTGCACACTTCTTCACACTTCTGCACACTTCTGCACACTTCTGCACACTTTTTCAACTTCCGCATACATTTTCACACTCCCGCACACTTCTGCACCGCACACTTCTACACACTTCTGCACACATCTACACACTTCTACACACTTACTACCATCCCCCAAACCACCGTCCCTGCTTCCGCAATGGCAGGAAGGAGAGCTAAAGATTCATTATCGAACTGCTGTCAAAAGCTTTGCAAAGATGCCGAATTACTTAGCAAGGTTGGACGCATTTACGGTCGCAGTGCCACTGTTGCTGCAGACGCTGTTAGCGTATTAGCAACACCGCAATCTTCCCGTACAGAAAGGATGTACGTGCAGTTTGCCCAGGACATTATACGGCACTCAAATCCTGGAATCCTGGTATTATGTGCGGCGAGTCTAGGAAAATATCGCATTGCCCGTTTATCTGTGGCGGACAGAGCACGTCTCGTAGTTTGGATTAAAGAAAATCAGGCTTTGTTGCATTCTAAGACTCTAGACACGCTTGCTGAGCAGTACCGGATACCCCTTACGATTAGTCTACACACTGCCTCCGCCTCGAACAGCGCTTCCGCCTCGAACAGCGCTTCCGCATCGAACAGTGCCTCCGCATCGAACAGTGCCTCCGCATCGAACAGTGCCTCCGCATCGAACAGTGTCTCCACATCGAACAGTGCCTCCGCATGGAACAGTGCCTCCGTGTTGAACAGTGCCTCCGCATCGAACAGTGCCTCCGCATTGAACAGTGCCTCCGCCTCCGCATCAAATTGCAGCAAGGAACTACTTCAAACAGAAACGAATGCAAGCACAAGAGGTAGCTAAACCTCCTACAGGGAGACTTCTAGGCTGACTGTCGTTATAATAGAGATTACATCCGTGTACACCGACGGGCCAGTCACCCAGATACCACTGTTTGGCGAGCTCCTCTCAAGGGCGATGACAACCAGCTGTGATTGGAAGCAGGAGAGGGACGCTGGACTTCTTACAACAAGGTGTTGGACTGCCCTAATACCAAAGGATCCAAGCATGGATATTTCTATCGTCATTCGTGTTGGCCGTCATGCTGGTTTTCATGTAATCGAAGCCTTAATGGACACTACCGGGTTATCTTAACCCATGCTCGAATGACTTCGACGACGTAGCCCTTGGGTATTTCCAATTTTGTTGCCGTAGTGTAGGTAGATGTTGTGCCAGGTATATTTGTTGGATCGTAGACTGTAATCAATTCTCCTCTTCCTGTTAACCATCGTGTCTCGTCCTCGCCTTCAAAATAATGGCTAGACAGATATTCGTCCTCTCCTCTAAGGGCTTTATCACCTCGCTAGATTTTGCAGGCTTAGCTTTGTCAGTGTAAAGCAATGCGGTAACTAACCCTTGTAGACATCGTGAATATCCTATTCCTCCGACAAGTCTAAGCAGTTGACAGATAGTGCTAGAAACACGCAAGGAGAGGAAAGAGGATTATATACGTAAATGATAAACTAACTTTTAGGGCATAGAGCGAGCGAAAAGATACTATGAGGATTAATTAAAAATATATAAATAGCGTATAAGCGTTAATGCCTAACAACAGAAAGATCTTTTGATTCGGCTGTTGCTTCCAAGGTTGCTTAGCAAGGCCCAACAGCTTGCAAAGATGACACGTAGGCAATAGAGTCACAGGACCATCTCTACATCACAGCATCTTGCGGTTGACGTGCACTACCCCATGTGTCACTGTTGCGATGTCCTCGACCTGGTTCACTCCTCACGCCGCTACCAGCCCTAGTAGGTTGCTAATACTACCTGACTACAGCCTAAGTAAAGAGAAAAGTTTTGTACGGAGGTAAGATTAATAAGATGGGAGTGAAGCGACACTGCATGCGCGCTACCAACCACTTCGGTTGGCATGTGGGGCGAGTAATGTAACTAGCTTCTGGGGCTGGGGCGTGATCTTCCCGCAGTGGTTGTTACGACTCACAATATCAGGTTACTATCGAAGCGTCGCGGAGCCTGGCTGCGATCCATCCTGCTGGAAGGGCTGACACATTGAGTACTTACCCGGGGGGATGTTGGGCCGCCGGAGGCAGGGATCCCTTAATTTAGTGGGGAGCGCAGCTGCAGGTGCTGCTGTGAAGTCGGGAGGCTCGTGACCCCGAGCGTGACTGTTGCAGCTGATAAGCATCCTTGTCTGTGGATGGGAGGCAATACGCGGACTGGAATAGGTACAGTACGGAGTATCGTGAATACTGAATCAGAAACAAGCACAAGAATCCCGCCAGGGTATCTAACGTGAAAGACTTCCGCTGATTTAATAGGTGGAACCACCTTACTTATCATGGTTTCAGTGGCCAATCCTATTCAGGGGAGAAGGCGTTCCGATTACCCACTAGTGGCTGCGCTTCCAGCGGCTGCACGAAGTGGGGGGAGAGGCGGATTGAATTTGTGGGCATTATCTATTAGGTTTGAGGGAGAGTTGGGATGGCCGAGAAGGGTTGGTTGAGGTGGGTTGGAGTGTGGGTGCGGCGCGTCGCGTGGAGTGGTGAATTGAAATTTTGACTCTTTTCGCGTGTCTGACATTGGCTGGAAGCAGCATCGCTGTTGGTGGCGTTGCTGTAGTGTGTTGGTGGCTGAGATGATGGAGAAACCGAAACAGGAATACGGAACCTGGGTAAATGGCCTGAATTGGGAATCAGGATGCTGGGAACAGTGTATTCCACCCTCTGTCGAGTCGATGTCTAGGGGGAAAGCTAGGCCTCTCGTCCGATCGACCAAATATAAGCCGTGTAGCGCCCGTTGAGTAGTAGCGTGGGTGACCAGCTGCGAATAGCGTGGTGTTGTATGTTTTTGCCTTCGTTTTGCAATGTTTTTTTATAGAAAAAAAATGAAAACGTGATCTTATGAAAAGGTAGGGGTTATATTGATACCAGATATCGAGAACTCAAAACCCAGACTTGGAATCATGAGCATCCCAGTGGATACATATGCTCCTGTTCCGACATCGGTCAGTTTGACGACCATCACTGCCCTATCATCGGGTACTCCAGCTTCGCCCTGCCTTTGGTAAGTTTTTTTCGTTATTCATGTAGTACTTACCTCCTTTGACGCGATGCCGCATGGAAACAAAAGTGCTCCAGCCCCCTGCTCCAATTACATAGGTATTCTGCAAGCGGTTCCAGGATGGGCCAATAGGTCCTTCATCCGGCCTACCTACACAGTACGCATCTCCATTCCCCCCGGATACATACATAGGCATCTACGTAACATACCCCCTCGCCACCCACTCATCCTCTCCTTCTCCCCCCTTCCCTCCCCGCCTCTGTCCACCCCACAAACTCCACCTCAACCTCGCCAATCTCCCCGACTCATCCAACACCCGCATCAACCGTCGAATAAACCCCACCACCTTCTCCCTCTTCCTCACCTCCCGCTCTACCCGCTCCTTGGGTACTTCCGGCAGGGGCTTATTCCTATCTACACTAACTTTCCCCTTGCCCTTCTCCCTACCTGCGTCCCTACCATCCACAACAACAAACTCCTTCCCCGCGTCATAGGCACGTGCATCGAGCGCGTAGTACTCCGAGTACGCGCTCGAGCTGGCGCGGGAGACGGAGCGGCGGATTGGCGGGCGGTGGATGTGGATGATGCGGCCGTTGTAGGAGTAGGTGAAGTTTGTGGTGGGGTCGTGGCCGTGGAGTTTGTGGGTCGGGATGGGGCGGGAGGGGTGGGTGTGTGGGTTGGGCGAGTGATGGTGATGGTGATGGTGGGATGGGTTTGGGTGGTGCTGGTGTTGATGCTGATGGTGTTGCATGACCTGGGGATGGAGCTGGGGATGGAGCCGTTGCCGCCGAACCATTTCCGTAAGCGCAAGCGGCGACGCAGAAGAAACGGTTCGACGTCGAAAATCGCTGGGATTCATACGCACGCTCGGTTCGTGTACATGCGCGGACCCACGTTCCCCATAGCTACTCGCCATCGTCCCGTAAGAAGCCCGGCTCCCATCGTCGTCGTCAGTGGCTTGCGAATAACGCGAGGAGCCGAACGAATCCCGGATACTTACAACGGGATCATCGGTACCGTCCCAGTCTAAGAAAACGGTTCCGCGCGATGGGGGTCGGGATGGTGCGTCAGTCCCGTTGCCCTCTGGTTCCTCTGAGTATGCGTAGTCCTGCTCCGCGAGGCACTCGTCGATGAGGGCGAAGATCTCGTCCGGCGAGTCGTCTGGCATTTTGGCAATGATGGCGTTGTGTGAGTGATGGTGACGGTGACGGTGTAGATGCGTGTCTGTGAGTTGGGAAATTCTGATTCCGGAATCAGTGGGTAGGGGTCGATGTTCTGTGAGTTGTGAGTGCTGATGAAGTTTGCGTATATGTTCCGTTGGTAGGAAACTCTGCGCCGCTTGGTGAACTGTGATTTCAAGATAAGTGTTGCGTATCTTGCGTAGCTCTGTAGTTGAAAAAAATCTGGGGGAAGGGGGAGAAGCCGGTGTGTTGGAGGAATTTATGGCAGCGCAACAGAGAGCGTTGTCGATGAACATGGTTGAGCAGCTAGGTGACGGCGGTGCATTGTACAAAGTCCAAGTGGGTCTTGCTAGAGGAGTGTTCAGTTACATTGTTGTGAACCTTATGGCGAGGTGGTTATTTACCTTTGCTACTCAGTTGTCTGTGTACAATGTCCGAGACACACACAAACAGTCCTACACACACTTTCAGATACTCTCTTCACCCAACGCAATAAAAACACACAGTGACATAAACATAGCATTGCCCAATTTAATTACAGATGGCCACCGACGTCGCACCACCATCTCATGATAGACATCCGCAAATCCACATGCAGAATGATGCATTAGCAGCACATAGATTGCGATGGAATCAAATCGACGAGGAAGACACAAAACAAGCAGGTAAAGCAAGCAAGCAACGGCCAGGTGGGGAGACGAACAGGGGGAATATGGACCGCCAATCAAACGATGGAAATGCATAGCAGTATGACCCAAGAGACGTAAGAGATTGAACTCCACAGACATCGACGGCGTATGGATCTATACAGATCCACATTAGATTTAGGGTGGGGTAGAGTAGGGGTAGGCAGGTACTATAGACATTGTATTGGTTAGGGGAGTTGATGGGGTAGACGCGTGAGGCGGGTGCATCTAGAGGTCCTTGAACTTTTGCTTTAGTTTGCCAAAGATAGAGGTTCGCTTCTTCTTCTTGTCCGTACCCGCAGCACTGCTTTCGGGAGTACTTTGGGCAGAGGAAGGAGCCGCTTTCGCTGGTGTCTCGGGAGCCCGCGTGGTCTCGGTGGCCGGCGTAGCGGCTTCGGTCTTGGCAGCAGTCGTGGTAGTCTCAGTGCCTGTTGTGACGGTGGGCTGAGTCTGCGAAGCGGTGGTGGGCTGCTTCGACATGGGAGATACATCGCGAGAGCTGGCAGCAGCAGCCGAGGGGGTAGCGGCCGACTGTGCCTGACTAGAAGCCGGTGCATTAAGACCGCCCGCCGCAGTAGCAGCGGCGGACTCCTTAGGTGGCGTAGTGGTGGAAGGGGCTGGCTCGCCGTGCTCCTCGGTTGTCGGGACCTTTTTGAGTAGTTCCGCTTCGACCTCCTTCTTCTCCTCAACGGCTTCCTCGTTGGCCGCAGCTTCGGGGCTCGCGTGGGCCTTCTCCAAACTCTCAGCGACTACTTCTGGCACATCCTTGGCGGCGTGGGCATGTACCTCCGTGGAGGGTGCAGGAGCTGTAGTGGCCGTAGCAGCGCTAAGAGTAGGAGCAGGCTCACCGGCCTCGTCGGTCGGCTTGACCTTCTTGAGAAGCTCCTCTTCAACTTCCTTCTTTTCCTCCACGGCTTCCTGGTTGGCTGCAGCTTCGGGACTGGCGTGAGCCTTCTCCTGACTCTCCGCGACCACCTCTGGAACATCGTTGGCGGCATGGTGACTCTCAGTGGCCACAGTCGGTACTTCGGTGACAAGGGCTTGGTTGTACAGCCCACCCTTCTGAGGTCCAGGGTTGCCCAAGGAAGGGGCCGGCTCGCCATGCTCCTCGCTTGTCGGCACTTTCTTCAGGAGTTCAGCTTCAACCTCCTTCTTCTCCTCAACAACCTCCTCATACGCAGCGGCTTCGGGGCTAGCATGCGCCTCTCTCAGGCTTTCCGCAACGACCTCGGGTACATCGCTAGCCGGAGCTTCAGGTTCAGGTTCAGGTGCAGGTGCGGGGGTATCGCTGGCCGTAGCCTGACCGTTCAAGCCCACAGCTTCCGCGGCCTTGTCTTTTGCGGAATAGGCGGCGGCAGTTACCGCACCTGCAACAGTTGCTGCTGCGGCAGTAGCAGCAGCAGCAGCAGTCGAGGCGCCCGACGCGACGGTGTCGGACACCTTCTCCGTAGTAATGTCCGTCGTCGCCGGTTTTGCAGGAACCGTTTCCTTCAATTCCTGTTCAACCTCCTTCTTCTCTTCCACAGCTTCGGGATTGGCAGAGGCTTCGGGTGGGTCGTGCGCTTCCTTCTGGCTTGCAATCACAGTTTCTGGCACCCCTCGAGGTTCCTTGGAAACTTGAGCGGCGAGTGCGGCGGTGGAGCTAGCAGGGGCGGCGGATTGGATGGTCACGCCCGGATCTTGCTCACTCTCAGTATTGACATCTTTGGGGAGGCTCGACTCGGGGATAAGGCTCCCCGTCAAGGGTGGTAGGCTAAACATACCGCCTTTCGCTTCCCTCTCCGCCTCTGGAGTCAATGCGACAGGCGAAAGTTGAGGAGGAAGAGCATCAGACTTCTCGTAGGAAGCAGCATCAGTCTTGGCCGTGCTAGAGACGGTGTTCGAGGTCAGCGTGCTTGGATCTGGGACCTTCTCGCCGGGTTCAAGATGGATGGGGTTGCCAGGTCCCGCGGTAGCCGGAACTGGTGCAACGCTGACCGTGGCGTCTTCGGCGGCGCCGGCGGGCTGATTGTCCCGAACCGTTGATTGAACAGTGTTGCTGGTGAAGGTGCTAGGGTCTGGCACATTCTCCCCTGGTCCGAGCTTGATAGGGTTCCCTGGGCCGTCGGTAGCTGGCAGAGGATTGACAGAGAAGGCCTGCTCAGGAGCGGGAGAGGCGGCACCGGGGGTCTCAGGAAAAGCACCGGGAAGTCCTGCGCTCACGGGGGCTTCCTGTTCCTTCTCTACCTTGCCGTGCGTCGATTCCTTGGGCACATTGGCGGCGAGGGCAGCGGTCGAGGATTCGGGAGCGGCCGAGGAGAGGGTGCTGACGTCCTCGGTCTCTTCGATATAATGAGGATGGAGGACATTATTGTAGATGCCCCCGTCGACTTGTTCTTTGGGGTGGGACTCGTTGGTCAGCCAGTTGCCGTCGACGACAAACTGCGACACAGATCAGTCCAGCGCTCCAGGCAAGGCGTGGGCGCTCACCTTGTAGTGATGTTTTGTTTTGGGAAGCTCAATTGTCTTCTTGAAGACATCGCCTTCCTTCTCGAGCTTCACCGTCTTCTTCCAATCGTCGAAATCGCCCGTGACGAAGACCTCATTGGCGGGGTGCGCCCTGCAGAGTGTGAGAGAAGGTTAGTGGATAGCAGCAACGTCGGACGTACCATGTAAAGGTATATTTTCCCATGCTGGGACAGAAATCAGACAGTGGTAGGGAGACAGGCCGAGCGCAGAGACAGTTTCTTAAAAGGCGGTGGGGAAGGGAAGGATGGTGAGAGAGGGTGGCTGGGGTTTTTGCAGGGGGAGCTTGCAGCGAGGCACGGCGCGGAACCGCGATAAGGGCAGAACGAGGAGGAAAGGCGGATAGAAAGCGCTTTGTGACAGTCAATGGGCGCAACACGATGGTGATTCAGAGGAGAGCAGGCGGTTGTGAGAAACAATGGACGAGGCCGGTGGTTGGCTGGCAGGGTCTTGCTTGTTGGAAGCGGTTGAGGTGGGTTTGCAGCGGAGAGAGAGGCGTCAGAGCCGAAGTTGGCGGCGCCAAGAATTGGGATCTGGCGGTGACGCACCTTGACAGCCTGCAGCTCCAGCTTGCAGCTTTGCAGCTTACCCTAAGTTATGACGAAAGGCTGACTCATCCTGCCTGAGTACTGAGTGCTGGGAGAACCATGTTCGGTGAGCTCTTGTTGTGAGAGAGTGTTTTCGCATAGATGTGGAGTGAGCAGCTGTGGATCCTAGCTATACTTGTAGATAAATACATAACATACATGTATGCTCCCTATACTCCTCTATCTGCACGTGTGCTGGATTCTGGCTTTGACCTATCAGTACAGCATAAAGGGGACTCTGTCCGACTTGTGCTGTGCTGCACGCACGTCCAGTCTCCCAGCGTAGGATGCCGAAATGCTCTGCAAAATTGTCACAATTGCCACAATCGAAAAACAATTGAGCAAGAATCAAAACTGGTCTTGGTAATTGACCTTTTGCTTGCCAAGTTTTCAGGACGAAGAGCAGTGTATTGTCTCTACATAGCGGGCATGTGTTCACAATAGAGAAGTATCCCTCCGGATTCGCATCACCGTGATTGTTTCCCCGTTGGGCGGGTGTGGGGTAGAAGCAGGGCTTCCCAGTTTCCCGAGGTCCCCAAAACTGATTGGTTCGACGTACACTCGTGCTGCGATACTTGGACCAGTAGTATGCATTTTATTGGCTTGTAGAATTGCAGAGGGGTTCGATAGGAATCCCTGTACGAGCAGACATGGGCAAAACGATAGAAGAGTACAGAGAGATGTTGAATCCCTCTGCAAGAGGATAGATGTGTTGCGAAACACCCATCCTTAACTTTTAACTGTACCCTAACCAAGTCACCAACCCCAACACAAGTCAACCTAGCCCACACCATCGACAATTCCAACCTCTGAATCTTCCATATCGTTAGGGACCGTTTGAAAGCCGTATTGCATCGAGACATATGTGCACAGTCACGGTTATCTTCAACTGCGAGCACCATTCCTTGACGAGGAAATGCGCCCCAGCAAGAGAGGTTCTGGACACCATATCCGCAACCGGCATCACTCACGCAATCGCACTCCAGCTCCCGTATATTTTGCAAACCGGCATCTTCCCTAGCAATCCTATGGGAGATGTGCGGGTTGCAATATATATACGGGAGCTTGTGTTCGATTGCGTGAGTGATGCCGGGCGCGGACATGACGAAGCACCTAAATAACACCAGTTGAGCAGTATCGTGGTTCTGAAAAGCAGCAGGGGCGAGCACTTCGCCAGTTTCAAGCCAGCAGTGGGTGGTTGAGACCCAGTGTGTCCATGACTTGGCCCAGGGCCGCATCTCCTCCGTCAAGATGGACGGCACCTAGAATGGCCTCCACTGTCGTAGCCATGGTTCTGGGGGACACTGTCGGAGTACCGGGATTGGTGACAACGCAGTGATGAAGTCCAGAGTGACGGCCCACATCTTCGAGATTGTTGTTCCCCAAGACGTTGTTGAAAATCTGGGTCCACTGCCCTGTCCATCACTTAGGCCTGCCTATATCATAGGGGGAGATGGCGGTGGCTCGAACTGTACATACCTTTGTCCAGGCCGGCGTCGAACCACTTTCTGCAGAGGTAACTCCTAGACACAGCATCGCCGTACACGGCAATGTTATCGTTGCATCTGAAGTTACGCAGCTCGCCTTGCAAGAAGAATACACCGGGAACCGTTGTGAGTGCCATGGCACACAACGTCTTGTCAACGAAGTCCCAACCGATGATACCCTCACACACGGCAATGTAGCTCTCAAAGACGTTCATGCTTGAACCGGCGTAGAGTGTCTGGTGTAATAAGTAGGAAGACGATATGGAGTCGAGTTGGAAAGAGTGGAAGGCGGGGTCTAAATAGGTAACCAGCCTCGCACTCTTAGTAGGCAGAAGTACGCAAGCAAACGCTACCGTAGTGTGTTTCTAGGCGCCATGTGATAATTGTAGGTCCCAAGGAGTCCAATCAATGAGTTGTCCATGGTTCTTGTCAATCTCCAATGTGGATATCTCTGTTTGCAACTCCACTCTTCTCTCAACGAGAGTGGATGATGGTAGACGCTTCGGGTGAACGCGTCACGGTGGCTGCAGTCGGTCGGATGGTAGTGGGAAGGCAATCGAGTGGTCATCCCCTCGATCAATCATACCGTGTACACAGTAAGTAGACCAGGGAAACTGTGGTGGTTGAGGCTGCATTCTCAGGGCTGAGACTGCAGCTCAGCCCGCTATACCGGACTTGGTAATTCGTCCTTTTTCCCTGCCCAGGTGGAGGGCGGACCCTTCTTTGTCCCATGCCCCACAAGAATTCCCCGTTCTGGGCAGGGAGCTTGGGGCCTCACCGTGCCCGTGTTGCCGCCTCCCCCCTCTCGCCCTAGACGCAGGGCTGGGGATTATGGATGTCCTGGGCAGCTGTACACAGTACACAGATATCAACCACTGTGAAGTGTCCACACCGTCCACGCCGCTGTGAGACGTCAGACATCAAGCGAGGGCAACACAAGTGTAGCCTTGCGTTGGCGCCCACCAATTGCTCGGGTGCCTGCGGCTGCAGAGAGCTTCCACGCTGATTCCACGCAGCTCATGGAACGCTCCATGGAACAAAATCGCCGTGTTCTAGCGTCGCTCTCTGGTGATGGCAACCAGACAGCTCATGCCAGCCCCAAGAATCTGCTCGACCTGCCCCTGCGCCAGCCCAGGAGCTCTTTTTTGCTGTGTATAACTACCTAGCTAACTCATTCACCTGTTCGTCTGCTCGTCTGTGAACAACGAGAAGGCGCATTGGACGCACATTCCGTGCCTACCTCATCCCTCGCCTCAGTGCTCGCTCTCTTCTTTGACCCATCGCAGCCCTCGCTTTCTCCGTCTCTCACCCCTCCCTGCATCCATCACTCACCATCTCTCAACCATCCGTATCCTCCTCTCTCCATCTTCAACCTCCTCGTCGTGCTCGCTGTGCTCCGGGGCCTCGCTACGAAATACCTACCCACCCCCCTTGCACCGTTGCACAAGTCCCCGCTGATCCCTGTTGAAAGGACCCCTCACCCCGTCACCGCAGCCCACACACCACCGTTTCGCCTGCACCTCCCTCACCATCCTGCTCCTCTCCTCTCCCATGTCGCTCCCACCCGACTACTCCAACGAGATACAGTCCCTCACCCGCCAAGTCATCCAGCACCAGCCAAACGACATCCTCCAATTCTGCGCAAACTTCTTCAACCGCCGTCTCGAGTCGCAGCGCGCCGAGTTCTTGCTCTCCCAGCGTCATTCCAACTACAAGGGCTCCACTGCCTTGCCCGAGACCAGCTTCCCGGGCAGCAACCCCTTTGGCACCTCGCCCGGCACCGGCTTCATGAACCGGCTGGAGGAAGAGGACGAGACGGATACCCTTGCATCACCGGCTGCATCGTCCGCCGCCGCCGCCGCCATGGCCAACCCTCAGGGCAACCACCCAAGCAAGAGCCACTTTGGCAACTTTTTGGGCTTCGGAGCCTCCAAGAGCACTCACCAGCATCAATTCGCTGATGCCGACTCCCAGACCTTCCCCACCAACTATAACCTCAATCGCCGCACGTCCGTGTCTGCCGAGTCGCTCAACCCCGCTTCCTCTGCCCATGACAACTGGTCCCCACCCTACCATCATAAGTCGGAGGAGCAGCTCGCCCGTCTCAAGACTGCCGTGTCCGGCAATTTCCTCTTCTCCCACCTCGACGATGACCAGTTCTCCCAAGTCTTGGGCGCCCTCCAAGAGAAGCCGATACCAACAAAGGGCATCAAGGTCATTCAGCAGGGAGACGTGGGAGACTACTTCTACGTCGTCGAGAAGGGCTCTTTTGACGTCTACGTCAACCCTTCAGGAAAATTGGAGCCCGGTCCAGATGGCCTGGGCAAAAAGGTCAGCACCGTCGGGCCCGGCGGGTCCTTTGGCGAGCTGGCCCTCATGTACAATGCCCCCCGAGCTGCCACAGTCATCTCCAATGAGCCGTCTACCCTGTGGGCACTCGACCGAGTGACTTTCCGCCGTATCCTCATGGACAGTGCTTTCCAACGCCGTCGCATGTACGAGGGCTTCCTCGAGGAAGTGCCGCTCCTCTCCGGCTTGACCCCCTACGAGCGCTCCAAGATCGCCGACGCCCTCGAGACGAAGAAATTCCCTCCGGGCACCACCATTATCCGGGAAGGAGACGTGGGCGAGTCGTTCTACATGCTCGAGTCGGGCGAGGCCGAAGTGTACAAGCGTGGCATCGACAAACCCGTCAAGCGGTACAAGAAGGGTGACTACTTTGGCGAACTAGCCCTGCTCAATGATGCGCCCAGGGCAGCCTCGGTCATCAGCACGACCGAAGTGAAGGTTGCGACGCTGGGCAAAGATGGCTTCCAGAGGCTGTTGGGGCCGGTGGAGGGCATCATGAGGAGGAATGATCCTAGCAAACGACCTGAAGGGGATAGCATTGACCCTCTGGCCAAGGAGGCGTGAAGAGGAAGACGGACACTTGGACGGACCGAGCTGCAGAGCAGCGCTGATTAGGAGAGCGTCGGTTGGATATCTCTTGTTACAAGGTGCGGGGATGGGTATGGGGCCGAATGGGGGTTCCATATAGGCAAGCGGTTGTGTTGGACGACGGTGGGGGCGAGGAAGGGCGAATCCTCCCTCTGCTTCCAATGTCCCAATTGCGGTTGTCTTATTAGCTGCGCTCACTCGTGGAGGCGTTCGTTTGGCTCTGCATGCTTTGCTGCTTACCTTGTTCATCACTATCTCTAAAGATTGGGTTGGTTGATCACAATTCGGAAACAATGCAAAGCTAAGCTGGGATGAAGTGGGAAATGGTTCTCGTAGAAAGGCTGATGTTGGTGAGAAGGGTCTTGATAGTCGACCAAACTATATACTCCCAATGACATTGTTGTTGTTCACGAAGCCCTCGGGCACCGTAATTGCAATGGACGGGGATGCCGTCTGGAGATGGGTACACACGATACCTGCCTTCTTCCCAGCGGTAAATAGTGAAGAAGCTTAAGGAACCCGCACCCAATCATACTGAGTGCGCCCCTGTGCGGCTCGTGGACGGTGGACCCGGAATTCCCGACTGCCTTCCTTCCCGCCTGCATGGTCCGACTAAGCCTTGCGAGCAGGACATCTCTTGTGACACCCTCATCGTCGCATCCCAGACAACGCGAATCATCCAGACAACGCGAACCATTACCGTGACGGTGGCTCGGTGGACCTGCTTCGTACAGGCGATGTGAGTCCATAGTCGAATCTGGGTTCTATCTCTCTGGCTTTTGACCCCCCAGAGCCAATATTCCTCGAGCTCAACTCAAGACCACTACTGATCGATCAGGATGTCACTGATGAGAACTGACTAGTAGGATCTCTCTGCAGTGATGCATCTTGGACCTCTACCACAGCACGTTTCACCTATGGGTGTGTCGATGTCATGTCTTCGAGCTGGGGGAAAGTTCTTTGATTCCCAACATGAAGACCTACGGTCGGTATACACGTGCAATGCACCACCCCCCTGATCGATCGGCTACGATACTCTTACAAGTAAGAACAAACCGGAACCAGCATCCCACCATGTGCACGACTGTTCCTGCATCGTCGCCTTCTCGTAGACATCAATCACCCCGGAATCCGCCTGACGACGCGGGAGAATGGCGCAACTTCACAGGGCACCTGTAGCGCACCCTCGCACTCGCGGCTGACGACAGGCCTATACGGTGCATTAATCTCGCCGTCGTTTTCCAATTGACAACCTCGCTCTGTTGAGGTCAGGCTCAGCAGTGTCCTGCCCACCTGCTGGTGGCTTGCACCTGTCGATTTCCCAACCTGGTCAGTTTCCCGACGTCTCTTCGTTGAAGATGCAGGGGTCATCTGGACTCTAGGACGGAAAGGGATAATGGGCTATCTTGGCTTTTGGCCTCACCTGGGCATTTGTGAGGCAGAAAACACGTCAACCCTCACCCACAACTGAGAACCACTCGCATCAAGCTGTCCCAAGGTTTCGGCCCCTGGATCAAGCTTCCCGTCACCGTTACCCGGGGACAATTCACCAGCTTGCCCCTGGCCGCACTCAGCCCGGACAATACTTCACCGTCATCTTGCTTCGGCTGTCCTCCGGGGTCCCCTTTTATACTCTCGCGGCCCCCTCAACTGGTCGAGACTTGAGCAACTGGACTAAGCTTGCCTTAGTCCATGTCGACTACCATGTGGAGATCTCTTGGCTGCGGCGCCAATCTCTCGAGTATAGTCCTGAGTAGCGTCCTTCGCAGCTTAGATATCTCAAGGTCCAACCGCCTGATGCTTGCTTTCAACATCAAGCCGACTCTTGGTTCGTGACCCTTCAATACTCCTGGATCTTCCTTCAGGCTCCTCAAGAGTGAACGCCGGGACGCAGAGGAAAATATTTCCAGTTGATAATCCCACCTACCACGCCAGCGGTTTCTTTCCAACGACCATCATGACGTCCACGAATGAGCCCAAGCCTACAAAGAAGAGGACGGGCAGGAAACGCCTACCTCCACTCGCGCCAGGCCCGACTCTGCAATTTCTGGTCGCAAGTCATCCGGATGACTTCAAGGCAGATAATACGATGCGGAATGTAAGATCTCACGTCATGTACAAGCATCGCGGAGAGCATTACGGTATTAGAAGATCGCACTCTGCTTCTTACAGGTCAAAAAGTACCGAAATCGAGGCCAAGGCAAGGGCATTCACTCGCACTCCGAGCCCAAGGGCAGCAGAATCAGGAGGGAGATCAGTCGAGAGTGGGCTTTTTGCTCCACCATCAAGTGGGGGGAAGAGCGCAGCCTGGGATACTGAATTCCACGACATGCTTTCACAAACAACTTCGGCAAACCCGTTACGCAATTTGGCAACCAGAATTATAGCCGCAATAACTGTAGAGCAAGCAAGAAGTACCCCTCCAGTATTCGGCCACGTCTCAGAGTATCCTTTTCCACGCAGGAACTCATGGGAGAATGACTCCCTGGAAGATGTCAAGACCCTCTACATCCAGAACAACGAATCTTGTCATCATGGTCAGTCGGCTAGGCGAAATATCGCTACTTCCCCGTGCTAATATCCGCAGATGAACCGTGGATGCGATTTGTCTGCAGCACCCGCATGTCTTTTCTTGGCAATCTTACTGCAACTTGTGTCTTCATTGATCTGGCGGATGGCCTTTTGGACGACAGCCCAATTACAGTATACGCGAAGACCAAACTCCTTTCGATGATAAAGGAGAGCCTACTGGAGGCGGAGACATCGACCAGCGACTTTACCGTCCTTAGCATCCTGCACCTCCTTGCCAGCGAGATTTGCGGCTCTGGAGAGGATGTATTTGATGCCCACATGGAGGGACTAGTCCGTATAATCCACCGACGAGGTGGTTTAAAGTACCTGGGGGCAGAGGGCCGCATCGCCGCGTTTCTGGCTGTGTAGGCCGACCCCTCGTACGACATGATTGCAATATTAACAAGAACAGGTACATGCTTACGTTCACCATACTCCGTAGTCAATCCGAGCCCTCCTTGCTTCACGACTTCGTCCCCGAGCTCTTGCAGCCTCCCGCCGTCCTCAAAAAGCCGCCGATCTCGCCCCTTTTTGCGCCCAACGGTGACCTTTCCGTACTCTATAGCTCATGCTCGGACGGATGCTATCAAATCCTTTGCGACATGCACGAGCTCACAAACACCTTCATCCACCGCTGGACTTATACCACGGAACGCTACCCACAGAGCAGCCTCGAGCTAGCTTCCTACGACCTCCATATGCAGCAAATCTACAGTCGCCTTCTCCTCCGCCCACCGACCGATCCTCACACCGACCCGGACTGGACATACGAGTCATGCCGTCTAGCAGCACTCATATACTGTCGCTCCATCGTGCAGGGCGTTCCACTCTCAGATTCCGCCGGGGTCATGCATGCGTCCAGCAGAGACGACCCGGGAGCGCCATCCGGCGTCACTCTTCTCTCCGCACTCCACCAGGCGCTGGGATGCACGGATACGAATTCCGACTGGGGCGATCTCTACGGAGTCTGTCTCTGGGTCTGTCTGGTTGGCGGGGCCGCGAGCTGGCATTCGTGCGCTCAGCCTGCTGATGCCGCTGGGTACGCAAGTCAGAGGCATGAGGACGAGGACAGGGCTGCGGCCTGGGCGAGGAAACGCTTTGCGCTGTTTTCGGTGAAGAGTTCGTTGGCCTGTGGGTTCCATCAGGCGAGTGCGATGCTGGAGATGCAGAGGAGGATGTTGAGGGTGCAGAGGTTGATTGCGGTGAAGGGGGGGATTGCTAGTCAGTGAGGGTCGGATGCCCTTCCTTTTGTTTTCATATTCCACCTGTGCCGTAGACTGTTGGGTAAAATGGATTTGAGGTGGGATTCGCGCGTCGCTGGACGGAGGGATGATGAGTCGCCGATTACTCTTGTGACCCGGCGTGGTTCTTTCACGGAATAATTTCATAGTAGGTGAGGGTGGTGGGATTAAGATAGGGAGGAACTTTTCGGCGCCCCCCCCAAATTCCCTGGCGACACCCCCCCACTCAGATGTACGCAGTCATGACCAAATATTCTTCACGCTTAACCTATAGAGGCAAGTACTGTGGCTCGGAAAACGTTCTTCCACACCGTCTGCGTACCCCACTCCGATCCTTCGGTGCGTAGCCTCATGGGCCTACATCACCTGCCTAGAAGTAATGAATTGCCGCTGCACAAGGCACTAGATCTCGCTTAACTCATGCTAGCCAAAACAGTACCTGTACTGGTGCAATACTAAACTTCAACTTCCGTTTAGCAGCAACAACCTCTAACTGCACTACAATCAACTTTACATTTTAAATATTCAGATCCCCTCTCCTCGTTAAGCGCTTTTATTTGGTACCCTCCTCATCCAATTTAAGCATCATGTTGTGGTGCTGTAGCAGGTAACAATAAGGATGGCATTTACACCTAGTCCTACACAGGTGGTAACACCGCGCCATCTCCACCCAAGCAAGTCAGTGAGCTAATGCAGCTGATTAGATGGCGAATACGAGTCCTCCACCTGAGCTCCCTGAGTCGCTGAGCACCCAAAGCGAGCTGCCAATTGATGAGGAAGCCAATGATGGTGAAGATTATGGAATAATTGCAAAAGAGGACTACAGAGAAGCTGTGGAGGAGTTCAACAAACAGCTAGCACCTCAAGGTTATGCCATCTCCATTGAAAGCTGCAAGAACTACAAAGGGAAAGCCACCAAAGATATTGTTAAGGTTGTACGTCTGCGCTACGCTCACGCCCGTAAATATAACCCAAAGGGCAAAGGGAAGGCAACTCACATGACCCAGTGTGAATACCGGGTACACTTACACCGCAATGGCCATTACTGGACTGTCCGTATTCGAAACCCTATCCACAATCACAACCCTGCAATCAATAGGTTTGCTCTGCCACACTTCCGCAAGAGATCTGAGTATGGAGATAGAGTCATCCAGGAAGGCTACGAGGGCAATCTCCCAGTTAAGGAAACCCATCGGCAACTGCTCAATCTTGGAGAAAACACCACCATGAAAGATATATACAATCAGCGGCGGAAGCTTGTTCAGGCAGAGCTTGGCTCTCGCACTAAAATTCAGGCACTCCTTGAGACTCTGGAGGAATACACTGATAATGAAAGAGCTAAATACTTTCATCGCCATGGCCTTGATCAGCAAGATCGACTCCACTGGGTATTGTTTGCCCACCCAGTCTCCATGAAGATACTCAAACAAAACCCCGACATTATTATCATGGACTGCACTTACAAGACTAACCGATTCAATATGCCCTTGCTCCATATAACTGGCATAACTGCTCTAGGTACTACATTTGACATAGGGTATGCTTTCATGCCTGGAGAAACAATTGAAGATTATGATGCAGTAATCCACAGCTTCCTTGAGCTTGTTCGGGAGCTTGGAGTTGCTCCTTGCTGCTTTCTTGTTGATCAGGAAGATACTCTCATCTCTGCCCTTAAGCACTATTTTGCAGGAGTCTCTATACGCTATTGTATGTGGCATATCAACCAGCACGTTCAAGCTGAGGCTACAAAGCGTGCATGGGATGTACGCTGAGGAGATACTGATGAAGAGAAGGAGGAGATTCAGCAGCAGAGGGAGACCTTCCTTTCACGGTGGCATGAGCTTGTAGGCTGCAAGACTCTTCCTGAATTCTGGGACATATAGGCAGAGCTCAAGGAGGACTACAAGGCCTATCCGAAGCTTCTTACTTATCTTGAAGAGCACCAAATACCTCACCGGGAGCACTGGGCCAACTGCTATACCAAGGACTATCCGGACTTTGGAGAAACTGTAACCTCATGCGACGAGGGAGCCCATAGATCTCTCAAGGCAAATCTCACCTCATCTCGTGGCCATCCATATGATGTTTTGAAGTCCATCAATCATATGCTTGTTACTCAGTACAATGAGTATCAAGCTGCCATGGGTAAGGCCTACAGTCGGGTCCCACAGCGGTTGAATTTGCCAGAGTTTCAGGTGCTCCACAATAAGGTTACACCTATTGCTCTAGATCTCTTGAAAGAGCAGATCTCACTTGCCAAAAATGAGCAACAATATAGGCCTGGCTGCACAGGTTCTTTCACAAAGAAGTATGGTTTGCCATGTTGCCACACCCTCCACCAGCGTGCCCACCGGTCAGCTCAAAATGAGATAAATATAACCTTTGAGGAGATTCATCCTCACTGGCACTATTACCCACAAAGAAGCAGCATTCAAATACTGTCTGCTGTCGTGCCTCGTGATCCTGCAACAGTCAAGGGCAAAGGCCGCCCAAGGAAGCAGAAAACATGCACTCAAAACAATAACTCAATGACCTCTAGGCCCTCTGCCCTCACCGACAGCCAGAGAGAGCCTTCCAGCTTTGAGATAGTTGCAGCAACCCAGGTCACAGCTACTCAGCTCTCTCACACCTCTCACACTCCAGGTAATGGCCATGCAGTTGATGGAGGTCAATCTTTAGGTGTACTCACTGTAAATTCTACTGTTAACCCTACCCTTGGCAACACCGCCAGTCAACCTATTGAGATTGGCAATTCTACACCTGCTGCAACTTACCAGACTGTGATTGCACCGACCTCTACATCTACAGGACCTGCAGGTCTCTCACAGGTCAATGAAGAGGTGGGTATAGCTCTAGCAGGCAAAAGGAAGCGTGGAAGGCCTCTTGGCTCGAAAGACAAGCAGCCGCATAAGTACAAGGCCTTGCCTGCAGTTCCTGAACCGGTACCTGAGCAGGATGGTGTTTGAGTTTGGTGTTCTAACCCGGCTGCATCATCGGCCTTGCAGAGTCCTCACAACAGTGAGCTACAGCACCACCAAAAGCAATCGGAAAATTCTGAAACTTAGGGAGCTGGTTCTGATAGTGTAAATCTTCAATTTGAATTAATTACTTTATTCATGGGTTGTGTGGAGTTGAATTCTGCATGGGTGATGGGGTGAGAGTCGTGATGTTGCCTGAGATGGCTTAGAAGGCTGTTCCTTGGTGCAGGCCCTGGGATGACTGCCGATGCTCAGGGCTGCACCAATATGTGATGCCTCCGTATATTTGGTCACGGTGTGTAGTTTGCATACCCACAGTATTTTTCATCACGACTGCATACATCTGAGTGGGGGGTGTCGCCAGGGAATTTGGAGGGGCGCCGAAAAGGTCCTCCCTTAAGATATGGGTTTTGTTTGGATTTGGAAAATCATTATAGCTCATGCAGCATACACAACTACCACCTCTGTTCACATCCGACTGAACACCCCCATGCACTTCCTCTGTACTGCTGTTTTCTATATCTAATGTAAACAGCTAGTAGGCGCAGCAATATAGGAGGTCCTGCAATTAGCTTTGTAGCACGCCTCTGCGTGTAGTAGTATGTTTAAAACGAAAATTCTACCTGTTGCATTATTAAGTCGTAGCTAGTTAGCTTGTGCCAGGTAGGTATTTCAACCTACAGAGGAATTGCAGCCGGATGTTCAGTCGGACGTGGGAAGCCGCAGTATAAGAATCGATTCAGGGTGGGAAAGAATGATGCCTGTCTTATTTGAGAGACGGGCTAAGTCAATCAATCGGGATTAGTAGGTATTGTGTGAATTTGCAATTTTGATATGTTTCATTGGCAACTAAGGTTTCTCAACGGTGTTGCTGAAACCCACCCGCCACGCAACGAGCAAAACTGCGGTTGTTTTTAGTGGAACAGGTGTAACCTTGGAAGTTCTAAAAGGGCGTCCCCCGGGCCGTGCATTGAATCTGATAAGCGACAACCAAGGTTAGCGTGCCAAGGGCGATCCCCAGCCCGTGCACTCAGATGTTTTGGCGTTGAGGTCAGATTTAACTCCAGACAGGACACCGCGACCTTTCCTCCTTCCTCCACCACCACACTTTCTCCACAACCACCAGTGACTGCCCGCGACATCACAACCGCAGCTTCCGCCCTCAACAACACGCAGCGCAGAGCAATGAGGACGCGCTCGCAAGCGGCGGCTTCGGCCTCACCGCTTCAATCGCTGTCGCAGCAGCCCAGGAAGCCGCGTGCAAAGCCCAAGAAGAAGCAGGAGAAGCCACCTGTCGTGGAGGCCGTCGAGGCTCCTGAAGTTGTTGAAGCACCCGCTCATGAGCCTGCTTCTGCAGAGCCTGAAGCGCCTGCTCCTGCTCATACAACACCCGTGGCAGCTGCTCCTACGCCCGTGGCAGCTCCTCCTACACCTGCATTTGCTCCTCCTTCACCTGCTCCTGCTCCCCCGACGCCTACTCCAGCACGCGTTCCCACTACTGCAAAGGTCACGAGGAAGACCACCAACAAAGTCACCAAGAAGGTCACCAAGAAGGCCACCAAGAAGGTCATGAAGCAAGACGAAGCACCTGCACGATCTACGCGTCCCCGCAAGGTCCGCGCTGCGCGATCCGAGCCATCGCCCGTCAGGACCACATCGCTCCCCCAACTCTCTGGAGAAGAACTCCTTCGGCACATTGAGAATGCCCGCGAGGAGTGCAGGCGCGTGCAATACGGCCGATCCGCCCGAGCGGCCGAGGAGAAGCAAGATGCTGAGATGCCTGAGATTCACGGCAATGAGGAGAATATTGCGCCCGTGGAGCAACCGAGGACGCCGCCTGCCGCCATTGCAGCAGCTCCTTCTGCGATGCCGCGGTCTACTGGTGGCTGGGGTCTCCGGTCGTTGTTTACGAACCTCTTGCCTAGGGTGTTTGCACCTTCCGCACCTTCCGCACCTTCCACCCCAACGCCGGCGCCCATTGGCCCAGCCTCTTCACAACATCAACCGTCGCCCCAGGTCCAACCATCGCCCCAGGTGCAACAGCCACCGCAAGCGCAGCAGTCACCGCAGCCCTCCCACGCGCAAGCACACCAGTCACCGCAAGCGCAAGCACACCAGCCACCGCAAGCGCAAGTACACCAGTCACCACAGGCGCAAGAGCCACAGCCTGCGCAACCAGCCACACCCGCTCCGATCGTCCTCCCACAGGCCCAAGTCGATGAAATTGGTGCTGCTCTCACTCCCACTCCCGCCGCCAGGGCTTCCTCGATCCGTTCCTCCAAGTCTACGGTTAAGCGCCGCCCAAGGATTAGAAAGAGGACCAGCACACAGAATGCCGTTGTAGCCACCGCTGTGTGCAACGTGAAAGAGGAGGAAAGAAGGGCGCTCGCAGCCGCATGGGCTGAGAAGGTCGCGGACAAGCTCTCCGAGGATGCCACTGCGATCGGTTCCAAGCGTCGGCAGCTCGAACAGCCCATGAAGCTCAAAGATGTCAAAGTCATTCCTGCGCGCCGCCCGTGGGAGGGTACAGGTTCATACGGTCTGCTGCCGGAGTTCTTCGACGATTCGGACTCTGATGAGGAGGCGGAAGTTCCCGGGTGGTATCTGGTCGACCAGCTCTTCAATGAGCAGCCGCCACTCAAGAAGCGCAGGACTGTCAATGGATCGCTGGGTTCCGCCATGTCTATCTCCCCGATCCGTTCCCCCAAATCCAGCCCTCAGCCTATCATCGACTCTCAAGGCAACTCTGCCAAGATCAATGACATGCATCCTCGGCCTTCCACTGTTCCGTCTCCCATGTTTGACAACCCAGCCATCCACCGTGAGGGCGTCAACGTCTTTGAAGAGCGCCAAGAGCATACCGCTCCCACTGGATACATGGTCGGCGGCAGGATGTTCAAAGACCGCGAGGAGTTCCTGAAGGAGCTTCGCCGCACGGGGCACGTTCCGGGAAGCGGCTCTTTCTGTGTTCCCGAACCTGACTCTGAGGATTCAGACTCCGATGTTTCTATGACCGAGGACAGCACCATCATCAGCACTGGCGCATGGACCCAGCCACCTCCACCCGCGCCCACGCCGGCTCACGCTACCCTTCCTGCCCAGCCCGCTGAAGTCGCTGCTGTCCCTGCTGCCCCTGCTGTTCCTGCCGTCCCTGCCGTCCCCGCCGTCCCTGCTGTCACTCATGTCGACCCCCTTGAAGCCCAACGTGCCAAGGCCATGAAGCACACGCCGGCCAAGCAGAGTCGCCTCCGAGAATTCATGGTCCCGTCCCCCAGCCTTAAGTCGGATGTGGGCGGTTCACCTTTGCCGCCGACTCCTATCCCAACTGCCGCCGTTCCGACGGTAGATGAAGACGGTATTCCTAACCCGATTCCCCTCGATCTGGACCCTGAGCTGCTCGAATATGTCGCGCAGTTGGTGGCTACTCGCGAGTATCAGGCACGCGCTGCGAATATGTGGGTGGGTGAGGTGGAGATAACGTATCTTCAGGATGATGACCTCATTAGTGAGGAAGGGGATGATGAGCTCTGATGGGGTGGTATTTACGAATGACGACTTCCACAAAAGCGTTTCCTTGGTTCACTCATCGGTCGGCATATCAGCGATTGGCTTTGCATGGTCGGCGTTTGCATGGCAGAGGAAGGCTTCTGGTGGGTGTCTGGGTTTCGGCTTGTTTCTGGATTCTACTTGCTTTTGTTATGATTTCTGTTTTGTTTTGGTTTCTTCTTTGGTGGGATAAGGGGTTGCAGTCCCCCCTTGAGGGTTGACTCTCCTTAGGGTTGAGCCGCCTCCTTCGGGAGGCACTCCCCTTTGGGTTGAGTCCCCTCTTGGGGGTGACTCCCCCTAGAATTCTTTCGGCAGGGTTTTGTTTTGGTTTCTTCTTTGGTGGGATAAGGGTTGCAGTCCCCGCTTGAGGGTTGACTCTCTTTAGGGTTGAGTCGCGTCCTTCTGGAGGCACTCCCCTTTGGATAGAGTCCCCTCTTGGGTATGACTCCCCCTAGATTTTTCTTCGGCAGGGTTTTGGTTTTGCTTTCTGGCGTTTCGTTGGTTTCTGTTTGTTTGTTTCTGTTCTGTATTCTGCGAATACCCATTTTGGATGGCCCTGACGGAACCTTGAAGAGGTGGCCCGAGTGATGGGTTGGATAGAGTGTACACTAGAATGAATGGAGTGTATAATGTGTAAGGTATGAGTTTTGTTGGGTTGTGATGTGCGTCTATCGTTGTGACGGTGTGGGTTGCTTCGACACTGACCACGAGCTGCTTAGTTTGACTACACCTTCTTCGCTCTTTGTTGGATCGGTGCTGTGCATCTATTGTTGTAACAATGCGTATTTCTTCCTATATTGAGCCTGATGGACCCTTCCACAAGCTTTCTCAGACCAGTGATCTGCGTGTCAATCTCACCTCCTTCATGTCCCGTCATACGATGTTTCCCATCTTTGAACTCCAAGATGCAGTGGACAAGGCGCCTGTTGGGAGAATTAGGAGTTCATACTGTATATGGTAACGTTTCGTTGATTATCACCGCCAAAAATGGCACTGCTAAAGGGGTATCAAAGCTCCAACACCACATTCCTCCAACATCCCCCACACAATGCCTTTCCCACCCTCACCTGTACGGCTTCCAACAAACCAACCAACAAACTAAGCCCACACCCCCAACGTCCAACTAGCTCTATCTCCACCTCCCCTCCCCACAACTCCAGGACCCATACTCTGCCTCTGCGGCACAACGCTGACCTCCTTCTCCATACTCGCGCCAAACAATCCATCCTTGAGGAACCTCTCGCGATCAATCTCCACAATCCCCCTGACCCGCAGCTGCGCGACAAGACTCGCTCCCGCCCAGACGCCCAACGTCTCGACGCCGCGGATCTCACCGCCTGCATTACACGCGGGAGGTGGACCGTGCTTGAGGGCCATGTTAGCGAGTTTCACGTCCATGGCATCGACTTCGGGTTCCCGCAGGCCAGCAGGGGGAAGCGTCTGTTCGGCCCCCGGACTTAGCAGCAATTCCGATACCTTATCCGCGCCCTCGTCCCTGCGCAGCTCCACCTTCTCCTTCTGCTGGCGCAATGTCTGCTCGTGCCTTGCGCTGGCCGAGCCATACGAACGGACGGGATCCCAGCCACGCTGTTGGACGAGCGCTTCCACCTCGGCGAGGATGCGGGTCTTCAGGCCAGGGAGGTTGGATACCCCGCCCGTGATGACGATGCGCGACATGCAGAGCCTTCTGACGTCAATGGGCAGCGCGAGCAAGGCGCGGTAGACCACGTGGTGGAGGGGGAGTTCGTGGTCGTCAAAGTCGCTCAGCGGGGTATCGGTAGCGAAGAGCGCCTTCTCGGCCGGTTTCGCCAGCTCCTTGAACGCGATGCTGAGGTTGGTAGGGGGCGTGTTTCGAGGGAAGGGGATGGTGACGCTGGGTTCCGGGGTTTCGGGCGCGTCTTCGAATTCCTCCAGGATGGGCGAGGTGCGCGCGGGGAAGTACATGGTGCGTCTGTTGGATTTGGGCCGGGTGTTGCACCACCCGACGCGCGTGAGGACCTCGTCGGCTTCCTCGAAGGAGATGTCGGGTTTCGGGGCGTTGGGGGGGACGTCGGCTTCGAGGTGGGCGTTGAGGAGTCTGGCCATTTCCTGGCTGAGGAGCTTGCCGGCGCGGATGGTGCGGCGTTCGTGCACCTCGCGGTATTCGCATACGGCGGTGACGACGGTTTCGGCCCAGCCGATGTCGACGACGAGGGCGGAGCGCAGGCCTGCAGCGACGGTGGCGAGGACGGGGGAGGAGAGGAGGGTGATGCTGGGGGCTTGGCAGGAGTCGAAGAGGACGGCGAGGAGGGTCGAGATGAGGGGATGCGGCATGCGTGGTGGTAGTGCTAGGAGGATTCGTCGGGGCTTCGGGTCGAGCAGGAAGTACTTCGTGTATGCTTCCCGCACCACTCGGTCGAATTTATCGGCCACGAGGTCGAGGTCTAGATTGGCGATATCCATCCGATAGAGCTCGTAGTCTTCGCCCCAGTCCTGTCCTTTCCGCCTCTTGCGTCGCTTCTGTGCATATTCAGGATCCCATTCTCGGTAATCGCCTACTCTTCTCTGGTGCTCGGGTCCAAAGGAAAGCGTGCATCTAGGGGTGCTTTCGCCGGGGAATCCGCCGCGTACAAATCGTGAACCAAGTTCTAGGACTACATATTCATCCTCGGTTCGAAAGCTGCCGCCTGGGGAGCCATATAGGGACGACGTCGAGCGAAGAAGCGGCGGCGTTCGGGGAGCTTCAGGGGTGGATGCGAGGTCGTGAAGTCGTGGAGTGGTGCCTCTGATGGAGCGCGAGTGCGACGCCGAAGCTTTTCGCTCACCGCTGGCACTCGACGCCATGAGAGGTCGAATATAACCGCCCAATTCGGTCACCGTCCATAACACCGCGATTATGTGTGTTTGATGCTTTCCTTGAAGTTCAACGGGGAATCTTCGGGAGAACCTTAACCCTGCTAGCGGGCCTTGGCAAACCCGAAATTCAGAAATCTTTTCGTGCAAGCTTCCAACCAACGAAGGTCGGCGCACACACCTCGAGTATTCGATACCGCGACACCCCCATCCTTCCTAGCCATTATCCGTCGATAGCGATAGCAGGAAGACAGCCATGGGATTGTTCATTTTAACAGAGACCAGGTCAGGATGCCCATTCTGCACGTTCTCTGGCAGCGAAAGCTAACATTTGAGTGGACAGCGCTGGGTACGCGCTCTTCAAAGCAAAGGACAAGAAGCTGTTGAAGAGCGAGACTTTGGCCCAGGATATCTCATCCGTAGATGGAGCCGTCAATGCTTTGAAGCTGAAGAAGTTCCTGGTACGATAACTGCCTCCCCGGAAAACCCGAGGTACCTTATGGTTAACCCTCTTCGCCATGTAGAAATTCGAAAATGCCGTCACCGCGCTCAACGAAGCGGCCGCGCTCTCCGACAGCAAAGTCACGCCCATGCTGTCGAACCTCCTTTCCGAGCTGAAAGATGAGACCAAGTCATCCCTCGCTGTAATGGACCCCAAGCTCGGAAACGCCATCACCCAGATCCCCGGGCTGTCCCTGAAGCCAATCTCAGATTCCTCGACGCAGGATGTGTTCCGCGCGATACGCGAGCATATTAGCTCGTTGATCCCAGATATTGTTCCCGCTGAAGCCGATTCTACGAGACTGGGTCTGTCGCATTCGTTGTCGCGTCATAAGCTCAAGTTTTCCCCTGACAAGGTGGATACGATGATCATCCAGTCGATTGGAACGTTGGACGTTTTGGACAAGCAGCTCAACACGTATGCGATGAGAGTAAAGGAGTGGTATGGGTACGTATTTACCCGCTTTGGATCGAAATCACAGAGGCTAACAGTTCCATCAGATGGCACTTTCCCGAGCTCGCCAAGATCCTCAACGACAATCTGGTCTACGCCAAGGTCGTTCTGAAGATGGGCTTCCGCTCCAACGGCCGCACTGCCGACCTCTCCTCCATCCTTCCCGAAGAGATCGAGACTGCCGTCAAGGCGGCAGCGGAAATCAGCATGGGTACCGACATCTCCGACGAAGATCTCGAGACCATTAGCGCTCTCGCCGAACAAGTCGTCGACCTGACCGAGCACCGCCAGAATCTTTCCCACTACCTCACCACCCGCATGAACGCCTTGGCGCCTAATCTCACACAGCTTGTTGGTGAACTCGTTGGAGCCCGCCTGATCGCCCATGCCGGCTCGCTCATGAACCTGGCCAAGTCCCCTGGTTCCACCATCCAGATCCTGGGCGCCGAGAAGGCGCTCTTCCGTGCCCTCAAGACCAAGCACGATACTCCCAAGTACGGGCTTATCTACCACGCTTCTCTCATCGGGCAAGCCACCGGCAAGAACAAGGGCAAGATCGCGCGTATGCTTGCCTCGAAATCTGCCCTCGGTCTGCGTGTAGACGCACTTAGCACATGGGGCGTCACGTCCGAGGAGACCAACAACGAGCCCACCGAGGAGGAGAAGTCGGAGATTGGTCGCAATGCGCGGGCGGCGATTGAGCGGAGACTGCGGGCATTGGAGGGTAAGCCTCTGAAGGGCCTAGGCAATGCTAACGATATCCCCCTGGCGCCGAAGAAGTTCGACATCAAGGAGGCGAGGAAGTACAACCCCGACGCTGATGGGTTGACGGGCGATGAGCCTGCGGCGAAGAAGTCGAAAGTTGAGGTCAACGGTACGCCGAAGAAGAGCAAGAAGCAGCTCGTGCAGGAGGTAAATGGCGAGCCCGATGAGGATGTCACGATGGCGGATGGGGATGCGACGTCCGAGTCGGAGAGCGAGGAGGAAGTGTCGAAGATGGATGTTTCCGCCACGCCGGACAGCAAGGCGGCTAGGAAGGCAGAGAAGGAGGCCAAGAAGGCTCGGAAGGCGGAGCGGGCGGCCAAGCGCGAGGCCAAGGCTGCGAAGAAGGCGGCGAAGGAGGCGAAGAAGGCTGCAGCTTCCAAGGGTGAAGGGGAGAAGGAGAAGGAGAAGGAGAAGGAAGGCAAGAAGCGGAAGAGGGACGGAGAGGAGGAGAAGGGCGAGAAGAAGAAGAAGAAGAAGAGCAAGGAGTAGGGGACTTGTTCTCTTGCTTCTTGTCACGTTCCTGTTCTTACTCTTGTCATTTTTCTCTCTGATCTTGTTGGGCATGTCACACTAGGCCGGGCGTTTTAAAAAGGGATTTGCTTTTGCCATATTGATTGTGGCGTATAGGCGTGTGTGGTGGGGGGAAACGAGGATGGGGACAACTGTTTGGCATCATATTTTTTGTACGTTTGCGTCATGTGTGGGACCTGAGCTACGAGTCTGTCAAGGGCCGGGTAGGGTAGGGGTCGAGAAGGATACCCGTACGCAATGGTGAATATAGTATTGTTCAAAATACGTTGTATGGGAAGTCTCGGTGATAGGAATGTAATGCTTGACACTAACTTCTGCATGATCAAACACGACATGTCGCTTTTCCGCCCTCAAGTATTACCACAGGCAATGACATGCAACGTTTCCCGTCATCTTTAATCTATTTCTCCCGACACACAGCAAAACTCCTACAATGACTGCTCCCTTTGATTACAACTTAGACAGCCCTCCTCTTCACCCTCCTAGTGGCGCCCGCTCCCTCGAGCTTATTCGCCACCTTCTCCATGTGCAGGTCCTCGACACCATCGGGGATGCTGGATTCGTCCTCCTCGAAGACTTGGCGGATCACTTCGAGCATGTGCGCGAGTTGGGCGTCGGTGAAGCGGGTGTGGTACTATAAAAGGGAAAGGGATAGGCGTTAGTATATAGATAGTATGGTATGGAAACCAAACAAACACTTTGCAGGATAAAGGAAAAAAGACTCACCTCCTCCAGCACAACCTGCAACTCGACCTCAGTCGTGGGCCGGAGATTGTAGAGCTGCAGGAACTCGGCCTTGTTGAGGCGGTAGTGGGGCGCGAGGGCGCGGAAGAGGGAATGCGGGCCTTTGTACAGGGTCGTTGGGCGCGAGGGGTGTTTCTGGGTCGGGGAGGCGAGGGTGCAGTTGTGGTCGTGGGCGGAGAGGTATTCGAGTGTCTGGGGGACATTAGCATGGTGTGTTACGTTGTCGATTCGATTCGATTTGTTTTATTTTAAGGCTTCTTCCCTCGGTAGATGTTTTTGTTCTTCGAGGGGATATAAAAAAGAAAGAAAGAGGTCTAGGTGAGGACGTACATCTCTCAGACAGTCTTTCAGGCCTGCGGGTTTCTCGCGCTTCCTGCCGGTGCCGTCGGTGCCCGTGTACTCTGCCTCTTGCTCCTGTAGGTGGAGCAGGACTTCGTGGTTGGAGAGCAGGGCGGATTGGGGGTTTGTGATCTGTAGGCCCGGAGTGCGGCGGTTAGATTTGAGCGGTTTGCGGGAGTTGGTTCGACAGGGCATTGGTGGAGCTGGGGTGAGGGGTGTCGTGTCGGATGAGGTGGAGTGGAGGTGAAAGTGGTGGGAAGAAAGAAGGTAAACTTGGAGGCAGCAGGACAGGGAAGAGTTAAGTGGGGGCAGAGAGGTCGGTAGAAAGGATGGGACGGGAGGACATGGTAATAGAGTGTCAAGGAGTTTGACGACTACAGAGAGAAGAATGTCTATAAAAATATAGGGAAGAGAAGAAAACGATTTGACGATTATGAGATGGACGAGTGAGTGAAAGGTTGCAGACGCACAATCATGATTGAGGTCTTGGGCTAGATGCACAGTCGAGAAGTACTAAGTTCAGCCGTCACCGCATGAGTCCTCTGGTATATGTATCTTCGTGGGATATGGACATGTCACTATTGTCATTGTGTTAGTATGTCGATTTTTTATTATAGAGAGATACTAGGACACAGGAGGTTGAGGCTGAAGTAGAAAGGTAGGGAAAAATGATGAGTGTGAACACTGTGTACGCCACATGGGAAAATGTGAAGAAGAGATGCCTAACCTTTCATCCCCGGCACCTACTCTCTCTCATCGCTCCGAAGTGCAGAGGTGAAGTCGGAAAGAAGCAGACCTGTGGCGAATCAGATCCGAGAGGTCGTCGGAGCAGAGATTTCCCGTCGCGACTTGGCGTTCTCAAGACCCCGCATCCCATTCCCCGATATCCGCATGGCGCACGTGCTCCCTCGAAAATCGCAAAATGCGATGGGGCGGAAATGGAATTGTGGCTGGCACGGCAGAAGAATGGCATGATTCATCCTCCTGTCACGGCGTTGGACGCCTCCAGCTTTTTGCAGCAGGGTAGACTAGCGAACGGTTTCCCGAATGGGCGAAGGGAATATTAGTGCGAGAGGGGAGGGGCGAATCATGGCGGAGCTCGTATTCAGGAAGCTGGTGGGGTTAGGGGTTACACGGAGATGAGTCTTGAGGGAGTGAGGGGAGGCTGGGAGAGCTTCTGAGGAGATAGGCCGTCCCCGCGAGCAATTCATCAGCAACATGGGTCTTGGTCGGGTCTGGGCCAATTCGTATATTGATTGTTGACGGTTGCTGTGAGAGAGTGAACAGTGCCTTGCAGATAAGAAGGTGGTACGGCTGGGATCTGTTTGAGAAGACAAGAGTGGGTCGAGTGACACAGGCGGAGGGATGTTTTACATCGTACTGTGTAGCTAGGCTAGAGATCGTGCTCCAGTCTCGGACTCATCGCTACAGTACGGGGTTAGCTTTATAATCCGCAGCAACTTCTGCGAAAGATGGATAGACTGGGCAGCTCGGCCGACTAGACAGGCAAAAATAGTCGCGTCGTGAGGCAGAGCAGCAGGAAATAAAAATGGGAGAGAAGGGAAACAAGGGCCGTGAGAGGCACAAGGGCGCTCTGGGACGCTAATCAGGCTAGAGACATGATATCTGGACTGCAGGACGAAGTGAGCGCCAGGGACGCAGAAATACCACGTCGTTGGAGTGTCGGGGCAGTCTGGAACGTCTGGACCCTCATGGGCACGGCTTTGATAGGGATGCGCCAGGCGGATGGCTGCCTTTGGGCGAATTGTCTGCGCTACGGGCGGGACGCGACGTGTATTTTGGCATCTTTCAGCAGGGTTGAGCCATTACTGGGTAAGGGATGAAGAGACAAGTGAGCCCAGCAGCCCAATACGGACGGTACAGGTCGAGGAGAGGTGTGATGGGAGAGCAGAGCAGCGAGAGGAAGAGATAGGAGGGGGAACAAGAGGAGAGGGCACACGGGCCACCACGGTCCACAACTGCCATCAGTCAGCCCATCGCGCCTTGGCTCTGGGCACGTTCGCGGCGTTCCAGACCCCCGTAGACCGTGGACCCTGACGTGGCGCCCTGGACGACTGCCCATTGGTTGGCCAGCGCTTCACTGCATTTCCACCTCAAACCACCACCTCCTCTGTTCTGTTCGCCCTCTGTTTTTTTGATTTGTTTCGAGGGCGGGCTGTTCTCGTCGGCCGTACTGTAATTTTCGCAGTGCTGCCTACTCGATCTTGCTCATTGCTTCCTGCTCCCAGAAACAGCCCGTCTCCTCCGCTCATCTTCTTCATTTTCCCTTCCCCCCACTTCTCTTTCGCTCCTGCCCGGTTGCTCCATTCATTCACCGTCGTACAGCGACTCCCAAAGCAATCTCGCCCAGCCTCGCCAGTTCCCACCGCTCAGGAGTCAACAAGTTCATCAATCCAATCTCCCAATCTCCGCCCCGCCCACCGCCTCTTGGCTGTTCACCACCCTCACTCACTCACTCACATCGCTCCTAATCCCCCGCCCCCGCGAGGCGGCCGCGACTCCCTTCCCTTCTGGTTTGCAGAGCTGCGTGTCGACGGGTTGCGCCGCCCATCTTTGCTGTTCACGGTATCAAACGGCGCATCCTCGCACTCACGTGAAAAACTAGCTAGCTAAGGCCCAACACGCATGGCCTCATCTGGCGAGAGGGAAGAGGCCCACCTGTCAGACTTTACCAGTACCAGTACCAGTAATCCCGTTTATCTCAACAACGCTGCTGCTGCTGCTGCGGCTGCCTCCGCTTCCGCCGCCGCCGCCGCCCAACAAGACGTCTTGTTGCCGTCGCCCGACCTCCTCCACCTCCTCCGTGGCCGTCCCGACTCTCTGGGACTCCTCCACGACCCTTCGTCCCCCCAGCCCTTACCCGCCTCCACTCCTCTCTCGGCCTTGTCTGCCGACAACTCTGACTCTGCCTCTGCACAACCTTCGCAGCCTCTGCCAGACCCTGTCACCAACCTCACCACCACCACCACCCCAAGCCTGCCGCCCACGCCGCTGCAGGAACACACTCACCCAGACCTCTCTCTCGCCTTTGCTCCCGCCCTCCCCTCCCCTCCTCATGCCTCGCTCCCCGCCCCGCCCATTGTGAAAACCGCTCACAACCTGCGTCTCCCATCTTTCGAAGCACTCGGCATCGCCAATCCCCATCCCGACCGCATCCAACACCGTCCCCTCGCCTCCTTCGACCATCTCGGCGCCGGTCCCCTCTCCAAGCCCGAGGATCCCCTTCATGCCCTCAGTCCGCCCTTGGCTCGCCCTCTCCACCATCGCGGGGTCGCCTCGCCAGACCACCACCATCCCACCACCAGCCCCGACCTCGCCAGGCCGCACCTGGAACACCAAATCTCCACTGTGACACCTCCCGACGAGCCCGGCACCATCAACTGGGGCTCGTTTGTCAACGTGCGAACCGTGGGCGTGCGCTCTCCGCCGCGCTCAGATCCAGGCATCTCCCCCAGCATCAACACCGTTGCCAGTTCGGCCTCGCCAGCTGTTTTAGATTCCGCTCAAGATCCCCTCTCCGTCGCCGACTTGAGCGACGCACTGGTGATGGCCGCATGGATCGACTCCATTAAGATCCTCATCAGTAAGAACCTTGCCCCTCCCCCCACGTGCTGTTCATGTCGGTAGTGCTGACTGGTCTTTGCAAAGCGTCCCATTTTCAGACCATCAATGCCGATTCCGTCAAAGTCTTGTCTCACGCATTGCCCTGCCCCTCACTCACAGGCCATCTCTTTGGCCAGATTATAGCCGGTATACACGAGAAAACCACCACTCCCACCGCTTGGATCAACGTCTTCCATGCACTCCCGGGACGATACACGCTGTCGGATTTGCCAAAATCCCCGCCTTCGACACCAGGGCCCGCCGTGGGAGGAGAAGAGTATTTCACGAGCAAGGTCTTCGACAGCGCGGTGCCCGTCGCCGACTACCAGCTCGAATCGAAGCTCCTGTCGCCTTCCCCGCGCCCCGTGGTCCCGCCGGGCAGCGTCAACGTGTCTATTGTGGAGCGTTACATACCGGCGACCAATGCGAACGAGTTTGCAGAAATGTTCAAACTGCAAGGCAGATCGCTGCTGTACGACCGGCTCATCGAGCTGTCTCCGCACAACGGCCTGCTCCTGTTCATCTACCCGACCAGGACAGGAGCAAGGACATTCATGTCCGACTACCTGGGCCCGGTCATCGATCCGCTCCTGCGTAGCGTCACCGTCGTGCACGAGCTCTCGTCGGACCTGGGGAAATCGCTGGGCCGAATGAGTGCCGTGGAAAGTCTCGTCGACTACGACACGCTCCACTCGGAAATCTCGAGATTCTGCGCTGCGCTTAACGAGCGACCCAACAGCCTCTCCGCCCCCTCCGCCTCCCACTCGCCCTCCCCAAGGGCCACCTACACCATCCTCCACGCCTCCAGAGAGGAGTTGGTCCTCGATCGCCGCGCCTGGGCCAGCGACTGGTGGATCAAGCAGGAGAAGCCAAGGGTGAGGGAGCTCGTGATGAAGTACTTTAGGAAGAAGCTGCCGAGCTCCGAACTCACGCCCACGAACCTGATTCAGGAGATTTTGGACGGCGTGGCGCACAGGGAGCATCCGGCCATGGAGAGGCAGAGGCCGGTCGAGTTGGGCGTGTTTGTCATTAGGAAGACGGCATGACCATTGTCCTTCTCCTAGCTCGCTTTCAAGACGGGGACTGTTTTTTTAAGGCAAAGGCGTTGAGCGGGTTGCGCGTTTCTGGAGGAGCGCAGGTACATGGCGATACCCTGTTCGCATAGCATTGATTGGCGTTGTGTCTTTTCTCTTTTCTCTCTTTTTCTATTTTGATTGGGATTCTCTCAAGCAGGGAATGGGTAGATGGTGGGATTTGGTTGGTGCCAGTGGTTTTGGTTCGGGCAGACGGAAAATAGGGACAATGGGTAATGATGAAGTAACAAGCAGAAGAAGAAGAAGGGGAAATGCGGCTGGTTATGTAGGTCACGGACTCTCCTCTCCTGTGGAGGAGTCGGTACCGAAGAAGTGGAAGAATGACGTAACGATGATGAGGTCGGGAAGATAAGAAATGCGGATGTGTGATGGTGTCTCCACTCCAGGTCGGTCCCGTGTCCTGTGTACCACATTAAGACGTGTACTGTGTATGAACAGTGTTGGTCAAGTCTGCAGAGCAAAGCGAATGCATCCATCGCATCTCTATTCCTTCATTCCCTATGCAGCAAACCCAGATTCCAAAAGGGGGTATCTCATCCCAGCCAACCCATACCAAACGACCGAAGAAGAAAAATATAGCTTGGAAAAAAGAAAATCGTCTCATCATAACCCATCATCATAGCGCCCTGCAAATTTCCTCTCCCTCACCTCCACCAAAAAAGCTCCTCCTTGCCATCCTTGTCCACCACCTTCCTCCCCTCCCACTCCTCCCTCCCCTCTTCACTCACAAACTTCCTCCCAAACGGATCCATCAGCAACCCACACAATTTCTCCAAATGCCCGCTAACCTCCTCCCTCTTCACGCGCACCCCCATGCCACTCTCCTTGTCCTTCTCCTCCTCCTCGTCCGCCCTACGCAGCAGGCTGAAAATACTCGTCTTCACCTTCCCCACGACCCGTTGATGAACCTCCCTCAACGACCGATGCAGCGGAGTCAGGAGATCTAGATACCGCCGAGCGATGGCTTCGTCCTCGCGAGACCGCTCCAGCATGTCGAGGCAGGTCCGCGCAAAGGAGAGATCCTGTTCGGCGCTCGTGTGCAGCCCGTCGACGAGCTTGGTCGTGGCGCTGAAGAGGAGGACAATGGCCGCGGCGAAGGACCAGTAACTGCACATGCACATGACTGGTTAGCTCCCATGCATTCGGATAACATGACTACGACCACACAGGGACACAGAGCGCTTACATAAGCAACCAACATCGCCTGGATGTTGAACCGTCGATGGAAATGAGGTGCAGGATGTGTGCGACTTGTTGGCCCGCGACTGCGCACTCGTTCCGGTAGCGTTTCGCGTCCTCGGGCGTGAACTCCATGTCCCAGTGTGTATCGGCGTCGAGGCGGACTCCGGCGGTGGCGACTAGGGGACGGCGATAGAGGAGGATGAGGGCGCCGAGATACATGATCTACCGGAATTGTCAGTTACAGGAGATTCCAATGCTGCATGCAATAACCCACGTGAACCATCATGATGGCGCGCCGTTGATAGAGCGTCAAGGTCGAAGGCGTCGTGGTGGACGTTAATGCGGCGATTTGTAGGGCCGGTGGGACACCCTTGCGCCAGTGTTCGAGCTTCCCAGCGAGCGTCTCGATATTCTCCCGTGTCGCTAGGTCAGGCGAGGCCAACGTCTTCACTATTTCTGCCGAGATGAGGCCGATCTTGCTGGTTTGCGTGTGCACAATCTCATCGATAGTCGCCCGGTCGAGTTTGGAAGTGGTGCATGCAGCCTATATATAACCTTTAGTATTTGGCCATCTTAGCACCACAAGGGGTGTGCTTACAGCTATATCTTCGGACCTGAACGCGGGAATGTAGCCCAGAGTGCACGAGAGCCAGCAATCCATGAAGATCAAACTCTGGAAGAGCTTCCTCCAGGAGTCTGACGGCGTGTCTTGGTTGGAGTGATTGTCCGGCCGGGAAGGAGGGCATTTCCACCGGGCAATCTGCAGGCCCGCAGCTAACAACAGTTTAGAGCTTGAACAAAGCGAACCGCGGCTGGGAATCGGCTTACCAACCAGGTACCGCGCACTCATGTGCTTCTCCAACAGCGCATAGAAAGACATGGAGAGCAGCAGGCGAGCGGTGCGTAGGTAGTCTAGGCTAGCGGTCCTCTCGTGGAAATGCAGAGTGGCGCTGGCGTAGAGGACTTGACGGACATGGTCTGAGAAGCACTCGGCATCGTAGTGAGCACCCATTGCAGCGACTGTGAAGCATTCTGCCAGTGTCATTGCATCGACCTGCACAACGGGTCTATATACGCGATCCAATATCTCATCCACTTGACCATAGGTCCACATGTAGAGAAACGACCCCGTTCCCTGGACAAAAGCGTGCATTGCGCGGCGAGTGAGCTGCTCCGGGGGAAGATGGTGCATGTCGTACGGGATGGCTCCATGGACAAGCACTTCGCCCCTGAGAGAGACCAGCTCGCTAAAGGCCAGCGTGAGGGCATTGTGACACGACTCTGCCTCGGTCACGGATGGTGCATTGGAAGGGGGAAGGGGAGCTGGGCTCTCCGATGACGCTGGGCTTGCACGTGATGAAGCCCCACGAACGAAGGAGTCGATGCGGTGGGCACTGGGGCGCTTCGCCTTTGCGGCTTGGATCTGCTGCGCCTTGAAGTCGCTCAGGTAGGCTTGATAGGCACGCCAGGAGTCTGTCTTCTTGTACTCGTCCATGAGGAGTTCATACTCCTGCATGGCACGTGCAGCGTGGCTCTCCCAGACACGCTTCTGCTCCGGGGGCAGGACCTGCCATCTTCTGCCTACCTCTTTGGCAATGTCGACAAACGACAGAGTGCTGAACTCGGGATGCGTTCGTAGTGCATCGGCGAAGTTGACGTCTAGGTTCCCATGAGCGAATTGGACATTGTCAAGATGTCGCACTGAAGAAAGTTGAACATACATGCTGTTTTCGGCTTCTTTGGGGCATTGGGATCTGGGCGAGGATGGCGTCTATACCTCCTCTTTTCTCTCGGAGGTGGGGAAGTCTGAGGGGTCGGGGTGGATGCAGAGGGAGACGTGGCAGAGGGGTCAAGAGCAGGGTTGCTGGGCTCCAAGGACTCGGTAGGCGGAAGGCCTCGGAAGGTAGCAATCTCTCGCTGGAGGATGCGTCTATGGCCCAGCTTGAAGCCCAGGCTGGCGAGGTCGTCTTCGGTGATGTCGAGGACGGTCTCCCAATCGTGGAAACCGTGATCGGTGAGGGCGTCGAAGTAAGAGGCGAGACCCAGACGCTCCAGGACTTGGCTCAGATCGGGCGAAGAGGCCATGTCGATCGACGCCAGCGAAGGGAGCGGGGTGACGCAACGGAGACGTAAGGGATCCTACTGAGGATGGGAAAGGGTCGGGGGCTGGATGCATATTTGAGCGTGGGAGCAACAGAGGGAGAAAAGCGCGGTAGATGGGCGCCATGGGGAAAAGTCGCCTGGAAGAGCAACATGGCAAAGTGTGTGAAGGCTGAACTCGATCGGGCATGCGAAGGGGCGCCAGAGTGGTCTGATGTGGGCTGGGTTTGATGAAAAGGATCGAGGTCTGGACCTTCCGCTGGAGGAGATGAAGCTTTTTGGCGGAAAGCTTGGTATTGGGGCTAGACCCTCTAGAACCGCTAGCCAGGGGAGGGAGCAAGGCCGGCACCTTCCGACCTCAGCAGTTTCCCGATCTGGGGCGGTTGTGGCTAGTAGGGCGACTGACGGCGGATATGCTATGGAGCGCTGGGGAGTATATCGAAAACACGGTGCCATTGTGTCACGAGTTAACTGTCTCCTGCAAACCCCGATTCTCGAGATGCCGATGCTACACCTCATTCTCGATCCGCAGCCGGCGACGGCTAGCCTACCCTTGGAAGTACGGGAGCGGAGCGCGGGGCCACGGTGGGCACGAGGGGCAGGTATATTCCAACGCGGGTTCACGATGCTCCGCAGGCCTACTACTCTACGGAGTACTACACGAGAAACCGCTCTGGTGCTGCAGTAACCCTCCCCCGACCTTAGGCTGTTTCGTCCCGTTGTAATCCGAATGCACCATAGGTTGTGTCATATACAGTAGTAGGTAGGTCCTTCGGGTACGAGTACGAGGATGCGTCCATCGGCTGACCTCTTGGTTAATAAGACAAGTTTACATACCACGATCCGTAGTAATAGTAGTAATTAGGCCCGGTAGTCGTGGCGGGGTGGGTTCCTAGGTCGCCTCGGAATGGAACGTCGGGTTTTTACGCTAGTCCGAATCTGGCAGCTATGCGCTTTCAGTTTCCCCTGCCCCTGAGGAACAGAAACATACTCGGTCCAGTACACAGTGCTCTTCTCTTCGGATCCACTGTGTTTGCACGCCCATAGCCATCATTACTAGCAGACGCTGTGGCAGATAGCTGGGTCGCACCTCCTACAATGGCGGTAGCCTGCATAATCGCTGCATGCCAGTATACAAGCGACTTGTGCGCGCATGGTTAGTAGGCTTACTAGCCTCGAAGCGAGTGAGTAGACGTCGTTCGGACCAAGATGCTCTCTCGAATACTGGAACAAGAATGACGTTTCTCCTACGTCGCATCTTCTCAAGCAACCAGGCTTTTAAGTACTACATGGTAGTCTCCATAGTCATACTGTGAAGACAAGCTGTCGATGTGGCTTGCTGTCGTGCTCAATGACGTTTTTCGTGCCCTGAACACCACTGTCTCGAAGCCCCACTCTTGCACCACACCGCTATCAGCAACAAGTCGGGCTTCACTTCGAGACACACATGTGTGCTGTATCCGTATTATTCCCAACATTGAACTGCAGAGGCCTGGAATCAGACCAATTGTGCTTTGGAATCGACGTGTTCAATTATCGTTGTGAGATACACAGTTATTGTGCGGGAGCCAGAAGATTCCTTGATAGGGGGCGCACGGGCCCCCATTCCCGATAATGCGCTTGCTCCGTTGCAATCTTCCAGGCTTGGGCCGTTAGCTTTTAAACAGAGCCCTTTCCCCAGCTTCCTTTCCCCTCTCTTGCAAACCCCAGTGTCTCTCTGGCCGCCTCTCCTTAACACCCTCACACTCGTTTAACTTCCCTACGGTACACGTCTGTCTGCGTTGATCACCACGACCCCCGGCCCATCTTCAATGCAAATCCCGTTTCTGGCTCCTGATCTGCGCGCCGAGCCCATTCTTACCCCATCTTTCGCGGATGCCCGCTATGGCCTCTACAAGCTACGCGACCGAAACCTCCCCCTTCGAGATCCCCCATGAGGAATTGCAAGTCCTGTGCCAGTCGCATGGCTTCCAGGTGCTGAGGACTTGGCTCGACAATCGATATTCGTATGCTCGACCTTCCCCGCATTCTTGTCCGTTGACCGACGCTGACTCGCTCCCCAGCTTTTGCCCACGTCATTCCACCTGCGACATCAAGACTCAGGAAACATGGACTCTCCACCGCGACATTCTCCATGCCCTCATCATGCCAATTGTCGCCTTGTATAAACGCGCCTCGGCTCTCGCAGAAGCTGCATTATGCACTACCAAGTCAGAAGACCTCGAGTTGGCCTTTGCCGGCGACGCAAGAGGAGCCTTCCTGTGGCTTCAGTGCTTCCTCGCCGAGGAGGCGGATTGGTGCCAGACCAGGGGCTGTCCAGGTACGCCTACCTCTCCCCACTACTCACATCCCTCACCGCAGACAGACTAATGCCCTCTTCAGCTTGTGTGACGGCCGAGACCATGAGTACAGAATCCCATATTCGACTCACCATTGCCGCATCATTACTTTCCACAACCCAGCTGTATGCCGAGAACTCGTCGCCCGTAATTGGTGACTTCGGAGGAGACGCACCATCCCCGCCAGCTGCCGGACCAGACCTGACGTTGCCTCCCCTGCCGCAGATCTTACCCGCTCTACATGACGCGTTAGACAAGGATCCTTTCTGGGGCCCAGAGTACTGGACATATCTCTTCGAACGGGCGAACCAGCTTTCCTCCGCCATTGAAGCCCTCATCACCTCGTGCGGAGATCTAGAGTCACTTGTTGCATCTCCCACCACGGCAAAACCCGCTCCCCACCGTAGCGTGACCATGCCTGGGCTCATCTACACGAGGCTGGACTCTGGTGCGAGGGGTGCGAAGCTGAAGAAGAGCAGATTGGCCAGTCGTCAGCTCCGCATGAAGGGTGAAGAGATGGAGATTATGCGCCGATGCGCGCTGCAATGCTGGGCCAAGGCGGCTGTCCCCAGCAAGTTTAGGAATGAGCTGTTGGGACGCATCGAGCGGCGGAGGAGTTTGACCTGTCCGTGAGCGACGCCGCGCACCTTGATCGTCCATCAGCTCATCGGCTGTCATCGCTCCTCACCTACTCGAAGACGTTCCCAGATGGCAGTATCCTTCTCTTGGGCAGTCGAGTCTTAGGTTTTTAGTTTTCGGTTTCCGGCGTTTTGGGTGAGGTTTTCTGAGGGTTCCTATCATCATACCAGGCGTGATACCACTGCATCTGTTTTGGTCAAGTACAATCATTAAGCATCATCATGCATACCTATCTTCTCTTTTTTCCATTCTTCTCATACACCTCTCAGGCTGTTAAGGCTGGTACATGCAGTACTGATTATTCTAATACCGATGCCATGGGCACACTCCTTGATCTGGAGTAAAACCCAAACTCTAATGCACTTAATTTCTGGCTGTTCTACGTTCTTTCAAGAGTTCCAAATAACTGGACTATCGTTTTGCAACAAACCCTCTTCCAAGGTTGAATCAAAAACTTGCGCTGTCCTGTGCGGAATGCAGGGTTCAACAAGTGCTCACGCTCGATCAATCAATCCATTGAGTTGGTATACATACCTAGATTAGGAGTGCCAACCATGTGACTGACTGATAGTAGCCACAGTGAGGGCCCCTCCGGCATTCATCTCGTACACTTTTGCCTTTGCCAGATTTGGCTAGGTTATGAAGGCTGGCTATAACGTGTCTTGGACATTTACATATCGCGTTGTCGAAGTATAGTCGATGCGCTAAAAGTTCCAAGGGTCTGCTGAGGTAATCGGTAAAGGGGGGAGTAGGAGGGGCGGATAGAGGGCAATCCATGGAACTTCATCTTTTGCCCCGCTCCATAACAAGATTGGCGACGGAAACAAGCAAACAAACGAGCCTTAGCCATTGATGTAAGCACTCCATCTCTCATGGATTTATACAACGCAAAGTTACGAAACCTAAGAGACCCTCTATGTAGTACTCCGTTCCTACTCGGCATACATTGATTGATTGGGAACTATATATCCTTCAACAATCCAAATATGCACAGCAGTATTTCTATGCACATGGACATGTGAATTCCCGTGTCGAACCTGGTTCAGGGAAAATATAAAAAGAAAATCACGAGTCTGCGTCCTACCCAGTCAGTATAATGGCACAGATGTTCCAACATTGCACATCTACAACAACTTTGTTCAAAAAGGCATTTGAGTTGAAGACGTTTCCGTTTGTGCCGCAAAAACGAAGTTCCCGCCGGTAGTCTAGCTAGGTCTGACTTGTACTATGGATGTCGCGTCTACGGATCCTAGGTTCGGAAACTTCACAGCGCTCTGGATGCACCTTGCGATAATGTTTCAAGCGGGCATCTTTCCTCTTGTAAACATTTGAACAGTTTGGCTCTTCACAGGGAAATACACTTCGAATTCCCTCAGCTCCGCCATGGTGTATTCTTTTGTGGCGTGAGAGATTCCCCTGGCGGTACTCACCCGTAAAAACCGCGTGACAATTTCCCACCTCGCATACAAGTTTCGCTGGCAATGTTTGTGGATCTGTCGTACTCGAACTTGCCTCCGTACTAATGGCAGAGGTAGAAAGGGGAGTCTGAACCTGCGTTACTAGACTCATCAATTAGGCATCTGGTTTCGGTGCAAGAGAGCCGACTTACTTCAGCAGGCGAAGGTTGCCTTACGGGGAAGATGAGTCTGCTACTCTCGTTGCCTAGTCCATCTTCGAACTCCTTTCCAGTGTATCGAGGTGGTCCAAGGTAGCGTTGGGTGTTGGGAACATCTGCATAAGGCCATGATTTATTGCAGCTTGGGCCCAAGACCGCACTTCTATTGTTGGAAATGGAATGATAATCCGGGATGTACTGCGCATCAGGGGCTTGGTATATAAGTTTCGGATACTGGATGGAAGTCCTGTCCACTGATAATTGGGAACCATGAGGTGCTTGTTCTGAATGGATGTTGCCCAAGCTTTCGGTAACTGATTGTCGTGGGTGAGCACCTGTCTGGCCGCGTGACGGAGATTGATGTGGTTTCGGCGAAGGAACTGGTGCTGCATCTGTCATCCACAGTCAGTCTATTTGCGTTTCCTGGTCTGCATATGCGTACATGGACTAGGGAACTCTTTTGCTTCCGGGAAGAGAGCACCACACAGCTCTGTCCACTGCGCTTCGGCTGCAGCCCCTTTGGCCTGCGACCGTGGCGGGCCGGTACACAATTCGCCTTTCTGACCATGCTTCTCATAAAACTTGGCCTCATCCAGGATGTTTTCATTGCAAGTAGAGCAGAGTTTGACGAATGTGTTGTGCGACCGCTCTATATGGCGACGTATTGCCGCCATGTTGTCGCCACGCCCGCCTGTACATCTGCGCGGCTGACCAAGAAGCATTTCCATTTGGAATATGGGACATTGGAAAGGCCTCCTTTTAGGCGGCCCAGTCAGATGGGTCTGTTGCGTTGGTCGGTGCGTATTGCCTCCTTGGTCAAGAGCTGCGTCGGTCCTTGATGGTGCCCGAAAAGTCAGCGGGGGAAATCGGCAAGTTGAAGATGTGTGACCCAGGGTGCGAGGCTGTGGGCTACGGAGATCTTGGTATCCGACCTCGCGTGTGCTCTGCAATGAGAGATCAGCCTTATGGGCACACCGCGGGGGATTTCTGACGAACACTTTCGGATCTTTGAGCCTGGGTACTCGAAAAGTCATGTTGCTCATCAGTACTCGGAAGCGGCGACATTGATCCCAAAGGAAGGAAAAGGTTGTCGGGGTTGTTTGAATCCAAAAGCTCTGCGTCGCCTAGCAGCCACCCGTAACCGTTCGCATTCCCAAATGACATTGTTGGTCGTGAGAAACAGAAGGACTAAGCAATCAGGCTGTGAAGGACAACGACAACACCAGAAAAGGCCTGGAGGACAAAGAGAGGAAGGAATGAAGGACAATTTGGAGGACACAACAGGCATGATATAGGTGCCGCAAGCGGTTCTGGATTGGTTGCTGAATTGCTCTGCGCAGCTCTGGGAGTGTGCCGTCGAGTTGGCCGTTGCTGAGTGGCCCGTCGAGGTAGCCGAGAAGCATGATGGGCTGTGCTGATTTGTTGTGCCGAGCTGCTGAGATGCCCGCTGAGTTGCTGAGATGCCCGCTGAGTTGCTGAGCAGCCGAGTGGTTGAGCTTCCCTCAGGCCATCCCACCAGGGAAAGGAGAGGAGCCTCGTTGAAAGCGATAAGTAGCAATTGTGCAACAGGGGAGTAGAGACGAAGGGAAGAAGTAGGAGAGGAAGAAGAAGAAGCGATGGAACCCCTTAAAAGCATCGTCGTGATGATGTTCCCTTCACCGGCGACGGCCCACCCACAACCCGTAGGTAACAAAAAAACATCGATGCACACACAGAAAGCCTCTCTCCGACGAGCACTCGCCCAATTCACAACTTTCCAATTCCCTGCCGCTGCTACTACTGCTGCTACAACTACTATGTAGAAACCCAGCAAGCAACCTCAACGCACACGTCCATGCCTTCCCTTCCCTTTCCCCTTCAATCAACAAAGCAAGAAGCAAAAAACTCGGAAACTTAGTCTATCCAGAATTTCCGATAAACTGCACCACCTCCAGCATTTCACATCTTCACATGCCACTTTGGTATCATTGGAAAATCCTGGAACCTCCTCAAACCTCTCTCCCACCCTTCCCTCCTACGTGAGACATCAGTACATACAGTTACCACTGCTGTGCAATGAAAACGCCCATGCAAGCTATGCAGAGCAAAAACGAAAAGACAGGAAAAAAGGGAAACAGGAGAACAAGCCCAGACCCTCCTTTGTAGTAGGTAATCAATGCAGGCCAGCCGGCCACAGACCCGCAAAAATGAGTTCAGATTAGGAAAACAGATGCCGTGGTAACAAGGGGGTTCTTGCCCCGTGGTCTCGGATAAGCGGGAAAAATCTCGAAAACGAAGATATGACTGCACGCCTGTGATGCTCCTCAGTTCGAACTGAAGAAGAAGCCAACATGTCACGGCACATCCGCAGATCATGCCAGAACGATCAAAGAAAATACAACTGGCCCAGTCCGGGGGCTACGCCGTGTGCTCGCCGACGACTCAGGGGCCGTCCGGCCCAACCGAGCAAGGGGAGGCAACACGGATACTCAGGTCCGTCCTATATCTTCCTGCGAACCGTGAATTTGCGCCCGACCTGCGTAACTGCAGGAAGAGCCTCGGCGAAACGATCTCGCGCTGGCCACCAGTCAATATACACCCTGTGATACCACTAACTGGCAACTTACTATCGACGCTGTCAAAAGCAATCAGAATGTCATCATGCTCGCCAGGATACTCAATCTGATCCAGACAGACAAATCTTCTCTTCATGCCTGCCCACCCGCTTATCCTTCCCTCTTCTTTACCCATCTTGCCTTCACCCCGCCTCTCCTCGACGGGAAGAGCGAACTTGGCGTCGACGAGCCTCACGCAGGCTTTTCCGCCCTTCTCCGTCTTCTCGAAGACGTCCATGGATTTGACTTGGAAGTTCATGGCGTCAGCGTGGGAGAAGTCCTCGAAGAAGGCGAGAAGTTGCACAATGTTGTCTTGGACGACGACCTGGATGCGGATGGTGTTCGCGGTCCATTGCTTGTAGATGGGAACGACCATGCGGCGGCGGGAGACTGAGAACGTCGAGGCGATGCTAGACTACATGAGCACAGAGCAGCAATGAATTGGCACGGATATCAGCTTACCCATCAAACTTCACATGGAACCCTGTCACGGCTAGCTGGAAAGCGTGGAGATCGCTGAAGGAGTTGAAGGTCAGCGTCCGTATCGTCGATGCATTCGTTAGCGTCCGCAGAAGGTCAGCCAATGCATCCGGTACATCCTTGTCGGTATGAGACGGGTCAATGGCGACCGACATGTCGTACTGTGGATTGCGGAGCAGGCTGAGTTCAGGGGAGCCGTTGGTAGGAAGCCGAACCAGCAGTTCACCAGGACCTCATATGCAGTCAGCCATCGGCATGGTTTTAAGGGCAATGTATCCGCTCACCTAGATTCATCCGGTCGGAAATAATGCCAGCATTATGCCGACATACAATCCTAAGACTCTCGCTCATAACGGTGGGCGCAGACTCTAAGCCGGCAGCCTCGGGGTCTTGGTTCAATACCTTGGCTTCCAGCCATTTAAATCGTTCAAGGACGGCCCGACCACTTTGGCTGAACCCTTCTGCTGGATCCGCGCTCTCGATACTGAAGCCTTTCAGGGGTACCTGTGCGAAGACTGCTTCGTCTTCACCCTGGTTCATTGAGGTGAAGGTGCCGAATAGCTCATTTCTCTCTTTTACGTCGTTGAAGATCATGTTCAAGGTGCAAAGCTTCCGTCTTTTATCTGCAGCCTCTTCCTTGAATCTGAGCGTCATACCGGGAGCGTTGTCTGCTGGATCCTTGGTGTATTCGAAATTCATCGGTTCCTGGTTCGTTCCCATCTCGTGATTCACACAGCTCAGAGTCCGAACCTTGGTCCCAGTGACGACAACCAGCCTATATCCTCGATGGAGCTTCCTCTTACCTGTACCCTCGCTGCTCCGTTCGAACTTGCGGAACACCAGTAATTTGCAGCCGGGCACACGTCCAGGCGGAAACGCTGACGGATTCGACGAGTCGACATAGCTCACATCGCGAAGGTAGAGTTTGGCTGACAGGCGTTCGTTGGTATGCTCACGTAGGTTACTCTCTACTCGATTGGTGTGGTCGACAATCGACCACAGGCCGCGGAAATCCTGTTCGCTAAGGTCGATGAGGAGATTGAAATTGTGGCGTAGTGGAATGGTCAACCCCCGGCTTTTGGGTCTCCAGGACATGTCTCTCCAAGTGGGACCCCCGTCCGGATTGGATCCCACCACGATGTTGATCAGTTCAGTTTGGCTGCATACTGTGAGCTTGATCCGATAGTCGTCTTTCGGGCGGAGCACGGAGATAACCGCCGGCAGCGGTATGCGGTCCGAATTGGGGTCGTCGGTAGACAACGAAACATTGGCGAACATGCGGAAATAGCAAAAGTCGGATTTCGTGTCACCTAACGGCATAATCATTGAAGGATTGGGATGTCGCTGCCCTGATCCGTTGGCAAGAACGGATTTGGAGGCGGTTCCAGTTAGGACGCTCTGCGCATCAGGTGCAAACTTGGGGTACTCGACCCAGACGGCTTGGTCCTGGCCTTGAATGAGAGCTTGAGTAGGGGGCATACTTTGATGCCTCTGCATTGACCCTAGGAGCATTTTCAGGTTGTGGAGAATGCTATCATATGCCTCATATATATCGGCCGAAGCATGATCTCCAGCATCCCGGGCGAGCGCTGCTTGATTTTCCATACGTTGGTCACCGTATTTTCTCAGACCGGTATGGTTGGGCAAGACCTCTGTCACTATCCACCAAGCTTTGGCAAGGTCGACGTGGGGTTGCATCAATCTTTCTTGGTGTGGCTCTCCTTTGGGTCTACTGCGAATCAAGGTTTCCATGCCTGCGCGTCCTCTTAAGAACCACCAGATAGCGACGCGCAGCCACTGGGTTGGCGTATGATCGTATAAGGGTCCAGCAAGTTGTGCTGTCAGTACGAAAATGCCCTTCATGTGCTGCACACGTTCCGAGAAGTCGGCAAAAGCCAGTTCTGCTTGCGACTTCGTATCTGAGCGCCCCGGGGCTCGCGAACGTTCCGAATCTTGCCTGGAATCGGGCCGTGCGTCGTTAGCAGGAACCACCCGTTGGTAAGGAGCGTATCTATGGGCAGGCGGTACGGGAGGAGCCTCGTCTTTCGGATCTTTGTACTCTCTTCGTTCATAGTCCGGCGGCATTGGTAGATTGGATGTGGTGCTGGTTGCAGACGCTGGGTCTATGCGGTTTGGAGGTGACGCCCTAGTCCTAGAGGTTGCTGAAGGTAAGGTATACTGTGAAGAAGACGGAGAGACGGGTCGCGTATTGGTATCAATAGCATAAACATCCGAACGCATAGGTCTCCTGGCGGATGGCGGGCCCGGGGCAGGGCCAGCTGAAAATGCTTTGTATTCTACATCCGAGTCTCTGCGGGGTAACGACGATGCTTGAGGGCCAGCTCGTCCCGGCAGTCTTGGAGGCGTTTTGCCAGCAAGAGGAATGTTGAACTGAGTAGGCGGGGTCCCCACATTGAAAGTGCTCGAATTCGCGGAGGCTGCTTTGGAGTCGGAATCAGAACCCGAGTCCCCTGCGGACTTCTCGGCGGCACGCCGGGCAGCAGCATCATGCAGAGCCCTCCCCTCATCTGCCCGCATCTTGTGAATAAGTCTTGCAGAGAAAGAATTGGGATCTGTGGGCTCGCTTTGCAGATACTTGTTCGGCACCGATTCTAGCGGGGAATCATCATCCTTCAAGCCCAGTTCAGGGAGATGAGGTGGCGGTGGTGGTGGTGGCTCACGGTCCGAAGAGGCGCTCTTTTCGCTCCATCCAGTTGCAGTTCGCTGGATGGGACGAAATCCTGGGTCCTCTTCGGCCGTTGGCGGTAAAGTGGGAGTTTTCTTGGGAACCACCGGAGATATGTTGTCGGAATCGTGTGAGTAGGTGGAATCTAAGCTCGGCCTCCCGGCACCGCTGTCCTGTGCGGTGTCGAATCCAGTGGGTGCCCGTTGCAGCGACCTGGGCCTCTCGCCCAGACCCATGGGGCCTAGGCCTCGTGTAGGGGGTGGAGGTGGACTGGCATGTGTATTGATGCGGCCCATTTCCATCTTCTTCTGGAGCGGAGGCGACAGTTCGTGACGCGAAGTGAGGGTCCTGGTAACAATGCCTTTCCGCTCGGCCTCCTTGTTCATGCTATTGGCATGATCGAATGTCTGGGTGCCCAGATTCATGTCATCCTGGTGCGTGTGCACTTGGTCCTTGTCTGGCCGTGACAAACTATTGGACTTCCTCCTTGATACCTCAATGGAGGGCTCCTCGCACTCGTCCCCTCCCTCGCCGATGATGTCTGGCTGTGTGCGAGCAAAGCTGACGCTCACGGCCTTCTTCCTGGAGCCCGTCTTCATAGCGCCAGCATTTGGGCTCCTCCCCGCCGCACTGTTTACTATGTCGCTGGCGGCGGGCCATCGTTGTGCTCTGGCGACGTCAATCCGAGGCTTCGCATTGGCGAGGAAGGCGGCGGCAACGGCCTGCTTGTGCGCCTGAGCCTTATCGGTGGAGGGTTTCAGGAAGTCGTTGACGTCGTCGTCATGATTGGCCTTGGACTTGGCGGCAGAGTCGTCGGCGTTGAGGAACTTGGTCCGCCAGCGGTTCTTGGAGAGCAACTTGTGGGTATTGTCGCGTGCGTCGACCATGGCGAGCGGTGCGGCACTTCGGCAGTGCGGGGCCCCGCAAATACGGTCCCTTCGAATGCGGTCGAAGTAACGAGGAAGAAGTCCGTTTTGTGTGCTACGGTGTATTGGGAGGTAAGACGCAGTAGGATAGGTAGTGAAGGAGGGTACACGAGCGTCGTGGTATTGTTGAGGTTGTACGGTTGGCAGGACGATTGGTGGAAGCCCTGAGCCCCCGGAACGTGTGGGAGGGCGGGGATCTAGGGGGATGCGAGGGCAGTCAATGCAGGTTTCATGTCGTGCATTCGGCCGCCAGGAAAGACGGTTTAAGAACAAGGACAAGCCGGCTGCAACATGTAGCTAGGAGGATACAGAGAAGCAACGAATATAGAAAACGGGCGCGGGAGGGAGGCAATAGGAGAGGGAGAGGAGGGACGGGCGATGTGTTGACTGCGCCATCCGCGGGCCACGCCTGGGCTGCGATAAGTGGGAGTGGGAGTGGTTGCTAGTTGGACCCTGAGCTGTTTTGGCTAGTCCGCATCGGGAATGTCACATGCTCGTTTGCCAACCCTGGAGATTGCGACCTGCCGTAACACTACTGGAGTAGCGTCGTGTTAGGAATGCGTATCGCTGAACAGTATCTACCGAGCAAGCATGTCGAATGTCAAAACCCACAAGAAACTCTCAATCATCACCGTCCTTCAACTCCTTTCTGTTCTCATGGACGAGCTCCCCGTCGACGAAGTTAGGTTCACGATGCCAAGCCGCCATCTCATTGGACAGCTAGTCCCTTCAACCGGACCCTACCGACTAGCATCCGTGCTATCTAAGTATGTCTCCGCAGTAGTCTAGTAGGTACTTCGTAAACCATTGATGAACTCGGCGTGACCACGGAGTGGCTAACCCAGTGGTGTTGCGCCGGACGCATATTCCATTCATAGTAATCCTCCAGAAGAGTCTGGTTAACAAGGCTAAGGCTCAGCTGCAGGCTGTGCTCTGACCTGACCCGTGACAGGAGAGGCCGTTGAGCTTACGTGCAGGCGTTCACCGAGATCGATGCCAGATCCAACGGTCAATGTGAAACCATGAGATTCTCTGTACAACAACATTTCTCCTCAGAACGGTAGAAACCACAAACTGTTTTGCTGGCTTTGCACTTGCACCGCCTCAGCGGGTCAACTACGCCACAGGTGACAAGCCACGTCAAATCAGGCGAATCAGGACATCGAAAGCCAGCGGTCCGTGCTTTCAAATTCCAAACTTGGAAGTGCGCCAGCCTCTCACGTGTTACACCCCAACGGCCTGCTTGCTCGTCTCCAAGTCGTCCTCTTCAAGCTCGTCAGCTAGCTCCAACTTCACCGGCCTGTGGCAGACACTCCTCGACAACCCCCTCTTCCACCCCTTCCGCGGTAACTCCTGCGCCGCCCTCGTCGCACTCCTCGAACCGTCCGTCGTAGTCGCCGCTAGCGCCCGCTCCCGAACTGCGTCATCCTGCCTGCACCGTCCCGGGTCCCTCGACCGACGCCCGTAGGAGGCCTTGCCCTGCGCCCAAGTGACATGGCCCGCCGTCCTCAAAGCGCTGAGTAGAGCTGCCCAGGCATGCGAAACCAGCACCTACCCGTTCGGCAACGTACGTCCAGAGAAGAACAGCGACGCCTCTTTCCCTTCCAACCCCAGCGCCTACGAACATGCCAGAGTCGCAGACAGATACCTCCGTGCTCCCCGAACCCTCCTTCACCCCCGCGCCGAACCAGAGAGTCGACAACTCCCTCCCCCGACTAAAATCTAACCTCTCCGAACACGCCTCGGAAAACCCCAAGGTCGTCAGCCCTCGCGCCGATGATGAAGCCAGTACGCAGCTCAGCAACCAGGACCGCAGCCCTCTCCTATCGCCCAGTGCTTCCAATGCTGCCGACGCGGGTCTTCCTCCCACACCACCTTCAAACTCCCGTGACGACGACGACCCTCCGACGGCCTTCAGCCCTCCCCCGCACGCAGACAACGTGGTAGCCCTCATGTCGCAAAAGTCATCTCTAACCACCCCCTTGAACCAGCGCAGCCCTCCCACCCCTGATGCGAGCCCGGAAAGGACGAGTGAGTCCGTGGCGGCTCCCATGCGCCCATCAATACTTGCATATCCTTCTTCCAGGGCCGAATCCTTCAAGACTGCAAAAGAAGACCAATATTCTACCGACTTGAGCAACAGCCGTTCCACTACACCCCTGGCCGATAGATTAAGCACCGTCGCTGAGGAAAGGAGCTTGGGCTTAGCGTTCGAGCGAGCCGAGAGTAACTCTACTCCTGCCAACGGATCACACGAACAAGTATCCACACAAGCCCCCATTGACATTCCAGAATCGCCGCGTACGCCAGTCCGAGAATGGGATCCCCATCTGATGCGCAATGTTACCATTCGCAAGAAGCGAAATCCGAGGCCCTCACCGGAGAAACTCCTACCGCGATCCGTTGGAGACGCCACAACGTCCAGGGGCTCCCCACGGTCAATTTCCCTTGGATCAAAGCTTCCCGCCCGTGCCGAAGATAGTCCACATATCCCCTCTCTGGAACAATTTGCTCAGTCAATAGGATGGCCAACTGAAGTGACTGATAAGCGCCCGGCTGATGAGACCCCGACTAAATCCAATGCGAAGCGTCTGTCTGCATCCTCAATGGGCTCTACCGTGGTGGAGGCTACGGTGATTGTGACCCCTCCAAAGACACCGCGCACTCTTCGACATTCAGGCAAGAACCTGGCATATAGGAGGGATGCAGACAATGCAACACTGAATAGCTCAAGATCGAATTCTAACCGCGGCTCCCTCGATCCAGATGATATTCCTCTGAATCGATTGGTCCATCATAGGGTGAGTATCACTCATCAGAAGAAGCTGAGTGGTACCCACTCGCCCATCACTGGAGAGGGTAGTGTCATATCGTCGCTCTCCAATCGAAGTCGTATTCAGGACAGTTCTGCCTATACTCGGGCTCATCAAGAAGCCGTGAAACATGTCTTGCAGCCTGCCGCGTTGATCATGAGCCGGTCGAACTCACTATCACGCGGGATTGCCGGGGAAAGGAATCACCACAAGCGGATTTCGTCTGCCCCCGAGCCCATTGTTCGGGAGGTTGAACTCCGCAAGACAGCGGACCAGATGACATCGGACTCTAGCCCAGCACAGAGTTTCAAAAAGGCGCCTCGTGTGCGGCAGCTTCTGCCACCAGTTACCATCAACAAACCTCTCCCAGAAATACCAAGCGCTTCGCCGGAGAATGTCGTCAATGAGCTCAAAGCAGGACCGACAGCCGATCGCATCGACGAAGATAAACTCGATGCGCAGGCCAGTGGGGTTGAATCCGCCCCGACAGGGACTGTGCCCTTCCCCGGAGCAAGCGAGCTACCAAATAGTCCCTCTCAGGACAAACAGGAACAATCGGCGTCTCCACCAATTGTTCGAAGGGGCTCTCTTCCCACGCGGGGACGTTCCGATGAAAGGCGAAAGAGCTCCATCAGCCACGATCGCACGTCTACTTCTCATGATACCAATCCTCGTCCGAGCCTGGATCGAATCCCCGTAGAAGAACTACCTCGCCGTAGCCACGAATGGTGCGCCTTATCTCCCAACGACATTCGGCGTCTCAGCTTCGACAGGTCCACATCTCGAAGTGAGGAGCACGCTTTGGCCAGGCATCTTTTCGCCCAGACTACTCCTTTTTCACAGTTCTCAGACACTCCAATCGAGGTCAGCGAGGCGACGGCAGTGAGCATATACCCTCATCATAACCATTCCCTCCTCGTCGTACAGCAACTTGCTCGACCGAACACTCTGCCATTGGAGCATCAAGAGGTGCCCAATGACCAGCATACGCCGTCTTCAGACCCGGCCGCCCCAGCATTGGCATCCAAAGCTCTCTGTGCAGACATCCCCTCCGAAGAGCGGCCTGTCCTTCAACAGCCCACTGTAAATATCGAACCCTCAACACCTCCTAGGCAAATCACCCTGCCTGTTCCAGGTACCGTCGACTCGCCCCTCAGGAACCCTCGCGCCGCACCTGAACCACCAGTCATCAAATTCATTCCCCCGACCCCGGCGGAGGAGCTGGACAAACAGCTCGTCGCCAACCCACCCGGCCCTCCTACCCGATCCAACTCTCACCCCCAACGCCGACTCTCCCTAGTCCAACGTGCCCGCCGCTACTCTGACAACCTCATCACCCCCATCCTCGCCCGCGCATCCAGCGTCCGTGGCCGCCACGTCAGCGAATCTCACGCTGCTCGTCAAAAATCCCGTGTTCCAACCGTCAACGAAGGAGATGGCTCGTTACATCCCTTCTGGCGCCCTCGCGGCTTCTGGGACGGCTTCGAAGAAAGCGATTCAGATGATGATGTGCTGCCGCAAGGTGGCGATACCTCGGATGTCGAGCCTGTTGTGGAACCGGAGCCAAGCGGGAGGAAGTTGGGAGCGTTGGGGCGGAGGCTGACGAACGGGTTCAAGGGGACTGGCGGGTTCTTGATTGGGAATTCGCTTGGTGTTGAACGGGCGGGAACGAATAGAAGAAGACCGCAAATCACACTTCCCTCGCATCAACGGAATGCCGCGGCTAGGCCTAAGCCCCCGTTGATCTTGATCCAGCGTCCTACGCTACCTATCAATACCCGCTCACGGCGTGTCGAGAAGCGAGGATCACAACTCAGTCTCCGAAAATCGCGATCTCACGAAAGTCTGAGGAGACGACGTAGTCGGCGAGAGGCGTGGCGCGCCGGAAGGAAGATTCCAGGTATGAAGGGGTTGCACGTGCAGTATATAGGGCTCAGTGGCGTAAAAGATATGTTGAGGGAACGCAGGGCGGAGAAGAGGAGGCAGTTGATTAGGAAGAGTATCGGCAGTCGGTATTATGTGGAGGGTGCGATGAGATAACGACGGTATATACCTGATGATTTTGGGATTGAAGCGCGAAGCTTGCGTAGCGAGGCGCCTTGCTTGGGTCTTGTTTTTGGAAAGGGCTCTCTTTCTTGTTTATGTTCTTGTCTATGGATTTTGCGGTAAGGGATTGGGTGATAGGATACGTGAGGGTTCTCACCCTCCGAGATCATGATTCTTGGATGGATTGATGATAGCGGCTGGTTCATGTCTATGTCACAATAGCATTCTTGTCTCTTCTTGTTTCTCCCTTATGGCGGAGTTGGATTGTCGGTTGTATTGGTATATGAGGACGCGTTGCAGCTATCGCTTATAGTCGGAGCGCATAATTGATCGAGGCGTCGAAGTTCCGACGTCCGCTCTTTGCGGTTTTTCTTAGTGTCTCCGTATCTGAGAGAAGATTTACGGTTGGATTGAAGGTTGCAGGGCAGCTGTCTTAGTGTAGGATTGATTACGTAAGATATTACTGAGCATGCGGTCAAAATTGTCTAACTTCTCAACATCTTCCTTCTTTGCAATGGTTCCAAGGTTCTCCTTCACTCTTCATCCGCTTCGGTCCGCAATACTGCTGCTAGCTAGAGAATTAAAATGCACGTTCACTGAACCTCCTACCATGTGGGTCAATATGCAGGCACGCGAGCTGCACGGTCATGTTCGTGCCGAGGCACTCAAGAGCGTGATGTTCGTCTTCAAGCACGCAATTCGATGTCAATTGCTTGGGAACAGCATATGCCCATGCTACATCTGGACATTCCGGACTTCTGGAATCCATATATGAGCTCTAATCTACAGCGGTATATAATTTCTTAATACCTTGAGTTTATCTCCTTCTCTGTTCTTCGCATTTCACAGTTTGGTTTCTCCTCTCTCCCGCTCCAAAAGGACTTGCACATCGGACCTTTACCTAGGTGCAGCAGAATGCGGTCTCCGCTCCTTTGGAGCGGCCTCAATCTGGGGCTCTTTGGACAAAGCCCAAACAGAGAACTACTCTCACAAGCCCGTCTCGGACCCCATACGCCTCGCCCGAACATTGTCTTTATCCTCACCGACGACCAAGATCTCCACCTCAACTCCCTATCCTACATGCCCTTTGTCCAAAAGCACCTGATAGAACAAGGCACATTCTACACCCGCCACTTCTGCACCGTAGCGCTCTGCTGCCCTTCCAGAGTGTCTCTGTGGACCGGAAAAGCAGCGCATAATACCAACGTGACCGACGTGAGCCCGCCATATGGAGGATACCCCAAGTTTGTCAGCCAGGGGCTGAATGAGAATTTCTTGCCCGTGTGGTTGCAAGAGGCGGGTTACAGTACCTATTATACGGGGAAGCTGCTTAATGCGCATACGGTGGAGAATTATGCGTCTCCCTATGTGAAGGGGTTCAATGGCTCTGTAGGCTCAATGGGTGTGGGAAACTCACTCTTGCTGACGTTTCAAAGGACTTCCTACTTGATCCGTTCACATACCAATACCTCAACAGCACCTATCAACGCAACAGAGAATCCCCCGTCAGCTACGAAGGTCAACACAGCGTCGATGTACTAGCAGAAAAAGCGTATGGCTTCCTTGAAGATGCTCTAGAGAACGAAGCTCCTTTCTTCCTCACCGTTGCACCAGTAGCACCGCACAGCAACGTAAGGATCCAACGACTAGAAGGCGACATCGAAGACATTGTCGCCGAATTTACAGAACCGATACCAGCAGAACGACATGTCCACGTCTTCCCCGACGCCAAAGTACCACGAACGGCAAACTTCAATCCCGAGACCCCCTCAGGCGTGAACTGGATACAACGCCTGCCACGTCAAAGCAAGGAAAACGTAGAGTACAACGATCACTTTTATCGCTCCCGTCTCCGCGCTCTGCAAGGTGTGGACGAGATTGTGGGTGGCCTAGTGACTCGTTTGGAACGCGCCGGGAAGCTAGACAACACTTATATCATCTACTCCAGCGACAACGGGTACCACATTGGCCAGCACAGACTTCAACCCGGCAAAGAGTGCGGGTTCGAAGAAGACATCAACGTACCCTTGATTATCCGCGGACCGGGGGTTCCGAAAAACGTGACAACCGCGATCGTTACCACGCATACGGATCTGGCTCCGACGATTCTGGGTTTGACGGGGACTTCTCTACGGGAAGACTTCGACGGGGCGGCCATTCCCTTGACGGAAGCAGGTCTAGATGAAGCCAGCGAATCACGGCACGAACATGTCAATGTTGAGTACTGGGGTTTTGCGTTGGGGGAAGGAAAGGACTGGGACGGAGGCAAGTTGTCAAACTCTGTCGTCTGTTCAAGCACTGACCGACCCTTTAGAACGGTTCCACCACAACAACACCTACAAGGTTTTACGTCTTATTTCCGGCTCCTACAACTTCTACTACTCCGTCTGGTGCAATAACGTCCACGAGCTGTACGACCTGAATGTGAGTACAGGGAATGTGACCTGGCGCAGCTGGTAGGAGCTAACAAGTCCCACAGGACGATCCAGGACAACTCAATAACCTTCTAGCACACCCGTCCAGCTCCATCACCCTCCTCGGCCACGCGCTGCATAAAGTAGTCTCTCGCCTAGACGCCCTTCTCTTCGTGCTGAAGTCCTGCAAAGGCGAGACTTGCGTCAAGCCGTGGAAAGCGCTGCATCCAGCAGGCAATGTGCAAAATCTGCACGACGCGTTGGCTCCTCGGTACGATGCCTTCTACGAAAGGGAGCAGAAGCCCGTGGAGTATACGAGATGTGAAGCTGGGTATATTGTTGACGCTGAGGGCCCGCAGTTTGAGAGGGAGGGGTTGGTGTATAGGGGTGGGAGGGCGTGGTCAGAGTGGACTTAGAGAATTTCGGAGGAGCGGGAATACTAAGACTGCGAGAGCTGGAGACCATGAATGAAAGTTTTACTTCTAATGAGAATTTGGAAAGTGGAGACTGCTTTTTTGGATTTGGGTTGGGCAAAGCAAAATGGTGTTCTCGAATCCGACGTTCGGATGGCGTGATCGCGTCGGGCACTTGCAATATTCGCGCTGCGTGACTGTGCAGTAGTTTGCTTGTAGCCGCATGTCGGTTCGCTGGGAATGGGATGACAAGGGTGTATGACTCTTTTAGCATTATCGAAAATATTTTCTTTGATAAGCTCGGTGCGGAGAGTTTATACGACTCTTGATTCTCTTTCTCGCGATCTGACATCGTCATGACGGGGTCATTAGCTGTGGAAGCCAGTGAACGAACGCCTCTTCTGCGGCCACGGCGCAGTGTCGAATCTCTGAAAGATGTTACTACTATTTCGACTAGAGAGCTAAGCAGAAATGGAGAAGACATCCCGCACAGAAAAGCCGCCGTCGACGAAGAAGCACCACCAGAGCGCGACGCCGACGCCGCACCCACAGAACCCAATGCCTCCATCACTCGCATCATCTCCGTCCTCCTAATCGGTAAACCACTTCATCCCACTCCTCCCCATCCCCATGTCATTTCCACTCTAAACTCCTAAACCAGGCGGCTTCATCTCCAACGCCGACGGCTCCCTTCTCCTCGCCACCCACCCCGTCATCGCCTCCGAATTCAACGCCCTCGATGCCTCGACCTGGCTCCTTACCAGTTTTTCGCTGGCGTCGTCGGCAACGCAGCCACTGTATGGAAAGTTGAGCGATATCTATGGGCGGAGAACGCTCTTGGTGGTTGCTTATGCTTTGTTCGCTGTCGGATTGTAGGTTCCTCCTTCAGTCAGGGAAAAGAGATAGGTATAGGATGGGTTTTTGCTAATGATTGATATGTATACAGAGTGCTCGTCGGCCTAGGCACACGAATGTCCCATCTCATCCTCGGACGCATCATCTCGGGCATGGGCGCCTCGGGCATGACCGTCCTCGTCTCCATCGTCATAACTGATCTCCTGCCGTTGCGAGACGTAGCGTCCTGGCGCTCGTACGTCAACATTGTTTCCACGACCGGACGCAGTATTGGCGGTCCGTTGGGGGGTGGGTTGACTGACACTGTGGGTTGGCGGTGGTAAGACTTCTCCCCTTCAATATCATCATCATCATCATCGAGTATCAGGACTAGGACTAAAATGAGGCGACGGTAATAGGTCCTTCCTCCTCCAACTCCCCTTCGCACTCCTCGGCATCTTCCTCATCCTCCTCACTCTCCCCTCCGACACCACCCACAACGCCTCACTAGACCCAGACCCAGAACCCAAATCCCAAAGCAAACTCGCCCGCATCGACTTCGTAGGCGCCACCCTCATGACGCTTACCATTCTCTCCTTCCTCTTCCCCCTGGAACTCGGCGGCGTCAAGGTGCCGTGGTCGCACCCGTTGATTCCCGGGCTAGTGGGCGGAGGGTGCGTTTTTGGAGGGCTGTTCCTGGTGAGCCAGGCGTGGTGGGCGAGGGAACCGATTTTTCCGGTGGAGTTGTTGAGGGTTGGGGATTTTGTGAGGAGTGTGGTTGTTATGGCGTGTTTGATTGCGGGGCAGATGGGGGTGAGTGGCGTTCGATCGATATCTGTTCCCAGTGTTTCCGTCTCCTTCGTCTCTTATCAATCGTTGGTGAGGATGAAGATGAATGAAGAGTTGGCTGGTGGAATCGATCCTAGGAACTGACAACTGACTACGATAGATGATGTCCGCCGTGCCCCTTTACTTCCAAATCACGGCCCACGCCTCCAACAGCGTAGCAGGCGCGCACCTCGTCCCCGCTGTGGTAGGCAACGCCATTGGCGGCGTCCTAGCCGGCGCGGTGATAAAGCGGTACGTAAACTCGTTACTGGTCTGCTCTCCCATTCCAAGCTCCCTCCTTCCACTCCTTCCCAATCCCGCAATATCGGCCTCCATCACTCCGAGGCTCGCAAATCTCATAACTCCATCCAACCTCAAACTGGACAATCCCACTCGACTTACACTCTTTCTTAGGACCGGAAACTACAAACCCCCGATCCTCCTCTCCACCCTCTCCGCCTCCCTCTCCTACCTCCTCCTCCTCCTCCGCTGGCACGGCTCTACCTCCTTCCTCGAATCCCTGTACATCATCCCCGGCGGATTCGGCTCCGGCATCGCGCAATCCGCCCTCTTCATCAGCGTGCAAGCAGCCATTCCGAACCAGTACATGGCCGTAGCGGCGTCGGCGTTGTATCTGAGCGCGAGCGTGGGGATGATGGCGGGGATGGCAGGGGCGGCGGCTGTGTTGCAGGGTGTGGTGAGGGGGAGTTTGGGGAGGCGGTTGGGGGAGGGTGGGTTGGGGTTGGGGATGGGAGAGGTGAGGGAGGTATGTATTGTTTTTCTGTGTGAGAGCGAGTGGGTTTGCTAACAGAGGCTTGTGGATAGATTGTCGACAAGGCTACTTCGGACGTGCGGTTTATTGACCATGCGACGCCGCGGATTGCGGCTTTGGTGGTTAAGGCTTATGTGGAGGCGTTGGCGTGGACGCATGGTATGCTTCTCCTCGTTCCAGCTCTAACGGCAGCTTGAAGACTATGTGGAAAGTATGCTGATGAAGAGTGATGCGTAGCACTGTCATTGGCGCTAGCGTTGGCTGCCTTCGTTGTTGCCCTGGGGATACGGCAGCATAGAGTGTGAGGAGCCCACTGCAACGAGAGCTGAGGGGATTTTTCACGGTTACCGGGTTGGGGATGAAGGCGTGGATGGCCAATAGGAAGGTTGGAGAGAATGATATAGAGAGTGAGCGGATAGAGGGATACGAGTAAGTAACGGGTAGGAAAGGGATAAAGCTAGCGAGAGGCAGGATCAAATAAAACGACAAAATACGTCCAGTGAATTGCAAACGTTATTGCAGAACTACTCGCTTTCCTCAAACTTTATTAGTAAATTTCAAAGCTCGATCAATAGCCCTAACAGTTGTCCTTCTTATTTTCAAGATTTCAACTTCTTATTAGGAGGACTTTTACTGCCACGTTGGGCAGAATCAACAAGGTGATGTTTCTCCAAATTACATTAATAAGAGTCTTGTTAGATGTCTGGCTTATCAACTTCTACTGCACCTAAAAACTACTCTAGGCAAACAGCTAAATACTTTATAGACACAAGAGTGTTGTTAACATTAAGATAAACTTAAACCAACGACTCTAAATTCTAATATACTGTCTCGGTGTGTATGTAGCATACATTGGCCTTGTACTGTTCCTAGACAGGTAGACAAATCAAGTCCATGTCCGTAATACACGTAGTAATATGATCAAGTTTACCTACGTTGCATTGCAGAGCAACGAAGCGAACCCGTTACCATCAACGTCGTCCCTGATTAAAGGTAGTTAAAAAGAATCTCTCTTGTGCTCTCTTACTACTAAGCCATCTATTTCGCGTTATCAGGTTTGGCTTAGCCGCCTGTGATACAAACAGCAGCCGCTTTCCAACCCCGCCTCCCTATCTCTCGTCCCTCTCCCTTTCTCCCCTTTCCTCACCCTCGCTACAACCAACCCCTTTCCAACACCCAACCTGCGCGCAAACACCCCACGCGAGTCACAAATAACGTCCTCATTCCAACTCTTCGCCCGTGCTCGTTCCCTCAATCCCGGCAGCGAACCCCCCACCCCCTGTACAACACCATACCAGCTACCGGTACAGTACTCCGTCCCTCTCTATCCCACCCGCCCAACAGGTCCACCTATGCCATCTCCTCGCCCATAAGATCTACCTACCCAGCGCACACCCCAATCTCCACCCTCGCATGCTTGGTTCCTAATCTCGGGACCAGCCTGTCGCCCGTATGCACGTCAGCCCGTCTGGTCTCTCACCTCCAGGTCTTATTTCCTAGCGCGAGTTCCCGTTTTAGGTCGGTTAGCTTGCTCTGTTCACGTGGGCGCACGGGTAGCATTGTCATTAGCTTGCTTCCTCACGTTTTCTAGTGATTCTAGCTCTTTTCTAGCTCCCGAGTCTAGCGTGGTCTACCCATTTGTGGAGCATGAAAAGAAGCGGTATGGATAGGCTACTCGGTGCGCCATGTGCATACTCGCCATGCACCATGTGCCATATGCCATAACACGCCATATACAGTATGTACTCGGTAAATGGAACACACATGTGTCTAAAAATGAAGAACGCATCGCTAAATGACCACCGACGATCTTCAAATCTCCCCATCTCCCCGCCCATCATGCATCCTGCGCTCGCGCCCCATGAGAGAGCGCTACACGGGCTGACGAGCTCCCGAGGGCCCGGTTCTCGTTTTCTCTTCGGAAAGCTGGTCGTCATCGTCATGTCAGCTGCAGTCGCTGTTGGGTTGGGCGAGAGTTCATCGAGGTTTGCATGGATGACATCGACGTGTGAAGGAGTGGGTCTGTGCATAGGGCGATTACGCGCTGCATGACGGTTCATTTCGGGACGTGAACGCTGAAATGAGACGAGATGAGGGGGGTTCGCGTGTGGACTGACACTAATAACGCGCGCGCGCGCACGCACGTACACACATGTTGGGATGCATGCGTGTATGCAGCGGAGGGACTAGTCTACTTGGCCTACGCATTACTTACTGTAAGTAGTATCTATCCGCCAATGTAGTCGACCATCTACCTACAACAGCTGGTATTCTTATGAGGGTAGCGTAGGTACTGCATGGTGGTTCGGCCAGCGTACATAATCCATCCATCGCCTTCTGAAGGTCAAAGGGCAAAAGTTGCCCTAGGCTGCAGCTGTCGGTGCGACTGCCGAGTCATTCCCCTGCAGGACGGGAGAGAAAGAACTTTTTGAACCAGAAAGACAGACGACGGCTGACTGCTGACGTTTGCGGAGAGAAAAGCAAATATGTGAATGCCCCAGGGTGCCCTATGCCAACATCTACCGAAGTTTGCAAGCGTCCACTAGAGTACCTATCTACCTACTTTACATGCAGTTAGGCGAGGCGACAAAGATGCGCGCGTATGAAGAAGATTCGCGCATGAAACGACATCATTATTGCATTTCTAGATGCCGAAACTGGAGATTCCTGTCAATCATAGCTTAAAGTATCCTCCTCCACCTACAACTATTGAAACGCGTCTTGTCTCACGCAGATAATTCGCTCTCTGCTTCCCTTTGAACCTCTACTTTCCTGGTCCCTAGCTAGGGAGTAATTCATCGTAAGCGCTCGCTCCTCGTATACCTCCCTACGTCCCTACGCTCACGCATTCGCCGTAGATGCACTACACCTACAAGCCTTGCTTTACCCTCCGATCAACACTCGCAACAGTGCCTTCGACTACAATTCTACCCCTATATAGGTTTCACAATCCCTTTCCCCATAGTATACACTAGTCAGACGGTTGACATTACAAAAGCCGTACCCCTAACCTCATCCCGTTACCCTCCCCGTAAACCTCGCTTAACCACACCCCCCACCATCCCCAAAACGCTCTAGTTTACACCCAGGCAGGCCGCGAAACGCTCGTCGTTACAACTGCTCATCAAGCGATGCAGGAACATGATGAACCCATCCTATCCCACCAGTCTTCTCCAGGAGAGGCGGTGAGCGAAAGTTGCAACCGAACCGACATCAAAGTGAAGCGAAAAGGAAGATAGAACGGGACGACTACTTCAGCGCAAAAACGGAAGACAACAACAAAAAGAGAAGGGAATTTAGCGTTAGAAGTCGTCGTGCAAGTCGTGATTTTCTTCTACGGAGGGACGCATTCCCCATCGTCCTGCGGTCATAGACATGTATATATGCGCCGAATAAATCCTCCATCGCCATTATCGTACAGCCATCTCTTCGCACAACCGCCCACCAGTAGTAATAAAATCCATCCAAAATACCCCAGTGCTATAATCCAATAAAACTCAAATATAAACTCCATATAGCATCATCCATCTCATGCACCCCATCCCACCAGTGTCCACCCCCCACAACCAATACAAAAGTCATACTCAAAGGATCATTAGCGAAAGTTCAGAAACCTGAAAAAACCTCTTCCCATCTTCTGTCGCTCTACTTCTTATCCTCATTCAGCAGACTTGCAATGGGCACATTATCCCTGGGCGCCGAACTCCATGTCCCGCTCCTTGGTCTGGGTACCGGCATGGGCAGGACGTACGACATCCGATCAGTAGCAGGGGCCGACACGGCGCTGTTGCTCAAGGGGCTGCAGAAGTGTCTGCCAGTTTCCGAGACGGGAGACGCGTACGTGTAGTGCGAAGGCTTGAGCACGGGATTCTGCATGATGCTGCCATCGGGAGAAGCGTCGGGCGTAGGGGGCCGGACGGTATAGGAGCCAGAGCGCCAGATTTCCTCGAGCTGGGCTGGGGAGACGTCTGCGCCGTAGTCAGCAGCGACGGCGGCCCAGAACTGCTGACGGTGAGCTTCGTAGATGGCGCGGAGGCGGTCGGTGTCCACGACCTTGGGCTGGTGGGCGACTTCAGTGTTGATGCGGAGCGCATTGAAGGGTTCGGGGGAATCCCGGGGGCTCAGTGGGCGGGGCTTGGGAAGGAGGATCTTGTGCTGGTTGCGGCCGGGAGAGGCCGTGATAGACGCGGCCCTGATATGCGGGCTGCCGCCAGTGTAGCTCAGAGGAGAGCCATGGCGGGATGACGACGAATAGTCATCGCGGTCCACTGCCATTGAATAAGCCGGAGATTGGCCGGCGGAGCTTGAAGAGGTCGTCGAGGACATGGATGAGGTGCGCTTACGGCGATGGCTACCGTGCGACAATTGATGGAAGTGCAGACGGCAGGCCAGCTCAGTCTTCTTGAGATGAGCAGCAATGTGCTTGTAGGGCATCTTCTGCATGCGGGTCTGGAGGAGGTAGTTCTCCTACGAAGAAGTCAATACCTGATCAGACCATTGCCACGATCGATGCATACCTCTTCCTCAGACCAGGACCTGTTCCCTCCGGCGGACATCTTCCTTGCCCGGAGACTGGCATCGGAGGACTGGGAGTTCATCTCTGGTAGGGGAGAAAGAACTTGCGGCTGATGGTGGAGCATGTTGAACTGATTGTGCGATTGGAATTCTTTCGGATGATCAAGAAAGGGATGGGCAATGGTCAGTGTTTTCGTTTCGGGATAACGTCCAGTCGTAGAGGCTCGCTCTTCAAAGAATGTAGTTCCACTTGCGTAGACAATGGAATTGCTCAGCAATGTCGATTAAAGAACGGAAGGCAACCCAGCCAGTGGGGAATAAAAGAACGTAATTACAAGGTTGCTAGGAAAACAAAAGACTGAAGCCGTTTGAAGGCGAGCGGATGAAGCCCCATGGCGGCTTGGGGCATCGGACAAGATATACGGTTCGGTCACGATGAGAAACGAGCGGTTCCCGGGCCAACTGCGAGCATGGTTGATTGGAGTGGCAGGAGGTTGTGTGGAAAGCGTTTTCAAACTTGAGTCCTGCAGCAAAGTTTTGATCGTCACCACGGTTGAGGTCCGCTTTGCACGCCGACATGTTTGGAAAATCCATGGTTGCGAGACGTGCTAAGCCGGAAGGGGAAGGGCAGCTGGCCTGCACAAGATCTGGATGCCCGGAAGAAGTGTGGTCTGGAGCGACCCTGCATGAATTCCGTCGACATTTTGGTGTAGAGTGGAGGCAGTTTCAAAACTCGACGCGTTAGAGGGAGGCTCGTGCAGCAGGCTTGGGCGAAGCGAGACGTTTGACAGTGTGTTTTGACGACCAAACAAGCTCATCCAGAGTCCGTGAACGAGCGGGCGCTAACCTCGAAAACGAGGTACTAGGCGCTCGGGGTGATCTGTGAACTGGCTCTCCTACCTTCATGGTTCTTTGTTCCGAAGATCTTCAGCGGCACAGAATCAAAGTCGATGTTCGGCCCGCACAACAGCAGCGGTAATACAAGAAGCTGTCTACAGTTGGATGCTCGCAGAAGCTGTTGCCGTCTCGACACAGATGATGCTGACAGGCAGAAACAGACCGCCTTTTTTCTTTCTGCTTGCCAGCTGCGGGTGTTGAGACGTACGAAACGACGTCGTTCTCGGAAGCAGAGCGATCCGTTCGGCGCATCAACGACAGGCTTAGGAACGGCACAGGCTTCTGGGGTGGAGAATATGCGGCCCAGCAGCGAGCCGGTGAGGTTCCTGCTGCTGCTGCTGGTCGGCGGGGACGGCGCTCAAACAAGGTGGGCGTGAAGTGACACGGAGCCTGTGTCAGGTGGCTGGAGGGGCTTGGCAGGCAGCCCGTGAATGAGATCTGATGAATGGGGACAACGGAGCGAAGAGGACTCTGTAATGGAGGGGACGACATGTTGAATAGCGAGCGCGCGTCCGGCGCATTTTCGACGCCGGCGGACAATGCGACGGGTTAATTCGCAGTGCGCCTACCATTGGCCGTGGGGCGGACGTGGGTCGCAGTCGTGGAAATTGATGCGCTGGCCGACGGTACAACGGGGGGACGAAGAAAACACCTCTACTCACCCGACCCTCGCTCGCCATCTGGGTGAAGTCGCGAGCTTCGTGACCTTGGTGACCTTTGGAAACCGTCCTCTGGTGGTCTGCCATTCACCAATGAAGATGACACTTTCGAACCAGCCAGGGGGGTCTGCGCTGCCTCCTCCACCCACCACAATACCATACCGCACTTGTTCTCACCCTCTGATCGTGAACCCATCGGCGCCAGCTCCACCACTGATGACAAACAGTAGTACCACAGTATCCTGCCAGAAACGCATTGCGCTCTCGCCGCACATCAGCAGTTCCAAGCATCTTCAGCTCTTCGTCTCTGCGTCGTCCTCTGCAGCGGTCGAGGCTACTGTGGTCGTCCTGCTCCGTCCATCAATCAAAGGTCCTTCGCGCCGACCAAGTCCACCGAGCCGTCCGCATCTCCATGCAACATTCGCATAAAGGGCCGTCACGCGCGGGCTGCATCTCCCCCGCATCCAAGCCCCCGTCCCCGTAACTTTGCAGCCACCTAATTCATCTGCGTCCTCGAGGAGGCTATTACCCCGCTTCTTGCCTGCTGCTCCCCCAGTAACCCCAGGTACCAGTACATCAACCTTCCCCAGACTCCACGTTTTCCCACGCAGTAATTCACCCTCGGCCAGGTACCAGTACCGCAGTGCCCTTCAGCGTCTCCAAAGTGCCGGCCGCTGGGTCCAAGACAATCCCCGTCCCAGGCCGTCCATTTCCTCCCATTCGCTCGTCCGCCTGCAAACCTGGCCCTTCTTGTATTCCATGTACTTTGATCAGCGTCTGCACCCGGGCTAGGCCATCGCCCTGCCTGCTTGCTTGAATATCATGACCATCTATCGCCTTCGATCGTGTATCCAAGTCCCTTTTGCGTGCTGTCCCAGGTTTCGACTTCCGAGTATGACTTTGCGCTCTAGGCGCATCCACCTCCTCTAACTGAGCTGCTCCGCTTATGTCGTCTCCCACAGCTCCGAGTGCATCGTCTGCCATGTCGTGAGTCCTTTCTCCAGCCTCACCTGCGTATCGAGTCTGGGAGCTGTTTCTCGGCACCGAGCATTGCACGGGTCCCGGATACCGAGCCTGGAGATCGGTGAACCAAGCGCGCTTCACCTTCACCTTCACCGTATGCCGCTGACGTCGTGATCCATGTTTCACAGTTCTTCGCCGGCTGCCAAACGCAGTCTGAAACCCTCTCCGGCCGCAACAAACCCACAGCAGAACACCGCCTTTACCACGTCTGCCGAGCTGCCCACTCTCCAACCTGCTGCACCAGTAGCCCAAGCTCAACCCCAAAGCCAAGCTCAAGAGTCCCTCATGTCCTTCCCGCGCCCTTCTACGCCTGGAAATTCCAAGAAGCGCAAATCGGTAAGCGTGCCGTCCGACCAAATGGCAGCTACTCCAACTTCCGCGAGTGCTCCCTCGACGAGTACAGCCGCAACGCAGGCCCAGGAAGCCGATGCGCCTGCTGCACAGGAACCCAAGGCCAAGAAGAGTCGAACCAACACGCCTTGGACACCGGCCGAGGAGCAGAGGCTCAAGGCGATGAGAGATGCCGGAAATAGCTGGAACGAGATTGCAAAGGTAGAAGAACATGATGTTTACCATTGCGCCTCTTTTCGAACACATTGGCTCGAGGAAGACCCTATTCACTGACTGGCGCGCTCCAGACATTTCCTCAGCGAACAGAGGGGAGTGTGAAGAAACACTGGTACAAAGTAGGGGCGCCGCTGTCCCATCTTGTCCTTCTATTGCTGACGTTGGCGGAACAGGATATGCACTACGCCGAGTTTGCTGAAGACGAGGTGGGTCTGCAGCTGCGTCTATTCCTTTCCATTGGGATTAGCCACTGACCGACGTGAAAGAGCGCGGCGCTTCTTGCAGCTATCAAGGAGTACGACCAGAACAAGTGGAAAGTAATTGGGCAGAAAGTTGGCAAGCCTGCTAAAGTATTACGGCATTTGGTGCAAAAAATTGTGGAGAGTTGACTGACTGAGATAGGCTTGCGAGCAGTATGCGAAGGAGCATTTTGGTGGAAAGGTTTGAGACAGAAACCAACAGGATATGCACATTTCCTGGTTTAGCGGGTTCGAGCTCTCCTTATGATACCGGCTCGCTTCCATATATAGAGCACTGCATGTGCAGACGCTTCTGTCGGCATCTGCTCGTCGTTTCTTGGAGTCCTCGGAGGCTCGGATGCGGTCTTGGCTGGGGCGTATACGAGGTGAACTTCTGCGAAACCCTCTCAATGAGCAAAAGGCGAAATCCCCAGCAGCCTTTTATTTCCTTTGTCTCTTTCCGTCATGTGGATTCCCCAAAGGTTTCTATCTCTTTCAGAGTCTCTCGTGGAAGGTAATGATGGTGGGGTGCGACAGTCCTGTGTATATGCACCATATCCCTCGATAAGGTTTCGATAAACTAAGCCACTGGCTCCGGGGCCCCAACAAACCCAAACTTTCGTTGAACATTAGTCTACCCGGCGATCTGGTGAATGGTTACGGCAATCATGGATCGACTTGGGGTAGATGTCTCGTTTCATTGTTTGCGCCAGTTTCAGATATCTGCGGTGGACAAACGGTAAGGGCCAGTGGAGCATTCCCTGGAGAAACACATGTTCACTTGCTACCATTGGCAGATCAAGTCCATGCCGACATCGCTGGCTTCCGTGGGACATGGTGCAGCCTGCCGCCTTGAGGCGAGCGACACAGTGCAGGTACAGTGTTTGATGAAGGTACTGCTTGTGCGTAGAGCTGAGTTGCTCTCGCAACGGGCAAACCAGATATCGGTCGCCTTGCTCCTTGCATACTGGGGGTCATTGGTCTCTGAGCGGATGGCCCTTCTTCTCTACCGAACTGATGCGGCGACGCTGTATCCGAAGGGGATTCGTCCGGAAGTGGTACTGTGGGCGAGCAGAATCCATGCTAAGTCCAACCCTCGATGGCGACGTGCCAAGCCCTGGCGACTTGCTAAAAGGGTCACGGAGAGGGCAGGCCACGCTGTGGGGGTCGCCCGCGTGTTGATAGCCAGCCTAGGGCGATTCGATCTGCTCGCCTGAACGGGGTGGCTTCCGCATGTACCTCCAGTTCACCTTTCCAGCTCCGTCGTTTCGTCTGGGGCCAGCATGTATCTAACGGGAAGCGTCAAAACTAAGACAGCACGAAAAGAAGGCCCAAAAGGGAACGACTGCTAGTGTTTGGGTGCAAACTTCTGCAGCGTATCCGCAGTCAGCCTTCAACGATAGATGGACGTGCCTCATCCATAAGCAAGGGCGCACTGGCAGAGGTACATAATCACTGTTGGGAGAGCCAGAGGTCGAGATGCTGGATCTGGCGTGACTTGAAGGAAAATGGAGCGAATCCGGACGAGGCAGGATGGTACAGCCTAAACCGGCTAATAGTTGATATGATGGCAAGAATCTTGGTACGTGGGAACTCGGGTTCGCTGGACTCAGCAGTCACAGGCTCACGAGGTGGGAGGGCGAGGCCGGTGAGGTCCGCGATATGGAAATGATGGCGGTTCGTTCGGGAGGAAAGAGTCAAGGCCCATGGAGACCAGCCTAGCAACCTGGTCGGCAGAGTCGTTGCGACAATCACGTGTAACCCCGGAAGGCGGGCGATCTGCTTGTGCCCCTGAGTAATAAAATAACGCCAACATGGGCATTTCTGGTGTTGAGGGCGATCTTGTCGACCAGCAGGTAGACCCCAGACCCCTGTGCCGAGTCCCACGTCACTTCGATCATGTTGGGGAGCGACCGTTGTTGGGTTGGACGCAATCATCAATCACAACTGACTCTGCGTCTGCGTCTGCGCCTGCGCCTACCAACAAGGTACGTTTTCATGAGATCGATGGAATGGCTGCGTGGCGCACCGGCGTGCATTGTGGAGTCGTGCCGCTGTCGTGCAGTCGAGCGGAGGGCGAGCGTGAGGGCGAGCGGGTGAGCCAAATGAATGACAGCATAGTATTGCGAGATGGACGACAATCGTGTGAAGGCGACTGAGGGCGGATAGGAGTAGAGCTGGCCGCTGGATGGAGAAAAGCGAAATTGGAGTCGTGGTGGTGTATGTACTCTGGAATAAATCCAGGTGTTGTGGGTGTCTCGCGTCACGCGTCGCGCCTGCGCTTTCCAGTCTCAGGCAACACCGCCACCTCGCTTGCGTTCGCTGCCCCGCCACATCCCCACCGCCACACCCCCTCTTCCAACTTCCTGTCTTCCCCAAACACAGCACACTGCACTGCACCACTCAACACCGAGCGCCCGTCTCACAATATACCCATCGCCATCTATATTCCTCAACAGCGTTCCCCGTTGTTGCCGCACCACGTACACCCCCCGATCCTTCCGTTGTTGGGGTCTCTGGTTCGTCATCTGGTCGGAGCTTTCTTGCTGTGGCTCGGGCGATCCTCGCATTCGCCCGGGCATTACCAACCGCATATTGACAAGGTAATTGTACTATACCGTCCTGAAACGGCATTTGCATGAGGGCTGATGGGCCACTCTGAAGCCATCCATGCCCTCGCCCATGATGCCAATGCGCCTGAGCTCGACCAAGAGCAACACCGCCCACGGTTGGCAAGCGGGTGCTACGGCACCACCTTTTCCTCTACCGGCATATGGCCCTGCCCTGGACCGAAAGACGGCTGCAACACCACCCTCATCATGCCCCCATAACGCTCATCAACGGAACGCTGCTTCCCACGACACTGCTTGGGAATGCTTGAGAATGCTGAGCTTCGTGGCGTGCCATGCCATTGAGTTGCCACGAGCCTCTGCCATCACTGCCGTCTCCCAGCATGGTCTCCGCTGAGCCCTGCCTCTCGCCCCATGTCTTCCCCATCGCCCATCTCATCATCTGCCAGAAGCTCCTCCGCCTGGTGGCGCTGACGGATTGGGAACTGTCCCTCTTACCCTGGCCCTCCCGCTCGTCCTCCTAGCCCGTTCGGAAGCCTGGTTTTGCGCGTGCCGTGGCCACCAGGCCTGGGACCCTCTGCCAACCGGGATCGCGCCTGCAGAGCCCTCTAACGGCCTGGAGATCTTCTGGCTGCGTTCTAGAAATAATAGGGCTGCGCTGGCATGGACCATGTGTGACCCCCGCCCGCCACGGGCGATTGGAGTGCTGGTCGAGGTACTACCAAGCCGACCTTCATTTTCCCTCCGTCAGCCACTCACAACACGAGCCTGGCGGCATTGTAACTGCGCAAATGACCTGCAAAGTCTCTCAGTCTGGCCCTGGGGGCCCCGTCCCCGGCCCTTTGCTCATCGCATTAACCTTGACGTAGAATTCGTCCTGGGCTTGCCCTACTCAGCTAAGACCCTACCCTTCAGGAACAAAAACCGTCTCGTGGGGTTGCTGCTGCTCTCTGGTGCTTGGATTCGGATGTCCGTGTGGCAATTACATAGGACCGAGCGCAGAAGGGACATTCTGCGCCAACTTTCTTAATGCTCTTCTCCCTATCTCGCGCCAACAGGTTATAATGCACGGCGCTCCCAGTTGGACTCCCAAAGTTTAGTCTTCACCAGGGCTATATCCGGAGATCCTAACTCTTAACAGCCGCCCGATAAGATTCCTCTGCTGAATGGCGCGGCCTTCCAGATTCGACTTGCTGCAACATTTGTCAACTGAGCAAAACGCGAACCATCCCAAAACACGTGCGATACATCTCCTCGAGAGTCGGCACACCACCTCAAACTGAGCATCCCTTCTGGTCCAGGTCTCACCGCGGCGGCCTGCCAGAGCGAGCTAGCTCTGGTAGTCTCCATGCATATTCGCAACCCTGGCGACGAGTTCCTATCGAGACTTCTACTACGAAGTGCCAGGCGAATCCGGGGAAGACGACCATCACATTCCGACTTCAAACACCGAACACACACATGGCTTTCAGCACCAACATGGCTTCACGCCTGCGTGGGCCCCCGTCCTGCAGCCACAGCCCACTCAAACGCTTCAGACGGGAAGCGGTCCCCATCCCCCATACACAGACATCGGCACACATCAGAGTATACTTCAACCACACCCCGCGCCGTTCCGCAATCCCTCCATGTCAGGACAGTCTCCATCCACTCCCTACAACGTCGGCGGCTTTGGCCACGCTCCCCAAGAGTCAGTCTCGCGCAAGCGCAGCCGCCCAGACGAACATCTCCAACCCGATCTCCCAGCGCTAGATCAGCCTTCAGACCTGTACGGTCACGGGCCCGGAACCATACCCGTTCACCATCCCCCGCAGGGTTATCCCCTTCAACCCTACCCTCCCGCTCCCCCGCAAGCAGCTCCCACGTCTTCCTTCCACCGACACCGTCTCCCCGGGCCACCTCCTTCTAAGAGACACAACACCATGGAAGGCGCTCCTTCTTCCCCTCCGCAGACACATGGCCCACCGAGTGTCGTTGGACAAGAGGGGATGCCACCACCCGCCCCTCGCCCGCGCGGTCCCAAACTCAAGTTCACCCCCGAGGACGACCAGCTACTTGTCGACCTCAAAGAAAAGAAGAATCTCACCTGGAAGCAAATCGCCGAATTCTTTCCCGGTCGCAGCTCGGGCACGCTACAAGTCCGCTATTGCACGAAGCTGAAAGCAAAAACCACGCATTGGACAGATGAAATGGTGAGTGTTGGCACCTGAAACGCGGGACGTCGAGTCGCGCTGCCTCATGTTCGGACGTGCTAACCGGAACGGGACACACAGGTCCAAAAGCTTCGCAACGCCATGCAGGAGTACGAGAATGACCGCTGGCGCATCATCGCCTCAAAAGTCGGCCAAGGCTTCACCCCAGCCGCTTGCAGAGAAAAAGCCGCAGAACTCGAAGCGCTCGAAGCAGGTGGACAAGAAGAGGAAGAGAGCGGTTACACACAAACAGGTTCTAGCGAACAACAGGCGGCCTCTTTCCAGTGACTAGCCGAACAATTTGAGGAGCTGCATGCGTGGTAATAATGCTCATTAGGCGAGCGAGGGAAGCGGGTGGTTTGTGGGTTTCTTCTCTCTCAAGGGGGGGCTTGTGCTGGTCACGCTCCGTATTTCCCGACGCATTTCTGTGGGCAAGGGCACTATCATTTAATCACTGTTTTTTCACGCACGACGACTGTACGAATCTACGGAATACCCCCTCTTCTCAGCATACCTTTCGAGATGCCTCGGTTCGGTTGCGGTTCAGCATAGCGGGCGGCGTTGGGAGGTGCATGCGCAAGTTGTTTCGAGATATAATATGAGCGTTTGGGAGTGTGGGCGGTGGAGGATGCATGTATGGGGAGGGCGTCGACACCGCGCATGCGCTGGGGGTTGGAGATGATGGTGTAGAGCCAGAACCGGGACGCAACACACTTGCACAGACTTTACGGTTTCGCATCCTGCGTTTGTGAGGTGAAACTCAAATTCTGGAGCGGGACAGATAAGAAAGAGGAGGGACAGGACAGGAATAGATACCCAGGGTGAGGAACGAGAGTTTCTTGTGTTACGCATTTCGTTGTCTCCTTCTTTTTTTCGTCTTCAGCTTCTGCATATGCACGGCTACACACTTGAATTCTTTAACAGATAACTTAATTTGGATTCTTGCTATCTATTCCTTTTCTTCCGCATGTATGCATGCATGCAGAACGGTGCAGCACGATAGCTTCAACTTGAGCTTCGCGTCCTCTTTCTTTCTTGGCTCTCTTTTTTTTTTTTTTTTTTTTTTTTTTTTTTTTTTTTGTGCGTAGGTTCGTGTTACGTTTCTACGTTATAGATGGGCATTGCATTTGGAATCCCCGAACCCGATCGTCATACGTATACTCCGTGAGGGATATGCCGGATAAGAGGGGTTTGTTAAGCCATTCATGTGGGGTTTCTTAAGAATTGGAATTGAGGAAACAGAGCTATAACGTGTAACTATCGGATATTGGAATAATTGAAACGGTTAAGATGAGGGAGGGATGGTGAGTTTATTTTGGGATTTGGGAAGAGAGAATGGGAGTGGCTTGGAAGTAGACGGGTGTAGATGTGGGTATAACTGGATTGGATTGGATTGTGGGATATATGTACATGTATGTATATATGTATGTGTGTATGTAAGGTCTTCCAAGGATGTATATTAGAAGAAAACCACGCAGTATCCGGAGTACATGTGACAAGACTGAAAAGCATACAACACGCATAGGTAGGGCAAGCAATAACTCTTCCTCCTCTCCCCTCCTCACACCTATCTAGACATTGTAGGAGGCGTTGGTACCTGATGCACAGACACCCGCGCATCTGAAACCAATGTGAACCTGGAGCTTCTGGAGCGGTTCATGCTGGGTTGTTAGCGAGGCGGGTTCTGATGCAGGGACGCTGCGAACGGTACGGGTCGCTCCGGATTGTCGGGTCGATGGTAGCGATGTGTGATGAATGATGATGGTGGTGGTGGTTGGGGTGGATGGGTATGGAGGGCGGGGGCGAGCGACGGAAAGGGGATAGGGAGAAGGAGGTATGCGGGCGAGTTTAGGCGGGGATTGATGGGACTGAAAGATTGTGTGGGGAGTGTGGGGAAACGGTTTAGAGAAAGGGTGCGGGCTGCGAGATAGGGTATCGTGAAGTCGACCCTCGGGGAGTCTAGAAGTACGAGGTGGGCACGAGACGGAGTTAAAATCCCCGTCAACAACAGTACACGACGGCGTGCATAGCAGGACTATACTATCTACGACAACCTTATTTGCTAGAGAGCAAGTCACCATCTCAAAATTCTGCTTTCAACATCTTTTGTTCAATCCTAGGCATGTCGTTCCTCAATATCAATAAATACATCCCGTATACACACACCCCTCCAACTCCCACGTGCGCAGATGCGGTACGGTTATGCAAGTCATCTACTCTTCTCCGTCCTCCATCCTCCATACAGGACCTCTATTATAATATTGCTGGTACTGATATTGATCGGTATAGAATCCGCCATATAGCTTCTATGTTGTTGATAATACCCCAGAGAATGGCGTCACCTGCTAAGGTTAAGGAGTCAATATGATAAATGTCCCTCGTATAATAACGGCAGGTGTTTATAAGAAACATGTATACATGGGAAAAGGAGATCTTATAGCGTCCGTGACTTCTATGGGCCGGGACAAGCAGACACATCCACTAAGCAGAAGTGTTCCCAGGGTTTTGTGAATTATCGATCCGATCTCCCTCTCCATAAATCTATCTCTTTCTCCTCCTCATCATATTCTTTGCGACTGAAAGGTCTCACATCCGAAGGGATTGAAACAATGTTGCTCAGCCACTTCCGGCGCTCACATCAAAGTGCAAACACGCGACACCACATCGTAACGAGTACTCCTCGCCCTCTCAGCTCACAGCTAGCTACCTCCCTACACCGTCAGCACAAAAGGCGACCACCATACTCGGTACCACACATCACCCCCATGCAACAAACATGTTTCCCTCGTTCGCAGTGTAACCCCCATTTTCTGATTCTTCTCGCCCAGTGTCCCACAGCCCATCGGACGCAAAAAGCGCAAGCGGCGAACCCGCGAAAAAAATGTCGCCCTCTCCCCGCAACGTGACTAGCTGGGAATTCTTTATTATTGGATCGGTGTTATATGACTGCCTGTTTCTTGGATATATTAAGGGCAGGGATGGGGCCGGATATATGTTGACGGTGAGATGCACGGTGCGTGAGGGAGTTGGACGGTGATCAGGGATCCAGGGGAGGGTAAATGGCATGTGAAAGAGGTGATGATGATTGGGGAGGAGTGTGTGGACACTTCCGGAGATGAGTGCGTCGGTACCAGAGCGGTACCTGTCCGTGATGTTGCATTGAGAAAGAAGCGCTCTTAGGTTTCTGATTCGCGAGATCGCTTATACATGCTGATGGGCACATCGTACGGAGGATATCCCACGTACCCGTTACGGGTATGGTGTGCGAGCACGTTTACACAGTACATCGCTACCAAACCAGGTAGTCTAGACATACTCGCACATCCAGACCTGGAGGAACAAAAACAACGTTTCCAAGTTTATACCTCGCCTCTCTGCGCCCGTGTACATGGCGTGCTCGCTGTTATGAATAGAAAATGGCCTCCCCAACAGTGTACCCTCCGTCATGCACCCTCGGGCCGCAGACAGGCTGGCTGCCGGAGTGGGTGATGTTAGCGTTGGGATGCCGGGCGTTGGTCCCGCCACCCGGGTTGCAGGTAGGGTTGGGGTGTTCTTTGCCTCCCACGGTGAGCGGCGAGGAAGGTTGGGTGTTTGGTTGGTTAGGGTGGTCAGATCGGACGCCGCATGAGCAGAGAGGGCGAAGGAAGGAGGCCGTGGTGGATTGGAGGCGATTTCGCGTTCTTGGAACATTACTGGTGATGTTCGAATAACGAAGGGAGGCAATTGGCAAGAAGCAACGGCGAAGATAGATGCGTACGTGATGACCTCGACTGACGATACTGAGCCGAACGGAATTGATCAACAGTACACTATGCTTTCTGATTGCACCGTTAGTTGTTTACAAGGTATCGTGCCCTCGCTGCGAGTACATAGTCATCGCATACATGTTCTATACGCAAGGGGTACGTTACCTCATTGGATTCTCTCCGTGTAGATAGAGCATCTTGGATCATGAAGATACACTGCCCAAATAACTCACCATAACCAAGATCCGCCAAAACTCGCCAGATCTTCCAATAACCTATTCATAATCTTCACCCAATTCCATCCTTTCCTCCTCACCGACAATATCCCGAGCCGCATCCTCCTACCATACACCCACACAATCAATCACCGCAGATCCCCAACCGCACCCCATCCGACATGCATCCCACACGTGGCAGTGGCGAATAGCTATCCATGAAAAACTACACACCCAACCTCTCCCGCCCTTCCGTCAATCCTACCCGTTGCCATGCATACATGCACACTCCTGCATCGACGATCATTGATCTACGTCTCTCCGCACGGAGGGGCAACTGCAGTTCGCCTCCAAGTCGTGGCGACTGTTGTTCTAAGTTAGGAATCGCTATGTTTAGCTCCATCCGCAGTTCTGATTCTTGATATGTAAAGACGCCACTCAAGTGCCGAGTCGTTGCATCTTGGTTGCAGGGTGATCGAACCTTGTTGGAGGACATGGATGATGCTCGGACACAGAACTCTTGACCCCAGTTGGAGGAGACAAGCCGAACACCTAGCATCCCGCTTCGGCACTCCCTTTACGGCTTCGAAGCAGCCGCACCCTTCCTCTTCTCCTCCAAAACCTTAGGGTCCAGGAACGGTGAAGGGGTTAACAGCGGATTAAACCGCACCACTAGCTCCGCATCAGTAAAACAGCCTCCTACTCCCAGCCCCCTACGCGCGACCCATCCTCGACGCTAGACATACCTTTCCGTTCCGCCGGCTCCCTCGTATCAAATCCAAACTCCATCATCCCTTTTGCTAGCGAAGAAAACGGTTTCTCGGAATACGAGGTTGACGTCATTGGGCGCTTCGGAGGACTTAGGGGATGCTTTCTGTGCGGGTAGCGGGCTTCCGATGGTGGGGAGGGCATGTTGACGGGTTTATAGAAGGAATTATGTGTGCGCAAGAGTAAGCGATTTTTCAAGCTAATGGCGATGGTCGAGAAAGGGACATAATGGTATTGAAACTCTTGAAACTGGATGTGTGAGAGAACGTGTGGTCCGTGCGCGGTCTTGATGAAGCCTTGTATTGACAGATCATGATAAAGCGACAGGCCAAAAACGAGCTTAGAGTATCTAGAGACCTTGCCGTAAGAGTTTGCAAGTACTTGATCTTCTTAAAGCATTAAATAGGTCAATGGATCGGAATGATGGTTTTTGCATATCTCGAATACCTCTGTAGAGACACAAGTGAAAGCGTGTACTTAGTAAAGGCATTTCCTGAGTGTGGCTGAATTGCACATCTGGGCCTTTACACAAAAAGATACAACTCACCTGCAAGGATATTGCTGTTCGAATCTAGCCAACTTCGTCGTTCTGTTAACTGGGCCTGGAGACTTACCTAAGATGAATGCCTCCACGTCTTACACATACACAAAACGGGTTAGCTTTAAACATATACATGGATACGCTATAACTGCTAATAATGTTATAACAGAGGCCTGCCCTTGACTCTATTCTCGACGCATACTTTGATTTTCTCTATAACAGCTCTTCCACAGCCCAACCTATAAACCTACCACCCCTTCCCCTTCTCCCCCTCAGCCTTCCAAACCTCATCCTCTACCAACCACACCCCCACCAACACCGGACTCCACACCACCAACCACACCACTATCACTACACTTCCAACCCCCCAACACGCCCATCCCACAACTCTCCTCCACCATTTCGTCCTAGGCGCCCTCCATTCCCTCCCCGTCCCAACTTCCAAATCTCTGAAGAACCTCCGCGGGACAACAACATTCTTCGTCCCTTCCCACGCCCACACAAATATATTCATGTACTCATTTCCACGGAGAGAGTTGCCGTTCCGCTTGCGCGCCGCTTCCAGATAGACTCCGCAGACGTGGTTGTGGGCCGGGTCGCACTGAGGACACATTTCGCGGTTGCACATGTTGCATGTCGCTCTTGGGAGCTGCGTGCGGAGGGTGGGGAGGGAGGACCCGAGGGAGAGAAGGGAGAGATTCGAGTCAGAGATGCATGGGGAGCACGGATTGGAACCGTAGAGCATTGGTGTTGGGAGGTTGTTGGAGTTTGTTGTTGGGGGTCGATCTGTTGCCACTGGGGTCAGGTAGGTGGGATCGATTTCCACTCTGGTGGGACTTCCATCTGGAGATGAAGACTGATGCTGTCCGTTTTCGACGGGAAGGCCGTGCTCATCAGGTGGTTCGGGGTGCATGGTGAGATTGTTCCTGACGTTCTCGTGCTTGGAGGTGGTATTTGCCATGTGGGATATTTGGTCCGGCCCCTCGGAGGAGCGACTTCCAGACAAGGACGTCGACGAAGCCATCTTTGCTGCATTATGGCCGGTTTGCGATTGCGAGGACGTGATTGCAGCGTCGGGTCCCGTCTGCCGAGCTCCAGACATGCAATTGGCAGTGTTCATGGTCATGGTAGGTGGGCGTATATAGTTGCCCTTGAGGACGAGAGTTTAGCTGTGGCTTTCGTCCGTGGGACACTCCTTGTGAGGGCTTTGGCAATGTCGTGGGAAAGGTGAGGTCCTTTTCAAAAGGTAGCACTTACCTTCTGTAGTTTTCCAGAAGGAAGTGGCAGCCATGACCACTCACACTGAACGGTTCTGGAGGTGAGATCGACCGGGCGAACCTCAACACTCTTAAGGACTTCACCAAAGGGACATCGAAAAAGGTCCTGAGACCCTCCGAGATACGTACGTTCGATTCGCTCAATTACCTAGTATAAACACAAGGATTAATGTACACTGGTGCTTCAATATACGCCCGTTCCATCCTTATGAACGCCGTGCCATCCCATTCCTTTCCTTTTGCCCCTTCAATGCGTCAATCCATACATAGTGGTATCACTGCTCCACCTCTATTCAAATTGATTCTCCCTATCCACCCACACATCCTCCAGTTCCGCAAAATTCGAGAAATGCAACGGGCGATGCACGGCATCGTAGAATCGCACAGGTGTGTCGAGCTTAACATGCACAGGCTTCTTCTCCACAGAGCTGAATGCCGCACCCATGAAGCTGTAATTCCAAATGCCGTTTTCGGGGACGAGGAAGTAACCACGGATTTTGTCGCTGAGAAGAAGCTGGCACTTCTCGCCAAAGGAGGTAGAGAAGCCTGCTGGATTATCCGACATAACGTCCTTGTTCTCAGCACCCCACTTGTAGCCGTTGGGAGTAAGGGCCCAAGCCGCCAGCGACACGGAGCCTGGCGTGAAGGAAACAGTCATCGAGACCGTCTTCTTGTCCCAGCTAGCGTGCGCATTCATCAGTCGTGCATGCTGAGTCACGTCGCTTGCGGGCATGTAAGGCGGTTCGTTCCCGCTTACCGTGTGAATGATTCCCAGTGGCTCCAAGTTGTCAAGATACTCATGCTGCGGCAATTGCTTCGGTAGCTGCACATCACGGGTTCCGCCGACCTGCGGAATCATGACAATGGTGCAAATCTCCTTGACTTGATCGTTATCGGGGGGTGACCTGCCATAAAGATAACCAGCAACCTGGGTCCGAAGATCCGCAATGGTGATGAAACGTTTCAAGATGTTCTTGGGCATGACATAGGTGTTATGTCCGTCTTCCTTGACGTCCTCCGAGTTGATGTAGATGTTGTTGGCGCGAGTGCGAAGGTTCGAAGTTGCCACAGCTCGGGTGCGCCACTCAGTCTTCGACGCAAAAGTTGCCTGTTCGTACTGGGAAGTCGTCGTGACAATGATTTCCTCACCGTGCACATTCTGCGTCTTCGTCGTCACAGCGGTCAATTGCGCCTGTTCCTCTTTTTGCTTATCGATTTCGGCAGCCTGTTGACGCTGCATGGAAGGAGCCGATATCTCCATACCGAGGATGATATCGCGGACCTCGCTGCTCGTAAGAGACGACGTGTTGACGTTATTCTTCTTGCCGTAGTCATTCAAGATGAGATCACGCAGTTGCACTTCGACCTTGATCCAGTCCTCATCCGAGAGAGTCGGCCAGATATGATGTTCTTGTGTCACAACACTCTTGTCGGGGCGCAAGATCAATTTCGTCTTGTCCATGTTGACGTGGAGAGCGCGCAGAATCAGGATCAATCGGGAGAAGGCCGTGTAAGAGGAGATGGTCTTCAACCACTCATCGTAGAGGTTGAAGAGCACCATCTGCGGACCTGTCGCTCGCAGAATCATATCGCCAAGCTTCTCGACCTTCATAGCGGCCTGGAACGGCAGCTGCAGCTCCGAAGCACGGATAGAGATGTTGGGGAAGTCAAGCAGATGTACCTCGAGGGGATCCAAGAGGCCTTTGCGGGTGACGATGAGCTGCTTCGGCTGCTCTTCGACGGGCAACGATCGAATCAGAGCGGCGACTTCTTCGGCTGTCTTCCACTTCGCCAACTGACCCAGACGCTTCTGGCCAGCCCAGACACTGGTGTGAATGATCTTCAGGAAGAGTTGACCAGTCCGGGGATTGAAAATGAAGATGGCACCATTGATGGGTTTGGTAGTCAAGTTACCTTCGAAGGTCTTGTGGATGGTGACGCGGTACACGTTGGTATCATCGATAAATAGCTGAACCTGGTTGCTGAACAGTTCGGAATAGTTCTGCGAGTTCAAGAACTCCTGGTTGCTCTCAGATGCGTACAACTGGAGACCCTTGCGAATACGCTCGCGCAGCACGTACAGAGCAGGATTAGCCTTCATAATCTTTGCCATGGCCTGCTGGATGAGCTGCTTGAGACCCGGGAAGTACTGGCCATAAGCTGAGTACAGATTGTAGGCAAGGTCGATTCCGATCATCAAGCCGGTGGCCGAGGGGTAAATGCTCATGCTGTCCGTGGTGTAGTCCAGGTACTTGGCGCGGACATAGCGCTCAATATCGTGAGAATCGTAATCACCATATCGAAGCTGTACGTCGATCCAGAATTTATTCGTAGTCGTCGAGCTCATGGTGTCCTTGGTGTCGTAGAGCATGGAAGGCGGGGAAACGCTCCACTTGTGGCTGGCAAACAACAAGATATCTGCGCAGGAGCTATTCATCTTGTAAGACTTTCGAGGATGAATAGTCTCTTTCTGCACAGTCTCGATGCCAAGTGCTTCAAGCTCCTGGTCAAAGACCTGACACAAATCCATAACGACCGACTCGTGAATCTTCTGCCACAAATGGGCACGGAAGATCTGAATCAACGAGATCTTGAGCGTAGGAATCTTGCCGTGCAAAAATATGCCGGTCAAGTCAAGCTGGACCTGGAAACCCACATACACATTGGCTCGGTTGATGGTGGGAGACCACCAGAGGGTGAAACGGCGGTTGGGAATTTGGTTGAGACCGGATCGTTGGGCATTGGTAAGTTTCTTGAACTTCATCGATTCCCTAGAGTAGCACAAGTCAGCATGGTCTCCTCAACCCGGGGCAACGGTATCTTGAGTATAGGGATGGGGAAGAATAGTAGAAGGAGAAAGCAAGAGGGATAAAGCATCTCGCCGGCGCTCCTTTACATAGGAATGCGGAAGGAAGAGCAGCAGATTGGAGTTGAGATGGGGTATCTGGGCGCTGGCTTTTGCAAGGGTATGCGGAAAGCAAGAAGGAGCAACAGGCAAAATCAATGAAGCAACTGAAAGTCACAAAAACCCAAGGGATAGTGCGGTATTGGTATAGGGGTGCGGAACAGCAGAAGGAGGCAAATGCAGGGCGGATGAAGCGTCTGAGGGGGGTTCTTGTTGACGGAGCGGCGGCGAATAGAAGAAATGGAAGGTATAAACGAAACAAGAACTCACTCGAAACCACTCGCTCTTTCCCAGAATAGGCCTTCCCAGGACGGAAACGCGGTTGCCTTGAACAGTGTATGTTCAAGGATGGTCTCCACACCGCCAAGAGCCTGGATAACATCGGTCCGGTAGGCGTTAAGGTTCCACAATTTGCCGTCGTGACGCTGGCTCGTCCACCAGAATGGATTGCTCTTCATGTGCTGATAAATCTTGAACTCAGCCCGGGCGCGGAAGCCCTTGTCAAAGCTGAGCGTGCTCCGGTCTTTCTGGAATAGCGTGTTGATACGAGGCAGACCCCGGTCCCAGCTGTCTTCCAGATCCTCAAGTGTCAGACGTCGATTCTGTTGGTTAGCTTCCTGGCGTTTCTGGGCGTACTCCATCCACACCCTCTGTGAATCAATGAACTCCGACTCCCACGGGATGATGTAGCGGAAGATATTCGGAATAAGAGTCTCTTCATCATGTGACATGCCAGCACGATAATGGGTGACACCGGTATCCGTCTGTTTCGACCAGCGTTTGTCACTGGTTGGGATTAAGATGTGCGATCCAGATATCATTCCCAATCCTCCGAGCTCCTTCGGCGTGTAGAAGACTGCAGGTGGGAAACGTGACGGCATCTTCGAGTTTAGGCCGATCTTCACACGGGTTTGGATCTTGGTCTCACACTTCACAATTGTATCAAGCAGGCTGACAGTAGATACGGCGGCCTCTCGGTAGTACGTGAATAGGGCGATCAGTGTTGTATTCCACTTGTTGGCAATCTTGGTGAATGTCGTAGATCCCGAAGACATGAGAATCTGTCTGATGCGGTTGTTGAACTTTTGAATATCCTCTTCAGTGACCTGCAAGAAGGCGTGGGCAGTACGTTCCTTCGTGGTACTATCGACCAGAGACCACACGCTGTCCTTGACAGGGAACTCATCGCTGAGGTTACGGATCTTAGGCAGAATGCGAACTTCGAAGCCGCACATTGAGAAGAGGAGGTTAGGATTGTCGCGACTGTAGACGCTGGCAAATGTATCATCCCACTCAATGGTGGTGACAGACCGAGGTAGACGGTTTTTCAGGTCCCAGAATACCGCACGACCCAGGTTAACGTCATGGCGCATAAGTCGCATTCTTGAATCCCTTGGCCAGCACTTCTTGTTGCGATACCCGATCACATTCTCGAAATTCGGATCGGGTTGCTCGGTTAGGAACCGCTGAATGAGGTCGCGAGATTCGTCGGCCGTGAACCTGAAGAACACCCAGATTCGGTCGATGTATCTGGTATACAGCCGGATGGGGTGACGAGTCTCCGTCTCCTTGTCTTTAAACTGCAAGAAATCGTTTGGACTTTCGGGCGCACCCGCAATCTCGTTCGCTCTTTGTAGACCAAGGAGAAGGATATCCAGTACCAGCCCATAATATTGGAAAACAAAAGCGGAGAACTGAAGACCGCGGATCATGCCGTATGCATTAGTGTGATTCATGTCCTTATAGTTGAGCTGAACATTGTTCTTGGCCGTGATGTAGTCGGCGAGGTTGTGATCCATGATCAAGCGCAACAGGCGGTTCAGCATGGTGATGTCGACTTTCTCATAGACCTTGGACAACTGTGTCTCGATCATCACATTGCATTCGCCGTCCTGATACTCCCAGACTTTATCAAGATTGTTGATTCCTTGAGCCCACTTGTAAACCAGCAGAGGTGGCACCTCGGAATCAGAGGGCTTGATCCAGTTCGGGAAAAGATGGCGTTGATCGGCCTGGTACCAGAGGTATTGGTCAAGATAAGCATCGGTTATCTTCTCCATGGGCTCAACGTCGTACACCGGATTAATGGTGCTGTAATTGTCGTTCATGTCGATGCCCACCTCCTTAAACGCACGCTGGGTCAAGAGGAACCTCTTTATGCGCGCCAACGTGGTCCCGGGAGAGTCATACGCTTGTTCAATAAGCGCCAGCTCCTCGCGCTGGCTCTGATTCAGGCGCCCCTTGACCGAGTATGCTTCTCGCAACCGTTCCAAGGCCAGAATCAGAATCTTGGTGTCATGCTTGTATGAGACACTCGGGAACGGGATCGGCTGGAACTTGCGAGCTTCTAGCCAGTGAACCATCGTTGTATAGATGGCGACGGCCTCTTCCGAAGAGACATACGGTCCATCCTTCATGTAGTTGTGTTGACGCTCTTGCTCCGCCTTTAACCACAATCGTGTGAGACGTCCGAGATTCTTTTTCGCCACCGTCTTGTCCACTGTAGCACCGCGTCGAATACGCTCGCGGTTATAATGGGCAACCGAAATCCACCAATCCGCTTTACTTTTGACGTATCGGAGAATGATGTTCTCAATGGGGGCAGGGAGTCCAGGCACCTTCCAAGGAATATTGCTCTTCCAGCACCGCCATGCTTCCGACAGATGCTGTAGAACAGTATTCACCTTGCTTTGCTTGATACCTTCTGGCATCATATCCATCAGATCGCTCATAACCGCAGCGCGGAGTTCGAGATCAAAGTGTGACTCGACACGCTGCTTCGTGACGGTCTTGGCAACACCCTTGCTGTGTCGGCCTTCGAACTGGCGCGATAGAAGATTACCTAGCCATCTCTCGAGAAGAGGGATGATTCCACGCATGAAGAACAGCCAAACACGCCATGCTGGAGCCCAGAAACCACATCCTGGTCCCTTCCCGACAGGACCAGAGTTGAAACGGTAGTATATCAAATGCTTCAAGTCTTTGCAGGAACGAATTTGATGCATCAACTTGTACTTGTATCGGTACATTCCAGTAAGCTGGCCAACGTGATTGAAAGCATAGAGGATGCCGTCGGCCAGCTGGAAGGCGTCGATATTGCCCAGGCGGTATTGTACTTGCGCATCTACAATGAGTTTTGTCAACCGCAAGATCTCACGCATGAGATGGAATGCGTTTCCGAAGCGAGACTTCTTCCGCTCTTTCGTGGTGAGCGTTTTGACGGGCTTCAGGTTGAAGTTATAGTCAAGGTGGAGGTACGTCAAGTTCTTGCGATGGATCAAGAGATTGAGCATGTTGTAGCCTTGACGGCAAACTTGAAGTCCAGCTTCGACCCAATCGATCTTGGTCTGTTGGAAGAACTTTGTCCCCTTGAGCGTCCTCATGAGATTTTGCTTGTTCTGAGCTTTCGGTTGCTTCTTGTGCAGTTCATTGAGCACGTAGGTCTTCAGAAGCTTCTGGTACGAGACCCGCACCTTCACTGGCTGACCTGCGGGGACATGCTCCAAGTACCACTGTTTTACGAGTGGTACGTCCTCGGCTCTTACCATTCTCCCTGACCTCTTGTCGAAAGGATGCGGGGCCCACCACAAGGCGATAGCGGAAGCTGTGTCTGGTGTATAAAGCTCCTCCTCTGCCATGAAAGGCTCGACATCGTCGGGAAGCTCGAAATCGTCATCTACATCATTTCCTAAGCCAAAAATCTCATCCTCATGACTGACGGTGATGTTCTTGGGAGCAACCGCTCGCGATGATATCGGATTGATGATAGGATCGAAGTAGAACGCCGGCAAGCTGGGGTCTTCCGAACGAACATATACAACCTGGGGGTAGGAGTACCAAGCAACTTTGACGCTCCGGGGTAGAGAATTATAAAGGTAAGGGAATGAAACTCGGTATTCAGTCCGGATCGGCGAGCGGAAAATGATTCGATCAATCGCATTGAATTCTCCAAAGTCTTCATCGTTAGGATCGATGTCCTTGTACAACGGTTCGAATCGAGGACCGCCGGGGATTGCAACGTTGAGTGCCTTTGCGGTAAGGAAACTGTCAAGATCGAACATGTGGAAGTAGTTCTTATCCACGAGGTCGCTCAGAAGTTGGCGACTAAGCCGATACAACGTAGCCATCTTAGGAAGATCCAGGTTCCACTCCTTGTAGCTATCGCCATTCACGTGCGAAGTATCCAGCAAGGGCCGATGTTCGTAGAACCAGTCGATGACCGCAGCATCTTCATCCTCATCAAGTTCCAGCTGGATAGGCTCGAGAGGTTCCACATCCTCGATATTCTCCGAATAGGACAGGGGCGGCTCTTCATCGTCGAATGGGGGAAATCGCATCCGTTTAAAATGGCGACGGTCGCTCTTCTCCTTTCGCATGGCCAACCACATGGCTGCCCACTGTGCGTGGAAAACTGGCTCTATAACGCGCGGGATCTCGTTCACTAGTGTCAAGCAGCCATTGATGTGATAGAGCACCTTAACATCGCGTCTGCTTTCCCAAGGCATCGGCATGTTCTCTAGAAGCTTTAGGACCGCGTGGGGCATGAACTTCAATGCTCCTAGGTAGCTCCGCTTATCGCTGGAGAATTTCCTTTGTGAAACATCGCCAATGTCCTTGAAGATCTTGCGCAAATGCTCAGGGGGCATATCTGCCTTCTGCGTTTCCACGAACCCAGCCTTTCTTCGCTCGCCGAAACGCTGCCGCTGTTGCCGAAGCCATTCCTTCTTCTTCTGCGCAAACTTTGCGATTTGAGGATCCACCGGCGGCCGGCTACTCAGAGACGCGACAGCGCCAGGAGCGCCCGGTGGCGGAGGAGGGGGAGGAGGAGGGGGGGGAGCGCCATAGCTAGAGCCAGGCGGTCCAGGAGGAGGTGGTGGAGGAGGTGGCGGGGGAGGAGGGGGTGGAGGTACCATCTTGAATTGAGAACAGTAAACAGCTTGATGATACCGTCAGCAAGAGTTGATGTCGACGCGGGCTGCTGTCGTGGAGCTCACCAAAGACTGGTTCCTCTAAGTTCCCCAGGAGTTGAAAAAGTTAGCTCTTGCGAGCTCCGCGGTATGGACGCGTCCCAGGTGCCGCAGAAATGACCACAGAGATGCGACACAGAGTAAAGAGAGGTAGAAGGGTAAGGAAAATACCTCCCACGCTTCGCGCGATGGAAAGTAATGCGCTTGGTGGAAGGGTGAGGTGGCGTCCTACTTTGAAGTTGATAGTTGCGACATGGAAGTCGCGCCAAGCCGAACCTTTGCAATTCTTGGCTTCCGCCAACAGGCAGCGAGTCACGTGTACGGCAAAACGTCGGTGCCAAGGTTTCGCTTCCCACGAGCACATTCGCATTTTGACGAACCGCGATACTTTCGACGTTTGAACCACGATAGCCAACACGTCCCGCGGTAAGTCCACACGCATCCTGCACGCCATTCCTTGCTATCCATTGTTCTAATTCATCAAAGATATAGGTACGATTTAATTTTTCTCGCATACCGGCCCACGCTCATTAGGCCTTCTTGCAGGAACCCTCATTCTGATTCTCCGGGAACATCGTCGCGATGCCGAACACCAGACTTACCTATGTATGCCTCTCCGCGCTACGAAATGAAAATTGAAAAATGGAGGATTAGGACATGACGGCTGACATTAAGGATGCAGCGCCGAAGGGCTCCCTACAACACCTCGAGCCAGAATGTTCGTGTGATCAAGACCCCGGGAGGCAAGCTCCGGTACCTGCACATCAAGAAGAGGGGCTCTGCACCCAAGTGCGGTGTAAGTTGGATTTAAGATGAAAGCGTACCCAATATCTGATTTTCCGCCAGGACTGCGGCATCAAGCTCGCTGGTATCCCCGCCCTCCGCCCCCGCGAATACGCCACCGTCAGCCGCCCCAAGAAGACCGTTCAGCGTGCCTATGGTGGTTCTCGCTGCGCCAACTGCGTTCAGGACCGCATTGTCCGCGCATTCCTGATCGAGGAGCAGAAGGTGGTGAAGAAGGTGCTCAAGGAGTCGCAGCAGAAGAAGCGCTAAGCGCCGGAAGGGAGCTGGAGAGGAATGGACGTCGTCAATGAGGAACACCGGTGTTATGGGCATTATGGGCCGTTTCCTATTCCAGGCCGGGTTTTAGGGTTCAATGCACACAAAGCGATACCTACATCACTTTTGCGGGTCCACCAGGGACAAGCGACTGGGTAGGAGAATCAATGTCAGTGAAAAGTCACGCATAAGGCTGTCTTTCTTGGGTGATGCGAGAGAGGAGGTGGGTGCGAGAGGATGGAAGCACTGCTCGCAAGACAGACCCGCGGTATGGCAATTACATTGCGAAGAATTGAGCCTCCGGTTTCCATCCGTATGTGCAGGACTTCGGTGCAACCCGATATTCGGTCGATTGTATGCTGTCCGTTGAGGACCGGCGCTGAAAGATGTCGTCCAGTTCACCTATGTTCAGGGTGATTGGTTGTGTCCAGCACCATAAGCAGTACTGCAATGCGTCAACAGCCTTGAACAGCCGCTACCCATGCCAGACGGATAGGCTGAATGTCGTAAAAGGGGATTACGGCCTCTCGATATACGAGGCTCCGTGTGATCTGCCCTCGTGTTGTGCTAGTCTAGCTGTCTTACCCACTGGTTCGCCGGTCGCCTGCATCTATGCGTTCGGTCCCATCAACCCTCGACCGCCAGCCTTGGAGAGCGTGCAGCAGGTATCCCAATTCCCGTGAGTCAAGCTGGCTGGCCCGTCTACTTAGGTGCGCCACCCCAGCGCGACGCACAATAATAATAAACAGATAAACAGAGACTCACGCGGAGGTTTTTGCCGGAGCTTCGCCGCCGTCCAGGCCTAGTCCTCCCGATTGGATCTTCACGGCACCCCGCACAGTCAACCTCTACGCCCGCTTTGGGGCGCGCTCTCGAGCGATATCGGTGCTGGATCCTGAGCTGCCACGGCTGTTTGACCTCAGCAGGATGCTCTCCATGTCCCCGACGACTCCGGGGACCCAGAGCACACAGCAGCTGTCCTACATCGCGAGTCCCACGAGCGCGCGCTCCAACGTCTTCAAGCGCCCCGCCTCGAGCGACGACGAGGCAGAGAACGGCGAGAATGGTCGCCAGGCGCAGTCGCGGCGCACTGCCGTCGTGAAGAGGGGTCCGTATGCCTTGAGATATTTTGCAACGGCGAAGGAAGACGCTAACCAGGCAGTGAGCAGCGTGCAATGAGTGCCGGCAACAGAAAGTGAGTCAACCCTTTTGCGCTTGCGCCTCGGGACACACATAGGGACGACCGACTGACTTGCTCGCAGTTGAAGTGTAATGTGCAACAAGAGCCCTTCAAGGCCTGCGACCGATGCGTCAAACAGCGTCTCAGATGTGTCATCGAGCCCAACTTCAAGCGCGTGGGGAAGCGGAACCGCAATGCCGAAATGGAGAAGGAGATGGAGCAGCTGCGGGAGCGCCTGGCCATGTATGAAGGTAGAGGGGCATTACTGCCGCAGCAGGCTTCTACCGCTAGCAACGGAGGAAATGGCTATGGCCAGACGTCCGACGAGAGAGACGCGAAGGACGCCTATTTACAGAGCCAGCACCAGCAGGTTGCAACATCGCTGTTGGATCTCCGCAGCGGCTCGCCCATGTTCGTTTCCCTGGGCACTGAGCCCAACGACGTCAAGATTACTCCCGCACAGGCAACCGACCTCTTCGACGAATTCTTCACTCATTACCATCCTTTCCTGCCATTCCTCGAACCGACGCGATCTCCGGACGATGTCTACTCCAAGGACTCCAAACTGCTATTCTGGGCCATCATTAGCGTTGCGGCCCGCCACTATCAGGGCGACACCAGTCTCCTGAAGCGCCTCAAGGAGCCCTTGACTGACGAGATATGGCGGACAATCAAGACGCAGCCCAATCACCATGTCGTGAAGGCACTTTGTCTTCTTTGCACTTGGCCCCTACCCGCAAGGACGACTGTCAGCGATCCTACGTTTATGCTTTGCGGAGTCATGATGCAGATTGCCATGCAGATTGGCTTGCACCAACCCACACATCCGCAGGACTTTTCGAGGACGAAAGTACAATTGGAGAAGGAAGATATCAACGATCGTCTACGGACATGGGCTGTATGCAACATCGTCGCTCAGACGTGCGTCTTTCTCCGCAAGAAATCCCATTGCAGCTTGCTAACATCCAGTAGTGTGTCCACAGGCTATGGGCAACCATCCATCACGCTATATGATTCGACCCTGGAATTCAGAAGCGATGATGAAAATCATATGAAGATCATGTCCCCCACCCTATTTGTACGGCTGCGCCAGGAGATGGCTGCTAGTCGCATCAATAAACTGCTCTATGCGTCGACGAGTCGAAAGTTTGCCGACGGCGCGGCTACGACATACATGCATCTTGAGAATGATCGCATGAAGGAAGAGCGAGAGAACCTGGATGGCGTTGACAAGGGTGGGTGTCTTTGCTTGAAACCCGACATTGCAAACTAACCGCGAATGTAGGCACGGAAGAACTGCATCACCGGGCAGTTTCCCTTCATCTCCACCTTTACTCCTTCTTCAATTCCGAGCCCCGCCTGGAAAGGCGAGACGATTTGCTCGATCTCTACTATGCCGCCACAGGCTTCCTACAATGTGTCTTCGAGCTGCAAGCCGAAGACAAGTTGAAATATGTCCCCTTCTACATCATGCAGATGTCCTTGGCCGCCGGCTTTGCCCTGCTCAAACTCCTAAACTCGGAATTTTCCGCTCGGCTGCCGTTCGACCAGGGTCGTAACTTTGTGCTCAAGACGATCGATGCGATGAGGAAATCCAAGGTCATGCCGAACGATCTATTGGACCGGCTCGCGGAAGTGTTGGCGCAGCTGTGGAAAGAGAGCTCCCGCGGCCGAAGCAGTCTACACAGCATGTCACAATCCCCTGTCGTCGGCAATTCGAACATCTCCATGTTTAATATGAACCCGCAGTCCGAGCGACGAGAAAGCAACGGCATGCTGGAAGATCCACTCGGCCTCATCATCCGGAGTCGCATGAGCATGAGCGTTGTATTCGACTGTGTATGGCGCTGGCGCGAATCGCAGGTCAGCGGTGCTGCCGAACAGCTCGATGCCAAAGTCGTTAATAATCCTACCAACGCTGACAGTTCGGGCAACGAGACGCCGCCTCCGGATTCGCTTGCAGCTGAGAACTCGGTTCATACACTATCCCAGTTCAACCCGCACCTCAACACGCTCAGCATGCCGTTACAGCTGCCGAATGGTCTGATGAGTGCCAACAGCTTCGAGATTTTCGATCCGGTTAGCTGGATGTTGGAATCGCAGACTGAGTGGGGCGGTTTTGGAGGGACATTTGGGCAGGAGTTTGGTGCTTGATTGCCGTTCGTCGATCTCTTTATGCAGATCAGGAGACCCTTTTCGACTCCGACCGAACATCGATCACTGGCCCAATTCTTTCCTTTCTACCGCACAGAACTGAGGATCTGTAGCCTCCAATCACGCAACTATACCCCTCGGGCACAATAACTGTGATTATGGGTTCCATCTAGTATTCATTCGGCGCCTCGGGGTCTGAGGGCGGCGGTCTGGTTTTGGTTTTGGTCGTTTTGGCATATCCGTGTTGCACTTGCTTTGGCTGTTTGACGTACCGGTCTATTGCTCTCATTGATAGGAAACTATCATATCCGTGAATTGTGTGCATGCTTCGCATGTGTACGGTACTGGTATTATGTTTGAGACCTTTTGGTTCCAGAGGATATATTGGTTTATCTCACAACTAGAATTGACTCAAATCTAATAGAGTAATCCACCCCGAATGTGTCTCGGCTCATACGCCAGGCGGATATTGGGATACGGGACCCGATTGTATTGAGCGACAAGCAATGGGTTGTGCTGTTCGTGTGCACGTCCCTAGATGCCAAGATGATCGATCGCATCTGGGAACGATCAGCTCCCACGTGCAGACTCGCGGATTCGGCCCGCTGACGGGCATGCTCGTCAACACCGCCCTCTTCCTGAAACATGGCGACCATGGAATAGACACCAACTCTCTCCTTTCTGCCCGTCACTGTTTCTCGTTTCATTCACCCGCTGTACTCCACTTCATGATATCACGGGCCTGATACCGCTGCGGCTGTCACCGAACTGCGACAGCGACACTCGTGCACCCTATCGTCACCATCGCATATCGTCACCTTGTACCCCCTCTTTAGGCTCCACGTAGTTGAAAACACCGTCCTTCGCGATGGCGGGTGAACGCCCTCTCCTTTCAGCGCGGTCCTCTTCCGAGCGCTCCCGCGACCTCGCCGAAGAAGATGCCCTCCTGACCGGCCAACGCACACATCGCACGTCCGGACCGCGGACATTGAGATTCTGGAGGGAACTAGGCCTTTTCGCATGGGCTGTCGTTGCGACGGCAGCTGTTATTATACTTGCGGTCGTCTATCAGAAGTCCCAAGATACGCATCATGCCAGTCCGGGGCACTCGAGTGGAAAGCGAAACCTAGTCTTCATGGTCAGCGACGGTATGGGCCCGACGAGTTTGAGCTTGACTAGGAGTTTTATGCAGTTCAAGAATGGAGCACCATATAATGAGCAGTTGATCTTGGATAAGCATTTGATCGGTCAATCGAGGACGAGGTCTTCGTCTAGTTTGATTACGGATTCGGCGGCCGGAGCTACCGCCTTCTCCTGTGGAATGAAGAGTTACAACGGTGCGATTTCGGTGCTGCCGAACCATGAGCCCTGCGGTACCGTGCTTGAGGCGGCGAAGAAGGCGGGATACATGACGGGCTTGGTCGTGACGACCCGGATCACCGATGCGACGCCTGCGTGCTTTGCCTCGCATGTGAACATGCGGCAAGAGGAGGATCGAATCGCGGAACAGCTGGTTGGGGATCATCCGCTTGGACGTGTTGTGGATTTGATTCTTGGGGGTGGACGATGCCATTTCCTGCCCAATTCTACCTCGGACTCCTGCAGAGCGGACGACAAGGATATCGTTGATCTGGCGAAGCAGAACGGCTTCAATTACGTGTCTGACCGGAAGGGTTTCGATGCGCTGAAGGCCGGAAAGGCGGTCAACTTCCCCTTGCTTGGCCTCTTCGCGGATGGCGATATCCCGTATGAAATCGATCGACGCAACGAAGGTGACATCTATCCGGCTCTCCATGAAATGGCAGAGACAGCGTTGAAGGCTCTTAGCCACGCTACGCGGGATAGCAAGAAGGGCTTCTTCCTTCTCATCGAAGGCAGCCGTATCGATCATGCTGGCCATCACAACGACCCAGCCGCCCAGGTCCACGAAGTCCTCTCCTACGACAAGGCGTTCGCGAGTGTCCTGGAGTTCCTCAGGAACGAAGCCACAGACGGTGTCATGGTGTCTACGTCTGACCACGAAACCGGCGGTCTAGCAACCGCACGACGTACGTATACTCATCCCTCGTAATGTCCAACGGCTAACGTCCATGCAGAACTCCACGCGTCCTACCCCGAATACCTCTGGTACCCCGGCCCCTTAGCCAATGCCTCGCACTCCGCGGAACGCCTCGACCTCCTCTACAAAGAGTTCCTCCTCGCCGAACCCTCCCCTTCGAAATCCAAAACCACAGCCTTCGTCAAAGATCTAGTCATCACCGGCCTCGGCATCCATGACGCCTCCGACGAGGAAATCTCGAACCTCGTCGACGTCCCCGATACAGCCTTGTACCAGTTCGCAGACATGGTGTCTCGACGCAGCCAAACCGGGTGGTCGACCCATGGCCACTCAGCCGCGGATGTGAATATCTATAGTAGCGATCCGCGCGTTGCGTCGGCCCTGGTGGGGAATCACGAGAATACCGAGGTTGGGAAGTTTTTGAGCGATTATCTCAATGTCGATGTTGATGCCATTACGAAGGAGTTGAGGGAGAAGGGCAAGGAGCTGAAGGTTCAGAGTGCGGATGGCGAAGAGGTTAGTTGGATGGGACGGTTACCCGAGGAGGGAGAGAGGCTGGATGGGCAGGATCATGTTACGGGATATGCGGGGGATTTCAGGAAGCGGTATGCGGGGAATCTGATGAAGAGAGGGGTGGTGCATGGGAGAGGGGACGACTGTGGGTGTGGGATGCATTAGAGGGTATGTTTCGTTTATGTACAAGTGGGTTCAGACGGGTTTGAACGTTTTGCGATTCCTCCGTGTACGTACTACAGATATATGCTATCATTTTCTTTCTCGCAAATTTCGTCCACATTTTCCTTATATTTGGCCATTTGTGCTATCTTTGAGGTCTTACTCGTATTTAACTTCTCGGCATCCCTCAGGCCCCTCATTTTTCATGTCATCTTTTCATTCTAGACACTATCTTTCGGCGACTTTGCAGCTTACGTCGCGAGAAAAGTCTCCATTGTCTCCGCCGCCACTACTACAAAGGGCGTGGATGTGTATATAAATACTCTGACCATCTTGCTTTACTTCAACGCTGCTGTGCATAGTATCCATCCGAAGTCCACACAACTCCCTCTCTCCTTCAAGTCAAGGTACCCAGCTTCGTCCTAAACACGATCCTATCTTACGACAGCACAAATCCTGTCGACTCCCATATACGTTTTGGTGTCTTTTACTTTTCACGGTCCCGAGAAGAATACTGTCAATATACAACCCCCAGTCCCGCTGCTCAAAACGAATTAAGGACTCGAAGGACGGGACTACCCAGGACCTATTTTACACACCACTAAACATGTCGACCCCAACCCAAACCAGCCAGCCGTCACCCAACACCTCACCCCTCAAAACCGAAGTCGAAAACCCAAATAACCCCCTCTCGACCCTCTGGTCCACATCATCCATCGCGCAAGAGTATCTCCGCACAGAGCGCATCACGCGCCCCTATGCCGACGTACTGGTGCAAAAAGCCGGTTTGGCAGACCTTATAGAGGGCAACGCACGAGAGGAAACCGGAGAGGAAAAGGGGGAGGTGAGACTCTGGGATTTTGCGTGCGGGACGGGAGCTGTTGTGGCTTGTTTGTACGACAAGTTGCGGCAGGGAAGAGAGGAGGTGGTGAGAGGGAAGATCAAGGTTCTGGCTGCGGATGTGAGTCCCGAGATGGTGGCGTATACGCGGGAAAGGGGGGAGAGGGAGGGGTGGAAGGAGGTGTTGGGGTTGGAGACGCGTCTGGTGGATGTGACTGTACGTTCTCTTTTCCTCTTTTCCCATCCCCTCCTCCTCTCCTTGAGGTTTCAATTCCATCCCTGAATAACAAACCCCCCACAGAACATCCCCCCCAACCTCCCCTACAACCCCCCAACGCACCTAACCCTCTCCTTCGCCCTCATGGCCCTCCCCACCCTTACCCTCTCCTCCCTCCATACCCAGCTCGCCCCCTCCGGAACCCTAGCCCTGACAACCTGGTCCTCCATATCCTGGTACACGTACCTCCTCTCCGCAGCCCAGCTTGTGCTCCCACCAGACCTCTTTTCCGCCACGCCCTCGGAGCTGGGATTCATCAACATCGCGTTTCCGGATCGGAAGTTGCATCTGCCGGAAACGACGGAGAGGGAGCTTAGGGGCGCCGGGTTTGCGGATGTGAGTGTTGAGGTAGTGGAGATTGAGCATGAGTGGGTTGATGCGCGGGATTTTGTTAGGGCGATGGAGTTGCCGATTAGGGCTGTGAGTGGTAAGTGGGGGGAAGGGGAGGAGAGGAGCATCTGGAGTGGGAAGGTTAAAGGAGCGTTGGTAGAGGTGGTTGAGGGGTTGTTTGGCAAAGGGCAGAAGGTGAGATTCGGTATGGGGGCTATAGTGGGTGTGGGAAGGAAGGGAAATTGAGTGGTGAGGGGACGGAAATGAACGGATGGAATGAAAGGGCTTAATGTGAAACTGACAGATTTTTCTGATTTTTTTGGGAAATAATAGAGATGTGCTAACGCCTGAAGATGCAGTGGACATACCATCCAGATCCGAGTTTTCCTGAATGTAACGCCGTCGCTATGCAATCCTGCAAATATCTTTACCATACCCATATAACACATGCTGCCTTTTAACAATCAGACTACCTCAGACTCTGTTCCCAGCCACTCGGCGAAGTACACACAGGTCCGCGCCGAGATCTCGCCTGAATCACCGCAGAGATCAAAAACAGGACAGGTGCCGCAAGGGGCATCCACGAAGCCGTTCATGCCTTCCTCGACGTCCGACGGGCGCAGTGCAAGCCGATAGGTGGCTCCTATCTTCTCGAGACGGCCTTCAAGGACCATCATGTCGAGGAGCTGCTCCATGTCGGACTCGCGGATGACCTTATCTCGGATAATGCCCAGAGAAATGATTTGTTCGAGGAGGGAAGCGGCGGTGGGGAGTTTGGGGTCATGGCTGAGCACAAGCCTTGGTTTGTTGTGACGAGGGGGGTGGTACGGTTTGACAGCTGGTGCATCCTCTATGTCCTGTGCTGCACGACGCTGCGCCTTCTTCTGTGCGATGGCCTCTGAGCGGTCGTAGTTGTTATATCCTGGCTGAACGGTCACGCAGGTTTCCTTTTGGATCAGTTGCTCCACGATCCGCGACACAGTGTCGATCAATGCCATATCGAAATCGCCCTCGGACTGCCAGGGCCCGCCTGCAATATCCTCCGACGGTCGTAGGTGCTTCAGCAGGTACATTTTCCGGGCGGGGAACTTTACGCTCATAACGGACTGGACCAGGTCTTTGTTTTCTAAGCTCTTGAGACACTTGTTCACGGCTTGGGGTGTCATGTTCGTGCGTAACCGTAAGGCTTTGGTCCAGATGCCCTCCGCCTGGGCCTGGTCGATGTGATGGTATAGGAGGCGCTCCTCGGATGTCAGTTTCCGTAACCTGAACTCATTAGCCCCAGAGGCTCTTAGACGGGAAGGACATCCTACTTCTCTGCGTCCTGCCGGGTCCTCAGTTTCCAGCAAGGCTCGCCATCAAAGGTCATGGGCTTCATGAGCTGCATATCGACCAGCTCTTGCACCAGGACAATGAGCTCGTTCAGATTCTCGGCGACGGCCATGTTCGACAAGTCGCGCTGGAAGAATAATGTGCCCTGTGGTGCCTTCGCACACTGGTCGTACAGCACGTCGATTTTATTCTGCTGCAGCACACTGTCGAGGGCTTCCCCAGCCGGCGCGGCCGCCCGCTGTGAGTCTGTCGCCATGAGAGTAGGGTGTTTTGACGACTACCGGTCAATCATAGGGACAGGTAATGTTGCCGATGGTTCAAGTTCTGGTGTCGTCCAGAGTTCACCTGGGCAGACAAGACTCAAGCGCGTCAGCGCCTTCCGAAAAACCATCTCCGACGCCAAATCACGTGTTCCACTAGCGGCCCGAAGTGATCCCGACTCGGGACTCGGGGAACACACGGGTCGTTCCGCAGTTTAGCGCCGCTTTAACCACGCCGCATCTATATTGCTTCCTTTGACAACATCCACGGCCGTCGCCTACGGGACCATTGGTTCACTCTTCAGCTGTGGCGTGCCACTCAACCGCTGGCTGTGCGATTACCGCCGGCTTCATTTCTTTGATCAGATGCATCTCGTACACCTGGGCAGTCAGCCAGCCCGTGGGGAAGCCGCTTGGCTGGTCGGCTGTGGAAACAGTTTGCGAGATCCAAATGGATAAACTTGGAGAGGGGAAACGCACGAGTAGTCACCTCCGAACCAGCCGCTTGGCCCACTCGGAGCGCGTGTTTATAGCAGCGGGGAGACACTCAGATGTCAATGGCACTTCTTCACGCTTTGTAAGCTCACTTGCTACAACATAGACCAATGCGGGGATTTCTAGCCTCTGGACAGACGGCATGCCAATCATAAGCGGGAATCTCCAGAATACGGATGGGCCTCTGTAGGCTTGCGGCACGGCTCCTTGGCCTGGTCTGTTCCTATGTGGTGGAGGTGCAGCATTGGAGGGCAAAGACTGGGAAACGCCCATCTCTTGTCTTCCTTCACCGTCACCTGGCCTTCACCGATACCCTGACAATCTGATGTGAAATATTTAAACTTCCCACAAGCAGCAAATTTTTTTTCTGACCTCGTCTCTTCCCTCTCACTGTTTGCTTGTCTCTCTTCCCCATCTGTCAACATGGCCAACCTGGCTGAAGAGAAGAAGCAACACCACGAGCCTTCCGTTAAGGAGGAGCTCTCCCGCCCTTCGAGTGGTGGCCTCCATCATGACCGCGTCGCTGAGGAGGCCATCGGAGGACACACCCACGATCTACCTGAGGGCTACTACTATAGTCTCGCCTTCACTGGTACCGTCATCGTAAGTCCATTAAGCATAGACTATCGCCGAGCTTACAAGTTTCAAGGCTGTTTGCTTGTCCCAGATCTCCGGATACTTGGGCTGGGTACTTCCTTCAAATACCCTGCTGCTTATCAACCAGGCTATCGGCCCCTCTCCCGACATCATCTGGGTTCCCGTTTCCTGGACCGCCGGTCTGGCCGTTGGCTTTCCTCTCGTCGGGCGTCTCTCCGACATCTTCGGCAGGCGATGGTTCTGCATCTGGGCATCGCTGCTAGGCCTGGTCGGTACGATCATCGGAGCGTGTGCACAAAGCATCAACATGCTGATCGTAAGTCACGATTAACAATCACACATTGTCTTACGTAGCTCACAATTTCAGGTAACCAACTCCATCAATGGACTGGCAGCTGCGGGACAACTATCCTTCTGCTTCATCCTTGGTGAACTTGTCCCCAACAAACTACGTGGTCCGGTCAACAACTTGGTGCTCCTTACATCCATGCCCTTCGCTGTCTTCGGCCCTCCAATCGCTCGGGCCTTTTACGAGAATACTGCGCTTCAATGGCGCTGGTCATACATTCTGGGCGCCATCGTTAATACCGTGGCCGTCCTCCTGTATTTCTTCTTCTATCACCCGCCATCTTATGTAAGGGAGTCAACCTGCACACGGGCTCAGACGCTGATAGTGACTCTAGGATATGCTCCACGTCGGTGGCAAGTCGAAGCTCAAGCAATTGAAGACCCTCGACTGGGTGGGCCTGTTCCTGTTTACCGCAGGTCTGGTCGTCTTCCTCATCGGCCTCAATTGGGGCGGAGGCGTATATCGCTGGAACTCTGGCCATGTGCTTGGAGCCCTGTTCGCCGGGTTCTTCACGCTGGTGATTTTCGGCTTCTGGGAAGCGTACAGCAATCACGAGTATCCCTTCATTCCGATGCGCCTGTTCAAGAACATCCGATACGACGCTATGGTTGCCTGCGCAAGTTTCGGCGCTGTGGTGTACTACGCCAACACTGTCATCTGGCCGTCGATGATTGGCGCACTCTTCACCACTGATGTGAAAGAAACGGGCTGGCTCTCTGTAGGTGGACGTGACCAGAGGACTGTTGAGCTTGACTAACTCCACCAGTGCGCCGTAGGTGGTGGTCTGCTGTTAGGTCAGCTTCTCGGCGGTCTCGGTCTTCGCTATCTCCCTCGCATGAAGATCCAGATGACGGTAGCCAGCATCATCTGTGTTGCTTTCGTCGCATCCGTGGCCGCCTCCAACGCTACCACAAAGCAGCGCACGACGGCATTCCTGCTTATGGGCTCGATCGGCGCCGGCTACGTGGAGAACCTGACCCTTTCTGCAACGGCGTACCTGTGGGACCCGGCCGACATGGGCCTTGTCCTTGGTGCCCTGGGTGCGATTCGTACCGCCGTCTCGGCGGTTGCGACGAGCATGTACTCCTCCATCCTCGCGACCGAGGCTGCCAAGTACATCCCCAAGTACGTCACCCCTGCGGCGGTCGGTGCTGGACTTCCCTCGTCCTCGCTTCCGGCGTTGTTCACGGGCATTAGTACTGGTAACTTCTCCGCTGTGCAAGGGATGACGCCCGAGATCATGGCCATTGTGGGTGCGCAGGTCAAGCATGCCTACGGCCTTGCCTACCGCACCGTTTTCCTCTGCACCCTTCCTTTCGGCGCTCTCCTGTTGATTGCGTCCCTGCTGACTCCCAACGTTGACAAGTATCTCACCGATGAGGTGGCGAGGAAGCTGCATGGCACTGGTGAGAAGACTGAAGCCAGCGCGAAGCACAAGGAGGTTGTCGAAGGGCCCTGAGAAATCGCGACCTCGATGCTTACAATTTCTTTCTTGTGACTGTCTGCATGCCGGGTTGTTTTAGATTCTTGGCTTCAAGAGGACAATAATCGGTTTATTCAGATGCGGTAAAAGTTCTCACAGCAGAGCGTTTGCGGCTCTTTGACGACTTCATGGAGATGCTAGCATATACTCCCACTGTCTACGAGCGCACGTCTCTGGGACAATCTCAATGAAAGACTTCATCATCTTGCATTTCCCCATTTCGTGCTTGTCCTGGGTGATCGATAACCAGGTACCGTCGTCCTTGCAGCTCTTCCACATCAACCAGGATTGAAGGTATACTGTCCCGGATTTAAGCATTAATAAGGTAAAGTGGAGAGCAGCGCATGCACGTGCTGATTGCGATGGATTGCGCCAACTGAGAAATTTATCGGCGCAGCTGCAGGTGTATGCATGTCGTTTATGGTATCTTTCGTGATTCTGGTGTTTGAGCCGCGGTCTTGGGCCGGTTCAAAGCGTCAATTCAATTTTTGATGTTAACATGAATGATGGAACTCAGTCTATTTACTGGTTTTGAATCCTTCAAACAAGTCATTTCTAGACGTGGTTGGTGATATTATCCTATCAATAGAAATCTACCTTGCTCAAGTCTTTCCCACCGCCTTTTCCCCGCTACTGCATGAACTGGAGGGGCTGACTAGATAGGTCCTGTACAAGCGCTTCTCTCTCACCGACAAGCTTAAGACTCCACTGCCTTTAACTCGCGTGCACACGTGGAGACGGATAGATAGCATGATTTCCCTAGTTTCCCAGGGTGCTCAAGTCATTTATTTCCGACAAGGGAGGTTCTTATCTCAATCTTCATTTTCTCTCTCCCTTTTCCCGTCTTTCTCTCCTCTTCCCTTCTTTCTTTCTCGAGATACCTCTGATAGAACAATTCACGATCCTGGATACACGTCTGCCCTGATTAACGGCTTCCCCTCTCCTCTACCACTGTCCCCAGCTCGCAAACATGTCCGCAGCTACACCCACCCCCGAAGACGCAGGTCTCCCTCCACCTCCCACCGCCCCTCCGCCCTCAAATCCCCCAATCTCCCACCAAACCTCCCCCACACCCACCACCACCACCACCACCACCACCACCTCCAAACCCACAATCCTCCACCTCGGCGACGACATCCGCTGGAACCACGACCTCTACGCCCAACTCAGCCAACACTTCCACATCGCGCGTTCCTACTCGATGCCCCGCGAGGAATTCAAGACTGCCCTCCGAGAAAACCGCTGGGGCTCCTTCGTCGCCATATACCGCCCCTTCTGGTCCACGGGCGGCGAAATGGGGCCCTGGGACCGCGACCTCATCTCCCTGCTCCCATCCAGCTGCAAAATCTACGCCAGCGCCGGCGCAGGCTTCGACTGGGTCGACACCAAAGCCCTAGCCGAAAGAGGCATCATCTACTGCAACTCGGCGCCCGCGTGCACCGAATCCGTCGCCTCGACCGCGCTGATGATGCTCCTCTCGACGTTCCACATGGCGATGCCGTCGCTGCTGGCCGCGCGCTCGCTGTCGGCCGAGCAGTTCCGCCACGCGAACCAGACGCTCGCGGCGCGCATCCGGAATCCCAACGGGCGCGTCTTGGGCATCATCGGCCTGGGCAGGATCGGGTTCCGCATCGCGCAGAAGGCGAGGCTGGCGTGCGAGATGCGCATCTGGTACCACGACGTGGTGCGCCAGCCCGCGGAGCGCGAGGAGGAAATCGGTGCGACGTGGTGCGAGTCGTTGGACGAGTTGTTGCCGGGTGCTGATTGCGTGGTGCTTGCTACGCCGTTTGAGGGCCGGGTGCTGCTCTCAAGGCGCGAGTTCGCAATGTTTAAGCCGGGGGCGAGGTTGGTAAATATTGCGAGGGGGAAACTGGTCGATGAGGATGCGCTGGTCGAGGCGTTGGATGAGGGGAGGATATCGGCTGCGGCGCTGGATGTGCATGCCAATGAGCCGTATGTGGATGAGAGGTTGGTGATGAGGGAGAATGTGTTGGCGACGTGTCATACGGCGGGGGCGAGTGTGGAGAGCCATGTTGGGTTTGAGAGGTTGGGGATGGAGAATCTGATGGGGTATTTTTTCGGAGATGGGCCGGTTACGCCGGTGAATCTGCAGTGGTTGAAGAGGAGCGAGGAGGAGTAGGGGAGGGAATGGTTGGTGAAGCATCAAGAGTATAGATATTAGATATAGACATTGGAGATTGCATTAGAATCGTCAGTGATTAGGCATATATTTCATCGGCATGTCCTGTTCACACCTCTCCGCCGCTGAGCTAGCTCACAGCTCATGATGCGAATGCTTCTTATCCCAATCTACCAAGAAATCAGCATTCATCCAACGCACCAAGAGTCATCTCCAGAGCACCTACCTTTCAGCCACTCCACCACAAAATCCCTCACAAACTGCTGCGCATACACGACCTGATTCGGCGGCAGAATCGGGCTCGTCTGATTGTCAAAGACGCCATTCTCCTCCCAATGATGCACCCCATGCGCAATCTCCAGCACCGGCTTCTCCGTCGTGCTCCTCCTCCTCCGCGCCTTATCCGCCAACGGCGTCGCCGGTTTCCACGGATCCGCGTTCCCGCCGATGATGGCCAGACGCTCGTACTCGATGTCGTAGCCGCCGTATTTGTTCACTTCGGTGACGTTGGGAGGCGAGGTGATGTTGAACGCTGGTCGACAGGGGTACGCGGCGTACTCGAGGTCAATGGCTCTGGATATCAGCGGTTTGATGTGAGGAGGTGTGTTTCCCGTCTGGATGTAGCCCCATTCGGTGCAGACTTGCCACATCCAGCTTCGCCAGCCCTGCTGATCGATGCCGTCGTTGGCCCAGAAGGAGTCGTCGAGCCAGGTGAAGAATTGGTCTTGCGTCTGGTTGGTGCTTCTCCACCTGGAGACGTACGCGACGTCAAAGTAGTTGATGGCGTTTAAGAGAATGTTTTCCGATGCGGTCGAAGGGGGATATGAGGCCGCAGCTAGGATGGATTGGACTTTCGGACGGAGGGACTCTGTGGCGGGGTTTTGCAACGCCGTGGTGAGATTGTTTTGGTAACTGAAGGAATTAGTATACGGAAATCCTCGATTGTTGGATTACTTACTACCAGAAGGCCGGCGAGTTGACCTCGGGATCCCAGCTGCTATGCGTTAGCCTTTCATCATTGGCCAAACTCATATGTAGAGACAAACTTTGTGTTCTGCCATCCATAGATACCATTTGCCAAAACATTCGCGAAATCCCGGTTGTCAGTAATATTCCCCAAACCGAATGCCTCTTTCAACTCCTTGACCTTGGCACTGTTCTTGGATTTCAGAAGAATGGTATCGACCACGTCCACCAAGAACTGCGTATTCTTGACTACATCTGGAGGCGCAAACTGCCGGACAGGCTCAAAGTACTCCCAATAATCGTAGATGGCGACGGTGACGCCGGATGAGGAAATGGCGCCCCAGAACGTTTCCGGATACGCGACGCGCAGAAAGGCGGCTTGCGCACCGGCATAGGAGCCGCCATAGACAATCCAGGGGGTGTTTGGAGCCGTCAGATCTGCGTCGATGCCGGGGAACTTCACATGGCGGGCGAAGTAGTTGATTTCAGCTAGGGCCTGTTCCGTGGAGAGGAAACGGAGGTTTTTCACAGAAAGATCGTCCACGGGGAAACTCGTGCCGTAGTAGCGATGCTCGAGGACGACTCCGAGGCCTGTTGTTGTCGTCAATGGTCGAGGTCATTTCATATATCCAAAGTGGTCTCACCATTCGTCGCCTTGGCTACTATCGACACAATTCCTTTCTGCAAGTACGGCAGACGACCGACTCCGTCCGTTTCGCCGGACAGGAGAACGAAGACAGGACCGCCCGGCTTGTAGTGAGTAGCATCGAACCAGTACCTCAGGTTGAATGTGCCATTCGAATGGGGTTCGTAGCGGGGCTTGTTTGGAAAGAAGTCGATAGGAACCGAAAGATTGTGTGCAGGGTAAAGCAATTCCAGATCGGCATCATCGCGTTTACGGAGGTCGCGCTTTGCACTTGCATGCTGTGTGGTCTGAATTGCGTCAGTGAATTCTGAGAGACGTGCGATTACAAGGTGTCCAGCCTACCTTCGCCAATTCGCGCAGCTCACCCACGGACGGATGTCCAAATCTGATTGCCGACGCACTGCCAAAGAGGGCCAGTAGCCCACAGAGAATCCCTCGGCGCATGGCTAAAAGCGAGTGTATTGCGACTGAAGGAAGAGGGGAAAGAGTCCTACTTAAATCCTCTAGCAGGAACAATACTTATACGACCTTACCGCAGGAACAATACTAAGTACTGGTCCCTCTAGACTACACGATCTCCTCGCATATGCATCTACCAAATTCAGGCCTAGGCTCCCTGCCGGTACAGGGGGAGCTGCGTGCTTGATGATGCTTGTTATCAAACCTCGTCTACCCATCATTCTTCGGGAAGGTCGGTAAGGCAGGCACAGAGTGACTATGCTGAAAACAGCAGGAGATTGAGCCGGAGTGGTTGACGCCACCCGCCATGATGACAGCCGGCGTGATGACGACCGAATAATAATGGTCAACGGTTCCGCGGTTACACGGTCATGATGCGGGCGTGCAGTGGAGAGTACGTGTACCATGTAGTGGATAAATGGGCGGGCCAATGGCAAGGGCGTATATCTTGGCGTGAATGGTGTGCAGCATATTTACTAGGACTACTTACTGAACAGGGAATCCGATAGAATACGAGGCCATAACTTCCTCAAGTCAAGCCACTGCATTTCCTGAGACTTCTGTCATGTTGAGGACACTGACCGATATGAGGTCCGGCAGTGATGAACATTTCTGCCCATTCCAACCAGCTGATGGTTCAGCAAGGTCAAGACAGGGAACGCCCGGGTTCTGTGAACGGGGTATACTCCCTTACCTTACTGGTTCCGAGAGCCCTACAGACAGGCGTTGGAGGATTACATAGTGATCCCTCATCTGTAAAACAGACTTGGGGCTTGAAACCGTCTCAAGGATCCAGCAGTGCTTAAGGTCCGTGAAATCTGCGCTACAGAAGGCACTACAACACCAAGAAAGCCAGTGAGACCAGAGGTAGACCGTCAACCAAGGTAGCGCTTCTGACACGTGCCATACTGGAAGGTCTGATCTTTGGCCGCACTGCTGTTACCAGGAGGCTTGATCCCTTGCTGCCCGTTTCCACGACCGCCTGAATAGTTGGAGGTCGCAGGGTATAATAAAAGATGTCGTCATTGGCTCGAAAGCGCCTCTGTCCAGGTATAGCAAGCCGTAAAACCTGGGTTTTAATATCGTAGTCAGATCGTAGGCAATTGAGTCGCATCGAGCAGGTACCTATGCAATCCTTCCTACGGAGAAAGTGCAGCGTGGTGTTCAGTAACTCGGACGTGAAAAGCCACAGTACACTGCCGCAGCGCCACATGGTCGGTCCATGAAACATTCTGACAAGAGACAGACGCTCGGGGTTTGTTTGCTTCCAGAGGACGACTCCCACCACATCTGTGCCGTGGTATCCGTGACTGACGACGGAGTCATGTGTGTTTCAGCGCAATTGGACCCACCCGTTTCTCTTCACTCTTCAATCCGCTGCAATATCTCTTCCAAATGATGTGGATCTTCTAGCGAGGCAAATAGTCAAGACGGACTTCATCTTGAGAACGCAAACCCCATGATGGGGCTTGTGTGTAAATGGACATGTTAGACTTTTGATGTTGCCAATTTTGACTGCAACGTGTATAATCGGCCGAGCCTGCTGCTGTTGATGATGGATGTGGGTGCGCAAGGAGTCACGCCATTCGTGAGTAATTCTCCGAAGAGCGAGGGAGCGTGAACTATGAAGGACCCTCTTTCTTTCTTGCAACAGAGAGCACAGAACGATTGTACAGCCGCATGCACAGGTCGCAGCAAAACGCGTAGGCCTGACATGCTCCCGGAGGACTTGTGAAGGTGTCCGAAGACCAAGTGGCTGGAGTGCGTGTTGCGTGTGAATACAAAGTAAACAAAATCACAGCCTATCTCACATTTTGGAGAGAAGAGCGTGCAACGCCAGTATAGACGGTGAAGAGTTGGTGGGTCGTTCTGTTTCAGCGAACGAGGAGAAAAGTTCGGATAGTCGCCAAGACCTGACCTAAATTCTTGGCGCGTCGGAGATGGAGCTGCCTCATCCACCATCCGCGTTGCAGCTCAACACCGCTAGATTGCGACTTTACCATCTAGCTCACGTCGTAGCTACCGCCAGGTACAAGCGCATCCAGTAAACGAACTCAGGGGGATATCGCAATCTCATCTGCAAATACTTGGCCACAATGACGAAAAAGAGGAAGAGGTACCCAGACCTCAACCAGAAACTCGAGCGACCATGGTGCTACTACTGCGAGCGCGACTTCGACGATCTGAAAATCTTGATCTCACATCAGAAAGCGAAGCACTTCAAATGCGACAGATGTGGTCGCCGTCTGAACACTGCTGGAGGTACGGAGCCCATTGCACTCACGGGCACCCCTTTCCACAGTTTGCGCGTTGATGCTTACCGCTTCACCAGGCCTTTCAGTTCACATGAATCAAGTCCATAAGGAATCGCTTACACAAGTTGAAAATGCGATTCCCGGTAGGCAGGGCCTCGACATCGAAATCTTCGGTATGGAAGGCGTTCCGCAAGAGATCATCGACCAGCACAACCACCAGGTTACCCTCAGGCACTTTGAGGAGGAGGCGGAGCGCGCACGGATATCGGGGAATCCCATTCGCGGTCTGCACGCGAACGGAACTGCCCATCCAGAGAAGCGTCCCAAGGTCAAGGAGAGCATAGAGGATATTGCAGCTCGGGCGGCCAAATACAGACAGGACAGGGCGAATGGAGTGCTGGCTGCTCCCGTGGATATGGCCATGCAGGCGGTAAGTTGTTGGTGTGGATTCAACTTGGTGCCCATTTCGCTGACCGTATTATCAGTCGCCACCAAATGTCGCTCCCTTTGGCGCTCCAGTCTCCCTGACACCCCCATTTGCACCTGGCGCTCAAGCATATCCTCCACCTGGCGCGCCACCTGGAGCTGCAGGCTTCCCACCAGCACAGACATTCCCGCCAGGTGCTCCAGGTTTTGCGCAGCCTCCTTTCCCAGTTGCTCCGCCGTTTGGTGCAGGCATCGGTCCCGTCAATACAGGCTTACCACCACGTCCTGGGAGTATATCCGGGCCTCCAGGTGCCTTTCCGCCGGCGCAGGTGCCTCCCGGGCAGATTAGCCAACCGCCTCCATCGGCTCTTTCGGCGTCTGTTGACGAGCTCATCTCTAGTGCGGCTGCAGCTTCGGCACCCGCTCCGGATGCAGCGGAGAAGAAGTCAAAGAAGGACAAGAATATCAAGTTGATTTACTTTGACGAGAGTGTTAGCCCTGAAGAGAAGATGGCAAAGCTTCCGCGGTATGCTTCGGCGGTCCGGACCTGAAGATCTGGGTAGGTAAGCGTTTCCCCCGGTCTCCCTGTTCTTCTTACACTGGAGCTTTGCCACTCCAGTGTTTCTGCCCAACTATGTACACGTACCTTCTGGGATGGATTAGGCTCTTTTTGAGGGTTTCTTCATGATAGGATTGCCGGGCAATTGGCACTTCTGCATGCTGCCGTCACTGCAATTGCCCCTATTGAAGGGCTGCTGAAACTGCGAAACAAACCATGGGGAAGTGGGTGATGAACGCCACATGATGTCCCTGCAAAAAGCGGAGGGAACCTTGGAAAGCATTCCATGACTGCGTCTCTGAACACCGTTCGCGTATCGATCAGTGGTGGCTCTTACAGTTAGGCACCCAATCATACCCAGACGAGACATCATGTATACTATACCAATAAATAATCCCTGACGATTCATCAGGTGCAGGGTATATACAAAATGAACAGATCAAGAAACCCCCGCGGAAGGGTGCCGTGACACTCATGCGATACAGTATCTAAGTCAGATATCGTAGTCGAGCTCCTCTCCATCTTCCTCCTCATCCTCGTCGTACTCCTCGCTTTGCTCGTCTTCACTACTGTCCCGGCTCTCGCTCGTTGTGCTCCTTTCTTCGCTGGCTCGTGCCCACTCCTGACTTTCTGTCAAGGCCAACGATTCCCCCAGATCCAGGCCCCGAGTAGCCTCCAATCCCATGCGCGCCTCCTCGCTGGCGGTCGCGCCCGAAACGTCTTCTAGCTCAGGAATCGGCTCGATTACTCGTAGCTGGGCCTTCTCGCTGTCGGTCTGATCCTCCTCGTCACCCTGTACAGAGTCTGTTGCAAAACCCACGCTCTTCGTAGTACCAGGCGGTGCTTGTTCGCGAGGTGTCTTCTCCTCCAGGATATCTCCATTCCAGGGTTTGCACTCTTTGACGAGTTCGCCGCAGCGGAGACATGTCCACCCTTCGCCTTCCTCGTTGGCGATTCGTTGAGCAATGCAAGCGAAGCAGTATATACACCCACAAGGAATTGCCTCGTAGGGGTTCGTGATGTCGGTTGCCGCGGATCCAACGACACCTCCACCGCCGACGGACTGCGTCATGATATCCTGCTCTGTCGCCGTCGTGGGATTCTGATCTCTGTAACAAATCGCGCAGGTCCGTTCAGGCAGAAAGCCCAACTCTCCAGCTTGTCTTGCCTCCTCCTCATCCGTGGCTGACGTCGAACGCCCCAGCAACGCCAACACCGAAGCCTTCAGTTTCCTCCATGTCCTCGACAATATTCTCCTCCATCGGGATATCCCGACAAGGGGTAACAGGAAGAGGAGGAACTCCGTAAATGCGTGCCACACCAATTGCCGATTCAAATACTCAAATGACACCTCCCTACTCGTCGAATGCGACGCAGGCGCCAACCTCAACCTCAACAGCCGATCCGTTAACGTGCGATACCGTCCATTTACCAAGAAAACCAGGAATGACGCCAGACTCGCAATATCATGCAAGCTACTCAAATGCTCCGTCAAACGCGCCGCAAATTTTAACCGCGGAGATTCAGGTCTCGTATAATCTTCCTGCGCAGCCAACAGCCATTCTTCCCATTTACTCCACGCATACCTCCCTCCCACAGTGATAGCCCCATACGCAATCTTCTGCCACGGTTTCGGCGGCGGCCGCGCTGAACTCTTTGACCTTGCGTCCGTATATCTCAATCCTTGGAGATGGGCACCATAACTCGCATTATTGTTCCAAATGGACAACTTGAACAGCACCAATCTCAGGGCCAACAATATCTCCGCAGAATACGTATCCGTGATATGCGCCCCAAAATACTTCAATCCCTCGCCTACCTGCCCTTTCAGCAGATCCAGGAGTTCATCGTCGAGGAGCTCGGCGTCCACTTGGCCGACGCGGAAGGCGGGACGCGTTCCTTCGCGGCCTTTTATCGCGTCCCAGGCGCTGAGGCTGGAGGTGCTGAGGCGGTTGAAGGGGTATGGGAGGCGGGCGAGGGCGCGTGTTGTTGGGGTCGTGGAGGAGGACTCATGGTGCGGGTGCGTGTGTTGGGCGCGTTGGGCGCGGCGGGCGGCGAGGCGGGCTTGGGCGGCGGCGAAGTCGGCGGAGGGCATTATATGGGTCTCATCGGGAAGGAAGAGGAGGTGGGAAGGGAATTGAGATTTGGAAGCCGTGGATGGGAGGATGTTTGTCTGTAGGGCTGGGCCGAGGTACGGAGGGTACGGCGGCTGGAGTTCTCACAAGTCGGGAAGGGTGGAGATGAGAGTTCGGAGGGAGGATCATAGGTACAATGAATTATGCTCCAAGTAATTCCGCGTCGCTGGAGAGGTATACATGCCAAAGAACAACATGTATTGTATGGAGTTCAACTTCTCGATAGCACATGTCAGTTTTAGTTTGCCTAAGTCTGCAGTGCTGGACGGAGTTATTTCGGAGCAGTAAGCGGACAGCCCCTTGATACACTTCGGAGCAGGCAGCGCGGGGTTGGTAGCTCTGCCTTCCCGCAACAGCTAATGATAAACTTTTGGATCGACTCAAGGTAAACAACAACACCAAAGCGCACAATTTTCCAATGCACCTTCTTTCTGGACGTATGAAGACTTCTATTGCTTCTTTGTAGCCTACGAAACCGTAGCTAGCATGCAGGTCGAACTCTCCGCTGTGGAGCTACCCGCAGAGGCCAATCCTCTCACTGAGGGCTTGCTGTTCCACGTCCTGCGTTCTGCATCTTCGACAGACCCAAACCAGATCCAGACAGGCACCAAGCAGCTCCAGACCTGGGAGAAGTACAAAGGCTTCTATCCCTTGCTCCAAGTAGGCGTGCACACCAACAGACGCTGTCCAGTGCACTGACACAACTTCTAGTCCGTCTTCCTAGACAAGTCTCTCCCGCTCGAAGTCCGCTACCTCGCTATAATACAGCTCAAGAACGGCATTGACAAGTATTGGCGCAAAAGTGCAACCAAGTATGGCTTTTGCGCTCTACGATTTAGGCAGCATACTGAGATACTGTGCAGTGCTCTCGACAAGGAGGATAGGGGTGCTATACGATCGCGTCTGCTTGACAGCGGTGCAAACGAGGCAGATCAGAGGCTGGCGCTTCAAAATGCTATTGTCACGGCTAAGATAGCAAGGCACGAGTTCCCAAATGACTGGTCGGTATATTGTCCTCACTGGTGGACACACGCTTACCCTCGGGCAGGCCGGACCTCTTCCCTTCTCTTCTCAACTTCCTACGCTCCTCGACGGAATCGAACGCTTACCGACTCCACCTTCCCCGAACTCTCCTTATGCTTCTGAACATTATCAAGGAGCTCATGACTGGACGACTAACGAAGACTAAAACAGCCTTGAGGGCAGTCACTCCAGAAGCCTTCGCAGTCCTGGGCCGCATCTACGTCGACAATGTTCGGAGCTGGCAGCGCTTCTTCGTCGAAGGTGGAGACGACGAAGGCGGCGCGCTCGACGATATCGAGATCAGCCTGATGGCAATGAAGATTATACGGAGACTGGTGATTGCGGGTTACGAGTTCCCGAATCGCGACCGGGACGTTCGTGAATTCTGGACAGTTTCACAGAGCCTGTTTCGGGAATTCCTGCCGTATGTTCTGCATGAAGATTCGCCGCTTGCGCCAGGGCCCCGCAAATTGGTGGAGAAGCATCTCATGCAGCATGCGAAGTTCCACCACTCGATGGCCACGAGTCATCCCGTCGCTTTCGTACATCTACCGGAGACTATACCATTGATCAAGTTCCAATATTGGGAGCTAGTCACGCAACTCAGCAAGACGTGGGGCGCGGCTGTCTTCAATGGCGCAGCTATAGGGACTGACGGAGATGAGGAAGAGGAGGCGCCTATTCTGGAACGACTGTCACTAAAAGGACTCCTGATCATACGCGAGTGTATCCAAATCGCCTTATTCCCCATCAAGACCCTTAGATATGCCAAACCGGAAGATCAGGACGAGAGGAACAATGCGAAGCAGTTGCTTAAGCGGGATCTGCTAGACCAGGATTTTGTATTGCAAGTAATGACCACACTTCTGCAGCGCTTTTTCGTCTTCAGGCCGAGCGACTTGCGGATGTGGGAGGAGGAGCCAGACGAATGGGAGAAGATGGAAGAGGGGTCAGAGGATTGGGAGTTTGCGATCCGGCCGTGTGCGGAGAAGCTGTTTCTGGACCTCGCAAAATCGAAGGAGTATAAGGACCTTATCATTGGCCCTCTCTTGGATGAGTTGCGGGAAGTTGCGAGTATGTGTTGATGACCTTATATGCCGGGTGGTGCTAACGAACAACAGGACCAGAGAATGAAAATATCATTCTGAAGGATTCGGTTTATAATGCAGCCGGTCTTGCAGCGGATGTCCTGATGGAGAAGTTCGACGTCGATCCTTTCATCAAAGACACCTTGGTCCGGGAGGCGCAGATAGAAAAACCGGGTTACAACATTATTCGACGCCGAATCGCCATCTTCCTCTCCCAGTGGATCAGCGTGAAGGTTGGCGAGTCGACCAAACCCATCGTCTACCAGATCTTTCAGCATCTTCTTGACAAGAGTGATGCGCTAAATGATATTGTGGTCCGAGTTACGGCAGGAAGGAAATTCATTGACGTCGCGAATGAGTGGGAGTTCAAGGCTGATAACTTCGTCCCGTATGCACCATTGATATTGGATCGGCTGATGGCGCTGGTGCAAGAGGTGGACCTTATCGAAACGAAACTGAGCTTACTGAACACGATAAGCGTCATTGTCGAGAGGCTGGAACATAATGTGAGTCCAGAATATAGCTCCATGAGCTGCAGTACTGATTATTTGATTAGATCACACCATATGCGCAACACATCGTCTCGATCCTTCCACCTCTCTGGGAGCAGTCGGGCGAGCAACATCTAATGAAGCAAGCGATCCTTACCCTGCTGGCACGGATGGTAAACGGTATGAAGGCCGCCTCAAGACCGTTCCACCTGTCCTTTCTGCCGATTATCCAGAGCGCCATTGAGCCGGACTCAGAGACACAAGTGTATCTTCTCGAGGACGCGCTCGAACTTTGGGGTGCCATCGTCGCCCAGACACCATCTGCACCTGAGGACGCGCCGGCGGAGCTTCTCAATCTGATTCAATATTTAATACCACTCTACTCTATGGACAACGAAACCCTACGTAAATCGCTCGACATCACAGAATCATATCTCCTTCTCTCTCCCGCGTTTGTCCTCGGCGATGCCTTCAGACCCCAGCTCCTGCAGACTATGGGAAACCTTATTGGCGAGCTGAAAGTAGAGGCTGCTGGTATGGTATGCAACCTGGTACAGCTGGTTATCCGTGCAGCGGAAAGCCTGGGTGGTGAGGATGCGGTCCGACACATAGCTGGTGAACTCTCTTCGAGCGGCTTTTTGCAGACGGTGATGAATGGCCTCCGCAAGGCGTACCAGAATCGCAACGCACACGGCCCGGCTCGCGAGATTCAGGAGCGCTCCATCGATCCAGTCCTCGAAATCGACTACTTTGCTGTGTTGGCTAGAATAACACTCGCATCTCCGGCCATCCTCCTGGAGATCTTGAATCCCGGCTACCAACAGAAGTTCGAATTGGACTGGCTGCTCGAGGAGTGGTTCGCCCATATGGAGAATATCAGCACGGCGCCGGAAACGAAACTCATGGCGCTGGCGTTGACGAGGTTGCTGGAAACGGGCGCACCTTGGATTTTAGGCCGGCTGCAGGACTTGATGAATATGTGGACTTCGGTGCTAACGTATCTCTTGGATGGCATGGATGATCGGACTGTGGAGTACGTACCGCCCTGCCTTTGTTCACAAACCCCTGATCCATTACCTAATCACTCTTTGCTAACAACTCCGCAGCTGCCTCGTTTGGGCGGAGGAACCGATCGTTCAGACGAATGAACCGGAAGCACCAGAGGATGTTCGAAAGCGCGGACTCATCTATTCTGATCCTATTCATCGTGTCAACCTCGTCGCGTTTGTGAGGGAGCGTTTGCAGCAGGCTATTCAGGCGGGAGGCGGGGATGCGGTGTTCCAGGAGGAGTGGCTGAGTCGCGTGGATAAGGATGTTTTGGAACAGTTCACGGGGCTGGGGATATTTGGGGAGGGTGGAATGTAGGGGGATGGCAGTGGGAGGTTGGCCGGGTATAAGGTGTTTGTCCAGGTGCCAGTGCGATGGCGGATGGATTGCTAGCGGGCTTCAGAGAGGGTGGATATCGTACGTAAGATATCGATGCATAGGGATATGGCGAGCTGGCGTATATCGAGTGGCACTGTGTTTCAGGGATGATCAGGCGCATTTCCAGCAGCGAGATAGAGAAGCATTAATGCAATAAAGCTTCAGACTATGTGCAAGTGTTGAAGCTTCTGGACTCAGTCCTGAATTCAGATTTGCGAGATATGTTCAAGAGTTGGTTGCGTGTGTACCTAACCTATTTACGGTATGGTCTGGGGCTTCTGTATTACATTATGGCCAGGCTTCCTGTTGACGTCTTGTTGATGAAACTTGGTTCTGAAAGCGGTTAAACTGGACGGTGAAATGGATATGGTTCAGGGGAAATGGGTCCAAAGAAGCGCACTGTTAGGCAGGATTGATTTTGTGCTAGGCCGTCTTTAGAGATCCGCATGAAGGCCGTTAGAACAAATACATTGTTGCAGAAGTGGTATGGAAGAATTGAGGTTCCAGATCTTTGGCCTAGCTGGTGATGTCGTCTTTCTGGAGGGAGTGTCCAACTTAGGCTTGCCCTGGTCGGGGTACAGGATATATCTCCCAAAAATAGAGGCAGCTCATCCACTCGCAACAACTTCAGAAGCGAATGTCGTCTTTTTTTCGCCAGTATGAAGATGTTCCCATGTAGTGATGGTCTAGGCGGCGGTAACGCCAAGCAATGCAGCTCCATACCCCTTCCAGCCTAGCGCCAACCGGAAATTCGTTGAAGCGAATCCCCGCCCGCACAACCGCGAACCCGCCAATTTGACACTGGGACTTTTCGCAACCACGACAAACAGCGACGACGCCCCCGACTAAACCCACGACAACCCCTCCAAAGAGCCAGTCACAATGTCCAAGCGCGGGTACGTTTCGCGCTCTCTCCGTCGGAACACGGATTTCTAGAGCGGAGGTTGGAATCGGCGGCAGCATGAAAGACTAACTTAACTTGCAGTCGCGGTGGTGCCTCTGGCAACAAGCTCAAGATGACCCTCGGTCTGCCTGTGTACGTTCCCCTCGACGCGAAAGCCCCCGTTTCTCTGACAGCGGACGAATCCTGCGAACACTCGGATGCAGAGGAAGCTCTGGAGAAGACTGAGAATGGAACTAACAAAACACAGCGGAGCCGTCATGAACTGCTGCGACAACTCGGGCGCCCGTAACCTGTACATCATTTCCGTCAAGGGCATCGGTGCGCGTCTCAACCGCCTGCCTGCTGCGGGCGTCGGCGACATGGTCATGGCGACCGTCAAGAAGGGAAAGCCCGAGCTGAGGAAGAAGGTCATGCCCGCCGTGGTCGTCAGGCAGAGCAAGCCCTGGAGGCGGGCGGACGGCGTGTATCTTTACTTCGAGGACAACGCTGGCGTGGTGCGTTTCCCCCGGGATTATACAAACACGTCACTGCGGGAGGAATGCTGACAGACGCAGATCGTCAACCCCAAGGGCGAAATGAAGGGCTCCGCCATCACCGGCCCCGTCGGAAAAGAGGCTGCAGAGCTTTGGCCGCGTATCGCCAGCAACTCGGGCGTCGTCATGTAAACGGGGGTGGCTTTCTTTTCCTGCGATTCTCAAACATTTACGGCTTCATCGGAAACGGCGAAATGCATGGATTGGGTTGTGGAGACTTGGTCGGACGCTCATTGCGGATAGATAGCAATGGACGAACACCTTCACAAAAAGAAGTACACCTTGGGACTCTGAGATTTGTGCTAGCGAGGGTTTCCGAGTTCCGGTCACAACAGTGGCAGATTCCGCAATATTCCCGATCCGCGACTTTTCCTGGAGCGTTCGTTGATCACAGAAGCCGGTAGAGTGCGGTAGCCAGGCCATGAATCGAACAAATATTAACAAGACTACAATTGGCTATCCCCGGGCTCTCTGTTCCGTGTCCTCTTATCGGCAAGACTCTCCCCGCCCTCACAGGTGCAAAGGATGCATTTAAGCTGGCTAAACCAAAATGACTTATGTAACCGGATCTATATGCTATGCAATATCATCAAGGATCTCTATGTAAACCAAACGTACGATGCTACGCTCAAATGGCCCTCCTGGCGCCTCGCCCAAGGTATCCTACAAGTACATCTGTATCCAAACAACAAGCTCTCTATACAGGAAAACCGTGCTCAACGCGTCACTTCTCCCCATCCTTCTCTTTCACCTCTTTTGCTTCCTTTATAACCTCTACATCCTTCTCTTTCTTCTCGTCCCTCTCCTCCCCTTTTTGTCCATGGGATGTCTTCAAGCTCTCCAACCCCCTCGCCAAACCCGCAAGCAGCACCACACCCAACAAACCCACATCCAAAATATGCACAGCCCACCACCAATGCTGCACCCCCAACGCACACCTATCAAACTCGATTCTCCACTCGCCAGCTTCGCCGGCGGACTCGTCGAACCACGCGGATAGGAAGCCCGCGTAGCCCGAGAACTCGCCCATCATGCTGCGGAGGGTGATTTCTCGGAGGTGCGGGGTGGAGTTTGTGTTGATGCAGGTGGTCAGCGGGGAGGAGAAAGGGAGGGCGCGCCATGTTGGGGTTTCGGGTGGAGGTGGGGGAAGAGTCTCCGTTGTTGTGGTGTTGAGGTCTGAGGAGAGGATGTCGGTGTCGGTGTTGGACGGGAGGTCATGGGGCGTGGAAGAGGCATCGTTGAGCTGCGCGCATAACTCGTCGTCGGTTCTCAGACTGCCCTCGCGAGGGATGTAGTGCAGGACATCGCAACCCTCATGATCATGTCCATTAATCACGACGCCATGTCTCCCGAAGCCCGCCCCTTCAGCCAGGGAATGCCCACACAGGCCGAACAGTCCCTCCAGCACGATCTTCGTACTCGCGTATTCGGACAGCATGTTCTGCTCCTTGACGCCGCCTCCGTTTTCACCCGGGAAGAAGGAGAAGAAGGGGCTGTCGATGCAGGTCCCCGAGGGTTTGTGCAGGGGGATGTGCGTGAGGAGGATGGTGGTGTGGCGTTTTGAGGTTACGGGGAGGGAGTTTGCGATGAGGTGGTTGATGTAGGCGTAGGTTTGGGATTGGAGGCGGGGAGAGAGGGCGGGGGTGTCGAGGTTCATGGTGTTGAGGATGGTGAGGTGGAGGGTTGGTGGGGGGAGGTCGGGGTTATCTTGTTGTTCTCCTCTGTCGACATCGACTTGGGACTCGTTCTTTGAGTGGTTCGTGGTTGAATGGGTGAGGCTGATCTTGTTCTGCTGCTTCGTAGAGGCCAGAGGTAACTCGAACGTGATATCCCAGTTCACCCTTCCGAAAGCGCGCTCGAATCGCTCCACTCTTTTTTCATTCAAGTCCCCGGCGTACCCAATGTCGTGATTCCCGGCGATATTGATAACTCTCTTACTCCAAGCAGGATCCTCACCCAGCACCTCCCTCGTCCCACCCCACACCCCTTCATTCCCTTTCCTAACCCCTTCTCCTTCCTCATCCCCATCCCCATCCACATCTCCTTCCCCTTCTCCTTTTCCTTTTCCTTCTCCTTTTCCTTTTCCTTCTCCTTCTCCTTCTCCTTCTCCCTCACCCTCCCACTCTCTCCCATCCTCCCCCTGACCATCTGATCCTACCCCATCCATAATCCCCCACGGCACCATCTCCATCCCCCTAAACACCTTCCCCCAATACCTTCCCGCCCTCCTCTCAAACTCCCCATCCCCAATCCACTGGCTCCCCAACAGATCCCCCAAAACCGCCACATGCGACGGCCTTGCCCACCACCGCGTCGCCCGCACAATATGCGCGAGGTAGTAATCGTTGCCCCATAAATCAATCCTTTTCCTGTACCCTTCTATCCATCTGGGAATATCGCGCGTTGTGAGGTTTCGCAGGGCGGTGGAGAGGATGGTGCGCCGGCGCGACCAGGTCCCGGAGTGTTGGAGGTCGAAGAGGACGTATTGCAGGGAGGGGAATGCAGGGCGCGAGGGGTCAGGGAGGGAGGAGTCGCCTTCGAGTTGGGGGTCACCGAGGGCGAGGAGGCGGAAGGGTGCTTCTGTTAGGTGGGTCGAGGGGGGAGGGACGGGGAATGCGCAGCCGTGGAAGATGGGGTAGAGGTAGAGCCATGTTGTGGAGAGGATAGCGACGGGGAGGAGGAGGACGGCTAGGAGGGAGAGGAAGCGCGAGAGATGCATGGAGGCATTGTTGAAGGAAGTAGAGCGAGGCAAGAGGGGAGTTGTTTTTGTATTTATTGACTTGGTCTGGGAGAGTGTTGGGTCGTGTTGGAGTCTAGACACATTGGGAAATTCAGGGTCGAACCAATCAGATGTGGCCATTTTAGACCTCCTTTATGATATAGTCGTCTCAGTCCAAGCCGCAAAGTTACAATTCCAAAAAACAGCTGAACTCTAAAGTTGCATGTGTAATCATCAGCTCCATTCATCCTTTGGTGCTCGCTAATTCAATACCCTACTGGCTACACTACACAGAAAACCGGATATCTCAATGCCCAATCCTCCCATCTAACCAAGCAAATCACCCAAAGCACCTCCCGGTTTCGAGCCTGTTCCCGGCGACTGCGTTGCGGGAGTGGTCGCCGCAGGAGTGCCCCACAGACCGGCGCTCGTCTTCTGCTTAGCCATATCCGCCATTGTGACCTTTTGAGTAGGCGTGGTTGTCTTCTTCGGGGCAACCCCACCAAGCAGTGAAGCGAACGCATCTCCGCCGGACGACTTGGTTGTCGACGATGCGGGCTTGGGCCCTCCAATAGTTGGGGACTTAAGAGACGGGTTTGAGCTGATAGACTGACGAGGAGTCTGGCCGACGGGTACGGATGTGAAATAGTTTGGTCCGGATGGTTGGTAGCCTGTGGACACCGGCGAGGTGATGGGAGGGGAGGCCATCTTATTTCCTCCGGGCGGAGGAGATACCGTGGCAAAAAGGTCGTTCAAGTTGTTGTTCTGCGCGGCCGACTGCGGTTGGGGTTGCGCGAACTGGGTCGCAGAAGTGATTGTAGAAGTGGAAGCCGGAGGAGCAATGTTGAAAGCCGCGGCAGAGGTAGATGCGGAGGCGGCGGCTGCGGAGGGTGCAGCAGATTGGAAGTCATCGAAGTCGTCGTCGTCGCCAAGGTCATTGCTCGTAGAATGGGCTACAGGCTGCTTTCCTGCGGAGACGGATGTCGGGGCCGGTTCGTCATCCCAAGCAAGCAAATCTGGCACCGGTTCTGGCTTGGGCTCTTCCTTCTTGGCCTCCCTCTTGACCTGAACGGGTGAGCCCGCCGAGGGAGCAGTTCTTCGCGCCGGTGAAGCCACTGCGCCCTCGTCATATTCGTCGTACTCCTCGAACCGGTCCCGCCTGGCCTGGGTATCGGAGAAACCGCCCGACGTGTCTCCCCCAAAGCCTCCACCGTCTCCGTACACGCCGCCGCTGTAGCCGCCAAAACCGGCATCATCGCTGCCGAAGCCTCCATAGCGGCTACCGCCCCCGGAGAAACCACCACCGCCCGAGATTCCACCACCCAGCCCTCGGCCTCCTTCTACCCCGCCGAACTTGTTCCGATTCGCTCGTGCCTTTTTGCGCTCAGCTCTAATCCGGTCGACGTCGGAGAGGAGTTCCGAGAGCTCTTTGGCTCTGTTCCGCACGTTGATACCCTGGTCTTTGCCGTTCTGATCGATGTAGTGAAATTGTTTGAGCATTTTGAGGAGGGAGACATGTGCGCGCGCATCGTCAATAACCCGTTCGGAACCGTTCTTGATGAGGAACTCGAGCAGTTGGAGGGCCTTCGTTTGTTAGGGGATTCTGCATTGCTAGGAGCGAGGCAGTACCTTGTATATCTGCCGCCACTCTTCCGCCGACTTCTCTGTAAACCGCTTGTAGATCATGGGCATAATTTCATTCAATAATTGACTGTCTTTATTAGTCAAGGCCGGATGTTGAGAAGAGGGTACTCACTAGTTGAAGGTGCCATTGGCGATTTCCTGCATTAGCGACGAGGAGGCGCCTGTACAATCTTAGATGCCGATTTCCATGTGCTTAGAGCAGAGACTCACCCCATGGCTCATTGTTTGTAGCCTCGCGCACCTTCGCCTCCATTTCGGTGTAGTTCATCACGGCTGCGGGCATTAGCACCAGCTATCCATGTAAGATTTGAGGCGGGCCACTACCATTCTGGACTTTGCGCACACCGGCCTTGATGTCGTAGAGCGTAAGATTGCTCACTTGTTCCTTTAAACTTGCGAAATCCATGTTGCCGGTGGTTGCGAGTGTGTTCGGGGAGAGATGTGTTGTCAGGGATGGGCTGAAGTGGCAGTAATGGATTATTGACCGCCCGCAGTTCGTCTGGGCGAGCCGGGGCCGACGTTAGCACCGCACGTGGATATGCATTTATTACGATGAACAACTGGGCAAGCCTTCATTTAGAGTTAAAAGCAGACGCAGTATGTCTGGAGCTACTATTGATCTTTTGAAGGATTATTGCCCAGGCGAGGAATATCGATGGAATAGCCCTAGAGAGCTGCAAAAGAATCACGTGATTTGCCTTGTCCGAATCGGGAAGGAGTGCCATCTCAATAGGACTGCACCGCGCAAAAGCACGCATTTCCGCCCAATTGCTTGTCTAATTTCTCCCATCGGTCTATACGGTCCCTATGGGGTCTACTAGATGCCAAAGTATACTTCTCTCATATTGTCAGGGCCATTGTTGTTATAGGGAGCTTCAGGGCCGACTCGCGCTAAATAGCGCGGCTGGTGGTCGAAGCTCCCAAGCTCTCCCTCAAAACTTCACCTCTGTCCGCATCTCTGGCCATCCCATCTCGTTTCATTTCATCACCCATTGTTGTACCATAACTCTGTAATTCCCTTCACATATTGTATTGCATAGCTGCCCAACGGCATATCCTCCACCTCTGCGCTCCACCCGGCTTCTGACGGTGCATCTCGCGCTCCCCTTTGGCCCTTGTCCTCCTCTAGCTTTCATCTGCACTGCAACCACCGCTTTCCGAGCTATCCCCCACCACCAGGTACGTCGTCAGAATCCTAGCTAGCCACCGTTTGCTGCGCCTCTCGACGAGCACTGCATGCGAGTGGTGGTTGCTCCAGGGCTGCTGCAGCATGCAGCACTTGTCTTTCTCGTCCTGTCCGGTTTGCGACTGTCCTGAGGCTTGGCGGCGCTGACGGCATGCTCGAAATTTGGAACGGCGCTAAATTCCCACAGCCCCGCCATGGTCCCCCGCCTCCAGCCATCTCCCCTTCTTTCGACTCTCCGCTCAGCTTCCTCCTCCATCACTTTCCGAGCACCTTGCAACAAGCGTTTCTTCACTCCCTCAGCCGCAAACATGGTTGTCAAGACTTTCTTCGAGGTCTCCTGGACCGGCCCCGTCATTGAGGTCGACAGCAAGGGCAATGTCACCAAGGAGGGTGAGGTAAAGGGTAAGCTCCTACTCCTTTGTCCCAGCTTCGCCAGCGACGCCAGAGCAGCTTCCGGTGCTGCCTGAGCCTCTGTGGAACCTCCAATCGTCCTCCGAAACCCCAATGGCTGACGCTCTTGCCGCAGACCAGTCTGGCCGCATCAACTTCAACCTCTTCGACGACGTCGTCCCCAAGACCGCCGAGAACTTCCGTGCCCTCTGCACTGGCGAGAAGGGCTTCGGCTACAAGGGCTCCAAGTTCCACCGTGTCATCCCCCAGTTCATGCTTCAGGGCGGTGACTTCACCCGTGGCAACGTGAGTTCTGGTCGAATAAATGATACAGGAGACGCCGGCTGACACGCTATTCCCAGGGCACTGGCGGCAAGTCCATCTACGGTGAGAAGTTCGGTGACGAGAACTTCAAGCTCCGCCACAACAAGCCCTTCCTCCTGTCCATGGCCAACGCCGGACCCAACACGTAAGAATTGCACAGCACCTTTTGTACAGATGGCCCGACTGACAATGGCACAGCAACGGCTCTCAGTTCTTCATCACCACCGTCGTCACCTCGTGGCTGGACGGCAAGCACGTCGTCTTCGGCGAGGTTCCCGAGGATGACGTCGAGTCGAAGCGCGTCGTCAAGTCGATTGAGGCTTGCGGCAGCAACTCGGGCCAGATCAAGTACAAGAACCCTCCCACCATTGTCAACTGCGGCCAGGCGTAGACAGCCAGGCGCCGAGTGTAGGATTTAGGTAGGACGGCGGAGGTGCCGAACACTGTGAAGGTCTTTGCAAGCTTCTTCAGCGGGCGATTGTCCTCACACAGCTCGGTTCCTCGATCAGTAGCAATCAATGTCAATACTGGGTTACTGATTTAAACGCCTCTCAACAGTACAGCTCTGTGACTGTCTGCCATCACTTTAACCTGCCATTATTCCACGATTCGCATTGCATACAAACTATCTCAGCTGCGGCAAATTTTGGTCGCAATGAGGGGCAGGGGAGGGGCAATGAGGGGCACCTATCCCAACCCCCACCTCGCACCTCCCACCTCCTGCCCCGCACCACGCCCAGGAGACTTCGTCATCGGGCGGGAGGTTCACGAAAAAGACGGCCCACCAGGTCCCGCGCCGGCTTCGTCCGGCTCATCGGAAGTCCAATCGCGTGCTTGCCTACCCGCCGAGGCTCTAGCCGTGTACATGTTTTCGACCTCGCAGGGCGTGAATGCTAATCCAGAGAAGTGAATACGAAGACGAAGAAGGGTATAATGCCAACGCCAATGGACTAAAGATTTTTGACAGCTCCTCTTATAACAGTCTTTTTCTTCTCCTTCTTCGTCTTCTTCTTCCCACCCACCCTCTGCAGGTTCAGATCAGAGGGAAGGACCGTCACCTACACAGAAATTCGTCACCTCACGCTTCAAATATCATTTAGAAAAGAGAAGCATCGCAATGTCTCCTCCTACCCTCTCACCGGCCACTGCCGCCATCCACGCCGACGACCGCATCAACCTTCTGACCGACGTCGCTCCAGCCATCCATGTCTCGACCACCTTCCGCTACCCGCGCGAAGCCAGCGCTCTGCAACCCGTCGACCCCTCTGGCGAATTCCTCGACCTCTCCTCCCCACTCGTCTACTCGCGCCTGACCAACGCAAACATCAATCGCCTCGAGACTATCCTCACCCCTCTGCTCTACCCCGGCACACCCGAACAGGAGCTTCCCCAACTGAGCAATCACGTCGTGAGCTACAGCTCCGGCCTGACCGCTTTCCACGCCCTACTCGTCAACCTGGTTCCCAAAGTCATCGCCATCTCTGCGGGCTACCATGGCTGCCACGGCGTCATCTCCCTCCACAAGAAGATGCACAACGTCCGCACCGTCGATCTGCATGCTTCGGACGAAGAATGGGATGCCGCGGGCCTGGGGAAGGGCGATCTCGTGCACCTCGAGACTCCCCTGAATCCGACCGGCGAGGCCTTCTCCATCGCCCACTTCGCCGAACGCGCACATAGGAGGGGTGCGTTTCTAAGCGTGGATGCGACGTTCGGCCCGCCTGGGTTACAAGATCCGTTTGCCTGGGGCGCGGATGTGGTCATGCATAGCGCGACCAAGTATATCGGTGGCCACAGCGATATGCTCGCGGGGATCCTGGCAGTGAAGAAGGGCGAGGAAGGGAAGGAGTGGGCTAATAGCCTGAGGCTGGAGCGCGTGTTCCTGGGCGGCGTGTTGGGCAGTCTCGAAGGCTGGCTGGGTGTCCGCAGCCTGCGGACATTGGAGCTCCGGGTGCAGAGACAGAGCCAGAGCGCGGCGAAATTGGTGCAGTGGCTAGATGCTGCGGTCACGGGCAAAGCGGCGGCTGGCGAAGAGGCAGATACGATTCGCAAAGTGGTTTCCCGAATCACGCACGCGAGTCTGCAGACGGCGGATTTTGCGTGGTTGAAGAAACAGATGCCGAATGGGTTCGGTCCTGTCTTTTCCATCTACACGCATGATGCCGAGCAGGCGAAGCTGCTTCCGGGGCTGCTGCGGTTGTTCCACCATGCGACGTCCCTGGGCGGAGTGGAGAGTTTGATTGAGTGGAGGCGGATGAGCGATTCGGATGTTGATGAGCGGTTGTTGAGGGTCAGTGTTGGGGTCGAGGCGTGGGAGGATTTGAAGGAGGATTTCTTGCAGGCTTTTAGGGTGTTGGGAGGTGGGAAGAGAGAGGTGGTGCAGCAGGGTCGGGAGAGGGGAGACGTGGATGAGGTGACGGGGGAGAGGGGCGCGAAGGATACGGTCGATGGGGCTGTGTGAACGAAGCATATTTGGAGTATATGGTGTTAAAAGCAAATCAGAATGCAGATTAGGATCATAGATTGGAAATTAGTAGACTGTAGACTCGAAAATGTACTACTACTATGTTTGTCTAAGTCTTGTCTTGTCTCTGCAACCGCAACTCCATGCTAGGTAATGCATCATGTAAGCCTGAGAGCAGGCCCTTAACCCAATAGCAAAATCAAGAAAGGAAAAGGACATCGAGGATACCTCCTCAACCCCTACACTCAAACCAATCCAAACCACCGCCCAACCCTCGCCCTCAGTTCCCTCCCCATAGCCCTCCTCGTCCCCTCGGTCCTCCCCACCGCCTCCCGATTCTCCACGGCCCTCCTCATCAGGAAACCCAGACACTCCCTCGTCGTCCCAAACGCCATACACTTCACCACCTTACTATTCCCATCCCGCCTGCGCGCCTCATCCTGCACCAAGTCTTGCGAAATCTCATCCGCCATGCCCTGCAACTGGGCGTACGCGAGCCGCGGCAGCGACGTCGTCGGTGAAACCGAAGGAGGCAGAGAAGAAATCTGCTCACTGCGGATTTCCCTTGCCTTGGCTATCGACGCCGCGTTATGCGTCGCCAGCACGACATTCAGTTTCGGAAACGGCTCGGCTTCGTCTCCGGAGGGAGGTCTAACGACGTCGTTCCATTGACCCTTCAACACGGCTTCCGCGCACGCGTCATAGCACCGATCGGTCCCTCCTTTCGTCTCCCAAATCAGGTCCCGCGGCTCCGTGGCCAGGTATGCGCCGCGGACCAGTTTCACGCCTGCGATCCACCCGCCTTCTCGCGCTAGCTTCAGGTGCTGGGCGAGGCGCGCGGGCGTGCCTTTGAGGTAGCACTGATACGTCGTATACACCACCGCTTTACCCGCTCGATTATATTGCCGCTGGAGCTCCAGCGTCCACGCTTCCAACCCGCGATTCGTAGCCTCCTCCTCCGCACCGGGGAGAAGCGCAACGTCCTTCTCCGCAGCCGCACGGCAAATCCTTTGCAAAGACTCCGCCATCATGGGCGTCGGCGGAGCGCCGTCTCGCAGGAGGGATAACGCATAGGGTCCCAGGCCCGAGAGTTTGAAGCCGATGAAATCCCCCGAGCGCGCCATGGCGATGCTGTCCAGCATCCCTTGCTCCCATTCTCGTACGTCTTTTGCGATTTCCTGCTCGGTTTGGATCTTCCCTTTGCCTTCTGCCTCGAGGAGTTCTCTTGCGTATTCGAGGATGATGCCGTCGTATCCTAACTGTTTTCGAGCGGCGCCCGTGTTTTGCCGGACTTCGGCGACGCTCTCGCCCGCGCAGAATTGTGCGTAGAAGGTTGATTTTAGGATTTTGGCGAGGAGGGGGTTGCGTTCGGGGGAGAGGAGGCTGGTGGGTGGGTGTCGGAGGATGAGGGAGAGGAGGGAGAAGGAGAGGGAGAGGAGGGTGGGAGAGGAGGAGACGGTGGTGATGAGGTAGGTGCGGAGGACGGAGGTGGTGGGGAGGCGGGAGAGGGGTGTTGATGATGTTTTGTCTTTCTCCGATTGTAGGGATGGTTCAGAGGGAGAGGGTGTGGTTTCTGAAGACGAGAAAGTGGATGTTGTTGATGGGGGGAGAGGTGCGGCTGAGACGTTGCGCCGGGCGGTTGGTGCGTGGATCCAGCGGGTGGACAGCGGTGTTGTTATTGCGACCGGGAGGAGGGTAGAGCAGGTTCGAGAGAGGAGGAGGGCATTGTGTCGCTGGAGGACGTGGAGGAGGAGTGGTCCGGGTGGCCGTGGTACTGGCATGATGTTGTATGTGGATGTTGATTGTGCTGCTGAGTGAATGTGTGTGCGAACTGGTTTTTGTGTCCGATTTTGGCCTTCGAGCAAGCCGAGGGATGTACAAAGAAATCCTGTTTTCCAAACGTATGACGATGTGTAGGGAAATCGTCAGCGGCTGATCACACCGACTCTTTTCCGTCGCGGTGCTCGATCCTCGAGTGAATGGAATAGTATAGTCTCCTCAGTCGTCCTGATCAAAGAATGAACTGCAAAGATATGTGAAGTCCGCTTCTCGGTCTTCCCCCCTCTTCTATATATACGCTCCCCCAAGCCATTCTTTCCCGCATTCACACTTCTCGCAAAGGCCGAAGCTTCCAGCTCGGAGTGCGGCTTTCGACGGGCCGCACGGACCAGGTTATGACGTCTCCACAGAGTATTGCCGAGGTGGGTTAGCGTAAGGGAAAGGGGTAAAGCTTGGCGTGAGCTAAGCGAGGGCTTAAATGGACGACTGGTTGTCGTTATACGATGGGTGCAGCCAGGGGATGGGTGGTGATGGGTGGTGATAAGTGGATGGGAGTAGAGACGAGCGGCGATGCTGTAGAGGATGTATCTGGGATGTTGAGAGTAATGGCGACTATGGTGTATAACGGCCTGAGGAAGCGGCAGTTGAGGAATAGGAGCGGAGCACCTGGCGGACATGAGCACTTGAATAGAGAAAGGAGGTACTTCGACTGCTCAATCCAAGTGCCAATAATAACATACATAGGTACCCGGGTACATTGGTAGCTTTTCAAAGGCGGCTGGTCGTGGGCTGAGAGCAAAAGAAGCGTCATGGGCATTAGCCATGAAGAGAATGCGCGTCACCGTTTACCAAGCCCAACTACAATCGTACATATGCCATTGATCCTCCTTTGCATTGAACAGTACCTCCACATTCCACCATCCATCACTTAATTGGGACCCGAAGGGTCTATGTATCGTATCCAGATCAATCCAAGACTATAACACCACCTCCGTACCTGCATTTTTCTCCTCCTTTACAGGGACGAGTACCAGGGGTTCGCACATGCCGAGAAGAGGCATCACCACGGCATCCTGGGGAAGATTCTCGCCATGCTGGTTCAAGGCTGAAATCTCCCGGTCAACCTGCCCAGTACCGTACAGAGAGCAACAGATTGGCGTTGCCTGCGTCCCCTAGCTATATTCGGACGAAGCAGTGGAAGACAGGGATGGCGTGGAAGAGGCCGGAGAGTCGACACATGGCGAAAGATACTGATATTCCCCGTTCAGATTTGTTGCATTCATTGGCATCGTCGAATTAGTGTGCATTGATTGTGAATGTGCCGGGTTTGACGAAAAGGTCCCGTCGAGACTGACTTGTCGCTCAGGCGTGGTCATGCAGTTGTGCTGATTGTGACCGCTAGGTGCATAACGCGAAAGACAGAAATACGGGTGTTGGGGCGGGCTCATCGCTTCGATAGGGTCGGGGTAGACATATGCGTATTCCTCGGTCGGAGCCGCGGCGACGGGTAGGCGTGGTGAATATGCGGAGCCTGGATGCTGCCATGGACCATTGGCGGCATGATCAATCATGGGCAGTTGTGGCTTGGGGGCGTTCGTACGGTGAGGTAGATTGTATTGCTGGGAGTCAGGGCGATTTGACCCGTAAACGGAGTCGAACTGCCCGTGGGTATCCGACATGTTGGCTGCTTGCAATGATGCGGTCCGTTGAGGTGCTTCTGAGGTTGTCGAAAGAGAGACGAGCGCATGAAATGAGGTGGTTCACATTGCTAGGCTTGTCTAACGGAGGGCAATGTTGTGAAAGGCACCATGTCCGGCGACCAGGGCTCGCTCTTGGCGAGCAGCTTTCGGAGACCAGTACGCGTAGTGGAGAGGCGCGTCAAATGCGTGGACCGTGCTCATAAGCAAAGAGAGACCGGATGGCGTTCCCGGCGAGGTTGCAGCAGGAGATACATATGGATGGGACCGCCTCTTGTCTGCCATAGGTCGGTGATTCAGGGACGTTCAGTTGAGGTGACTGTGGATGCAGCTTCCATTGAGAAAACTAGACAGATGCCCTCCCTGTGCAAGTGTCCAGATACATTTATTCGTTACAAAGCTAGAATGCGTTTCCCTCCTCCTGCTGTCTAACAAACAAACCAACACAGTGGCTCGGTATAATCTGGAATAACCATCGAATGGTATTGAACGTCGAAACAGACAGATAAAAAACATTCGAATATTTTCTTCTTGATGTTTCCACATAGCAATTATGGTTCACAAGCGCCAACATTGCTCGCCAAACAGCAGAAAACAGCAGTAAATCATCCAGGTTCTCCAGTGACACTTGTTTACTATTGCGCGGCGCGTTTTTGGCTTTAAGAAAACAATAAGGTTGCATGAGTATGATCAAACCTGTTGGTCATGGACTACTTGCTCGTCAACTCCCATAACGGCGCATTGTTCATAAATCTTCATCCAGCGCAACCCGATCTCCAACCAGCCACAACGGATTGAGGGAGCGGGGGAACTTAACAAGGCAGTTAAACCGGTATATACAATGCGCATTGTAATTTTTATAGACTTTCAACATCAGTTATACATGATTCTACTCAGTGTTGCTCATTGTACGACCCTCGATGCCTTCGCATTGCTCGAGATCTCCAGCACCCACTTGGGCATGGAGACACGGCAGTTCTCTCAATACCGTATACCAGAATCTCCTCGACAGTCGCACCTTTGACCGCCGCTACGCATCGCACGGGTGCATGTGACACACTAGTTGCCTGGGTTACAGCTATGTGTGTGGCAAAGAAGCACTGCGGCGCCTGCAGGGAGGTGACGTTGAACTTTCAATGAAACTTTCACTAGAGCTTCTTCCGGGGCGCGTCGAGCGCGCTCATGGACACGTGCCTCACCGTAGGCGCGTTCGTCGCGGTTTCGGTGTGCAAAGTGCGGTGCAGGAATACCCGACGACAACACAAACAAGTCCCCACCCAAAATTTCCCAACTAAGGAAACTCCAGAGAGACCGCTCCCATTAGGCCCTTGACATACACTATTACTATTGTCTTCCACCATCTTGTACCAATCTTCTTCAGTGTCGGCGTACATACTTTCAGGGTAGTGCTGTTGGTATTCAACATGGGAGACTACTATTGTGATCCCGATGTGAGTACTGCCCATATTGCTTCCGTTAGAGAAGGCGTGATACTAATCTCTTAGAAGCCACAGACTGCGTTCAAGTCTGACTCGGTGCCAGTGATGGAGGACAACCATCCTGCGTCCACTAGCAACAGCTACCTCACAGAAAGCAACACATACGATGAAGATCATTTCCCGCACAGCCTCAGAAACTTTGAGCCTACAGCAGTCAGCTCATACAATGACGAGAATACAACGGCTGCTGCTATCAACGCTCAGGAAAGCTTCGCGAACCACAACTGCACGGAGCATCAGTTGCCTTCAACTAGGGCTACGTATGGTAACTTCCAAGTTTGCGATTCAACATCTACACATCAGTGATTCTCCCCTTTGATCGGGACCGACACGAGCTGCGGACACTTTCCTCAATCTCCCTACTCTGGCTATCCAAGAGATGCAAATGGTGCAGGTTCTATTGGTAGGATGAATGCGTTGCAGGCTATTGACCCAATCCTATTGTCTCTTTCCAGAGACCCATCTGCTGTTACCATGAGCGGGATGGCATTCACGGCTTACGACACTAACAGCATAACGCTGCCTTCCCAGCAACATACGCAAGCTTGGACGCACCAGCCACAGCAATCGGTTGCTCATGGCGGGCAATATCTTCCAACCCCTTGCAGGAAAATGGCACAGAACGCCTCAGGCACCATTGGCGCAGACTTCTCATCGCGGCATATTGTCCATCCAGCCTTTTCAAACTCCATCCTTCACAGATTCGCAGTAAACAGGATCCCCGACGCAGTCGACAATCCCCAAGCACCATCTAGTAATCATGGTCCTCAGAATAATGCCATTCAAGTTCAGGCTTCAGAAAATTCCAACACCTCGACTACCTGTACTCAGACACCAGGAGCGCAATCCCAGAGTGCTCCCACGACCTCGAGGGGGAAGCGAAGACGCGAGGCGGGCCGTGATCCGGGGCTACAAGGACTGAGGAAGGACCAGAATACCGATCTATACTTCAACAGCATTGCTGACGTCCTTGGCAATGACAACTGGCAACGATTTACCTGTCCTCGTCCCGATGCATCTATACCGACAAATCTTTCCGACCAGCAAGCGAATGTGAAAGAGCTAGTTCGCGCAATCAAGAATGCGACGTCCGTGGTAGAGGCCCCAAGGAGTTTAGCTCGATGGAAATCCGATGCTGCCTACTACGAAGACGCGCATATTGAGAAGATGGCTTGGAGATTGCTCGCCAATACTGTGACGCTCCATCAGTCCGGCTGGACCGAACCGATTTATGATAAGCTCCTGATGGGAACCATCAAAGAGACGGCAGACTGGACTTTCAAAACTCGCATGGATGCCATCAAAGAAGTTTTGACTGTGAGTTGTTGTTGTACGTCATCGTTCGATCAATCTCTAACATGCGAATAGTACTCCAAAGGCACTTGTGAGACCATCCTCAAGGGCGAAAAGATATGGACTTTGATAGGAGCGCCACACAGGCTGCGGTCGAGTACGCGTACCAACGGCCTTCAGAATTTGAAAAGGAAGGAGTTGATCGATGAAGGAAGGGCGGCCAAAAGACTAAAGCAGGACTACGGGGACATGGCTTCGCAAAGCGGTAATGATACCGCCACAGGCTCAGTTGACCATCCATCGGGAGGAACAATACCGACGCCGCTTGGAGCCGCATCTCATGATACAAGTGCAGCTCAAAATAAGGGTAAGTCTGATTCAAAAATCAACGGACAATCGCCTTCGGCGGCGCAGGGCTTGTCGCGGGACGCAAACAGCCCTGCAGCCTTGGTTTTTGAATCTACTGGGTCAGTGGATCCCATGCAGCCAACAGTCACGGCTACCGTACCAACGTTGCAAAGAGCTGGAGAGCAGTCGTCCAAGATATGCAAAAGGTCTCTCAAACAAGCTACCAAGTCGAAGAAAGGCAGCACCTCTCGCGCCCAGGAGCGGTCGACTGAGATAACTGAAGCACGGGCACCCTCACCTGACGACAGGGCGTCATTGCGGGATATGGATGTAACTGCCACTCACTCCGGTCCCTCCAAGGACCTGTCAAGTGAAGTCAGTTCTGAAGAGGATGCAAATGTTCCAGACGTTGCAAGGGAGTTCGAAGAATTGGATACGGTCGGGGTGGAGGAGACTTGAGACCTTCAACTGGGTATCATGCCCATGGCCCCTCCGTCAATCGAACGGGGTACACCGCTGCGCTCAGCATGGTTCGGACGCTGGAAAAATACAATGATGTGTCTACTACAAACGATATGGCTTATGAGGTCAATAGACGCGCGAAGGGACAGATAGAGGCTTGAAAGGTAATGCTTTCATAACATCTGCCTAAAAGTGGCTTCAATGTATCTGCTACAGGAACGAATCTATATCCGTAAAGCTCGCCTTCCCCGCGTGAAGTATAAGTTCTGGTGGGTGAAACCGTGCACGATTAAACCTCAAGAAGGAATGGTGCTTTATATACTAGAATAATGCTCTTCACACTTAGGCCCTAGAGGTACGTGATTCTCCGACCATGAGTGCATGAGCTTTGCCAAGCATGACCAAAGACCGCTACTTTTGTAGGAGGGATACGATCGGCTCATGTGCCTCTTGTTCAATTGTTGTTTGGGTCTAGCGGAATGCCTCGATGTCGACAACCGCACACAACGGCAATGGAGCAAGCCGTGACAATCAATTTTCAGCATGATCAATAGAATTGGAGCAGCAGCATACATTACGTTTTTTTATAAAGATACTTGTCCATAGACAAACTTCTATCGTCACCCCTTCTAAAGGGAAGCCTTCTCCAATCATGATAAATTTGCTCACCTTGCCACTGATAATTGTACATAGAACGGTGCTGTACATATTTCCGCTCTCGATCACGCAAGTGCAGAGTGAAACTCAAATGAGAGTCTGAGGGAAGTTATCCAGCGGTACGAGGTGATGTTGCCTTGGATAAGCTCACGTGCATACGCGTCGAGTCCACCAGCCACAATGGCGACGCCGTGGCGCGCTGGCTACCAAGAACAGCAACCTCAGTCCTTTAATGGACCTCAGAGCGATCTTTGCAGTCCAAAACTGTTATATCAACTTATATCATACGTCGAAATGTAACCAATCAAAAACAATACCACCCGGTCCATCGCAGAAGGTGGCAGCAACGCTTGGGAAGCCGAAAGTAGAGAATCGATGGTCAGATGGCGCGACGTATTACGAAGAGGGCCAGTACGAGAACTTAGCTTGGTGCCTGCTCGATGCAACCATGAAGGTTCACCAGTTTGGCTGGACTGAGCCTACCCTACGGTATATACGACAGAGTACTGATGAGCAGCATCGAGAAGACCGCAAGTTGGACTTTCCAGACCAAGATGGACAAAATTACGCAGCTCTTGAATGTACGTTTCGCTCGATGTTCTCGAGCCGTAGATCCTCTGACATATGGTAGTATTCTAAGAGCACTTGCGAAGCGCTGATGAAGAGCGAAAAGCTCTGGACCGTAATTGGTACACCGGACAACTTGGTAGCCCGCACGCGTACCAATGCGGAGCAAAACAAACGGAAAAAGGCTGTCATCGAAGCTGGTAAACGGGCAACACAGCGAAGGGCAGAACCAGGCACGATTGGGCTGCGTGTCCAGCCAACCGGAGGGGTATCAGACGGAGTACCCGGAGAAGCATCAGAACTTGCCCCCAGCATTATTTCGGCAAACAAGGGTAGAAACCGTTCCCTGGGAAGCTGCCCATCAAACTCATCTTGCCAAGTAGCCACCGTGCACCCGACACCGGCTCTACCCGTAGATTGGGACACTTCGACTACGGCTTCACAGGGCGAATTTAGTGCATCTAAATCCTTGCTTGCTGATCACGATAATGTTTTGGCGCACGAATACAACGAGTCGGTGCGTTTGGCGCCGGAAGCAGAAACGAAGAGTTCAGTACCTGCTCCTCGGGAAGGACCGGGTGGTTCAGAATTGTTGGATGTTGGAACGATTTCACCGGTGAAGACATCTAAAAGGAAGCGCTTTCAACGTTCTATGAACAAGATAGGAGCTAAACAGGCTCCGTCAGTTAAGGAAGAAAATGGTAAGTCGCGTAAGGAGGCCGACGAAGAGTCAGCCGGCCCACACATGTTGCGGACTAAACCTCGGAGGATGTAGAAGCGCAGGACTGGGGAAAGGTCCTCAGAACTGCCACGTAGCATGTGCCGTGGCTCAACAATAATTTTGCATCGCTTGCTTTAGCACTGATAAACGAGATTGAGCGCGGCGCTATCTCTCTGGAGTAAAGAAATGTTTGGTACTTGGTCGACTGACTGGCATTCGAGTGGCCTGGTTACTATCGAAGTGAGGCGTTGCAAAATAGAGGCCCGACGTACAGTCAATAGCTAAATGATTACCCTAGGGTACTAGACGCCGCCTGAGTTCGGGGAACTACCAGCTCTGTTCATGCATACTCGCCTATCGCTCTTTGCACTAGGCAACTAAAGCATAATTGTGTGTATTAGCGGCAAAAGATAGCGTTGCTAAAATTGCTACTAAGGAGTCGCTAATTCACTCCTAAAACCCTCATAATGTACATGCTATAGCTTCTGTCGTGTCAAGCTGGTTGCAAAGAGCAGTTACCGCCCCCTTGGAGCTTAGTCAGCATCCTTTGGAGGTCCTCTCCTCCTTGCTCTTTACCCACGGAAGCACACAGTTATTGGTCTGGCAAACAGGCCAGAACGGGCAAAATGACAATCCCTCCTAGCTCTCTGTACTCGTGAAGCTAGCGGACCAAAGCAGCCTTAGCAGAGGCAGTTCCAGTTCTCTGCACCTTTTCGGAGTTGGCAACCTTGTAAAACTAGGGTCGGGAATACCAAAATGAAGATACAGAGTGAAATTACTCAAGGCTTCGAACTTTATTTGTTGGTTTTCCTCGAAGCAAGCCGTCGTCAGAAGGGTCCAGGCTCGTGATGTGCGACTCCAAACGGGCACGTGCTATTTCACTAGGCCGCTTGATATGTTACATACAATCAATGAAGCCCAAAACTTAACTGTGACATAAACGCATATTTATAGTAATAACGCATTCAAGTGTACCATATAGACCAACCGGGCAAGTGTTTACTGTCTACAGTATCATCTCGCGCCGGGCGCAGGCGAACGCCTTCCGAGAGATGAGCTCAACAAGCATTGTTCATCCAACGGCATATTTATATAAAACCGTTAATCTCTTTACTTGCACAAGGCGGCAGACGTAAATCCTCAACAAGCCTCGAACACCACAAAATTTTTAGTTGGCGAACCGCTATGGCGTAATTATCGAGGAACCTATGTCACGATTTCATTTTGAAGCGTAGAGGGACAGCTTGAACACATCACCTCCTCCTCTGTATATATACTAGATACTTATGTCTGTGCTATCTCATATGGCATGACTAGGCGGAGGTAGATCCCTGGTGTCAGGCAGCATGGGGAACCATGGGAGCCATTGAGCAACGGAGCGAAGTGAAATCCATTCTGGGAACGGTGAAACCATTCACCTATGGCTCGTGCGGCAGCGGCCTCGCTAGTTCCGTTTCCACTTTTCTTAGGCGCAGCAGCGCGGCAACCCGCTGGGCTACCTCGTCCTTGCGAATCGTTTCCCACTCCACCTGCGTCATCAACACAACCCGTGTCGTGGCAACCCGCAAACCTCACAACAAACCTCGCAACCTACGGTTACCAATCTTGAGCAAATCCACAATTCTCTCTTCTTTGGCCACACTCGAAACGACTCCTGATCTGTTGATTTTTTGATCTCCTGCATCCGAGATGTTCTTCACCAACATCGACGCGGTCAAGGCAAGCGACAACGCAGGAGTGCGGTTCCGTCCCCCGCGGCCAGACCGCAGCATTCCTACCACGGATGAAGAAAAACAGGAGATTGTGAGGGCCCTTATCGAGGCTATATATGACACTTCAGATACAGCTGAGGTGGGCACCACGGAAGCTTTCCAGCATCGTTGGGTGAAGAGACACCACTATCATCCTTCTGGTGTAGAGAAGGTGGCCTGGAAGCTGTTGGATAAGACGATCAAGCTCCATCGGTTTGGATGGATGGCTCCGGTGTACGACGAAACGGTCATGGTTGACGTTATGAAGACGGTGGGATGGACGTTCGGCGATAGAATTCGGCATATCAAAGCTCTGCTTAGTGTACGTCCGGCTGTGTTGTGTATCATCTGCACTTCGCTAACAGCGATTTAGTGGTCGAAAGCCTCTTGCGAGTCGTTGCTAAAGGGCGACAAATACTGGACGGTCATAGGCATGCCGGCCCTGCTGCTCTCGCGCTCCAAAATGAACAAGGAGTCCAATAAGAAAAAGAAAGCCAGACTCGAGTACGCCCGAGGCAAAGAGAAAGAGGGAGACCTTGTCCTAAAAGGGAAGGCCGCCCAGAACGCAACTGGTGCTGCGTCTGCAGGGAATGCTGAGGCAGGGTCTTCGGCACAGGTTTCAGGCCCGACTTCGTTGGATGACCAGGCTGGGGATTCTGAAGATTTCCCAAATACCGTTACCAATTCGTTTACTCAAGCCTCGAATGAGCTTTCTGAGAATCGCCTTCCGACTGCCGGTCACACGAATCAATCCCAAAAACCGGCAGTTGCCCGGAAATCATCTAGCAAAAACGAACCAAGCGTTCAGCGTGACTCACTCGCACCAGGACTTACTCGCCATAGCAGAATTTACCCTGACGGATATGACCAAAGTCACACACCCAACACAGCTGAGGTCGAATTCCCGAGCCGAAACCACTCTGGTTTGCATGAGAATCACGCTGCCATTTTCGATGCGCAATCCGACAGTCGAGGCGTCCGAGAACATGATCGTGATCGTTCGCTCCGTGAAGATCCATATGGCGGAAGTACCGACAACACTATGCCCATCACTGGCCAAGAGACCCTTCACGAACATGTATTCCCTAGCGGGGTTGATGGAGAAGAATTGTCTACGCTCTCAGGTGCATCACCGCCCGAAACGACACTTTCTCAAACCAGCGCTGGGCTATACATGCTGGAGCCCCGCGCTGCGTCTGAGGAGCGCGACATGAGAAACTTTATTATTGGGAGTATGTGCGGATGGGTTGACAAGGATTACACGACATCCTGTGCGGATATGCGCGACACGTCCAGGATCACACCTGCGTCGAAGGAACACAATTGTCGCATCCACAGCGGGACCAACCACCCTAGTCGTGTTAGTGGAACGAGCGATCGAGCTACCCGGTTTGCTGGGTTAAATACTCTCCCTCGGAATAATGGGGCTTCTGCTGCGACGGATGAGAGTAACAATCAGACTACACTTGCGCACGCAACGTCCCTGCTAAACCACTCTCGGAGGCGATCTCAACCTCATGAGGTCAATGGGAAAGATGACATGGACGAAATCAATGACAGAATATCGAAGAAGAGGGCCCGTACTATGGATGCCCCCTGTGGACGGCCTGCTCGACGATCGGGAAAGAAGTGATGGAGAGTTCAGATCAGAATGCATGAACCATCGCCAAGTTGCACTTGTGCTGAAACAGCAATATGTGAATGTAAGAACTGGGAGTTGGAAACAGAGCGATAGGAACGGAGTATGGTTGGAAAGATCCAGGGGGAATGCAACCGCAACAGCTCAATGTTATTGGAACAGGAGCCCAAAGAGTCATCCAGCAGCAGTGATTATATCTCAAAGAATGTCCATAAGCATCAATAATGGTCTTACATTCACCTATCTTCAATTTTGCATGTGCTCCCTAAAGGGTAGGCGCGGAATATTAGTAACTACTTTCGTACCTATGCGGTGCCGCAAAGCAGTCGATTTTTTTGTCAGTGAAAAGTTGTAGGTCTATGAGCCGCTCCAAAGCAGCTTTAAATGCGTCCAATAGATATTCTTGGGCGTTCTCAACGTGGGGAGTAAATATAGCCTTATAGGGACATTTAGAACCTTCTCTAGTTTAAGCTCTCTGAGGTATCGAAGTAACAGAATTTAACCCCGCAACTGTACTAGCCTTAGCCCTGGCTTCGGCTTAATCTCAGCATCAGCCTAGAACCCGGGGAGTCATCAAAAGCCGCTGGCCTAACACTCGTGGAACTGAAGAGGAGGCGCGACTCTAACTGTCGGTGCCCTCATCAGGGTACCAGTCCTCCATTGTGCTCGAGGTGGTGGCAGCCCTCGTTTAGCCCTGTGCCTGTAACATGGAGTACTTATACCTTGGAGGTATCTTCGACTAGTAACTCTCTCCCTGCACGCTCCACAGCGCCCTAAATGCTGCCTGCTGGTAGCTGAGACTCCAGGGCCGAGAGCACCTCTGCCGCCTTTTGGAAGCCCCAGTCCTCATTGTGGTGCCAGCATACAGGACTGCAGCTTGAAATTCCGAGTCGTGAACATCGTGAACAAATCCAATAATTGAGAAGCAGACAGTTACTTTGGGGGCGTGAGTTGGTATTATTATGACTAAACTTTGAAAGAAACCTTGGGTTCTCTTGATAACTTTATAGCTAGTGGATTTGTACTCCTTCCCAAGGGTTGTTGGACCTGAGCCGCACCCAGAAAGCAAACCGGGCAGCCAGACCTGTCAGCCTACTCTGACGGTGCTTTTGAAGTCACAGTCTATATTCTAACAGATTAAAGCTGTCTTAAAACAGCCTTTGGTGACGTAAGCCCTCGACCTTCTGTAGTCTAATATATAGGCTTCCTAGAAAGCACACTAATATGGAGACAGACTCCACTTATTAGTAGGGTTCATTGGTAGAAAATGTACACGGCTACATTGCAGTAGCTAATAAGCAGAATGCCCTCCTTGCCACTGAAAGCCTGCTGTAGTGGTTTAATAAGGGATAAAGAGTCCTCCATCTGTTGTACAAGGTGTAACACCTATCTATGCAACATTGAGGATAGGAATGCCTTTATGTGTCAAATATGGGGTATAAATATTGTACGGTGCTATATTTGTTCCACACTGGGAATCACCTCAATTCGTCTAACAAGGGGTATCGTCTCCATGGGTGAGCAGAGCGTATTTAACGGCCTCTATTCGTAAGAGTCTACATGGTGTACTATAATGCTGGAGAAGAAAGGCCAAGTTATCGGGATGCCAATGAGTCCAGAATCCAGAAGTCCAGAAATAGCAAAGCAGCAGTGATAACATAAAGCAAGCCGTACGTAGAATGGTTCATGACAAAATACAGAAACAGCAGAAAAGCCTCGCAATAGGGAACGAGTAAGGGAACTTCACTGTGCAGTTATGTCGACATGACTATGCGTACGTACACGAAGAGCGGCAGAGCTGGGACTTCCCATTACTTCTTAGGAGAACGAGCGTTAGGCACTCGAGGAGTTTTTGAAACACGCGCCTTCTTCAACAAGGGAGCCTCGTGCAAGCACTGTCCATCGAAATCCGCGTCTTTCTCGCCGCCACTGTGGTCCCGGGATCGCTTGCCAATTGCAGAGGCCAGTGGCTGAATCCACGAAGTTTGGTGGACGGTGGTGTCGCTATGATGTACGAGATCTGGGGCAGCCCGGCCCAGCAGCCGATCACTCCAGACAAAGCTGGGTTCTGTTCCGCATGCCGTATGTCCGGGATAGTTGCACTGGGACTGGTCCAAGAATGTCGTGGGCTCCCCGAGTGGCAAATCCCCGAGCCCCTGTTGCAATTGAGGGAAAGTGCCGACATCAAAGGAATCTCCGAAGGACGAAATCCCTGACTCGCTGCAAACGCTGGGATGGTTGAACCCAATTGGAGGTTGGGTAGTGGTTCCATCGCTAGGACTCTGCGTAATAATGCTCTGAGAGTCTGACAGGACTGCGCTGAAAGGGAAGCATGGAGCGTTATCACACGCTGCGGTAAAGCGCTGGCCATGGACTGCCGCCATCTCCTGAGAGGTCTGAATTGCGTTCGCTGTCTTTGCCTGATGGGTCTCGAAAGCACTCGTCTGGTTCACCCCATCCGCCACAATAGGGTTGGGGTCAACAGCAGAAACCTCATGCCTTCTTAGGCCATCCTGGACAGTATCAGAAGCAGCGTTATCGGCTGATGCGACGGCTGCAGTGCTAACGCTCGAGCTGGCAGTGTCATTGAGTTGAGCCGCCGCTGGGATGGAGTCACCAGAAGCGCGCTTTAATTTCTCAATTTCGGCCTCCACTGCTTTGGCTATCTCGAGACGTTTTGCCTTCGTCTTATTCTGCTTCTTATTGACAGACAGCCGATCAAACATAATTGGCGCAGTGCCAATTATTGTCCAAATCTTCTCCCGCTTGAGGGCACTTTCGCAGGCGTCCTTCGAGCCCTTGAGAAGGGACTCGATCGAAGTCATTCTTTCGGCGAATTTCATGTGCTTCGTAGTGAGGATCTGGGCCATGAGACTTTCGTCGTAGATTGGCTCCGTCCAGCCCTCAGTGTGGATCTTGATTGTCTTTTGGACAATTTCCCACGCCAGCATCTCGATGTGCGCCGGCTTATAGTGCGTTCGGTTGATCCAGCGGGCTTGAAAGGCAACGGTGTATGGTTTCGCATTCGGAAGAGGAGGGTCGACGTGGTAAATCGCATCTACAAGCGTCTTAACAATCTCCTGCTCCTTGTGGTCTGTCGTAGGAATGGTGTCGTCATTCTCCGGTGGCTCAAAATGGACGACCGCATTGGTGGTGTTCACGTCAAGGGCGTTTGAGAAATTTCGTCCCGTGTTCCCCCTTGGGTGAATGCCGCTGAGTGCAATGTCACTGACTGCAGGCTGATTGACCTTGGGCCTCTTAGCAACTCGCACGCGCCTGGGTGCTGTTTGATCCTGGGTTTCGTCTGCCCGAGATGTGGTGCCGGGATTGCCGCTACTAACGCTGAGTTGAGGGTGAGTAGCATCAGGAACAAGGACCGCAAGAAAACCGCTATGCTGCCCATTGCTCACCATTATCGCATTACTGTTGGCAGGAGTAGAGCATGCTGTGGATGATGCTACAGATTCTCCTGCGGGTCCCCGGGCCTTTAGGGGTTGAGGGCGCGGAGCGTAATCTGGGTGGGTTAGGCGCGCGTTGCGTTGCCTCCGTGTTGGAACAGGAAGAGAGCCGTGGCCGTTTGCACTTGAAACACCTTGTTGACCAATGTTGTCGGCTGTGGGAGTAGCATTGGCGGCTTCTGCGGACGGTCCGGGCTTGGGAAGTCGGGGGGTCTACTGTGACGTTAGCGATACCGCTGTTAACCGTGGGTGGGAAAGCAACTCATGATCGCACATACCATTGAGTATTCAGAGAAACAAGTGCTTGAGAACGTAACGGAATGGCAGTGAGAACAATGCAATCCAGTGACCTTGCTGCAGACCCCAGTGGGTTGGGAACACAGAATATGCTGAAGGGCGTTGCTGTTGGTTGCAGAATGGGAGTTTGAACTTGTTACGAAAGAAGGACTGTTTTGGTTGGGGTTGGATTTGGAGGCGTCCTTGAGCGTAGATAAGGGACTTGAGAGCGCGAGACGCACCTTTGCACGTGACGGGCACACCGCATTCCCTGACGGCCGTCTCGCTGAAAGAGGACTCGGTGAAAGACCCCCTTCCGTTCGAAAACACTTTCATAGCTGCGTATATAACCCGCTCTTCCAGGTAGTATATACTTACGTATGCCAAGCTACGTCACAGTAGCTACATGAGACAGAATTCCAATCTAGCAGCGAAACAAGTCACCTCCTCTATCGTAAAACCATGCGTTCCCGCAACTTGAGTCTAGAGATCGTGGCTTCAGTCTGTGAATTGGGGGAACAAGTCAAGATCCCATGCTCGCCCTGAGATAAAAATACTATACGAGGTGTTTGAAAGACAGAAAACGGAGCTCATGGCAAGATAATCCCTTTTCAAAATGGTATAATGTGTACGGCTCCGTTGCCTAAGGCCGCGCTCTGCAGACATGGCCATGGCCGCCGGTAAGGCGGGCCTTGTCAACGACGGTGCCGTGTTCAAACGCCTGTTCGAACTCCTGTTCGGGCTCAGTACTGAAACGTCATGTATCAGCCTAGATGCCAATCTCTGTAGCCGGTCAAGCTCGTGGCTCTGTAAAGATGTCTTCGCGGGGGAGCCAAACTTTCACAGTGTAAGTGATATCCGAAAATAAGCCGAACGCATTGTCGTTTGTGCGGATAGCAGGGTGACTCGCTGAAATTGAGGCTTATGCAAGGTCAGCTGTGTAGGAACAGAATGAACGAGCAGAGATGGGATAACCCAAATGGATGGATCTCTCTGCGGTGCAGGAGGTTGTCTACATATCGACCACTGTGTGAGGCAAACGCAAACAAGGAAAGGAGCCTGCTGACCAGCTGTAAACAATCTGACTGACTGTACACGGGGTGAAAGCTGCCGGAGAGGAGGCCGACAAGCAGTTGCTATTAGGAACATCTCTCGCGGGCATTAAAGCTGTGATGCCCACGCTAAACCTAAACTGAACAACGAAGGGAACATGTTCCGCTCGAATCTCAGTTTGGGTTTAGCCCCATGCGTCGTGGGGCTGCGAGCGGTCCAGTTCCTGCTATCGCTGAGTCATCAATGGCCCAAGCGCCTCGAACCATCAATCTGTCAGCCTCCCGCCCATGCCGCTCACATCATCGATAATGTCGACAAAATGCATTGCCCGATCAAACCGGTTTATATGTTCTTCTCATCGAAATTTCACTCGACTAGCAGCCGGGAGATCATTGTCAACTACCATACCACCGAAAAAGCCTCAGAGATTACCATGCGAAATGGGTATGTTTGGCGGTAGCTCACTGACGAGTGTTGACTGATCTTGCTACGTGAATGTTTCTGACAACACATCTTTGTTCTCATACACCTCCGGTCGATATCTTTTCAACGAAAATGTGAGGCTAAAGGACCGTTATGTTGAGTTCAACGCCGAAGCTTTGCAACGTGCAGCCGAAGCCTCCGTTAGCAACAAGCATGGCAAGGTTGTCAGCATGAATAAAATCGCCGAAGGAGGCTTTAATCGAGTCTTTGTCCTGGAGATGCAGGATGGTTTCGAGCTAATCGCCAAGATCTCGTACCACATCGCCCGGCCAGAATACTTCACCACCGCTAGCGAGGCCGCCACTCTTACATTTCTTCGAGTGAATGGCATACCTGTGCCGGAAGTGTATAGCTACTCCGCATCGGCGGAGAATCCTGTCCGTGCCGAGTATATTCTTATGGAGAAAGCTCCCGGGGTTTGTCTCGCATCCAAATGGGCGAACCTTCAAGACATTGAGATCCGCAGACTTGTGCATAGCTTCGTTGAACTGGAAAGAAAGTTATTCGAGATTCCTTTCAGCGCCACAGGAAGCTTGTACTTCAAGAAGGATGTTCCAGCTGGTCTGCAGGCTCCCCTGTACACAGAAGGTCATGTTACGGAAGCAAACGAATTTTGCATCGGGCCCATTGCCGACTATATGTTCTGGTACGGTAGAAGAGCTGGGCTCAAGTTGAACCGTGGACCATGGAAAAACCCCGTTGAATATCTTCAATCGATAGGAGCAAAAGAAATAGAGTGGACGCAGCGTTACGGCAAGCCAATGGAGCCCGACTTTCCCCACAACGCTTTGGGACTAGGAGTTCAACGTCCAGAGGACTACCTCAAGCTTTTAGAATACTACCAGCTGTTAACACCCCACCTGCTACCAAAAGATCCCGCACATCCCTTTAACCAGCCTACCCTTCGTCATCCTGATCTCACCTTCAGCAACATATTCATAACACCCGAGACGGGTCGGATCTCATGTCTCATCGATTGGCAGCACACCGTCATCCAGCCACAGCTTCTCGCCGCTGGATACCCTCGTGCATTTGAGAATCCAGACGACGAGCTTTCCCCTGAGTTAGTGGAACCTAAGCTTCCAGAGGACTTCGCATCCCTGCAAGCGGAGGAGCAAGCGGCGGTGCGCGAACTCTATCGCCGGCGTCTCCTTTTCTTCGGTTACCGTGTGCTCAACGGCCATTTCAACCAGCACCATATCGCAGCCCTGCGTGACCCCCTTCTTCTCGGTTGTCAGATGCTCGTAGATCGAGCCGGCCGCCAGTGGGAAGGCAATCTCATTACCCTTAAAGGAGCTATCATACGTACGGGCCAGTTCTTCGAGCACTTGCCGGATGTTGAGAATATTGAGTGTCCCGTACGATTTGATCAGACCGAACTAGACGAGTTTGCAGAGACTGAGGACAGTTGGCTGAAGATGACAATAGCGGTGGAGCAGTGGCGCAAGAGAGTCTGTAATATGACCGAGGAAGGGTGGGTTCGAAATGAGGATTATGAGGAAGCGAAGAAGAAGCTTGAAGATTTGAAGAACGAGATTAGACGACAATGTGAGGGGGATGAGGAAGATATTCAAGCGTTCCGAACGGGCTGGCCGTTCCGAGACCGAGAAGAAGTTGATTGAGATTTGAGAGGGATTGTTGTGCATCAGGATGGAATTCCAGGCTGTGATGAGGGCAACGTCTCGCATAAGGAGCTGTAATGAAATATAGTGCACGGCATGCATACCTGAGTTAGGAGGGGACTGGAGTTGTGGCGGTTGCTTCCGCTTGTAACCCGGTGATGGGCATGGACAACGACAATCTGTCCAGATGCGCTGGGCAGGCAATTCGGAATCATGCTTGGTCCAGCGAGGCAGCGAATGGAATGAGTGATGCGATAGTTGAAGCGGGAAGAAAGAGAGGTTGTGCGACCAGTCTTTCGTTTCTGAAATTGTGTCCATGTGGGCCTCCTCGAACACAGGGAAGGACCGCCGCCACTGTGCAGCTTCACAGTCTCAGGTTAGAATAGCCCAGGGCAGTGTGTCAACGTCTTGCGGACTATGATACGTCCGGTCAAGCCAACGTTTCTTGGAAGCACGTGTCGTCTGGACCTCAGTGGTGTTCTCTGTGCTGTATATAGCAGCTACCACTCTCCTGACTACAGTCCTTTTTGCCAAATATATTGTAGGAATTGTTTCATACCCTCGAGGAGGTTGAAAACGAATGCGCCGACTATACGCCTGAGAGCCTTCTATGGTATTAAAGAACATGGTCCCCTCGTCTTCTTCATCATTGGCGTTCGTTTGGAACTGATCTCGATGCAGTGTCAAGGCGGGTATTCCCGCATTCGTTCGGGACCACCCGCCCGCTAGAGACACTCAGAAGCCATCTGGGCGGGTATGTCCTTGATTCTTTCGCATACAGCGAGTACTCAAAACGACGATCCTAGAACTCGGACGCCAGGAGAGCTATGCCGAAAGGCAAAGGCTCAGAGAACAAGTTGCTTTGGAACCACGCTTTAAGACGTTTCGGCGTGGGAAAGCCTTCTTACTGTTGCCATGGCTGTTCCTGCTCAGTGAGATATGGAAAAATGAATCAAACGCATTGACATCTATTTAGGTAGTGGAGTAACTGCTTTAAGCGGCCGCTAGAGTTAAGACATAGATGCATGAGCAGCAGTTGCTATTAACTAGATAACAGAACTTCTACGTTTCAGTAGGCTCTATTAAGTAGATATACCAATTTCTCCTTTGCAACAGCTAAAGGAAAAAAGTTCCCTGCTGCACTCGATAGACTCCCCTAGAACTAGTCTTATTGGCAGATGGCAGTCTCATAGGGGTATTTGGTTGATTATTTCCTATGCTTTCGTGAAGGGCACCCTCTAGGAATTGCGGATGAGGGGGCATTTCCCTCCGGCCCCTTTCCTTGGGTGGCTCCAAACTGGACCCTTCCCCGCCAGTACTCAAGGTGTCGTCGTTGCGCTCATCGACCCACGTCCGCTTGTTCCCAGGAGTTGTAGTGGATATAATGGTTGCAGACTGATGCGCCCCATCAGTCTCAATGAGGTGTGATTGTCCGGGGTGCTGTTCTCCTTCACTATCGGAACTTGAACCCCGGTGAATGTTGCGCTGGATGAGGAAATCACCAGTCATCCTGCGGTCAGCCTCCTCCTCCTGGCTCTCCACTTCCGAGTTCGCATGATGGTGCTGCGTGCGCTTTGCGAGGACCTCGGATTGCGGGTCTCGAGACTGGCAGTGGCTGCTGGTGTCGTTGCCATAGGCACCAGAACCCTCTCCGGTAAACTCTTCTGGGCAATCGGTGGCTACGGTGCGCTGGCCTACCGCTGAGCTGCGTGCCCGACAAGACACGCGAGCGTCGGCGTCGGGGTTTGACTTTGATGGTCCTTTCTTACCACGAGTTCGTCGTTCGGGCTTGGCTACCGTGGCACCCAGAGATGCTCCTCCATGATCTTCTTGGCCGTCGTCCAAGACAAGCTCGTTGGTCTCCTCCGCTTCTTTGGCAAAGTTCAGTCTCAGCCTCTTTCTCGCATTCTGCACCTTGTTCATCTTTGACTGCCTCAGCAAGATTCCGGGTGCGCCGATTACGCTCCAAAAGCGTTCACCCTTGAGAAGACTTTCACAGCAGGACTTGGTGCTTTCCAGAAGCTCTATAATTGCATCAATCCGGTCCCCAAAGTAGAGATCTCGGCTCTTTAGAATATCTGTCATTAACCCCTCGTCGTAGATAGGTGCCTTCCAACCCTTCGTGTGGATTTTCAGACATTCTTCAAGTATGCGCCATGCCAGCTTCTCGAACACAACTGGATTGTAGTAGACCCTGTCAATCCAGCGACTACGGAAAGCGGTCGTAACGGTCTCGTCTTTGCCAATCGGAGCAACGTAGTATATGGCGTCGAATAGCCGCTTCACCTTCTCCTGCTTGTCGGCCTCCGTCGTGGGTATCGAGTCATCTTCAATGGGCGACTCAAAGCGGACGACACCGTCGTTCAACTCAACTTCGTGGACGCTGGCAAAGCGCAAGCCTAGCGGTCCCTCTTGTTCACTGCCACTCGGTTGCTGGAAGCCGATTGGGTCTTGCCGCTTCTTCGCCCTCTTTGCGCGACTCCGGCTCGATGGTGCCGTTTGTGCTGCATTTTTGTTTCTACGAGCTCGCGTACTATCCTTGTCGGCAGCTGGATTGCTTGCATCATCGCTGGGACAATTCGGCGGAATGGAATTTGCAACCATTGATACTGGAGTGATGCATTGAGCCTGACCGGTGTTAGGAGGGGGATTGGTGTTCGAGTGCAATGCTTGCCATGGTGAGTATTCGGCCTGGGCGCAGGAACTTGCGGAGAAATGGTCAGCCATTCCAGTTGATGAGTTGCCTGCGTCGGATATGGTGAGGAGGCGCGGGTCAAGAAACATATGAGCACCCAGCTCACGCATCTGGCCTGCACTAGGATGTTTGTTGATAATGTCGGACGAGGGGGACGCGAAAACGAAGGGTTGGTTTGCAGTATGGTGCATGAACGACGCGGAGTACTCGTGGGAGTAGTTGGCTTGTTGTCCTATGGGGCGCGGGGGTTGCGGGATATGGAGGATATTCTCTCGAAAATTGAGGCCTTGCGAACCGTTGCTCCTCATGATGGTGTCGTTACTGCGGACATCGGCGTGGGACGCGAGTGCAAGATCCCCAGGTTGTGTCATTGCGGGAAGTTGACCTGAGGAGTTCTAGAGAGTGGTTAATTGGTAACAGGGTTCCGCCATAACAACGCTGAAACTGTACACACCACCTGGCTATGGCCTTGGGCGGACATTCTCGGCAGATGCGGACTCTGCCTAGTACCCGAATACCGCAAAGATTGGCAGTGATCGCAACGCTGAAAGGACCGGGCTCGCAAAGGGAACTTCGTGTTGGGCGAAAGATCAGGCTGTTTTCACGCGAGATGAGGTGGGTCAGTACGGCGGAGGACAAGGAGGGCCGCGCTGAGGGGGTGTGATGTTTGCCTTCGCTGTTATGGGACTTGGTGAACGCGACACACGTTCGCATGTGGCGCGTCCACGCCGGCACGCCGCCCCTGCGCATGGGCTCACTGTGAATAACACATCTGTGTCTGCACTAAACTCTCATAGATGGTTACATAATCCCAGGGAACGCCGGAGGCGCAAGCCAAGCCAGTGTATCCCTTCGTTGTGCGGAGCATTCCACTCGACAGACTCGGTGGATGGCTGTGTAGGCCAGTCGAGGGGTACACTAAAGAATGACGGCAACCAAGGGTGGGAAGGATGCCATAGCCATTCTCACGGTATTTTGAAGTGACCCAGCTGGAGGTGAAACACGGCGAGCATAGGGCTGTAAACAATCCAGCTGCACTGTACTGCTGGTCAATGTCGCAGCTAGCGCTACTTTCATGGAAGACGGCATCGGCATTTATAGCTATCGCAGGGCCGTAAATCTTAGTCCAGTGATTTGGCTGACGTCCGTGCCAATCCTACTGCTTCCCGGCAAACAGTTGCTATGTGCCGCCAAGTGACATGACTGCCGGGGTACACGGCTTGCATCAATTCAACTGCTTCAGCATGATTGCGGGGGAAGCATTATCAAATAAACGCCTCCTCTGGAAGAAGAGTCCATCTGACCACTACACCGGAACTGTGGAACATTGTGTTTACACGATGTCAAGCAATGTGTTGCGCTGGGACATGACTGCTGCTTGGCCATCGGGCCTGGTTCATGAATACGGGCGCCGCTATACAAATGCAGAAGCAAACCCGCTTGAGATATATATATTTGATGTATTCTGTGCCTTGAAGATCCCCTGGGCATACACACTGTGCGAAAACTACCCGCTGCTGGGCAGAACTGGGAGGATGGCGTATGTACAAATCTCCCTGATACATTGTTTACACACTGCTCAATGTACTCAACATGTATACTAGCCTCCACGAGTACAAGCCGAACCGGGGCCTACTTCGCCACTTTCAGACTTGTGGCATCATGGGCACTATGTATGCCCGACCGAGCCGGCTTCCGTCTTTCAGGCGGCCTTAGGAGTATATACTAACGTATGTAAATACAATGCAGGCGCTGATGTGTCATTGATTGAGATCAATTCTGCGTCGGAGCGGTGGGGCGGTGTGTCCGGTCCACGTGCAGAGGCGCGTCGCGCGCTCTCAAGTCCCTTATACAGCGCATTTTGCACCGACCGGACAGGGCTCGCAACCCGAACACCGCCCTACCCACCAGCTTAACTCCCTCTCCACAACCTTTTGGACAACCTGCTGCTCCTGCACTTTGCAGTCTCTCGTTGGTCAACCCACTTCAGTCTTGTCCCTCCTCCACCAGACGGCGCTGCCATCAGTGACCTACTGTTACTTCCTCGACGATTCCTCTTGATCAGTATCCTCAGCAGATGGCTCCCCAACTGCGTAAGCGTCGACAGACGACAACAAGCGGCATTGGTGCGCAAGCCCAGCCTACTCTCAACCGATCGGACCTCCCGCAATTTGCCCCAAGGCACCTCTCCCCCGATGAAGCCCGTCGCCGGTTTCAGAACGTCCCCAACGGAAACGGTAAACGGCCTCACGAAGAAGACTCGGAAGGAGAGACGACACTTCCGCCCTCGCGACCCACCAAAAGGTCGAAGTCCGTCCCCAAACGAGAGGATGCTCAAGCCACCGTTGTTCAGCCTCACGAAGAAGACTCAGAAGGAGAGACGACACCTCCGCCCTCGCCACCCACCAGAAAGTCGAAGTCCGTCCCCGAACAGGAGGATGCTCAAGCCGCCGTTGCTCAGCCGAACACTCAGCCACGTCTTCACTTCTCTAACATCGGAGAAGTGAACACTCACAACAACGTCGTCCGATTCACGCCACCCCCCGACGATTCCCTCCCAAAGTCCGACACCGATAGGCAGGCCATAGTATTGCGCCTGGTTGACGCCATCAACTATGTCGAACCCTTCCCGAAAGACGCCAAAGCCCCTCCCAAAGCATACCAAACGCGCTGGGTTGACCGCAGTTACTACAGCCCGGTGCAGATCGAGAAGCTCTCTTGGCAGATTCTTGATGAGACTGAACGCTTGTACACGCTAGGATGGACCCAGCCTATATACGATGACGGCCTCATGGCTAGTATCACCGAGACGAGGGACATGAAGTTTGGGGAGCGGATAGATGCCATCGTTTCTCTGCTGAAGGTAGCCAAAAAAGTCTGCGAAAGCGCCTTGAAGGGCGAGAAGTTCTGGAGCATTATCGGCATCCCAAAGAGCTTGAAGACCAGTTGCGAAGTCAACAAAAAGCAGAACGCTCGCAAGCAACTGCGAATCACCTTGGGGAAACAGGCCGAAGGGGAGGCCAAGGCAGAGGCGGAGGCAGAGGCGCAGGCAGAGGTGCGGGCAGTATCTCAAACTGATGAGGCAAAGAACAACCCCGAGGAAGCGGCTGCCCACAAGAGACGCGGGAGCACACGCGCAAAGACGACACGGTCGACACCAGTGCACATCGAAGACACCAGCACAGCCGCTGCAACGAGTGAGACGATGCCAGTCACGGCACACTCCAACGTATCTGCCACCCCAGACGCGACACCGGAGTCGGGGATTACTTCAAATTACCAGACCCCGTCGCCCGCCACGGTTGAAGACACCCAGGGTCATAATGAAGCGGATGTAGACGGCCAGGTCGAGCTCCCCCCAAGCGGAGTCAACGACTCCCAGACAAGTTCCGAGCACGACCTGTTTTCAGTCCAAGATCGTCATGAGTCCCAAGCACCGGTAGCAGCTCCCAGCAATGGTATATTCGAGCATCCGCCAGTTCCCGGCAAGGTTGCTACGTCGAGACTGACCCAACATCTCCAGTAGAGCCTACACAGAATGATGATCTGCAGGATGAGAGCGAGCACCAGCTCGAAGCAGACACTTTTACCTCCACACAGATCGAGAGCTCCGAGGCCATGTTTGACGCCGAAGGATCTGACGAGGACCTGCTCAACGCGACCTTGGTTGAGGAACTGGGCCGGCAACACGAGGACTGATGGCTCTTCTTACTCTTCTATGTAGACTCAGTTTGATACGACTCCACACGCCCTCGTACGCTGCGTCCCGCCTCAGGAAAGGAATCACATGTCGCAAGCGCTACAATATTACTCCCAGTCCCGATCGTACAAGCGATAACATCGAAAAAACTCATCGAGCGCGCTCCCCTTTCTTTCTTTCTTTCTTTCTTTGTACATCCCTCCCTCCGCAGAGCAGAGCCGCGAACAACCCCTACTCTGAGACGTGGCGCCTCCCCATTGTCTTATTTTCTGAGACCCTGAATTTGGTGTACTATTACAACCCTCTGTCGGTGTACCATTGCGACCCTGATTTTGTGTACTATATTACACCGTTGCGCTCGAGCCCCGATTCTGTTCTCTTCGACAACACTGTCGATATGACCGTGGAGCATTTAGCTTTTGTCTTCCTTAGCTGTATCAGCGGCGGCAAAGTAGCCCGCCACGTGTACTTATAGCCCACGGCGCTCGTATAGCGCTTGATTTGTTTCCGTAAATGCGAGAAATTGAACTCCATCTACATATGACTTTCTATTGGCAAGTACATCGTCCTGTAAGTCTTCGCCACCCATTCAGTGTTTACACCGATCCGAGCCCCTGAAAAAATTAGTCAGCACAAAAGGGTCCGCTGATCATGTGATTCATGCAGCCACTGGTGATATTGAAGTATTGCCCGCACTTCCGTATGAATTCTCGTTCCGCTCCATTCTTTAGTGGCTCCTCTCGCTTATGCAACCATTGCTATCGTGGGTGTTGAGAATTCTAATCACGTGATCACATCAAAACGCTCAACGGAGCTGGGGCCAAACAGAACATCACACAACTTTGCATTCACATTTCTGCAACTCCAAAATATCCCCTACGAAACATGATTTAGCCGGCCCATTCCACAATCCTCCCTTCCCTCTCGAACCCGAGAAATACCCAACAGCTATCCAGCCATAACAGCATCCTACTCAAAGTCAGTATCACGCTCTCATCGTCAAAACCAATCATTGAAAACACTCACCCTAGCAACCTCATAAAGCGGCTTGATCCCCGTCCAATACTCAAACTGCTTCACCCCCTGCCCAACCAGCACCTCGAGCCCACTCACAGTCTCCCAGCCACTATCCTGCGCCAGCTGAATCAAGCTCGTCACAGAGGGCTTATATGCCATCTCTAGCAGAATACGCTTTCCGCCAGGCGGCAAAGTCCCAATGGGAGCATCTGCCTTGGGCTGTTCGTCCTCGCTCTTGGACTTGGCGAAAAGCGCGCAAAGGGTCTCGCGTATGGACGGGTCGATGGGCTGGTCGGCGGGGATAGTGCCAATGGCGACCGTGGGGATCTTGTCAAGTGTGGAGAGGTACTCGACGTCTGGGATAATGCGGATGTCGTAGCTTTGAGGGAAATCTTGGACGAGTTTCTCTAGTTTGGACCGGGTGCGTCCGAGGAGGTAGATTGGTGAGTATTCCATCTCGTGCAGGGCGTAGATGGCCGCGCGGGAGGTCCCGCCGCCGCCGATGACGAGACCGCTTTGGAGGCCCGCGCTGCCTTGGGCACCCATGTTGCGGAGGACAAGGACCATGCCGAGGTAGTCAGTGTTGCGGCCGACGAGCTCGGTTGTGGTGTTACCGTTCTCGTCCGTATTGGTTACCGGAACGATGGTATTGATGGCACCGATGGCATCGACTTCCGGGCCTACGCTGTCAAGCAGTGGACGAATGTCTTGTTTCAGAGGTATCGTGACAGATGCCCCACCGAAGTCTCCAGAGCGGATGAGGTCCTTCACGTCATTGACATCGGCCGTCTCGAAGATGCCGTAGGAATGGGGTAGGCCGGTCTCACGGAAGAGAGTGTTGTGCATAGCGGGTGAGCGACTCTGCTGTACTGGAGACCCGAATATATAGAATTTCTTCGGTTGTATTTCACCGATCAAGGACAATCCTCGACGGATATCGGTGGCAGAGAGTTGGCCAGGAGCCGTTGCTGAAGGCAGAATGGGGTGCGATACAGGCGTCATGAAGTTGTTCAATATCCTGCTCAGCTTGCCATGTTCTCCCATATTGATGGCGATTATAGGGATGGGGTGCGAGCTCTCGGCCCAGGCCTTGAACTCCGCAAGAGCAAAGTTGTCTTGCAGCTTCTTCGCGGTGCCGACCAGCTTGATTACGTTGCCGTATTGTAGAGCCCTGTTGTAGAACGGAATCCAGGATCCGTTACTCCACGACAGTTGACCTTGCGGATCGTGATGTGAAGCAATGATATTCGTGAAACCCCGGTTTTCAGACACCTCGCGGAGAATTTCTTCTGGCATGGTCATTTCGAGGTCCAAGAACTCCACACCTAACCTCAAGGCAGTGCGGTAGAGCTGTTGTGCTTCGGCATATGCGTCGTCTGGGAATTTACCGCCTTGTGACTTTGTTCTCAGTGTGAATATGAGGGGGATAGTGGTAACTGTACGCAACAATGCCAACTGATCGACGAGGAACTCCGGCGACGGCATGCCCTCTTTTGAGTTGGGATCTTCCAGCAAATCCACCCGCAGTTCTACAGCGTCAGCACCGACAACGATCTTGGGCAGAGTCTCAACCCATGGCGCGATCTGAGGAGCTGAGAGACAGACAAAGAACGACTGCTTCTTCTTCCTCAACTTCTGAAGCGCCTCGCCCTTTCCGGAGATCAGTCTCAAAAATCTCGCGAAGTCCTCCAGTGTGTTGGCAAGGCCAGCGGAATCAACAGTCTGGCTGTGGAAGTGGTAGTTGCTGCACTCCAAGTACCATGGTTTTCGTCTCAGCCATACGCCCATCATATCCTCAACGTAAGCGGGGCGCGTCTTGTCGACCTGGAGGAAACTCATGACCTTCTCAATGTCGCGAGTGACCAGCAGAACAATTCCACCATTCTTTTGGTAATCACGGAGGACCTTACGCGCCTCGGGAAGTTCAACGATGCCACCACCGCACGCGAAGACATGGCCAGTGGGCTTCTCCTTGATGACCCTATGCAGCAATTTGACCTCTTCATCACGGAAGCCATCCCAACCTCGCTCCTTGATGAGTTCCGGAATTGAAACACCAACATATTCCTCCAGCGCAGTGTCCAAATCGACCAGAGGCCATCCGAGAATCCGTGACGCCCAGCCACCAGTGGTAGTCTTGCCAGCGCCTCGCATGCCAATGATGATGATGGACTTGTCGTTCGCTTTTAGACCGTGATGGCTCTCCCTGGAAACACGCGGTGGCTCCACGCCTTCCAGTTGCGCCTTGAAGAGCTGATTGAGAATGTCCCAGTATCCAGGCCAGGTCTTTCCCGTGCAGTCCTTCTCCAGGATCAGCACGGGGCTGGGCGCAACAAGACTTAGGACGCCGAAGCTCATGGCAACCCTGTGGTCATCATAACAATGGATGCCTTCCTTGGCAGGATCGAGCTGGTACGCGCGCCCGTCCACCTCGATGCCATCGTCGAATTGTCGGCAAACGACGCCGAACTTGGCGAGCTCATCCTCCATCGCCTGGATGCGGTTGCATTCCTTGACTCTTTGGTTGGCAATGCCATAAATCTTCGTCGTCGATGTTTCCCCATTCGACGACGCCACTGCAGCCAACACCGAAGCGGTGAGAAAAGCATCCGTCATAGGCTCCATGTCAATCTCCTTGACAGCCTTCAATTGACCTCTTGGAGGACCTGTGACTGTGGTGGACGTTTCAGTCTGCTCCACCCTGCAGCCCATGGGACGGAGAACCTCCACGGCAAAGCGAGCATCGCCCTGAAGGGAAGCGGAGCCGATGTTAGGCACCGTGCAGGTGGTCCCGGTAATAGCAGCGATGGCAAGCGGATAAGTGGCAGAGCTAGCATCGCTCTCAACAACATACTCCGCGGGGTTAGTATAGGGCTTGCTCGGGATATGGTACGTGTTAGGCTCAGTCTGCGATTTCTCCACCTGAACGCCGAACGCCGCCATCATCGCAATCGTCATGTCGATGTACGGCTGAGAGATGGGCTTCCCTCCCACTAGACGGAGCGTAACCGGCTTCTTGGAGTACGGCGCAGCCATGAGAATGGAAGAGACATACTGCGACGACACCGTTGCTGCCAGCTCAATCTCGCCCGAGAAAGCTTTGTCACCTGAGGTGGCACCGAAGCCTCCGCAAGCAGAGATACGCAGCGGGAGACTGCCCTCTCTCTCGTTGTAGTGAACCTCGACGCCCATCGAGCGGAGTGATTTCACGAGAGGTCCGATAGGGCGCTCCTTCATTCTGGCATTTCCGGTGAGAACGGTAGACGTGATGGATCCTTGCGGCTGGGCGATTGTTGCTACAGAGGTCAAGAAACGGGATGCAGTGCCAGCATTGCCCAGATAGAGCTCGGTATCGGTAGCTTTCAGGTTTCCTCCATTTCCAGTGACCACGAGCTCCTTTCCGTCGTTTTCCCAGGCGAACTGAGCGCCCTGCATCTTGGAGAGAGCATCCAGCATGACCTGGGTGTCGTCCGAATGGAGGAGATTGGTGATTCTGCAGGAGCCTGTGCCGAGCGCCGCGAGAACCAGGACGCGATTTGAAATGCTCTTGGAGCCAGGAGGCGTGCAAATGACATTCGAATCGGACGGGATTCCTGGATGGACTTTGATACTCGGCGAGAGGATGATCTTGATGTCACGGTCGGCGACGGAGCTAGCCTTCTTCTCGTATGTCCTACCAATACCAGAGATCAGCACAATCTTCTTTTGCTTTCCTGCGTTCTTCTTGTCGACGGCCATGATCGATATGAGTTCGTCCACGGGGCAGTGCTTGTTGGCCGATCTTTTTCTCACAACCTTATCCGCGAGTGACGTCGGCAACCCATAGCTTGCAATGCACTTCGTCAGACGCGCAACTGCAGACGGATCCAGAACGCCCAGGTATCTTGCGAGCTCAGCCTCTTTGACCATTCCGATAGCGACGCACTCGCCGTGGAGAATCTGAGGAGTAAGGATAGCCTCCATAGCATGTCCGATCGAGTGCCCAAAGTTCAAAAGGTTCCGGAGACCGCCCTCGCGCTCGTCTGCGGAGACCACCTCAGCCTTGACGCGTACAGAGCCTAGGACTATGCGCTTCAAGATCGATGCGATGCCGTCCAGATTCCGCCGCCCATTCACCGGCTTCTGTTCGATGGCTTCGAGGATCCTTTCGGCGTTGCCTTCCAAAGCGGTGAACTCCTCTTCGTTCCAGATGGCTGCGGTCTACTCCTTGTCAACATCCGAATTAGACACAACCGCAGGAATCCTACCTTGATCACCTCGGCCATGCCATTGATGACCTCGCGCTTTGGCAGCGACTCCAGAAACTTGAGGTCAATGTATATCCGCTCCGGTTGCCAGAATGCGCCCACCAGGTTCTTGCCCGCGGGGGTGTCAATAGCCGTCTTGCCACCTATGGACGAATCCACCATTGATAGAAGCGTCGTAGGCACCTGGACGAACCTGACTCCTCTCATATATGTGGCCGCGACAAAACCTATCATATCTCCAATGACACCTCCGCCCAGCGCAATGATGACCGTGTCTCGCGTGCATCCTTGCGACAGCAGCCAGTCCTCCACCACCCCCTTTGTAGTCCGCGATTTCGAGTTCTCGCCCGGCGGGATTGTGTACGTAAGAAGTCGTGGAGGCTCTTTGAGGTTCGAAGCTTCCTTCTTGAAGCTCTTTTCGAAGGTGGGTATGTAGAGCGGCCCAATGTTGGTGTCGGTAATGAGAACGTAGGTTGAGGAAGGAATCGAAGTTAGCAGATCATGTGCTACGTAGTTCTGCCATAGTCCGTAGTCGACGACAATTGACTCTTTCCCAAGGATGGGCACTTTGGTGGGTTGAGCGTTGCTCGCCATGGTGCTGGTATGACCTGTAGTGGGGTCTTCCAAAAATATGGGGAAAGGTCCTAAGACCGGCTGGCCGACCCGGAATGCGAGAGAAGTGGAATATGAGCTTGAGAGGTGTTTGGGCGCTACCTTCTCATCGCTGTGTTGCTATAGGTGTTATACGTGAGTCAAATGTTCCGGCAAAATAATCTTTTGGTCATGGCGGTCAGCCTTCAACCTGTGTCGGCGATATCGGGGGTCGACGTCTTGGCATCATGGCTTCATTCCCTTCCATCCATCACCGAGTACGGCCCGAACACACTCCCCCGTGCAACAGGAGAGCCCGCTTGCAGACTAGTTGTCAGATGCCTAAGTAATGTCTGGAAGGACTGGAGAACTGTAAACGGGCCAAGTGGTCCTGGAGCGAATGGAAGTTGGCTATATTCTACGTTTCTCTCTCGTTCGCGAGCAGAGGGTCCTCACCAGGTGCAAAGCATTTGAAAACGCCGGTACAGCGGTTTCGAGACTATTTCAGAAGAGATATGACGGAAGAACCCAGCTCAGCATCTGGCGCTCGGAGCGTCGTTTTCCATGTGAAGGTACCTAGGTAGGCATTTCTCCGCTGCACAGATGACAGCACTCCTCTCCCATTGGCTTCAACCCAATCGTTCCATATTCCTTCATGGCTTCGGAGTGTCGAGTTTCGCATCGTTTTCTCTATCGTACATCATTCCCAACCATGGCTTATCCACCTGTTCTCGCTACTCCTGCCTTCCTCCTCACACTCGTCCCATTCCTCAGCTGTAGCCCTTAAGACCCTTCGCATACGTCAGAAGGTGTAATGAGATGCAGTTGCGAAACTCTTAAGGCCGATAGAATATTATGGTAGTGTCTGATCCTCGACGAGTCGGGCCCATGGAAGGTTTCGAATTGGGTGGTTCTGGTTTAACCTTGACTTTGAAGTACTTCTATTTTATTTGCACCACCACCAAGAGAACAGAGTGGGATATTATCTAAGAGCTCTTCATATGTGCCAGCACATTCCCCCAACCATATCTTTTTGCATCTTACCCCTCTCGCAATGCGAACCATCTCAAACTTTTCCCTGCAGCTACCTCAACAACTAACTCTTGCTCGATCTCAGTGGCTGCCCAGCTTCAAAGCCCTTAGCCCCGAGGTAGAAGCCGCACTCGAAATAACAGACGGCGGCGCAGAGGGTAGTGGATGAACAGCAGGCACATCCGCTTCTTGACTCATTTTCCGCCTCACCATCGAACTACGGAGCTAGTGAGGCCGGCCCATCGATAGCCCCTCGCCGGAATATATGTCCGGAGGTTTAGCGACGACAAAGAAAGATTCCTCCATTATCCTGCGGCGGACATTGTTCCATCGTGTTAGAGCAGGGTTCTTCTCGGTTTCGGGGCGGTAGATCGATTCTTGCGAGAGTGAGCTATAGTAAGCTTCCAGACGGGGTGCGATCCTCTCTAGTACTGTGAGAAGATAGGAAGAAAGTGTAATCTCAAGGAGGTCAGCAAATTGAGGGTTCCGATCAAGATCTCACATACCTGCTTCGCACTCGTGGGCTCATCCATGGAAGCGATCATGTCGAACGCATCCATGCCCAGTGCCACTTCATCTCGGACCTGCTCCACGAAGGTTACATCCAATTCAGTGACCGTTTGAGCGAGCATACTTCAGGATACCGTTCTCATGAAAGCGGGCCGATTTGCTGCTATTGCACACAACCTGGCTTACCTCAGAGATCTCACTCATCGACACGTTCTTTGTCTTTTGCAGGGCTGGAAATGGGGTCTTACAGAGGAAGTTGTTCGGAACCTAAATCTCTTTTTCAAAAACCACGCTGCCCACCCACTCCCCCTTATTCTCATACGCCTTCTCTATCTCCCTAACCTTCTGGAATCCCAGCCTCTCGGCCATCTTCACACTTCGCTTGTTCCTCGGATCACATTCAATCTCCAGCCTCAACGGACTCCCCAGCAGCTCAACGAACTTCCTTATTGCTTCCGTAGCAAAGCCCTGCCCATGCCACTCTGGCTTAAACGAATACCAGAGATTCGCAGTTCTGGAAGTATCTCGTCCTTCTGTCTGGGCATGGCTAATTCTCGCGCCGACACGACCAATGAAGGTCTGATTGTAGATGACCGCAAGTTCCACATGCGAGCGCGGTGCAACGGAAGCATTCCTGATAATTTCCAGGATAAGTTCCTTTGCTTCCTCTCTTGTACGCGGAGGAAAGCCCTGATATCTCACAACTTCCGGGTTGGACTCCAACTCATAGAATCCATCCAGATCGCCATAGACAAATTCCCTCAGCAGCAGTCTTTCCGTCTTCGTTCCGGCAATCTGACCGCCATCCGTATTGACTGAATTGACTGTACGCAGCTCATCGTCAGTAAGGAGACCACTGGCTTTGAGAATTTTTTGGATCACGGCATTCTTGCCCCGAATATAAGTCCCGATATCTTCGACTCCTTGGGCTGCGAGATTCAACTTGACGTTGCTGTATTCGTCACGTAGTTCGGGATTCGACCGAAGGGTATCGCGTAAGCCCAGATGATTGCGGACCTGAAAGGCACCCTCAACGCACACATACGTGTTCCTCGCTGGCGATTGGTCTGGATCCCTCAGTGCATGTCGATCAACGATCCCAAGTTCGCCAATGTATGTGAATCCGCCGTTTTGAACTAAGGCATCGATGGCGGGCTGCACGTTGTCCCTGGTGACGATGATATCGATGTCGATAATGGGTTTGGCGGCGAGGCCGGGGACAGACGTGCTGCCTACGTGCTCAATTGATACAATGGTGACATCTCTGAGGTATGTGTGCAGAGTGGATTTGATTTTTTCGAAGTGCTGCGGCCACGCGGGATTGTAATGTTCGACAACGATCGGCATATTTGCTTGAAATGGTTGCAAAGTTAACTTTTCCTGGAGTACAATTCAAGAGAGCTTGAAAGATTGTTCAAGGCCCGTCTGGCGTTCTATATGTTAGCTAAGTGCAACCTCGTGTTCAAGGTTCCCTACGGCGTAAGCGCCCTTTCGGGATCTATCGCCGAAAAAAGGGCGGGTCATGGTCATGATAAGCGGTGAATATGAATAGCTACTGTACCATGCAGTACAACATAACTGCTATCCCGACTATTACCTTTTTCGAAAATCAACTATCCCGAGTATACGCTCAAACTATGAGTTCACAGACAACAACCCAGAATCGGCGCTCATACTTGCTGTCGGAATCGACATATTGACTTTGGGAATGTTGACTCGTCCAGATTGTAAGGTTTTCGTGGTCCATCAACGCGACCTCCTGCCAAAGAATCTCTCACTAGGTAAAACCGCATGCGCGACATCTATAAACCGGGTAAATCCAGTAATGTTGGGCTACACTTACTCTATGCAGTCATGTTATACAGATCGAATATACACACGTATTGTCCACTTTCGCATCTACAAGGAGATCTCACCACGCCATGTTCCCTCGGTCAGACCCAACATCTCAATGCAATGCTGCCACCTGGGTCCTCCACGCTCCTTTCTCCTCAGATACTGCAGCAACTTCTGCCTCCTGTGCACAAGCAGCCTCAAATTCCTCTTATTATGCTTATCTCCCTTTCCTCTGGTCTCCAAGAACTCGGCCAGCGCCTTGATCTTCGCAGTGAGAATGGCAATCTGGACTTCGGACGAACCCGTGTCAGGACCGATCCGCTTCTTGGTCTCCTCAACATTCGTCTCCGGTCGAATGGCGTGGGGCTCTTTCGCGTTCGCGTGCGGCAGCGCAGGAGCCCGGGGAGGGAAGATGCGATCGGTGTTGTGGCGGCCAAAAGTCTGAACGCAGCGTGCAATGTTGGCGCGCAGACGGTCCTTGGAAGAGCCGTTTTCGAGAGCGGTAATACGCTTTATCGCCTCTGCGGCGCGCTCGTGGTCTTTCTCCCGGCGCGCTTCGAGCTCCTCCGCTGTCAGCTCAGGGACTTGGGCCTGGTAGTTCGGCGAGCGCCAGGGATACAGCGGCTGCTGTTGCTCATGCTCAGTGTCCAGGCGGGGAACAGAGAGATTTTTTGACTTTTTCAGTTGCTTCTCAACCACCTCCGGCTTCAACGCATAGTTGAGATGCTGTTCATCCTCGGGAACCTTCTTTCCCTCCTCATATTTGATCGGAGCACCGGTTGCAAATGACTCTACGAATGGCGTGCTGATGCCTTTGACAGGGTCGCCCAGATCCTCGACGCGCTGCTTCTCGAGCTCGGCTCGGCGCGAAAGACTGGCTGCCTTCTTGCGGTTGCGCTGTGCAATGATGTACGGATCGTGAGAGATCTTCTTCTTCGGCCGCACCGTATTCTTGCCCTGAGCTATAGGGGTGGTGGAGAAGGGCCGCAGAGGAAGGGTGAACGTGGCGGGAGTGGGAGCTGCTGCGAATTAGGTCACTTCCATGGGACACAATTGAAAATACTGACCCTTCCCCGCCCGAAGGCACTCCAGGATGGGTATCCGCGGCGGCATTGGAGCTGTGTCAATGCGATGCCGTCCGCTATGCTCGTCGTCTCGTCGGAGCCAAAACTTCTGGGTTTATCCGACCACCGAGACGCTAGCCCACATAGGCTTAGCGACCCTTCTCAACGCACAGCAAAATCCCCCGCCATCACCATCGCGACTTTTCGACATCTCGAGAATTTCCACTACCCGACCACAGCCTCACAGCCGTCTGCGTCGCCAATCACTCAAGATGGCCCCCAGCAATCTGCCCGCGGTTTTCAACCCCACGTCTTCGGACATCGAGATGCTCCTCGCCGCCCAGTGCCATCTGGGAAGCAAGAACCTTCAGGTGCACATGGAGCCGTACCTCTGGAAGACCAGGCCCGACGGTGTCAATGTCATCAACATTGGCAAGACCTGGGAGAAGATTGTCCTTGCTGCCAGGATCATTGTCGCCATCGACAACCCGGCTGACAGTACGTTTTGAGCTCTGCTTCTATGTCCAGAATCGTTGCGACGCGACTGGAAGGCAGCAGATCCGCAATGCGCAAAAGGTTCTGACAGTCCTCAGTTTGCGTTATCTCCGCCCGTCCCTATGGCCAGCGTGCGGTCCTCAAGTTCGCCGCCCACACTGGTGCTGTCGCCATTGCCGGCCGCTTCACCCCCGGTAACTTCACCAACTACATCACCCGCTCCTTCAAGGAGCCTCGCCTGATCATCGTCACCGACCCGCGCACCGACGCCCAGGCCATTAAGGAGGCCTCCTACGTCAACATCCCCGTCATTGTGAGTGACTTCGTCGGAATGAGGGGAATACATGGAATTGAAGTCTGACATGGCATAGGCTCTCTGCGACACTGACTCCCCCACCGAGTACGTCGATGTCGCCATCCCCACCAACAACAAGGGCCGCCACGCCATCGGTCTGATCTGGTGGATGCTCGCCCGTGAGGTCCTCCGCCTCCGCGGCACGCTCGCGACCCGTGAGACCGAGTGGGACGTCATGACCGATCTGTACTTCTACCGCGATCCCGAGGCCGAGGAGAACAAGGATTCCGCCGGCATTGAGGAGGCCAAGGTTCCCGGCGCTGATGAGGTCGGTGCCGGCCCCGTCGAGTCTGGCTTCGCCAACGAGTGGGAAGTCAGCGGCGCGTCTGCTGGTGCCTTTGCTGCTGCTAGCGGTACTGCTGCTGGCGCCAGCTGGGATGCTGACGGTGGTGACTGGGCTGCCAGCGGTGCTCAGGAGGGTGCTGCCGGCGAGACCGCACAGTGGTAAACGCCTCTGTGATCTCCGCCGTGCTGACCTCTTCTCTTCGCTTCTCCCTTGTCATATAACCCCTGGAAAAGACCGCAATTCGGCGAGCAGGAGTATGAACTAGGTCTGGGAAAAAGAATGTTTCACCTCCACCAAATGTTCATTCACGTTTTTCATGGACGGATAAAGTTGGTCGAGAGGGAAGACATCGCCGGTACTAATGAGGGAAAGATACTCGGATCCGGGTTGGCTGATCGGTAGCTTGCGCGGGGATGAGGGAAAGCCCTGTACTGGCGGTTGGGTTGTACTTAAGTGGCGCCCGTCCTTCCGAATCCAGTCTTGTTCCATGATGATGATGTGTGCTGTGTACCTGAAAACGTGGGTGACATTGAATGCGTGATATTCGTAACGTGGTATCGTGCTATGTAGACGCCCGCTATGCAACGCCCTTTGAGAAACGACGTCATCATCAAAAAAAGTCCGAGAAGAAGATGGTCAAAATGAACACGCTCACAAAGCCGGAAGCACTTCGAAAGCGCCCTACTCCTCCTCACTCTCCTCACTACTATCCCCCGCCAACCCCTCCATCATCTCCTTATACAACGGATCATCCTCGTCTTCCTCCACCGGCGGTGCCGTCGTTGTCGTCGCCTGCGCCACAGAACCACTCGCAGTCTCCTGCCCCTGAGCCGGCGGGCCCAAATCCATCGGCTCGACATCTCTATCCTCCCACTCGCCTTCGGCGTCCCGCTCCCCCTCTTCTTCTTCTTCTTCTCCTTCTTCCTCCTCCTCACTCCCACCTCCCCCACCAATATCCCCAAACTCAATAACCTCATCCGCACGTGCACCCCTCTGGCTCCCCCTCGGACTCCCCGCGACACTATTCGCCGCGCTCGCCAAACTAATCGGCCCCGCAGACGGCGACCGCAAATGCCCCAGGCCGCCCAGTCCGAGGCCAAGGGAGGAAAGAGCGTTCGGCCGGCGGGTGTGGGGATGCGCGTCGGGGACTTCGATTTCGAGTCCGCCTCCACCACCGGCGCCGCCCATGTCGGAGTCGTCCGAGAAGCCTTCGGCGTCGCGGTCTGAGGCCTCGTCGTGGGTAGCGTGGGGAGGGGACGTAGGCCTGCGGGTAGTGCTGATGTCGAGGTGCATGTCGTCGCCGTCGGAGTCCTCGTCGCTGGAATGCACGATTTCGGCCGACTTGATGACCTTGCCAGTGGAAGATGCTGCCGCTTTTCTACTTCGCTTGGACTTGGCGTCTGACTTCGAATGGGTGGTAGCGCGGTGATCAAGTCGGACACGCGGTGCTGTTGTCGTCGCCATCGTTGCAGTCGCCGTCTGTTGTGTCTTCTTGTCACTCTTGGTAGTCGTTGAAGCAGCACTCTTAGTCTTTCTCCCCACCAAAGGATCTGCCTCCGGTTCTTTGCGCTTCCTTCCAGAACCCGCTTGTGTAGCCGCAGCCGTAACCGCTTTCTTCGCCGGAATTACAGGCGTCCCCTTCGCACTCACCGTCCCTGTTCTATAGTCTGGCGAACCGTACTCGCTCTCATCCCCGCGCTTGCTGTTCCCCCCTTCCGCGGTACCCTGCGTCGTCAGCGAGAGGAAATGTCTGAAATCATACGGGTTATCTGGGTCGGGCTCTTCGTTCTCCAGCGCAGCTCGGGTATGACCGTTCCCTGCCTCTTCACCGAAAAGGTCGTCTCCTCCGGCCGAGATTGTGGTATCTTGACTCGCGTTCACGCCTCCTACTGCGCTATCCCTACTCTGTTGCTGTTTCTTCGGATAAATCTTCGTGTACTCCCCCTCAACATCGACCCCATTCTTCTTACTGAGATTAAATGTGAATGTCTCGTCCAACGGTTCGAGCGTCGCTTTCTGCCCCGCGGGATCGAAGAGCAGCACATACGACGTCTTCCTCGGTAACTGTGTCTTCTGTCCTACGAAAGTGAAAACATCGGTGTTCTTGCCTTCACGGTCCTGATCCGAGAGCGCCAGGGTATAATTATTCGTTGACGAGGCAGCTAGAGAGGTCTTGCGGGTCGCGTAGCTGAGGGGTGGTTTGTGGTTATCTGCGTCGTGTCTGGATCAGCGTGTATTCATCTCATCTCGTCTTCCGAAGCGCGTATTGGGAGTGGCGGTGGCAATGCCCAACAGCCGTGATACTTCGTAGACGTACATCTCACACTCCTCAACCCAGCGCCCTCCCTCCCACTCTCCCTCCCCGTTATCCGATCGCCGAGTTGGACTGTGAAGTGTGCTTTTTCCCGGGGATTCAGCATCCGTCCGTCTGATACGAGAGGAGACGCCATGGCTTAGGGATCGGTACGTCGGACAACCCAATAAACCGGGGAGAGTCTTCGCTATGGTCGTACTTCTGTCGTGTACGTCGAGCGGCGAGGTGGTAGGTAAGCGTGAACACCGAGCGGTAAGAGTCGGGCTGTCCTCCGCTTAGCCCTCGTAGTAGTCCTGACCGTCAAGTCCCCCAGTCCGTGAATCAGCAATCAGCAAGCAGCAAGCGGCAATCGGTAACCAAGGAGCAAGCAAGCAATTAATCAACCAATAAACTACAGCAACGGCAGCAAGAAAGAACGTCGGATGTGAATGAGCGAAACACGAACGGATTGATGGATGGGTGAATGTTGGTCGTCGAGATCTCCGGCGGGTAGTCCCGCTCGCCATCACAGCCCCGCATCGAGCGAGGCTATTTATAGTTAGCCTGCTCGGTTGCGGTGGCATTGCCGGATGAAGGAACATCAACGTTGAGAAAAGGTGGAATCGTCCGTGGCGTTAACATTGAATCTTGGTGAGAGAAAAGCTGGGGCAGTATTTGCAAGAATACTGGGGGTGATACTGGGGGCGTGGAACATGAAGTTGAGGAATATTATCTCCTTCAATCCGAATCCTATTCACCCTTTCCATTTCCCAAGCTGGGGGATATGTCCCACTCCATCAATGCCAATCCCCTGTATCCGATTTCCATCCAGTATCCCATTCCAGAAAAGGCCCTCAGAAACACCAGTGGACCACTCCAACCAGACTCGTCCCTCAAGCCCATCGAGGCCGGGCTCATCCGCCCCTTACCTCCTCCCTCCTCCCTCTTCCCTCCTCAATCCCTCACCCCTCAACCTTCCTCCCACCCCTCCTCGCAGCCGCCCTATACAAATTCCTAATATCCTCATTCCACACCTTCAAATCCGGCCTCAAAACCCGTCGATCATACGTCAACATGCCATTGACCTCGCCCTCGACATCCGTCGTCTGCGTCCACACGGCCGCCGAGCACGCGAACCGCTCCACCTGACCCAGCAATTCCGACAGCAGGATGTGCGCGCGGTAATTCCAGATCTCGATGCTGGCGTTGAGCTCGTAGGTCTGGTCGACCTCGCGGAGGGACCTTTCGACTTTCCAGGAGCTGGGGTGAGGATGAGTATGGATGATAGAGAGGGGGGGGTGGTGGGGAGGGAAGGGAAGGCTTACTTCTCGAACGAGGCATTGTGCCCGATGCCGGCAAATTCGCCCTGGATGGCGATGCGCTTGGGGTCGTAGGGCGTGGCTACGCGCGAGTAGAAGGGGGTGCCGCACTGGGGGTTGGCGTAGTGGTGGTTGTCGTGGAAGTCGCCGGCACCGTGGTCGTGCCAGCCGCTGACCGAGTTGATGAGGCGAGTGGTATCGTGCTTCCGGATACGGTCGACCATCTCGAATTCGGCGGGCGGATTGACACGGGGCTGGCCCCATTCCTCGTTGTAAATGACCTATGTGGTGTCAGTAGCTTGCAGGAAAAGCCATAGGGTGGAAAAGGGCTTACCCAGGTGACGATGCTAGGATAGCTCCGGAGCTGTTGAATCATGAGCTCCAGTTGGCGCCCAAACTCCTGCGTGGTTTTCGGATCGGCGACAGGAGTCCAGCCCGGGCAATCGGGTCGAGTGTTCGGATCGATGACTTGGGTGCGAAGGGAAGGCATGTCTTGGATAACAAGCAAGCCCAGTTCGTCGCACGCTCGGTAAAACAGGGCCGGTTCGACTTTTATCTGCATGGAAGTCAGCGCAACACAGATTCCCAAGGGCATGTTGCGACTTACATGTTTCCGAACCATGTTATAACCTATCTTCTTCAGAGTTTCCAGGTCGTAAGTCATAGCCTCTACGCTTGGCGCAGTGTAGATGCCGTCAGGCCAGAAACCCTGATCCAGAGTGCCGAACTGAAAGACGAATTCGCCATTGAGGAGCGGACGCTCCACGCCTTCGACCACACCGCGGGAGATCGTGCGGAAGCCGATGTAGCTCTTGATAGTGTCATTACCGTACTTGATCTCCATGTCGTACAGATTCGGAGAGTCCGGGGACCAAAGCTTGGGCGAGTCGACATTGAAGGTCAGCGTTGACCCGGTGCCTTTGGCGATGGGTTCAGATTTGTCATCGCGACGTTCAGTCGGCTTTCCGATTCGAGGTTCGTGGAGGGTGACTTCAATCGGCAGTTTGGATTCGTCGGAGGCCTCGACCTTCACCTCCACTTTGCGGAGTCAGTGTACGTTTACACAGCTAATGTGGCGAGGTGCTTACCTTTGCCGTGCATGTCTGCGGTAATCTGCAGGTTGGAGATGTAGGTGGATGGAGCAGATTCGATCCAAACTGTCTGCCAGATGCCGCTGCACGGGGTGTAGAAAATGTGGGACGGGGACAAAGTTTGCTTTCCAATCGGGATCTGGACCATATCCTTGTCCGTTGGATCATCGACGAAGACGAGCCTACAGATTGTTAGCTTTTTGGTCAGGTCACACAGAATATGAGTAACTTACAATTCGTTAGGCCCATCTTTGGAGAGTTGGTCTGTGATGTCGACTGTGAACGACCAATATCCACCGGTGTGCGTCGTAACTTTCTTCCCATTGACGAAAACAGTGGCCTCATAGTCGACGGCGCCAAAGTTGAGGAGGACACGGTTTCCAGCAGGCCACTCACGGGGAACATCGAAGTGAGTCCGGTACCAACTGTACAAACGGTTGGATTCCATGACACCTTGAATATGTTCAGTTTATGTCACTTGAAACATGCGAAACGAAACTTACCAGACAAGGCGCTCTCCAGGCAGAACGGAACCAGGACAGATTGAGGAAGGTCCACACCAAAAGGTGGCTGGTTGATACCATCGGCATTGGTGTTTTGGTACTGCCAGACCCCGTTAAGGTTCTTCCAATCCTTGCGCTCAAGGAGAGGGCGAGGGTACTCGGGCCAAGGGTTCGTGCCGACTTTCTGCGTCCATGGCGTATCGAGCGGGCCATTCTTCAACTCGTACGGGGCCGTGTTCGCTCTAGCATTGAGGTTAGTTGCGGCGAGGGCGAACGTCACCCCGAGGGAGGAGAGGAAGCAGGAGAAGAAGCGCATGGTAGGGAGTGAAGTCGTCGATTGAGGAAATCGTCAGAGGAAAAGGCTGTGGAAGAGGTTGGACAAGAAAGAAGGAGGCTGTGAGTGGAAAGGGTGTTATTATATATGGGGAGGCCAAAGCCGGGACCGCTTGAGAAGGGGGTGTGGTGCCTACCAGCAGTGACCGCTCCCGTGCCACCTCAACATTCACCCTCCTCCTTGCCCCGGCGGTGTGCATCTCTTGGCTTAGATTTTGCGGGGAAATAAGATTGACCGTGGGGGTTTACCCAGGTTGTGACGATGTCTGCTGGATTGATATCCTTGGCTTTGCGGTCACCAGCTTCTCCCCAGGTGACCTCCGCCAATCCGTCGCCCATGGAGTGAGTGCTTGTGAAGAGAAGAGTATAAGCCGTATTATGACTTGATGCCAACTAAATACAAACGGAAGAAATAGAACAAGAAGTAGACCGATCTGGGCGCGTTAGGAGAATCAGTAGGCTGATGAAAGGGAGCAGGGAATCGGGATTTCTCTGATCGCGAATTCGTGAAGAGAGTCGAACTCCCTCATCGAGAAGGTCAAAGTCGGACCGTTAGGCTCTGAATGCGCCCACAGGTCAGATGCATATCACAAGCGTCAACGTTCGTGCAGCATGCTTAGCCCTTGCCAGCGCGGCGGTATACCGCGCAGTTGGTGAGGCTCACCAAGGATGGGCAAATACGGACGAAAACCACGGTGGACGTTCATAGTGTACTGGGTGCTTGCTGAAAGATGTTGAGGCACTGGAGCAACACGGATCGCCAGGCGGAAAGATCTTCGACCGCTAGCAGGGCCGAAGACGATCTTCCACATGCATGGCGATATCACGCATGGCAAGGTCCACGAGTTTCCTTTTGCTGATCCCCCGCGACGAGGGTACAAAGTATTCTCCGCACCCGCTGATGCATGCAATTCGGGACATGACGCTGCACGCGGGAGCTACAGTTGATTAAGCCTGTAAGGTGTTGGTGGAGCTAAATCACCAAGGAAGAATTGAGCGAGTGGATTGTAAGTGGCTGAGGCGGCTGACGGTTGGCGCCGCAAGGCAAAAAGCTTCGTTTGAATCTATAGATGGGAGTACCGGTGTACGAGCCGTCTCACCGCCGCGGCAAAGGACCCGGGGGTTCATGGCCCGCACACGTGAGCCACGCTTCACCGCCACCGGCTCCCTCCCAGATTGACGATGTGGGAAACCTCCCGACCGCTTAGACTTTCGAAAATGGAATCTATCCATCTAAATCCCGGACCGGTGACATTACTGTACCTAGTTACCGGGAACATCGCACCTCATCCTCTTCCAGGGTCAAAGTACAGCTTCCATGGTGGGACAGCATCGCATTGCCGCCTACTGCTCATATCATGGCCCTTCCAGTACAACACGCCGGTTTGCAAAGGGCAGTGCAAGTGCCTAACGAACTCCTCGTCCAACCGACGCAAGGCCTCGTGCCACTTTCCAGTCCTCTTGTTTGTCATATACGCCAAGCCTGATGGATATTCGGCGCTAGTAACCTTCCTAAAGCGACAGTGCCTTCATGACTTTGGGATAATCTCCACTACAGGCTCCAAGAAGTTTCAGCAGGGTAGCGGTTATGAAGTCCGTTTGGCAGTCGGCCAACCTGGCGGATGGGTTGCCTGCTGTGGTTCCCAGTACAGAAGCACGTGGCGGAAAATGCGCCGGTGAGTTCGCATTCAAACAGTCAGTCGCTCAACAACAACTCGAGAGTTCATGGCAGCAAGAGGAAGGGTTTGTTCCACGGCTCGATCTTGTATGTAGCAGGTGCACCAGGAACTTTGGATGGGCTAGAGGGGCTCGAAGGTGGTCTGCCTTGTGGACTGCTGGGCGACATCGGCGACATCGGTGACATGGGCGATACGGGAGGCGTAGGCAGACGCTGGCCTCGAGGTTGGCCTACGGCGGTGTCAATCGACGAAGCGGATGGCCCTTCGATTGTATGGATCGAATCAGCATCGCTATACTCGGAGACGCTTGCTAGCGTGGAGCGATCCGAATAAGAGTTCAATATCGACGACACGCGCTCCTCGGATGAAAACGACGACGCTGACCCGAAGCGGATTGTGTCTGCGTCCGAGCTGGTTGTCGTTGTGGTCATGGTCGAGGTGGACGACATGGTGGACGCTCGATCCGAGCTCGAAACAGTGTAAGCGGGTCCATTATCGAATACGTGGGAGCTGCAGTGTATGTTTGGAATCGACGTGTAGTGCATCAGAATGTCCAGGAGCCGGTCCCGCACATCTCGAGCACTAGGCCTGATGTTCGGGGCTCGACTCAACATGGCGCGTATCAGATTCATGATGTGAGGTACGGCACGGAAGGCATCGTCTTCCTGCGCAAAGGATGCCTCTTCAATAATCTTCATCCAACTATCAATCTTGTCTAGGTTTGCGTGGAATGAGGAATCCGCGCGGGAATTCTTTCCTCCCATACTGATCTTCTGCTTGGACGAGCGGTGCTTGGTGAATTCGTGGGGTTTCTTCTTGAGCATGAACGTCAGAAGCTCAAGGAAGATGCAACCAAGGGAGAAGATGTCTGCCTTTTCCGTCTCCAATATCCGGGATCGCGGCTGCGGGACGGGCTTGGCCTTTTTGAAACCGAAATTGAAACCCGAGAAGTCGTTCGTCTGCGTCTTTGAGAGTTTCTGGCGCTGTGTCCCGTTGCTGTCCGACGAGCCCGTGGACCCCCTGCTCGCAACCGAGATTTTTCGCCCTGTGCCCACTACGGGTGAAGGCGCTGGAACATCGGGCGCGACAGCATCCGGATCGGCGTGTGCTTCGGGCGCACTATACACATAGGCTTCCATCGCATCGGGCTTCTTGTCTTTCTGAAAAGTCTCCAAGCTTCCAATATCACTAAAGGCAATCCTATTGCGCTCATCGATGAGAATGTTGGAGGGTCGTATGGCGGAATGACAGAATCCCATTTGGTGCAGAGTCGTAATCGCATCCGCGAGGCAGTGCAGCCATCCGAGCACGAGAAATCTCCGTTCCGGCTTGGGTAGCCTCTGATACTGTGCGGGATTGCGGTGGTCAATAAATGTTCGGAGTGTGTGTTGTCCGACAAAGTTAGTAAGGGTATATCCGTTTCCCTTGGCTGTATATGAGGCCCACACGGGTGCGATATGGTCGTGCTCGATCATCCGGGCGCTTTCGACGTCCATGATGAAGTCCATCTCGGATGCGGTTGGGTCCTCCGCAGTCCCTAGGGGAAACTTCCTTCGCACATAGACCTCGTTCGGCCTCTTCGGACGATGGACCCTGGACCAGTGTTGCAGTGACACGGCAGGCGGAAGTCCCATGACATATTCCAACGGCAAGACCTCATTCGAGCCATAGTCGATATGCACGCCTTCCTCCAGTTCTCGAAGGAGGAACGTGAACTGCGTCTGATAGAACCGTGCATTGACGTTATCGTTCCGCTTGTTGGACAACTTCAGCTTTTCGATATCCTCCATTTGCAGCGGCAGGTCGTCATCGTCCCAGGCCTTTTCCACGGCCGTGAATATTTTCTCCGCTTCTCCAATCGTTGCAAGCACCAGGAATAATCGCCTGGCCCGCTCCAGGATCCAGTCCATATATGTGTCGTCCGTAAGATCGCCGAAGCCAACCGGTCGGTCTAGCCATTGCCTTTCGTTCGGGCGGAGCCTTGACGTGATGAACTCGGTCGTCACCTTCTCATTGATCCTCTCTTCGGTCCACCAGATTTGTTGCAGTGCTACATGAGGCGTAACGAGTGAGTGCCCGGCGTAGCCATAAATGAGTGCGTTTAGAGTTACGGTTTGCTCGTTCACGACGTTATTCAGCGTCTTGCTGGTCATGCTGGCGCTTTGTCGATCGGCGCAACCATGGGGTCTTGGAAACGTGGGGTAGCTCGGTCGCAGGATACGGTCGGATTCGCTCGATATTGTAGGCTACGGCATCGGCTTCGCATGCTGTGGGAAATCGGAGGAGGGACCTAGCTTGTCAGGGGAGTGCGACGATTAAAAGAGAGCCTAAGAGCCATGAGGGTGACACAAGAGAGCGTCAGCACGGGTCGAATGAATGGCCATATGAGAGATGTTGTACAAGCCCGCACAGAGACGAAGGTTCGGGTGGCAAGCGGCGCGGCAGCGAAGACATGGTTCGGGTGGCCCGCGTTCTGAGGCCAGTTCAGGACCAATGACGACTCCCCAATAGCAGACTCCCACCTGGGACGCTATGGCTCACCACGAAAATGGCAAGCAGCTGCAACAACGACTTTCAGCCGTTAACCAGGTCGAGGGTTGATAAGGGCTCGGCAAAAAGCATCCCAAATTAGCTGGTGGGCCCTACCCATTATTGCTCGAGCTCGAAGCCTCAAGCGACGGTCCATGAGGGGCAGAGGCGGAGCCAAATTGACGCGCTAAGGGAACTCAGCAGTGGAGCGGTGCCTCAAAAGAGGGTTTGGTGATCCTCTAGCCGTGGATCCTGATTCAACAGCAGCCGACCGGATCGCGGCTAAAACAGAGGCGATATCATCTTTCGTTGGGCGGCGCATCACACACGGCGAGACCCGTTGGTGCTGTCTGTGGGCGGTCAAGAGGAATGTACCACAGGAATTCCGGCCTGGCTCTGCGGCTCGCCTTGTGGACATCGTGAGCCCCTGGGTGTCGTTGCAGGTATCGGGGCCTTCACGTGCCCGTACCTGTTTTCCATCTGAAGCATTTGATGAGGGAGGAGATAAGCAGCGAGGCATTGGCGTGAACCTCAGATCCAGCGGTCCCTTCCTCGAACCCACACGCTGGATAAGGCGACCCGACAATCTGTACATACTGTGCATGCAAAGTCGCGTACTCGATATTGTGCGAGAGCCTGGAAGGTGTCGGCATGGCCTTTCCGAGCCATGACACGACTTTGTAGACATTCCATAATGATTCGTACTGCAGACAAGACGAGCTCGAGATTGCGGCACAGCGCTGGAGAGATGAGGCTAAGTTGGAAAAAAGGACAACTGTATGATAGCTTTCCAATTTTCAAAGGCCGAGACGCGCGTCTAGACTGACATTATTGCTTTCGGAACAGTTGCTCACGATTGTACGCTCCCGAGCACACTGCAGCGAACATCTGATTCCTTCCTTGCTGGGATGCTGACGGGCGAAGGAGGGCGAATTCGGGGCGCGTGGGAGCTGTATGGAGCTTGGTCCGCACAAGGGTGAGAGAGACCTCGGCTGAGTGTTGTCAGGCTAGGCCACACCTTCGTCGTCATTAGCAGCAGACAGGTCGGCCGGTGAGGTATGGGTCGTCATGAAGCTTGAGAAGACATCCGGAGAAAAAGAAATCCGTGGGGGCTGCGATGGAAAGTCCCCCATAATGCACGGACCACATACCGTGCATGAGCCACCAGTGACCGGGCCAGCTTCATCCCCAGCCACGCCTTTTCTTCATCATTGTTCTCTCAGCTTCCTTGCCATATTTCATTCTACGTCCGTCACCTTAGCTCGCACAGTGTAATATCTTATTTACGGGGTTTAGGTTTTAGCATAAGCCATTCATTCTATTGCATCACCAAACCTGTCGCTCCTAGAGACATCTCTCAGTGCCCACAAGAAGATTGCCCGCACAGTCGACCAAACTTCCTTTGCATTCGCTAGCTATACTGTATCTACAAGGCCTTGATCGACCCTGATGCTTTCGAAATTGAGCTCCTAACTCATCTCTGAAGACGCTCAATCATGCGTCAAACAAAATGCTACCGTGAGCTGTTCGAGATGCTACGCAACTGTAAGTTGTTAGGTCGATGCGGTAGCGCGGAGCAGAACGTCCCAGTTGCAAGGACGGCCGGTTGTCGTAGCGTTCCCCAGGTGACTAAGTGTATCTAGATGCAATCCAGGGTGCCTTTTGTAGCTGCTCAATATAGAACCTCCCAGGAGTCTCTCCGGTCACTTCTTGTGGGACTCCCGTTATAAAATCCCACACCGTGTTCATTTTGCACCGGTACTTATCGGTCTCGCTTGACAACCATTCTTCAATCTCTTTGCCCGCGGCGGTTTTTGCAATCAATTTCAAGCCGAGCAAGTACGATGGGTCTTCTGGCGTTGCAGCCTTGGCTGCTCGATGCGGATGGGCATCTGGGCCATCGGCGACGTCGTATATGAGCCACGCCGGGCCTGCGGTAAGGTTGAGCGACTGGGGGAAGACAAGCATAAAACCACAGAGCTTGATGTAATGCTCTGTTAGCATTTTTTTTCCTATGCATCTTCGTGCGTGACATGATGTTTATCTCGCCTGTGGTCAGTGCCTTTGCCCTTCGGTTTTCCTCCCTCTTCGCAACGCCGCTCTTCACACGAGACGACAAGAGTTCCGCTCTCTTATCAGCCTGTGCTACGAGGTCCGGGTCTGAACTGTTCTTTAGGAAGGTCAAGTTCTTTGTTAGATCCATGGAGCTTTGTTGCAGCGGCGAATAGACGTTGAGGCAGTGGAGGTCCGCGAGCAGTTTCTGTGTCGTTGGTGGTATCCATGGTACTAGAAGATCCGACGGGCAAGATTGGAACAAGATACAACCGAGCATTTCAAGGATATTAAGGTCCAATGGCATAGGCGTAGAGAGCTCCTTAGGTAGCGGAACGACCGCAACCAGAATGAAGAAATCCTCACCGCCTTGCTTACGGCACCTCTCAGTCGAATTGTAATGGATGCATCCCGTCCACAAGGAAGAGGTGTTATGTGTTGTAACGCGCCTTTTCACATTAAACGACTGCCCAATATAGAATTGTATCCCGAACTCGAACGGAATAACGTAGAGGTAGATTCCAGGTTCAGATGGGAACTGGGCGATAGGGGTCTTCCACGCGGCAAGTCTAGTCGCAGTGTTAGGGAAGGAGTGTCAAACCAATACAGGGAAACTTACGCAGAGACGGCAAAAGGTGTGCAGCTTTCAGCAAAAGCTTGGGTTACTTCTAGGCGGACAAACGACCACAGGCGTTCCTGTACAGGTGCAAAAGCCTCCTTGTCTAAACCCGAACCCCATAGCTCGAGGTACCAACCCAGAGCCTGCGTCCGAACTCCACCAATATTCATTAGGCGAGGTTGACTAGTGCCCGTCTCCCATAGTCTCTCGATAAGGGTGTTCAGGACTACCTTTAGGTATGGGTGGGATTGGTCTTTAGGTTTCGCAACGATTTGGTCAACACGGCCTTCTTAAGCGCGGTTGACAGCCTGATCGTTGGCGACACCGCTCTGAGCCTTTGATGCTGCTGACTTGACCTTGCTAGCGGCACTGTGGTTGGAGTTGTTGTTGCTGGCAACATGGCTCTAAACCTTTTGTAGTGCTGGCCCGACCTTGCCAACGGCACCAGGGGTAAAGTTGTTGTTGCTGGCGACACCGCTCTAGAGCTTAGTGCTGCTGCCCCGTCCTTGCCAACGGCATTGTAGTTGGAGTTGTTGTTGCTAGCGACACTGCTCTGGAGCTTGGGTGCTGCTGCCCCGTCCTTGCCAACGGCAGTGGGGGTGGGATGGCTGTTGCCGGCGACACCGCTTTGAGCCTTTGGTGGTGCTGGCCCGACGTTGCCAACGGCACGGTGGTTGGAGTGGTTCGCTGGACGGGAGAAGAATGAGACCAGCGAAGTCTGCCGACCTGAGCGTGGCTTGGGTTTCTTCGAGCCCTTCTCTGGTGTTTTCTCGGGCACGAAAACGAACTGTCTCTTCGAAGACAACGGTTCGTCGTCCGAGTCTAGTGCGAGCTTGTGTTTCTTGTTCATCGCGGTGGTCCTGCCAGGGCAATGCTGGCAGATTCAAGAGGTCGTAAATCCGCGGTTGTGGGACGAAGGAGAACCGATGAAGAGGAGACGCACTGCTTCCTACAAAAGGGCAACAGAACAGATGGTTTTGCAGGAGAGAGGGAAGGGAAGGGAAGGAGAGAGAAAGCCTGGCTGAAGTCCATGTAGTAGGTGTTGTTGGGTGCTGCGTTTTGGGAAGGCGCCACGACACCCCATCTCTCACCCGCCCAAGATGAGGCATCGGGCCAAAACAACAAGATCTTCTTGTTGACGTGTCGAGAGCCCTAAAATTCCCGCCGTGAGCGATTCGCTACAAGATGGAAGCCCTTTCCAAAGCCCAGAAGGCATTGGATGGAAGCCCAGACATTGAACTTACATCAACGTCTGCTATCTATCACCTCCGTGTCGTTGAATAGACAAAGAGGACCGCGCGCGCATGCAATATTAAAAGGGACAGTTTCCCTCAGGACGTCAGTTAACTTCTGTTACCAAGGCACAAGAGGTAGACTTCTGTCACGTTAACTAAAGGCAATAGTCAAGCGCTGGTTGACAAGCGTTAGTTAACTTCTGTTAGCAAGGTAGTAGAGCTAGATTTCTTTACTTGGGCTAAAGACAACAGTTGATCGTTAGTTAACAAGCGTCACTCGACTTCTATCAAGGAGGTGGGAGAGCTACTGTGGTATCCGGCCGAAGTAGTGTAGCTGGTCCGCGCACGACAAGGGTACTCGGACCATGTAATCAAATGTTATTACAGACAAAAATACGAGTAGCGCCCCTATCTTGTATAGAACTCCACGTACCTCTGTCGCATCGTGCATCTACCTACCATCAACACAATGCCTGAAGCCCCATCTACGCCTCCTCACCACCACCACCGATACCTCACTCGCGATGAGATTGTTGAGGCCCATGCCCTACATCAAGCAGGCCATAGCTACATGTCTATTGCGAACCAGCTTAATTGCACTAAACGACAAGTTGGTTATGCAGTAACCAAGAACTTTGTCACACCTAAAAAGCGCTCCGGTCATCTGCCTCATCTTACTGATGCCCAAGTTGATGAGCTTGAGGCGTACATCTGATCGTCCCGCAACACCTGACAAATGAGCTATCTCCAACTTGTTCAGGGCCCCTTTGAGCACTGGGACATTGGTGAATACACAATCAGGAGTGCTCTACGAAGAAGAGGGTACAGACACTGTATAGCTCGAGCTAAGCCACCCCTTACTGAGGCTAATTGGCAGATTCGTCTTGAGTGGGCACAAGCTCACATCAACTGGTAGCCGTGGGAGTGGTAGAGGATCTTATGGAGCGACGAGACCTGGATAACTGGTGGGTGGCATCGAAAACAATGGGTTACAAGAAAGCTAGGAGAGGAGCTTGATGATATGTGCTTGGTGGATAAAATTCATAAGAAGCATGGATGGATGTTTTGGGCATGCTTCTCAGGCATATCAAAAGGCTCTCATCTCTTCTGGGAGAAAGAATGGAAGTCGATCAACAAAGAGAGCTACTGTGATCGAATTGTGCCTCTTATTGATGGCTGGCTATGCCTGAATCCTCACCTTAAGTTCATGTAAGATGGGGCACCTGGGCATTCAGCTGCATATACAATGGAGGAGCTCTCATCAAGGAGTATCCACCCAATCTTCTGGCCAGCATTCTCTCCTGACCTAAATCCGATTGAGGCTGTGTGGAACAAGATGAAGGACTATATAGAGCAATTCTACCCTGAGCAAGAGGGAGGGAGGCAATTTACATATGATCAACTGCGTACGGTGGTTCAGGAGGCGTGGGAGTCAATCACAGTGGAAGTGCTTCGAGAGCTCATTGATAGTATGCCAGCTCATTGCCAAGCTGTGATTGAGGCGGAAGGAGGTCACATGAAGTACTGAAGTTTGTATGTAACAATAGACAGATGTGGAAAAGCGTCATTTGAATACATGAGCTAAACACCCCTGTCGTGCCCGGACCAGCTACACTACTTCGGCCGGATACCACAGTAAACTTTCGCCAAGCCAACTAACACGCGCCTCCCTTGGCATCCTCGCAAAGGCCAGGGACCATCCGTCATTCAACAACTTCGTCACACTCCGACAACCACTTCACTTTCACCGAGCAGAGATCTATCCAACGCAACCATCCGTTCCACCCTCACCTTCACCTTCACCATGGAACCGTGCGTCGGAATAATAATCGGCCGCGTCTGCGCGCGAGCAGCAAATATTTCGCTTGCTTCACGCGCACCACTCTCGACAAGCAAACTGTCGCGTCACTTAGACTCCGTTTATCTGCAGCTCTACCGTACGCGATTGACCTACTGTCGAAGTTGTCGAAATCAGCCTTGTATATGCCTCTGCACGCATGATGCGCGCTGCTCCCCGCTTGGTTACTGGTTGTAGAGCTAATAAGCAGCAGGATATCTTACCGCATCACAGCGCGTCCATGAACAGCACACCCAATCCGATGGTGTCTAGTACGCCAACGCGTAGCAATCCACTGCACGATCCGCGCCTGCAACCGTTTCAGACACCCGTTGGAAATACTACCGCGCATCTCAAATACGCAAGTAACACCCAGTTAAACACAACACCCACGTGTCGCAGAAGTATGTCCAGAGTGTCTTTGGCGTAGAGCAATCTGCATGGGACGACCTATACGAGCTTGGGCGCGAACATATCAAGGCAAAGGGTCAGTGGGATACCCTAATCGATGCGAATACAAAGAAAGGCGAGCTGGTACGTCTGAGAGACAAAATACTCAAGCCCTGGTGGGCTAGGTTGGATATCCCCAGAATAAAAGATGATCGATTCCCCGAGGAGGTGCGAGAACATGCGTGGGAGCATGTCTGGGATCAAATCAAAAGCAAGGCACGCGGCTACAACACAGCACGATCGGTAGGGATAGTCAAGAATGCTATGCAAGATGGAACAGACTGCAGGCGCCGCGCGGCTTTGCAAGACTCGACCAGGTCCTCCAAGACGTCGGCTAATGTGTTAACGATGGCGAAACTGGGTTTGGGTGAAGACTGCATCCCCACGACGCCAACACCTGTTGCTGCGAATGACATGAACGTCGCTCTCTTCGATAAAAGGACAAGAGACCAACTCAGACAACTCCCGCTCCGAGTTATTATGACCCAGGAGGGTCGGAATGCCATGGCCTTAAACCCAGAACAACCCCTCTCCGACAACATGTTGAATATGGAGAGGCTGGAGGAGTTGATTGCTCGAAAGACAACCTTTCCTGGCAAATGTGCCAAGTTCGACTTCGAGGGCAACATTGTGGAGGATGAGATCGATCTCTGTGCGGCGTTCAATGCGACTAGAGTTAAACGGTTCCAGTTCCTCCCGTTGTATTTGGGACAGAGCAATGCTGGTATGCATCCTAGTGCTTGTTGCGCACCGCCTCATCATGCTAATACGTGAACAGGAAGCTCTAATGCGGAAACAACGACAATGTCGAAGTCGGTCAAATTTGTTGGGACACAGGCAAGGGATTCGAGCATGGGCCGACACACACAGATCGACGATGAGCAGATCTCAGGTGGCCATATTGGAACCTGTCCTAATCCAGAGTATGACGCCGACATGAGCGATTTGGCGAATGAAACCCAAGAACAACGGCCAGCAGCACCGAGAGGTTCAAATCGCAAGAGAAGGCGAGTGGTGTCTTCGAGCGAGGACGAAGAGGCACGAAGTTCACGCACCAGAGGCAGAAGAAAGAGAACGAATGCCACCAGGAACCCGAGCGAAGAGGGCACTGGGATATCGGCTGATATGTTACAATCTCAGTTGGTTATGGAGCGTTCGCGGGGGCAAGAGGCACGAACCGCCCACCGTGCCCGAGCCACAGTGTTCTATGTTATCGATTGATTGATCGCCGGCAAGAAGTGCTGGACATTCATCTGCGCCTCCCAGGATTCTGCACCACCAAAAAGTCAGTAAATTCACGCCTCCCAGCAGATCCAATCCTTTCTTCTCAGCCTATTTCAAATGTTTACATGGTTTGTTATTATGGACGAGAGTTGGAAGTTCGTTTTGAGCGAGCTGGGATCTCAACCATGGATCAGCATGGGTGCAGTCCACTCAAGTGGAGACGGGGATATGAGATGCGATTATGATTCACGGCAGGGTAACTTTATGCGATTATGATTTACGGCAGGATGACCTTACACAGTATAGTCATTGCTGACGCAATAATAGTAATATTTCAATTTTATCTCTGATTCTTGAAACCCGGCCGACCAACTTACATTACATTTACTGGTCAGTTGAATCCAGGACCCCTCAAGCGCAGGCAGTGAACACAACGTTACTGCCGCTAGGGGCAACCTTCACTTGGCTACCTCCAGGATGAGTTCCCTGGGGCCAATCAATCGTGCCCCCTCCGTTGGCAGTGACGGTGAGATGCGACCCGGCGAACGGCTCACCGAAGACCGTGCTCAAGTCATACCAGACCTGGGCGCCATCGAGCGTGTACGAGAAGATCTGGGTAGGCGCGCCCGTAAAGAGCCCTCCGGCCGTCCTCGTGATCTTCAGAGCAACACCACCAGACGTCGGGTCTCGGCGGAGAACTTCGGTGTAGTTTTTGCCTGGGAGCGTTAGATCGGACGGTGCGCCCATAGAAAAAGGAGGACATACCGGGCGCGACAGCCACTTCTGGACCAATGGAACCGCCGACGGACCACAGGTAAAAGGTGCTGGGGCAGTTGTTCTTGACAATGGCGTTGCCCACGGCGGAAACGGACGATGCGAGCGCAGCAAGAGCGACGATGGCGGAACGCATGATGACGGTCTTTATAGGTACAGCTGAAGTTTGGATGCAAAGCGAGCGTGTGGGAGATTGAAGCGAATGTGGAAGTCGATGTTTGGATTGTGGATGTTGAGACTGCAGTGACTTCCATGCGGTGCCATCTGGCCGAGCTTTATACTTCGACTGCCAACACCACGGTATGCGTTTCACCGCTCTATATTCTACGTCACGCCGTTCTACTACGCACTATCCGTCTTGGGCGACGTCAGGCGTCTCGTACAGCTCGTGATGGTCCAGGTCTAGGTCTACCCGGCGAGTGTCATGACCATCAGGCAATACGTCCCCAATCTCTCGGAACCACTCACAAGCGGAGAAGAGAGGTCCGTAGTGGAGCAGAGTTGCCATTGCAGAACGTACATGCCTGCACATTTCCATTTCGGGACTTTCGATGCGTCGATATATTGCTTACTCCTCTGCAGCAGAGGCTGGATGCGGGGGAGTGTCATGATATTCCTCAGCTCAAGATTGGATTCAATAGCGTGCAACTGATGCAGAGACCTCGGGCTGAGTCCTGCGAAAGCTGTATTGGAACTTCGTCTGCTGACGATGTGCGGTCATGCTTGTAGCAAAATGGGATAAGAATACGAAGACTATTTAAAGTACTGTAGATCATAGAGAACGTTTACTGTGTACTACTGGCCGCAGTGCCAACACTAGCCACATCATCCCCTGCTACCTGTCTACTACCCCGCAGTGACTGGACATCGCATTTCCGAAACCATGTCCCTTAGCAACGGCTTTTCCAGATTGTTCTACTCGGAGAATAATCCAGAAGGGAATTGCTATTTATGTATACGCGAGGCAGTTACTTGTACAATGGCACAATTGCCGGTTGCCGCATCACGCTTCGAGAAAACAGGTAAAACATTTACCGACAGTACTGCGGTAACGTCGCCACGTTACATTCATTATTGAGAGCTCGGGAGCATGAATGCTTCCACTCTGCAGCACGGTGATCTTATCCCAAGGTTGTGCCATATGTGACAGGTTCAAGAAGATCAAGAATTTCTCTCGATTTCCCTCTTGGGAATCGAACTATATTTACTCTGTTAAGGCACTTCACTCTGCCCTTCGTATCATCTTCGTCCAATCTTGCCTCACCGGAAAACCGCGGAGGCAGTGTTCGCACGTGACCTCACTTCACACAGCGGTGCCGAGTACAATCGGGCCTATGACAGAACTTAGCCTTACTAGTAGATTAGCTGCAGAACTTATTCCATTCTCTTTACACACCGCAGACTAGTCTCCTAAGGGGTCGGCCCTACTATCTTCCAAGTAACCTTTGGCCGACATCGATAGAATATGCAGGAAGGACGCTGTGCACCCTTTTGTCACATACCGTGGGAGACGGCATCGCTGAGCTCCTACAAATCTATTGAAGATCATGCTTGATGAGAGAACTAATCGATTTTCGTTGAGTAAGGCTTCGGAGACTGTTATTCTTGGTGCGTGCTTTCACGCGTACATAAAGTCGAACTCTGTTCTAACATATACACCCGTTCTACACTCTACGCTGCCACCGGCGGTCATAGTAACCACCGGAGGATGGGCTTCTAACTGCTGTTTACTTTCTGTTCGGCTAGATTTCCTAATACGGCATCAACTCTTTTCTATGAAATCATTTATCCACTCAAGTACATCCTTTGGTCTCGTACTATGTATGTGAATATTTCTCAAAACCTGGAAGTATACTTACTGTGGCCAGATAGCAGCCGTTTCATGGGCAACGTTCGACAAAGGCTGATGACGAGCATGTTTCGCAAAACAAGGAGGAATCCCGGCCGTTTGGTGTCGTGCTCCTTAGCGACGGCCAAGCAACGTGCTGCAGGGGCTTGAGACCAATGATGACCGTCGAATTAAGCATGAATTTATCCCTTTTTGAAACGCTAACGGCTGGCTGCAGATGCGGAAACTTGAATTTCAAGATTGGAAGATTAGCAGGATGGGTGGATTGAGCCTATCACCACCACACTCCCAACATCATGGACGTCGGCGTCACCTCCCTCTCTCCTTCACTCTCACGCGGGGCCGTTCGTTTCGACGTCTTTCCACTCATTGGACGTGGTTTTGTGCCCATATGCACTCGTTCTCGCTGGGCTTCGGTGGGCATTCACTATCGCTGCGGGAGCAACAACCGCTCTTTCCTCCCAACTGCGTAACGTCAGCCTCAGCAGACAGCCGCGCCGTTCGGAGCTTCTGAATCCTTTACTCCACACCATTCGTATCCCAACTTGAAGTCCTGCCAACAATACTTCCGGCGTCATGTTGTCTACACTGCTGGCCTGCGCGCTCGCGGGCCTAGCGAGCGTCACCGCAATCCCAACGATATCCGTAAAAGGCACCAAATTCTTCACCAGCGACGGCGAACAATTCTTCGTCCGCGGTACGCACACCATCCCCGCACCTCAGTTCCCCTAAACTAACAAACCAGGAATCGCGTATCAACTTGTCCCAGACGATCCGCTGGTCGACAACAAGCAATGCGAGCTCGACGCCAAGCTCATGAAGACGGTCGGCGCAAACTCCATCCGCGTCTACCATGTCGAGCCCGACGCGGACCACGATGCGTGTATGAAGACGTTTGCCGATGCCGGAATTTATGTCTGGTTGGATCTTGATACGTTCAATACCCAGATTGAACAAGACCACCCTAGATGGAACCAGACGCAGGTTGAGGCCTTCCAGAAAGTTATGGACGCGTTCCACGAATACGACAATCTTGCGGGCTTGTTTGTAGGGAACGAAGTAATAACGAAAGAGAATGGTACTGTTGCTGCCCCGTACATCAAAGCTGCCGGCAGGGACATGAAGGCCTACCGCGACTCCAAGGCGTATCGCAACATCCCCATTGGATACTCGGCGGCCGACATCGCCTACAACCGGCCCATGCTGCAAAACTACCTGGCCTGCGGGGACAACTCGTCCGAGGCTCTCGATTTCTTCGCCCTCAACACCTACTCCTGGTGCGGAGACTCGTCTTACCAACAGTCTGGCTACAAGGAACGCGTCAGGGAGGCCCAGGAACTCAACATTCCCATTTTCATTTCGGAGACCGGCTGTAGGGAGCCACGACCGCGTACCTTCGAGGACCAGGCAGCTATCTTTGGGGAAATGGCGTCCGTGTATTCCGGCGCAATTGTATACGAATGGATCGAAGAAGCGAACAACTACGGCCTCATCTCGTACGGCCCCAAAGTGGAGCCCGATGAAGAGCATCCCGACGGCTTCACCCGCTCCGGCACGCCCACGCCCGTGACACCTGACTTCGCCAATCTCAGCAACCAGTGGAAGACGCTCACCCCGTCCGGCGTCAAGGAGAAGGACTATTCCCCTACACTGACGCCTCCCGCGTGCCCGACCTATATGTCGAACTCGGCATCCCAGTGGCAGGTGAGCGGCAATGTCCCCCTGCCCACTATTGGCCAGATATACGAGGCGGAAGCCACCAAAAGGCCCGGAGAAGGGGCGCAGGTGACCAATACCCAGCCTACGAACGCCAGCCCAACGAAAGGCGCTGCGCCAGAGAGCCTTCTGAAGGAGATCAAGGGTGTAGGATTAGGGTTAGTGGGGCTTACGTTTGGTTTCTTCTGGTGGATGTGAGGCGATGAAGGGCCGTGTACATCAGTGTAGCACGGAATTAGCTCGTTCATGTACCCCTTACTATATTTCCTAATGAGGCAGAACATAGATATATCTACCTCAGAGGCATTTGTGATTCAGCCAGAGTTAGCAAGAGCTAGCTTACCTAGATCGACCGGCTCATCCGTTCGACAACGAGCGTCTTGCATGAATTGATGTCTAGCAGATCTACGTCTATATAAACATATACTCTAGCAGGGTCGGATTTCAATCGAAGTTGAGATTATTAGCATTTGTGTCAGTTGGTAATAGTTTCCCAGCTCTGCACGTCTATCATCAATTCCTTCCTACCAGTGTATCGGTTACGTCTCCTCACACAACCCCCATGGGCCACACCGTCCCCAGCGGGCGCATGCGGCCTGAGTCCCGATCTCGAGGTGTATGTGCTTAACTCGCATGTGCCAACGTGATTCGAACACACGATGATGACCCAAGCAGGTAGGTCCAGTCGGTCCAGTCGTCCCAAGCCGTGCCTGCTCAATCGCTTAGTGTTATCAACTTGGGAAGGAGCACATATGTCGGCCGAGACCGGGACCCAAGGATGGCTCCCAGGCAACAGCGGGGCTGCACTACTCAAATACACCATTCGGGGATTTACTTCACATCTCAGACAGAGCCATGAATCTCACAATCGACGACAACATGGATGACTTTTACGAAGACCGGGATATGTACAAGCTGTGTCAGTAATCCCAAAACCCCATCACTCCATACCGCAGCTCTATGGCCTCGGACAAAGCTAATACCGTCCCGCAGAGCACGCAACCACGGGCAGAGCAGGCTGCCAATCCGCACCCTGCAAAATCAAAATCCAAAAGGGCGAACTCCGCCTCGGCGTGGAATGGTACAACGGAGCCGCCGACCAATTCTGGACGGGATGGCGGCACTGGCGCTGCGTGACGCCCGCCCAACTGCAGGCCATGAAGGACATCTGGGCCGTGGACGAGATCCCTGGTTTCAAGCAACTCAACGCCGTCAGCCAGAAGCATGTCCGGGATGCGTTCCGCGAGGGGGAAGTCGTGGATAAGACGTTTGAGGGTTTCCCGAGGGAGGGGGAGGTCGTCGAGTCGGCGGTTGCGGAGAAGACGGAGGCGAAGCAGAAGGCGAAGACGATTGCGGCGTATAAGATTGATGTTGCGGTGCGCGTTGCGAAGTGCCGTCATAGCATGTGTGGGGAGGGAAAGAAGGATATCGTCAAGGGGATGCTGAGGTTTGGGATTGTGTATGAGGAGACGAGTAACTGGGAGTATTATCACTGGTGAGTGTCCTTCGTCTTTCCGTTCAGAGACTCGTCCTACTCGCTCCAGCCGCTGATGACGATTTCCCATGCAGGCAGTGTGCTACTCAGGCGGATATCCGGCGGATGAAGGAATATCATGAGGCTTAGGAGTTGCAAGGATTCGATGCGCTGTCTGAAGAGCTTCAGACGATTGTTCTTAAATCGTTTGAGGAGGGGAAGGTGGTTGCTGTTCCCGAGGAATTGGCTCCTGAGACGGAGGCGGCTACGGGTTCTTCCCAGGAGAAGACGAAGAAAAAAGAGGAAGAGGGACTGCTGATGATGAAGCGAAGAAGAGAGACTGATGATGATGGAAGTCACATCTCAGTGCCTGGGAATCTGAGCCAGCTGGATTATCATTCTAGGGGCCTGTTGTACGTGGGTAATAGCTTCTTGTTGCATGGCCAGTGCTATCATAGCACCAAGGGGGCCAACGAAAGGCAATGGAATCACAAAGGAAATATAAGGGTCCTCAACGAGGAATGCAGCTACAGTCCAGTCCCCAACAACGACCAAAGCCCAAATGAGTAACTTTGATAGCTTGCCGGTACTAGTGGTTCTTGTGAGCACCAAGGGATGTTTCTGGGAGTGACAGGTTCAGTGATGCAATAGAGTGAATGGGTTTTGCTATAATTCAAACCCATTTAAGAAAATACTACACTGTGTGAGTAAAGATAACGGACGTAGAATGACGTAAATGGCAATCAAGCAGAGAGAACGATGATGAAGAGAGAGGCATGCATATGGCTGGGTATGAAGTTGGTTGACGGGTCGGTGGTCCGTGCGCAAGCTTCGGACTTTGGGATAGCTGTTCACTTTCCCCACGCCGCATTTCCTCACAACAACCACACTTCAAATCCCACGCCTATCCCACGGACTTTTCGAGTTATTCTCTGTTACTGCGCGACAGCCCTAAAATGTCCAAGATCACATCAATCAACGACAGCTCGCACTTCAAGCGCGTCCTTTCCGGCGCCACCTACACCATCGTAGACTTCTATGCCGACTGGTGCGGGCCTTGCAAAGCCATCGCACCAGTCTTCAATCGACTGGCCGACACGGAAACCAAGCCCGGCAAGGTCCAGTTCTGCAAGGTGGATGTAGATGCGTGCCAGGACGTGGCGCGGCAGTATGGCGTTTCCGCGTACGTTCATCCAACATATCGAGGACCTACAACCTCCAGAAGGAACAGTAGTGCTAACAAGTTTACAGAATGCCCACCTTCCTCGTCCTCAAAAACGGCTCCGTCGTCGAAACCGTCCGTGGCGCAAACCCCGCCGCCCTCACCGCCGCCGTCCGCAAAGCCGTCAACGATGCGGGGACCAAGCCGGGCGCTGCATTCCAGTCTAAAGGGTACACGTTGGGATCTTCGTCGACTCCTAGTAGGCCCGTTAATCAGGGGGCGTTTAGCGGGTTGCGTGCTGGGTTGTCTGGGAATGGGGGGTTTGGTGATTTGCTGGTGCGGTTCTTCGGTCTTTATTTCAGTAGTTTGTTCTCGTTCAACGCTTACCAGGCTGCTGAAATGAGCCCTTTTAATATCCGGGCGCGGAGATGAAGGGATGGGAAGGGTAATGGCGGGTGATACCACATTGAAGGCGTTCTGGGATCAATCTGGGATTAAGGTATTTTGGCAGGACCTTTGGCTCCTGAAAGAGTCTCGAGATGCCCGAAGGTTCATTGGCGAATTAGGCGTCTCTCTGGGAGTTTCTGGGCACAGCACAAGAGCTATGATACAATGTCTGATTCTCGTATTACCTCAGTATCTTTTTCTACGTCTTTACAAGCGGGCTCGCCCTTCCTCTCGCGACAAGTCGCACGCACATCCTCATTCCCAAAAGCCTCTTTTCCCATCCTCAAGGTTCGCTATTCCGCACTTCCTGCTCATTTTAATTGACCACTTTCAGCAGATTACTTTTCGGCACTGCGGGCAAGTGTTCGACATCGCGCTTGAGGACCTGATCCAGCCGCCGATACACTCATCGTGGAACTCATGGTCACAGCAAAGCAATGAGACGGCTCGCTTTTGCGGACAACAGAGTGAATCCATGCAAACCGCACACTCTCCGTTGTGGGTTGGCATCTCTAACAGGAGCGAATGCATCGCAACATGTGCGCGGGATTGAGTAGCAGATTGACGGGTGTCTACACGACGCGGGGACTTGGCTGGCCTTGCAAGTTCGGCTTCTAGGTCGAAAAACTGCGCCTCTGCCCCGTCGAGGATGATTTTATCGCCCCGGCTCCGTCCACTGGGTCCAAAACCGTGAAGGAAGAAAAGGAAGCCCATGTGGCCCCAGAAGCCGTCTGGGCGAAACCATGGAACTTTATCAGGCTGGACTTGACATCTGCGCCGAATGACGTGCTTGGATCTGCCATCAGGGCCCTCACTAGGAACTGTGGCGGCTTTGATGATTGTAGCGTATATTCGCCATCCCAGATCCGAAGGATGAGTATGCTCCGCTTGGCTCAGGCGTCGTACTTCGTTCCAAACAAAGGCCCACACCCCACGGATATTGATCTTGCAAATGTTACGCTTTGCTTCAGCCGAAATTACTGACAGAGGACCCCGGAGTTCGCTCTGAATGCTTTTGATTGTTTGCGCCAAGCCACTGCGGTACACCCATAGCGAAGGCTCTCGGAAGGACACCCATATGTCGACTATGTTGACTCCTATCTGGAAGAATATCTTCAAAACCTGCACGCGGTCATCGTCATCCAGGCTTAGAGCCATCATCTTGTTTAATTCGTACATCCCTCCTGGCACCGACTCCCTCACTTGTTGAAGATAATTCGTCGGCGGATCGGCAAGCTGTGGCTGGTAGGCGATGAGATATTCGAGCCTTGCCCATTGAGTACGAGTGGCCTTCAAGTGTTGCTGTGTACAGAGCAGGAGAAACATCTTGCCGCTATTTGCCTGGAAGTTGCGCTTGCGTCTATGGGAGTAGTATGTCGCGGATTCGCGTGCCCTAGGTAAACGGTACCGCGGCCATTGATCCGCCAGGTAGGCCCATAGCTCTTGATGATTTACGTCGTGAGGCGCATGCAACCTGCCCAAGGTTATATCGAATGTACGCAACACGAGGTGCGATTCCCAAAGCCGTGCGGATTCCCTGTCGAGAGTGCGATTATGACCGACTCTACGCTCATACAAACCAACAGGTAGGCCATCATTGTACGTTAAAGTCCATTCTACGTCCTGGAGAGCCTTGTAGTAGTACGTCAGGATCGCGTGGAGGGTGCGCGGCTCGTCGATATAGCGCTGCAATGCGTCCATGAGGGGCTTGTATGGTCTTCTCCACGTCTCCATCATTATCGAGAGTTTCGGTGGCCTTAGTCTTGCGCCTCTACATTGTTCAGCGGCTGGGAGGGCTTTTATATGGGCGGCGGGGAAAGGGTAGGTGCGGCGGAGTGGTTTGCAAATGATCTGTGCGGTCAAACATCACTGTCTCACTTCCACGACCTAAGTAATTTTAGGTAAAAGTCTAGGATGTATTTTACGAACTATATTACTAGCAGAAAACTGTCTCAGTGTTCTGATAATGCTTGGATTGCTTGAAAGAGTCGTGTAGATTCCGTCGGCCAGACAACCTGCCGCCTCTATCGAGCTCGCTCTCTCTATTCTTGAAAGCCATGATAACACAATACATGCCGCGCTATGCTGCAGATGTTCCCTCCTGACTATGTGCGTTGTAGTCGCCTTTTTCAACCAGAAGACTCCGTAATTTAGCCACCTCCTCATCGCTGAGTCCAACCACCTTTTTGAAATACCCCTCCGCACCTCCCCATTTCCTATCCACTTCTACGACAAGTTGCCTCATACTTTCCGGTCTGGCGCCTATCATCCTCTCGCACTTTCGCCTCGCTTCTTCACCATACTCCTCAAACGCGCCTTTCTTCAGCAGCCTGTCGACATTGATATGCCGTGTCGGTGCTAGACCCTGCTCTGATAATGTGTATTCCTCTACAACTACTTCCTCCGGTACTCCTAGTAGTAGCAGAAGCATGGAGATAAACACCCCCGTGCGATTGTTCCCAGTCGTGCAATGCATAAACAGCGCGGGAACGGGGTCTAGTGATGAGACTGGAGGTACAGTGGCGAGTAGATGGCGCAGGACGGTGCGGAACATAGTTGCGCCTTCAGTAAGGATCTCTATGAATGCAGAAACAATGCCCTGCAGATGAAAAACACGTTATTTACAGATAATCCCTCGTAGGTGGGATACGCAAACATACATCAGGAGTCTCGCTAGCATAAAGCTCATACCGCTGCCTCGCCGCTTCCTCCGTGTACTGCTCCTCCGCAAACACAGGCGTCCATTTTCGCTCAATACCGTCGATCTCTTTGTAACCCCCTGTTCTTTCGATTTGCTGCTTACTGCGCAGGTCGAAGTCTGTTTTTATCCCTAGCCCGTGGAGCTTTGCGATGCCTTCGGGCGTGATGCGGTTCGTGTCGGAGCCGCGGAAGAGCACGCCTTTGCGGACTCGGCCGTCGGGGTTTTTGATAGGCCAGCCGCCGGTGTCGCGGAAATTTGGGACCCCGGGGACGATGTGGAAGGGGGGGAAGGAAGGAGGTGCGGGTCTCGTGGGCTCAGGATGTGATGGAGAGGTCTCGTTTGCGGGTTCGGTGGGGGCCATTGTTGCTAGACGCATCAGCGGTGATTGTCGGTAAGAACTTTTAAAAACATGTTATAGTAGGAGGTCTTCAACATGACGGTGAGGAAACGCTACTTAGGGTGTGTTTAGTGTGGAGAGGCAGGGAGATGGGGTGAAGGAGCTCAGACACGCGCCCCGCCGACATAGATGGGTCTGCATGCACCAAATGCATTGCTCAGAAGCTAATTAAGATTAGATCCGGCAGACTTATAGATTCCTTGTGCGGGGAAAAGGCGTGGGGTCTGCGTCTTTAATTTATTTAGCCTTGCTCCAAGTTGAGCGTTGGGTTATAATAGCCGGGTTTAACGCCTCCTAACTTGAAAGCGAGCTGGAGAGCTTCGGCCACCAGCACGAGTCGGATATACAGAGAATCGATGCTCCATTTTTTGAGTCTCCTGCGTACATATCGAAGTGACGTTGAGATATTACGAGTTGGGTGTTTGACCATCAGAGTCCGGAAGGAGTGGAACCAGTTGTCCAGAGTTCCGTCGCGGTACTGCATCATCGACATCATCGTCCTCATCTTCTTCTTCATCATGATATCTCTCAGTCTCATTTTCCACCCTTGCACGTGGTTTATGATCGGGATTGAACAGTGCCTCCATGTCCTCAAGACTGCGGCGTCCGGTTTCAGGAAAGTACAGCCCTCAGGAAAGTCAGCACGGTATGCCAATCTTGAAATGCCTCGAGACTCACAGATGATGACTGCAGAGGCAAGATTGGTGCACATGAAGATGAAGTGCGTCTTCGATCCTATCTTCTGCATGCCAACAGGCCAAGTTTGTGAGGAGATGATAGCGCCGATAGAGCTGCCTGATGCCGCAATATTTAGACCGCGTGCTCGGAAGTTAGTTGGAAATATCTGCTTCTCTGTCAACCACTGTCAAGAATGTGTCATGTGCAGCCTACTTCTGACCCATAGACCCACGCAGCCGGACCAAAGCCTATTGAAAATCCGAAAGTGTACACAAAGATGAACGCGATGCAGACGTAATCGGCAGCATGATTAATGTTGCCAGGGTACTTTATCGGAAGTAGGCCATTGATCTGGACACAGTAAGCATTTGCACAATCAAGATATCAAGGGATAGGTTACAAATAAGGAACAGCCCATCACCAAGCACGACACAACGAGCGTGAGTCTCCTACCAAACCTGTCGACTAGCCAGGAGTCGAAAACGGTGAAAGCAATCTTCAAGGTGCTCTCCACCCCTCCGACTAACAGCGCTGTCTTTCGTTTGATTCCCAAGCCCTTGAAAATGTCCGGCAGGTAATATTTCATTGAGGTATTACCAGCCATCTGCGCCATGAAGGCCAATAGAGATGCACGCCATAGGCGGCTGAACAACGGACGATTTGTAAACAGGAGAGTCCAGGAATCATCCGCCGCTAGCGACTTCCGCTGTTCGACATCTATTTCGATCTGTCTGAGTTCTTTCGCAACAAGCTTGTGCGAAGCAGGCAAGGCCCGGAGCCACGACAGACTCCTTCGAGACGCTTCACTTCTGCCCTGTTCCACAAGCCAGCGTGGCCTGCTCAAGATCAGCATTGGAGAACACATCGGGGAGTACACTCACGTTTCAGGACAGTAGAATACTCCGATAAGAAACAACACCTCGGGTATGAACTGCAATGCCATTGATACTCTCCAGCCGTAGAAATTTCCGTTGGCGGTTTCCCAATGACTGACTCCGAACCCTACCCTAACCTAAAATCAGCCATATCCCCCTCAGTAGCAACCAGAGGATACTAACCAAAATGCAACCGCAATACCCGCCACTAGACCAACATGGTTCATGACGACATACCGGCCACGATGTTTAGCTGGAGAAACCTCACTGTCTTTGCTTAGCACAGCCAAGCCAATGATTGTCCAAGCGAGAAGTACCTCTGATATAGCGGAACCGAAGTAGAGACTATAGCAAGTCCACCTCCGCATATAACGCGTCCGATGATCATCATGGCGACCCCAAACGGAGCTTTGGCGACAGTTTGAAATGCAGCGCCCACCAGAGTAATAACGACTCCGTAAGCTGCCGCTACTCTTCGACCGTACCTGTCTGCTAACGGGTGCGATATGAAGAGGTAGCTGAACCAGGTTCCGACATAGTAAATACTCGTGATAAAGCCAGTCACTGCTTTTGAAGGCCTGCTGAGCGCTTCGGAGAAGCCGGGATGGACATATATCGAGGCCATGACACCGATATTGTATCTATTGGATTAGTTTATTCACATGCATCTGATGCTGTCTATTTACCTACCCCCAGGCTAGAGAAGCAAGACCGAAGAAGAGGCATACGCCCATCAGACGGAGGGATGCCCGCCGGGGAAGAACATCGTCTCGTGGCGTGGTCAAAGTCAAATCTTCGATTTCTGCTGCCATGCGTGCTAATGTGGCAGAGTTGTTGTGAAAGGTGAATGGAGAAGACAATGTTCAACTAAAACCCCTGTTGCTACCCCTCGTGGCGCGCGGATTCTCACCCGCCCAAAGTTATAAGCCAAAGCACCCGAAATGCGATACCTTTGAAAAGCTTGGGAGGAAGGGAATGCGAAGGGAATGCAGTCAACTGGTTTGTCAACTTAGAGGGAAAGGAGCGCAATTTTTGAGCCGCCTATGCTACAAGTCAAATATTCGTACAGAGCAACATATCTGGCTGGAGAAGGGGTTGACAGCCATATGGAACATCAACATGTACCAGGCGGTGGATGCTCTTCATAAACCATGGAGTCTGCAAGAGATCTTCCGTATTTCAAGCTAACCCTTGGGAAGATGAGAATGACCGCACTTAAGATGGAAGTGATTGGATTTCCGCGATGTTTTCACAGCGAAAGTGATGTCGGTCGGATAAACGAATTTCCGGTGCACCAACCACCCCCCTTCTTTGATCTCTCTCTAAATATGTTCCCCCGCAACTGCCATTATGCGAAGCACCCACTCATCCACATCACCAAATGCGCTTGTGGGGTGCCGCAAGATCCTTAAAGTATGCGGAGCCTCGGTGAGATGGAAGGAGGCTAAAATGTGGATGGTGCTGGGAGTAATAAAGACGTGAAAGTCAACGAATCACAGCATCCGGACATGCATGTCTCTACCCAATATATGTCCCGGTATCATCTATGCATAACCGCTTCCTCCCCGGTTGCTCCGATCCCAATCTAACGTTGAGCGTTTCTCATATACTGCCATATACAGCAATGGAGTATTTGCTTAGCTACAACCGGTATCTGCTCTATGTCGCACTTCTGTTCATGTCACTGTATCATGGAGACGGCGGAGGTGGTAACAAGCCACGTCCATAGATCCAAATACGTTAGCCTTCCGCCACTGGTGCGATACACATACTTTGCCCTTCGATTCCATTGTCTGTCGACGCGAAGTCCACCTCCTGGCCTTCCATCGATAATCGGACTGTCTACGACGTACGCACGGAATTGCTAGGTGGCATGTCAGCCTCTAATTCATCAAGATGAGAGGAAACGGGGTCGGGGAAGAGCAGGAGAAGCTGCTTGCAGGTAGGCAAGAATTCAAAATGGAGCGAATATCCCGTCTAACTTCAGACAGCGCCCTTCGAGGAGAAGGTTCCTACGGTACCGGTACATGTGGAAGAGGAGGCATCCTGGAGGAATCTTCCTCATAAGAAGCAATTGCTGCTACTGGCATTATGTCGACTCTCTACTCCGCTGTCGAATGCATGCCTGCTTCCCTACCTCTACTACCTAGTCCGGTCAATAATGTCTGAGCCGGATCACCCATCCGCCCCGCAAGAGATCTCTCGCCTCACTGGTCTGTTGGTGGCAGCATACCCGCTCGGTCAAATGGCTACGAGTATGCTCTGGGGAAGTGTATCGGACGCTTATGGGCGTAAACCAGCTATCCTGGTAGGCCTCACAATCAGCGTTGTGGCCAATTTCTCCTTCGGATTCTCGAGGTCAATCGGCATGCTGCTCTTCTGGAGAATCCTTGCCGGCATGGCTAACGGGATACTCGGAGTGATGAGAACGATGACTGCGGAAATTGTCAAGGACAGGAAGTACCGCTCGCGAGCATTCCTGGCCCCGCCCGTGATATTCAATTCCGGCCGAGTGGCGGCTCTAGCAATCGGTGGATGTTTAGCGGATCCTGTGAAAAACCTGCCACGTTTATTTGGACCGACCGGCATTTTCAATGTTTCGCGGAACGCTCAAGGAGTAGCTTGGGCGCTCAAATATCCATATGCTCTACCGGCTCTTTTCAACGGAACAGTCCTCGCGGTCTGTTTGATATTAGCTGCTCTCTGGCTTAAAGAAACTCTTCCGTTCAAGGAGAACGACTGGGATCTGGGTCTTGCGATCGGCAAATCCATCTCTGGGTTTCTGACGAAGATGATTCTGCGAAGACAGAAGTCGGGTTATACCGCCGTACAAATTGAAGAGGCCGATGTACTTACAGCGGATGCTTCCGTGGCCGAGGCCTCTTCATCTGGTTTCTCCTCTGCGACATACCCGCCCAAAGCCCATCGCCTTCGCTTCCAGGACATCTGGACCAGAGATTTGGTAAAGACGTTGTTTGCATTTGCTCTTCAGCCACTTCACAATTCTACGTTCCTGCACGTTTTTCCGGTGTTCCTTTCCATGCCTGTTGCTGAGAACAAGGACTCGACGATTCTCAGGTTCACCGGTGGACTTGGACTTCCGTCTCCGACAGTTGGCCTATATCTTGCGGCCTTTGGAATATGCGGCATCCTCCTCCAACTCTTCATATATCCGCGGATCCACAAGCGCATTCGTACACTGGGGGTGTTGCGTCTGGCCAATGCCATCTTCCCCTTCGCATACGTATTCGCACCATATTTATCCTTACTATCGGGTCTACCGGTTGCCAAATGGCCCGCCATGGCCGCTGTCCTCTTCTCTCAAGTTATGGCTCGCACTATGGCCATTCCAAGCACCGTCATACTTCTTACAGAGGCAGCGCCACGGAAAAGCGTGATGGGCACAGTTCATGGAGCGGGTAACACGGTCAGTGCGATGGCCAGCGCGAGTGGACCGGTCATTGGAGGTATGATGCTCGCGTGGGGAATAGACCATGGGGCCATTGGCCTGGTGTGGTGGTGTTGGCTGTTTGTTGTTGCGGTCACGGCGTTGGTATGGAGTTTTGTGCTGCGGAGGTTAGATAAGGAAGAGGGCGGAGAGAAAGGAGCCCTAGTTGGGGACTAGTAAATGAATATCTGCTGACGTATCAGACTTGGGGAGAGTCATTCAGTCGTAAATGGACAAGAGACATCATGAAATGGAGCGATCAATCTCTTCATCCAGCTGGCAGCTCCGATTACAAGCTGAGTGCTAATCCGCCATGCCACCCGCAGTAAGTACATGTGATCCATATCCTGGTACGGGACTTTTTCACCCCTCAGTGCCACGGACTGGGAAGAGCGGGCAAGGTGGGACAAACCAGCCTCTTCGCGGAAGGACAACCGGCAGGTATGCCCAATATGAGGGTAAGGTACCGAAACGAACGAGTTAATGGCAGTGAATGTAGGATTATACGCATATTTGCGAGTAGGTGTTGTACTGCCGATGCCATAGTCCTAGTTGTTAAATCTTACAAGTCCGGCGCCAGTGGGTACTTTCAGCTGAGGGGCTGAGCACCTGTTTGCCATGCGGTAGACTCGCAATGAACCAAACGATTTTGCCAGATTAACCTGAATTTGAGAGATTCAAGTCTACGGTTGCGACTTGCCTAAGTTAAGGTTGGATGCGACGGTGAAAGAGGACTTCACGTGCGCTTCCTTACCGTGTTTAGTCTGCTGGCGCACGGTTTCACCTGGCGCACACTTTCGCTAGAATATGAAAATTTCAATATAATAGCAACTCCACCGATATGGACCCAATTGAGGAGGCAATTACAGCGTTAGAATTGCTAGAGCTTGGAGAAAAAGTCAACATCTCTCAAACTGCTAAAAAGTATGGTGTGGAGCGATCTACTCTGTCGCGAAGGTGGCGCAAGGTCCAGGGCTCCTGTGCAACTCAATATGAGAACCAGTGACTTCTAAATAACTGTCAAGAGCAGGAGCTTGTACAGTATATTGAGAGACTATGTAAGAGAGGCCTACTACCAACAAAGAACATGTTATGCAACTTTGCTAGTGAGATAAGTGGCTAGCAAGTATGCAGCTCATGGCCGGATCGATTCCTGAAGCGTCACAAAGTTGATCTAGTATCAAGATGGTCGACTGGCTTAGACAAGGAAAGAAAAAGAGCTGATTCTGCCTTCAAGTACGCCCTATATTTCGAGCTCTTGAAGCGCAAAATCGAGGAATATGAGATAGAGCCCGCAAATATCTACAATATGGATGAGAAGGGCTTCCTAATTGGCGTGCTATTAAAAATGAAGCAGATCTTCTCCCGACAGAGATATGAGGATGGGGGGACTAAGCAAGCTATTCAAGATGGCAATCGTGAGTGGATTACAACAATTGCCTATATTTCTGCTGATAGATCATCGCTATCTCCAGGCCTCATCTACCAAGCCGTTTCAGGCAACATTCAAGACTCATGGTTGCAGGATTTTGATCCTACGATACACAAGGCCTTCTTTGCTTCATCTCCTAGTGGATGGACAAATGATTACCTTGGGCTTCAATGGTTAGAGTCAATCTTTGATCGAGAGACAGAGGAAGCTACCATGATGGCAATATCGACTGCTTATCCTTGATGGGCATGGATCTCATGTGAATATGAGGTTCATCAAGTATTGCGATGATAATAGAATCCTCCTGGCTATCTATCCTCCTCACAGTACTCATACTCTGCAACCGCTTGACGTCTGCTTGTTTGGCCCACTCTCACAAGTGTACAACTTAGAGATCATATGATATATGAATGAATTACAAGGATTCTCTGCAATAATAAAGAGAGATTTCTTCCGTATATTCTGGATAGCATGAGAGAAGGCATTTACAACAAGAAACATCCTCTCTGGCTTTAAAACTTGCGGTCTCAATCCTTTCAACCCCCAGGTCATCCTTAGCCATTCAGCAATCCTGAGGCAGATCGGCTCTCCTCTAGTGAGAGCTCAAAATCAGTTATCATGGCTGAGGACTAAAGAAAGATCGCTAAGCTTCTAAGAGCAGTAGTTGATGATGTATACGACTCCAAGGCCTATCAGCTATCCCAGATGATTCACTCGCTATCAACTCAGAATATCCTCTTGAAAAATGAGAATGACAGCCTCAAACAAGCACTAGTGAATGAGAAGAAGCGACAGCAGAGGGGCAAAGCTCTCCAGCTTGATAATCTACCTAATCTGGATGGTGGAGCTCTATTCTAGAGCCCGAACAAGGTTCAACGAGCCCACAATCATGAAAGGAAGAAAGAAGTAGAAGCAGAGCAAGAGAGATTCCAAAAACAAGAAGATATTAAGTATAAGGCTCAGGAGAAAGCAGAGAAGCAGCAGATACTAGAAGAGTGACATCATACAAGGGCTATTCAGAAGAAGATCCGACAGAAGAAGGAGGCTCAGAAAAGGCAAGAAATAGAAGACAACAAGCATACCCGGGAAGCAGCTGCACAACTCAAAAAGGACATCCTACTTGCTAAGCAGGCTAAAAAAAGGAGGGTTCAACAATCTACTATCTCTCAGGAGGTTGTTAGTAATGAACAATCTGTTCTTGAGGTCATTCAAGGCTCGGAGGCGACAAATCGTCGGGGACGGCAGATCAACCTCCCTCAGAGATATCGTGACTAGATATTAGCATAGGATTATTCTCTGTACTCGATTGCCTAATACTCTAGGAAATCTCGCGATATTACAATTTGTATTGACCTATACAGCCTCAAATTGTATATTTTGATTTTCTCGAAAATCGTGCATCAGGTGAAACCGTGCGCCAGCTGACTAAACACGGTATCTTATCGCATGCCAAGACCAAACCAAGATCTCCGCATGAAGCTATTCATATTCGGACAACAGAAGCAAGCAAGGAGCCATGGAGCCAGCCTGATGCTGCTCTGCCAGCGCTTCGTTGCTCCTCGCTCAAATTTCTCGCCATGGACCCGCTTGTGCCGCCTCCAGAAATCAATGTGCTCCTGCTTGGGGATGCAGAGGTCGGGAAGTCCACATTTCTCTCGTATGTACCTCCAATACCAGACGAGGAGTTGTAGCGTGCTGATACCATTTCAGACGTCTTTCCCTCGGCGTAAAGCCCACCGGCGATTCATTGCCTCCGTACGAACTGCCTGTCCTCCGTGATAGTGATCAGCCCTTCGCCTTTAATGTCACTCTCTATGGCCGGCCCTACGCGCTCAACTTGTTTGATACCGCCTCGCCCACGAACTATACACTCCTTCGACCCGACTTTGTCATATTGTGTTATGATATATCGAAGCGTTCGACGTTGTATTCACTGCGCACATATTGGCGAACAGTGGTGAATTCGCACTTTAATTATGATGAGGCGCTCCCAGTCATGGTCTTAGGCTTGAAACGTGATTTGAGAAGAGAATGGACAGAGGAGGAGAAGAAGGACGGCGGCCGAGGCGAGAGCACCATGCCACAGGAGGGGTTGGCTGTCGCGCAAGAGTTGCTGTGTGATCGATATGCAGAGTGCAGTGCTCTAACCGGCGAGCTGTGTAGGGAGGTGCTGGAGGATGTGGCGAAGACCTGTGCAAAGACCACGACGGTGAAAGGCGCGAAATCCGCGGGCGCAAACTGTTTGGTGATGTAGGGAGGCGGCTTTCACCAGCTGGAGATTCCTGGCTCACCTTCACACCTTTTCCTTGGGGTATAAAATCCTTGGATCCGTCGTCCATTGAGCCTCAGCTGCAACCTCACAGACCCAACCTCACATATCGTGGCTGTCGCCATGCGGGAAATCAGGCAGTTGAAATATCGAAACTTCAACAGCACTATCAGACTGTACCATTTCTCCGCCCATCGCATAACGCTTGCCGAGTTCAAACGCTCGTGGGCGGCTAGACATAAGTACTACAGTCACAGCGGCATTGTCGACGATACATTCAAGAATGATCCTGTCACAGAAGGAGATGAGATCCCTCCCGGATGTCTCGAGGTTGCCTACCTACCTCGTGTGTTCCAAAACGGGGGCAGCGCCATTGGGATACGTTCCGCAAATAGCATCCACTGGTTTTGCTTCCGCAAGTCGGCTAACAGCTTGATTGACAACGCCATTGACCTCCATTCTGAGCCTCTTTTCGACATGGTCGCCTCCGTTGAGAAGAACCCGGAAGATTACTACGGCTCAGAGCACTGGCGATGGTATGAAAGTCTCAGAGCCTGTCAAGAAGCGCATATGGGGCAGGTTTGTGAGAAGTAACGCAGATGCATTGTGGAGTGAACTGACCCTAGGGGCAAGGCTGGAAGGGCCAAACGTCGTTAGATGCGATGAGTGAGCCTGTGCATCTCTCCATCAAACTGGAGATGAGGCGCTTAAACTGAGTTGCATGAGTGGAACGCAGCTTCATATCGCAGTGGAGACCTAAATGAGGCTGTTCACATCATGTATTCTTGTTTGAAACAAATCAGTACCAGAAGGTGGCGATGCTATTAGGTAGCCGCGTTGCTTGATGCAGGGTGATTGCGTGTACTCGACCACATTTAATGCTCAACGCCTAATAATACATCACACCAGAATCTCTCACCCTCTGTTGATTATGCCAAAAGTCATGTTACGCAGGTGGCGGTTCTCTTCCCTGATTGCACAGCATACGTGCTTTCTCCGCACCGTGACGACACCTACGCACCAAAAGAAACAACCAGTCACCTATCAAAGCTACCCTAGTGTATATACATTCACCAACCCCAATGAAACTATCCTCTACCAACCGCCAACGTCCAAGATGGCATCGGGACTCTTCAACTCCTTCCTCGCAGCCATCCAGGCTTCTCTTTCCGTCCTCCTTGTCATCTTCTACGGCGCTATTGCGGCTAAACTCAAGCTGCTAGACTCTCACGATGGCAAACGGATAAGCAAGATATGCGTGCGGATGTTTCTGCCCGCCCTTCTTCTTGTAAAGATAGGCGCAGAACTGCATCCCGGGTCGGCACATCGCTATCTCATCATCCTGATATGGGCCTTAATATGTCACATTGTGTCTTTCCTGATCGGCATTGCTGCGCATCTCCTCTTCGGATTCCCGGACTGGATAACAGCGGCGATCATGTTCAACAATACGACCAGCTACCCGCTCTTGCTGATTCAGAGTCTGGATGAGACGGGGATATTGCGAAACCTCATTGTGCAGGATGAGACAACGGCTGCGGCGATGGAGCGCGCGAAGAGCTATTTTCTGGTCTTTTCGACGGTGAGCAGTTGCTTGACGTTTGCAGTGGGTCCACGGCTTATGGACTCGGAGCTCCCGATTGAACAAGATGGCCAGAAGAGCGTTGAAGGAGAGGGTGAGGCAGAAGAGGTTGAAAGTGGCGATGCGGAGAGCGTGAACGAGGAGGGCGTTGTCAACGAGGAGACGGGACTTCTGGTTCCGTATCCTGCAGCATCGAGACGACGGCGATCGTCAGTCGTGTCGATAACGTTCTTTCCCTCGAATCCGAAGTTCATGGCAGATAGGAGGCGGGTCTTTTACATTCCGCGGCCAAAGTGGAGGAATCTGAGTCCTCGGACGCAGTGGTGGTTACTTTTCCTCTACGACTTCCTGAATGCGCCACTCCTGGGTGCCGTACTGGGCGCCGTCATTGGATTTGCCACCCCGTTGCATCGCGCGTTCTTCTCGGATACTTCCGAAGGCGGCATCTTCACTGCCTGGTTAACAGCGAGCTGGAAGAGCATCGGAAGTCTATTTGTGCCTCTGCCGCTTATAGTCGCCGGCGTTTCGCTGTATGCTTCCTATCAGGAGTCCAAAAGAGGTGGAAACACGATTGCGAGACTTCCTTGGCGTATAATGATTTTCATTCTTGTGGTGCGCTTCATTATCTGGCCGGTCCTCGGTATTGGATCCATCTACGCGATTGCGAAGAATGAGGGACGAGGCGGCTTGTTGGGAGACGATCCCATGCTGTGGTTTGCGATGATGCTCATGCCTACGGGACCGCCGGCGTTCAAACTCATTACCATGGTGCAGGTGTCAGATGCCGGAGTAGACGATGAGAGGCGGATTGCGAAGATCTTGACGGTTTCGTATATAGTGAGTCCGCTGTTGGCGTTTACAGTAGTCGGTGCTTTGAAAGCCAGCCAGGACGTTATCGGAAGATGAGGGATGAAACTAGGGGAAAATAGAGCAGACAAATATATACATACAGAACGAGAACGATAGTGTAGCCATTATAACATATCCACCACACGCATGCCTCCTTTCGAGATATCACCGTCGCAATGTATCTCCATCATTTGTCTTTCTCTCGCCACTTGTGACATGAGAGCGTTGTCCTTTGGCCATAATCTCTCGACAAGTTTCCACAGCCTGTCCCGGCTTACGGCTTCTGAGGCCCTCCTGGCCGACGAAGCCGAGCTGAAGTGTTGCGCGCTCAAGTTCGTCTGGATCATCGAGCTCCTGGGCGTCGAGGTGTAGTATTGGATTGCCGCAGGAGCATATGTACCACCATATCCCTGCGAAGTTTAGATGATGGCGGTGCGCAGAGAGGAGCTCCATTGGGAGCTCCATGAGGGAGTCGCATCTGATTGGTGGAGAGGTGAGGTTGTCTTTGCAGGATAGATGTGCTGATTCCATAGATTGTTTGGAGTGTAGGTTGTTTGTCAACGTCATGATGGTTTGTTCGAGATTGAATTGACCGTGAATTGGATTATTTCCATCACACTGGCACCTTTTTTATGTTTTTACAATTGTGCATATTTACCTCCGAGCACGGCACTACTTCGGTGGGTGCAAAAGTTACTCCCGTCGTTTGGTGTGGTCGACACCTCTATGCCCGTTCGCCACCACAAAGGGCTATAAGGGGAAGTCAGCTCCCCAGCTTCTAGATCCAGCTCGTGGCTCGTGGCTCCTTTTCCGTTATATTGTGCAAAACGCGAGGTGACCAGCATCACGTTCGTCACAAGGCACTTGATCTGGTGCTTGAAATACGGTCCTACATAATTGGCGAAGCAACAAGTCAATTATACGAGTTAGCTGAAACCTTCAGGAGCCGTCCTCTATTGAACGGCAGTGCCCGAATCCCGTCTTTCAAGCTTCTTCGTCCTGTCCGCATATCTGCTGGCATGTAACGGCTTACACAGTTAGCCGAATTGTAGTAATTACCACCAGACTCCAGACTCACCTCTCTCGGTGTTGCTTTCCGGATCACAGCAGGTCTAGCAATTTCCGCCTTCCCTTCTACCGCAACATCACTCTCCAAGCCTTCCAGATCAATCTCCAACGCTCCATAATCTATCCCCGCCGCGCTCGCCAGCCGCTTGAACAACTCCTCATACTCAGCATGACTCCCCTTGGCCAACTCGACAAACCCTGCCGTATACTTTGACGGAGCTTGGGCATGCGCTTGCTTCGCCTCCGCCACAGCACGGTAACTCTGCCGGATCTCTTTTTGAATGAATGTTTTGATGGGCTGCTTTGACTTCTCCAGCAACTCTGCTTTGCGCGCTATTTCCCTGTCCTTGCGCTTCAGGTCTTGGTCCTTTTGCTGGAGTTCCCGGTCTTTGGAACGTAGTTCGCGCTCTCTGTCTGCGAGTTTCTGATGGCAAAATGAGCCTTTTGGTTTTTGGCCTCACTCATTCACTTGTTGGCATACCTTTTTCAATTCTAAGATTTCCTTCTAAAACATGTTAGCTCGTCTCGATTACATATAATATTCTCATACCTTCTCCGCCTCCCCTTTCTCCTCTATAAGCGCCTTGGCATCCTCGATAAGCGCCCTCGCCTGCTCTATCTTCTGCAGCGCGGCATCAGGCGACGACATAGCTGCGGATGAGGAAAGCGGAGGCAGTAATCTCAGAAACCTCTCCAAGATAAAAGTACCGGTAAAGGAAGACCGTCGCGCAAGGAGCATCGCCTCGGGCTCTGTGATAGATGGGAGTGGAGTTTATTCATGCGGCTGGAATTCACTGGCTTGGCGGATCGCGTTATTCGGGAGGTGCATGGTGTGATGGCGTCAGCCTCGCGCGGGGCTTGAAAGGGCTCCATTGATAATAAGGAGTTTGTGCGCTTCTGCAGTATTTAAGATCAAGAGGGAAGAAGGAGATTTCGAAGGGCGATCAGGCACAAAGAACGAATGGGCGCTAAGCTACAAATAGAAGTGACCAAGCATGTTATAGGCGTGGAAAGGACTGTAATGCTTCGATGTGCCTCAACACACGGATATCTTGTATTATTGGAGGTACCGTGCCATAACGCTACTTCCCTGTGTTCATGGATTTCAATGTCAATTCCTCAACGAAATCAGACCGGAGAAAAGCCTTATAACAAGATACGTATACAAGGCAGGATATGTTCCTTCAGGCCTCCTTAACTGCTCTCAAGCTCAACAAGAATATCCTCCTCAAGCGACTCAAGCAACCCCGGGCCGCTAGGTGAGTATCCGAACAGCTTCTTCGCCCTCTCAGGTCTCGTCCGCGAGTTGGCTGCAAACATATAACGAGCCAAATAAGGAAACCTTGGATGAGGCAGCATTCCATCAAGGGTCTTAAGATCGATCTGGATGGGTTTGGGATTCTCGATGACGCCGTGCTTTTTCAGGATGTCTCCAGCAGCTTTGACGATATCGATATGAGCCACTTCTTGAGAGCCGGTGAAATAATAGCCCTAGGGTTTCCATTAGACATATACGAGCTTCAAGGAAATAGAACGAAACATACTTCCTTCCCCCATGTTGCACCCTCACCTCCAGCAGCCGCCGCCTCAATCACCCTAAGGTACACCTGCATGAGGTCTTGAATATGCACCCAGCTGCTCGTGTTCGCCCCTTCATTATAGTAAAACACCCTCCCATACTTTTTCGCCTCATTCACAAGGCAGGGGACGAAGGCACTCTTCGTTTTTCCCGGTCCAAGTCCCTTTCCGTAAATGCCTGGCGGACACATGATTGCGATGTTTACCTTGTCCCCGTGTTCAGCAATCGCGTCAAATAGTATCTTCTCAGTGTTGCGGTGGAGTGCATAGTCAGGGAGGGACGAGATGGTGTCAACATCGTGCAGATCCGACCAGACTTTGGGATTGAGCCTGCCTAGCTGATCCTCGACGTAGTAATCGGATACAATGCCGGTTCCGGATAGGTGAATCAGGAAGCCGGGAGTAGAGCGGCGCAGCAGTCCAGCGATTAGAGCGTCCAGGGAAGCCTCATGGTTGGAACTTCCACAGCCTAAGGGGTGAAATCCTCGGTCAATGTCTATGCTCATGAATGGGAAAGGCACACTTACGCACTACAACATCAGCTTCGGAGGCAGCTTGCGCTAAGGTGTCAAAGCTATCAAAATCCCCACGCACGATCTTGACATTGGGATACCTGTCCGAGAATGACGTGGGGACGTTACGAAGGAGGACAGTGACGTCGTATTCAGGATGACTGGTGACGATAGTATGGAGTACGGAACCGCCAATGTAACCAGTTCCTCCGGTTCTACGGCGTGTCAGCGTGGAATTCAGGCGAGAGGAAGCAATCGAATGCATACAGAAAAAGCTTAGGTCCCATTGTGGCAATCTAGAAATAATGAATAGTGCAAAGCTCTATGCGTTGAGTAAGTCGATCAAAGGTTGAGTTACAAATGGACAAAAAAGAACTGAGAGATATAAAGTAGAACGAACAACGGTCGCCAGACGTATAACTATACGATATACGATGATGACTGCGTCTATTAATAGCAAAGTCGAGCTGGGTACTGATTGGAAGTTACATGTTAACGTTTCTGCAGGTGAAGTGGGAATAACAAAAGTAGCAAGAAGACGTTCAGCGCAAATGAGCAATGACACAAATCACTAGCGATATTCGACTCCGCTTCTCCACCGCGGTCAGAGAATATGTAATGTCCCACAGAGGAATGGCTACTGATTGGTCGTTGAGCCATGCATAGGAAGAACACGCTAGGCTGAGTTAATAGATGGACAACGAGGTCTGAGAGAAATACGGTAGAACAAACTATGGTCACCGAACATATAACTCCTAGCAAATAGACGACAACTGCGTCTATTAACTCAGCAGCGCTGAGCAGGGTATATTCCATAGTGGTTCTGCAAGTGAACTGGAAACAGCAGATTAGCAAGAGGACGATCAGCGCTGACGAACAATGAGACGGATCACTGGAGATATTCGAAACTCTGCTTCTTCTCTGTGGGCAGGGAATGAAGATGTCTCACAGAGGAGTGGCCAATTGGTCGAGGATGGCCGGGGAGGTTTTGGAGATTACGCTAGTCCAAGGATAGCTAGCCGATTCCGGCATTATTTGCGCCAACCTCCGACCATCGAAACTTTTTTCTGGTTCCGCAAAACCAGGCAGTTCATAACACATCGGTTCATTCCAGTATATACAAGCCATGGCCGCCCAGGAAATTGAGTCGAAGAAGCGGAAGAGAAAGCACAAGAGCAAGAAGGGAGACGACGACGCTGCAGCGGCGCAGCCAGCCAACGGTGCGACTGAGACGGAGAGTGTGAAACCCCGCAAGAAGGCAAAAAAGGAGCATACGCCCGAGCCCGACGTCGAGGATGTCGCTGATAGCACCCTTAATGAGCAGGAAGAAGATGAGGAAAGTGAGGAAGAACTGAATCAGGAGCTTAAAAAGATCGCCGCGGAGACCGATGTCGCGAAGGTGGACGCTGAGCCTGAGTCGGCGGATGGAGAGAATGGGGAAGCTCCCACCGATCTTCCCTCCGGAGCGAACGTCTCACTACCAACCGTTGACGATCCGAAGAAGTTCTCCGATTTGAACCTAAGCGACCGCACCAACCAAGCGATTAAAGAGATGGGCTTCGAGGACATGACAGAGATTCAGCGGAGAGCTATACCGCCCTTAATGGCAGGCAAGGACGTGCTTGGAGCTGCAAAGACTGGGTCGGGGAAGACTCTCGCTTTCTTAATTCCTGCGGTGGAGATGCTGTCGGCGATGCGCTTCAAGCCCCGCAACGGTACTGGTGTCATCGTCGTCTCACCCACGAGAGAGCTCGCTCTACAAATTTTTGGAGTTGCGCGGGAGCTCATGGAGAAGCACTCGCAAACGTTTGGTATTGTCATCGGAGGTGCGAACCGGAGAGCGGAGGCTGAGAAACTCGTCAAGGGTGTAAATCTGCTCATTGCGACTCCCGGACGGCTTCTGGATCATCTGCACAATACCCAGGGTTTTGTTTTCAAGAACCTGAAGAGTTTGATCATCGACGAGGCGGACCGGATATTGGAAGTTGGTTTCGAAGACGAAATGAGATCTATAATCAAAATCCTGCCCAAGGACCGTCAGACCATGCTTTTCTCGGCGACACAGACGACGAAGGTCGAGGATCTCGCCCGTATCTCGCTCAAACCGGGTCCGCTCTACATCAACGTGGACTACCGCAAAGAGCATGTGACGGTCGAGGGACTCGAACAGGGCTACGTCGTCTGCGACTCTGACGTTCGATTCAAACTCCTCTTCTCCTTTCTCCGGAAACACCAAAAGAAGAAGATCATCGTCTTCTTCAGCTCGTGCAACAGTGTCAACTTTTACTCTGAACTACTCAACTACATCGACCTTCCCGTGTTGGCGCTCCATGGCAAGCTCAAGCAGCAGGTCCGGACGAACAAGTTTTTCGAGTTTTGCAATGCCACATCGGGGACGCTTATCTGCACGGACGTAGCGGCAAGAGGGCTCGATATCCCTGAGGTGGACTGGGTTATTCAGTTTGATCCTCCTGATGACCCACGGGACTACATCCACCGTGTTGGCCGTACAGCGCGTGGTGCCAATGGCAAGGGCCGGTCACTGATGTTCTTGCTGCCATCAGAACTGGGCTTCTTGTCCCTTCTCAAGGAAGCGCGTGTGCCGCTGGTGGAGTTTGAATTGCCTGCGAACAAGATCCTCAATATTCAGAGCCAACTGGAGTCGCTGATCAGCAAAAATTACTATTTAAATAAGGTATGCACGAGTCTATGTACGTCTTTGCTATTGTTGTCTGACAGCCTGTTGCAGTCCGCCAAAGATGGATACCGTTCCTACCTCCAGGCGTACGCCTCGCACAGTCTGCGGTCCGTCTTCGACGTGCACAAGCTCGATCTAGTGAAGGTGGCAAAGAGCTTCGGATTTGCAACTCCGCCGCGGATCGATATTTCGCTGGGGGCGAGTTTGAGCAGAGACAAGAAGATCGAGGGCAGGAGAGCGTATGGGAGCCAACCGCGGCAAGGAAACCGGCCTCACAAGCCCAAGAGGGGATAAGCATGCATCCTAGAAATGCTAGGACTGGTGTTTGGAGTTTGCACGTGTAAAAGGGGGGAATCCTATGAGTTTTCGGATATGCAGCTAGCTCTCATGTAGTCCTATGCCGAACGTTTTCTGTCTGAGATGACACTAAATGCGGGTTTGAAGAGGCTATGCATCAAGATCTAGAGTGATGTCATGTGAATCTATCTAAAATTTCCATATCACAGTGTGTCGAGAGAAACAACATGGATAGCAATTCTAATGCTCTTCGCCCACCGAGCGAGCTTGGGAGGACTTTTAAGTATTTCGGGAATCCTCTAGCGGTGGCTCAAAACTACGCTAGTCTTTATACAGAAGTGCTGTGAACTACCACCAGCCACTCACAAGGCTTGGACCATCCCATCACAATCGGTCGCTCTCCACCAGCAGCGACAGCTCATCTGCTGAGAGAAACTTGCAAAAACTCTCACCAGATTTTTGCCAGAGCTGCCTAGCCGCCCAGTCGACCGCACCCGCCACCGCCACCGCTCTCAAACAGCTTGTTGGAATACGAAGAATTATTGGGAGGCTGTACTGTGATAGATGGGTGATGCGTTGGCAAGTGGGGAGAGTGGCTGGGCCAATGACGTCGCGGGGCCGCGGGTCCGCGGGTGCATCCGTGCTGCCTAACTAAGAAGCGAGCTCTTTTGGTTTCCGAGGCAGCGGGTGAAGATTCAAGGTCCGGTGGAAGATGGGACGGACTGGTCGATGATGTCTTTTCTAGGTAGCGTACTTCGTTGGCGGGGCAATGGTGAGGATGCTGGAGCAGGTTTGGTTTTGACGTCCCCTCGGGAGGCTGGAAAGGGGGACTGAAGAAGTGTGCGATGGGCGTGGGGTTGCATGGATGGCGGCCCCATGGCGTGTGAATTTGCATGCGAGAGGTTGCACAGAGGGCAGAGGGCGACTGCGAGACATGCTGCAGGCGCGTCTGGAAGTATATTCTGTAGGAATTGAGATCTCAAAAATTCTCATAGCCAGATTCTCGCTGCCAAATTCTATAAAATATCCTGGTGTTGTTGTTGTCGTCGGCGCTGCCAGCGCTGCCAAGAGGACGATCCAGCCCTTGTCGCTGCGCTAATCCCTTTAGAGCGACCCACCACCCAGCCAGGGTTCCAGGTCGACACTCTTCTCTCCACACCTCCGCCAGGCTGACCTCTCAACCACCAAAAGCTCCATCCCCAGCGACCCTCTTCTTCCCACGAGAGTGCCCGTCGAGCACTCTCGCTCGTCGCTGCGGAAGTTGCTCTCGAATTGGCGCAGTTCGGTACCGAGTACGTCCTCTGTATGCCTTCCTCCGGCCCCCAACCTGTCCGTCTGTGCCTAGCTGGGAACCCGCTAACCACCACCTTCACCTTCAGCAGCTGCACCGATCTCCGCCTCGACGAGCTCTCCCACCTCTGTGTTTCTTGAGCGAGTTACATCGTTGCTGCAATTGACGTCGTCTAGCATGCGCTAAACGGCTTTTTCGTCTCTGCACTCGTTCCAACCCATCCGCCGTGCTCCCGTTGGCTCCTCCGCTGCGCCATCTCCGCCGGGTGTTGCAGCAGTTCGAGACCTGCATCGCACAAACAAGAAACGGCCACGCAACCCTCTCGCCTCGCCTCATCCTCGTGCGCCTGCGTCCCTTTTTCCTATCTAATTCTCCGACGATAGCGGCTATCCCAATGCTCGCTTCCAACATCACTCTGTAATTATCGCCAACGACCACAATGGGTGTTGATTCCCGTCGACCGCCTCTCCCAGCCCCGACCGAAACCGAAACCGACGACACCACCTTGCGCGACGATCTCGCCACAAACCTCTCTACTCGTACTGATAAGACGTCATATTCCTTGCCTGAAGACGGCACACCGGTTACGATAAGCACAGTGAGGAGGGACGGAGCCCTCCATAAGAAACATCCTTCGCAGACATCCCTACTGATAGAATACTTCGAGGGCGCAAAGGGCGACGGCAAGTCTCGCTCACGGCCCAGTGTTCGCGTGCGCGTCACCCCTTCATCCCGCAAAAGCAAATCAAGCACCAGCGATCATTTGAAGATTTCGCAGACCAGCCGCAATTCCCAAAGGCCTTCGTATACCCGTCGCATCTCCCTGGGCAGAGGCCGTGACCCCGAGCCCCAGCCTGCGGAGGCTACGTACTCTGAAGAGTCCAATATCTCATCCGTCGCTCCACTCGAGATCGAGGTGTTGCCGAACGCCAGCGACGTTTCCAGCAACGGCGGTCGCTACGTCCCGGCTCCGTCGGACATCTCTTCCATGCCCCCTGACTCCATGCTTGGGGCCCCACCTGTGATTGTAGCACCTGCACGCCCTCGGAGTCGGAGCCTGGATCGGGAAGAGGTAGCAGAGCCCATGGCGAAGGATACCTTGAAAGCGCCTACCCGGCAGCGCAGCCGTAGTCTGAGCAAAGAGCGCATCACTCAGCGTGTCATGGAGAAGCTGCAGCAGAAGCCAGTTGACAGCAGTGCGACAACAAAAGGAACGAGGACTAGCAGGGAAGAGTTGACTCCTAGTCGGAAATCCCGGAGGAGAAGCAGCAAAAGCTCCCGCGAGGAGGAACTGAGCGCCGTGAGTGGGACGGAATCCAGCCTCTTGTCTTCCAATGCCGCAAAGCGCAGGTCGGGGGATACACATTCTGTCCGCTCCGGAGTGTCCGGAACTTCGTCAATCAATAACCCAAAACTCCTTGCGACGGTGGAGGATGCCATCAAGCGCTTGATCTTACCCGAGATCAACGCCTTGAAGGAGCAACAACGTACGCAAGCTAATCGGGAGAAGTTCGAACGTGACTCGCGAGGTAGTGCGTATACAGCCGACTCCAGTAGCACGCGAGACGCCCCTCGCAGACGCGTCTCCAAGTCTTCCAGCACGCCACAAATGCATGGAAGCAAACCCAAGGTTGTACTGAATCGTGACGGAGATGATCCTGGGACCATTCTGTCAGGAGCCTCCAGCCGCAGAGACCGTCGTTCCAGCCGAGGCTCCATCTCCGAGCGAAGCCGAACCGACTCTGTATCCCGGGAGGATGAGAAGATACGGAAGAAGAAGAGCAAAGATTCCGATAAACCCTCCGCTCGGGATGCAGCTCTGTTGAGTCTTGGTGCTGCCGGTTTGACCGCTGCCGCGCTGAAACACCACACCTCAAGAGAGGAAAAGAAGGAGAGGCGGCGCCATAGCAGAAGTAGCAGGAGCCGCACGGCAAGCATCTCAGAGAGTGTGGAAGAACATCATGAAGAGCAGCTTGAAGTTCCGCCTCTTCCGCTCCTGCAAAGCGAACTCCAAGGATCTGAATTAACGCGAGATTCCATTCTCTCAGCGGAGACCGAGACCCGCGAACGGCCTGATTCGAGTTCTTCGAGAGAGACAGGTACCGGTCTGGAGACCCCACTTCGCGAGGTGCCCCGTGGCTTTGGAACGCCTTCGCCCAGAACTCCAACCCGCACACCAGTTACACTTCAGCGTAGCCTTGGCAAAGCCCACAGTAACCGTTCCATGGGCGATGGGGTACTTCGCACACCGAAAAGTGAGAAGAGTCTGTCTGCCAGGTCGAAGGATGCGTCGGCGGCACTTGAAGCCGCAGCAGCAGCAAAAGCTCGGGCCATTGAAAGTCCTCAGCCCCAAGTATCTCAATATGAGGTTCTGGAGCAGTCGCCGTCTCGTGGTCTAAGTCCAATCCAGAGTGAAGCGAGCTATCGTGAGGAAATTCATGTTGCTGCGTCGCCTCACGCTCTTCGGTCTGCACGAAGAAGCGGTACCCCGTCATCCGGTCACAGGATTAAAGAGCAAGCGTCAAATCTCTCCATTCAATCTTTCGAATCAAGACCCAGCACCAGAGCGGCTCGTACGCGAAAGCGTCCACAAGGTGTCAATCTCGAGCAACCCCGTGAAGTGTTAGCAGAGTCACCAATCCCCACTCCTCGAGATGTGGACGAATTCTTCCGCCAGAATCATGAAAAGAATGAGATGTATCGGAGAGAGTTGGAGCAAAGCCAGTCGGGCTCGTCTCTTGTGGACCAGAAACACATGACTACCTATACAGAGGACAGCGCTGATGCGCAGTATGCTGACAGCCCTCGCGGCAAGGTGTCCCTCACCCAGGACATTCGCAAGGTCGGCTCCAATCCTGAATATGTCCACACGCCAGTTGCTGTCGAGTCTGCCGTAGCCTCCCTTCATGAACCCTCCAGCCTCAGTGTTCCATCCTCGGTATCGAGCCCTCTGAAGAAGAGCAGATTGTCACAGGTCAGTCCTGTCCAAGAGCAACATTATAGCTCCGAAGATGTGGAGCTGCACGGGAATACCCCGACACAGGAACATTGGGCAGCACCTCGCGATCGAGGGCAGAATCTGGCAGACCAATCGCAGGCAACGAACTCGCCTAGACAGAGTGTATCCCAATCCATCGATGAGCGCCCTCAGATGCATGCAAGTGCATTCCCTACGCAAGACCACATGATGCCAGAAATCGGATACGGCATCGATGATGAATCCGATGTGACCACCAACCCGTCCATCATCCAAGGGCCTCTTGGAGGAGGCGAGTCCCTGCTCGCCCGACAGCGAGATAGCCAAGGTACGCCGTCTCAGCATTCATATGGCAAGGCTGCTGCCCTTGGCGTCCCCGCAGGGCTGGCGGCTGCCACTGCTGCTCATATGCGTGACGACAAGAGCCCTTTGGTACCGGGCGAGCACTATCACGACGAGTATAGCCAACAGTATGCGGATGAACCTCTCTACCCGCCCGAGCCGAATTATGCCGGAGACGTCCAAACGCCATCGAGAAGCCCTGGTATGTGGAAAGACGAGGGTTACCAGTCCGCTCATCAGCCCGGGGGAATAACCCCTGAATTACACAACCGTCGACTTTTCGACGACGACGGTCTCGTTGGCTTCGATGAGGATGCCTTTGGTGCGCCCGGGATGATGGGCTCCAGCAAGCATGCTCGTCATGTCAGCGGAAACTCCCACGGCATGGGCTCGCCTCTCTATGATGCAGCTACTGGTAAAGGAATAGACCGAATCCAATCAAAGGATATCGTCGCTCTCATGGACCATCTGACGGTGCGTGATGCGCAACGCAATGCTCGGGATACAGAAATTCTCGTCACTCTGGTGCGCAGTGCCGCAGAGATGCGCAACTCTTTCGAGGAGATGAAGCAGTTCATTCGTACGCAGGACGCTATGATTATGAACCAGACAGACAAGCGGGTTGACCTCGCCGAGCAACGGATCTTGCAAGGACCTCGACCCCAGCCTCTTGGATCGCCTAGGGTTCCACGATCCTCCAGCGATGACATCAACGAAGTGGAGCAGAAGAGGAAGAATGTTTTCAAACGCGCGTTGAAAGGTCTGAGTATGAAGGGCGACAACGACATCAAGAAGATTGAAGCCATGTTGGTCCAGCTTCTGAACGAGGTTGAGGGTCTCAAAGATGCTCATGCGATGAGTATGGCGCAGCAGAATACGTCGCACACCCTGACCTCCTATGAGAATTTGAGGGCAAGCGGGGATCCTGGCTACGAGCCAGAAGGCCGTGCTGGGACCGCCTCATCGCCAAACCAGTCTGGATATCTTTCCAACCCATCTTCGCGACGCATCCAAGATATGCACTCTGGGTACGATGTCCACCAGCCGCATCGCGTCAGCACCGTCGAGGAGGACGACGAAGAATACGCAGAGGAGAATAGACAGTATGAAAATACGGAACGCATGACAACGCCTACACAGGAAGCTCGTCGGAACAACTCGATCGACCATAACACGCCTCCTCAACCAACCAAGCCGTTCCGTGAGTCTCAGAGCCTGGAGAATACTCCCAAGCGGAAGCATAAATCCAATTCATCATCTATCTTTGGTATTCCAAAAATCTCACGATGGTCGAAAACCACAGCATCAACAACCAATCGCGATTCGGAGAGTCTCCCTCGCAACAGCGAGTCTAATGACAGGAGGCCTTACTCCGCGGGGTCTAGGTCTGGGTCCCAGGTCAACATAGCATATTACGGCGACGAACAATACCAGGTTGCCGAGGATGATCGCCTGCGCTCCAACACCTCCCTTGTTAGAGACGAGCAGCGGATGATTCGGTCCCCCTCGCCTCTCATCCCTGAGGATCCCTATGAGCTTGACGACCCCAAATACCGTGCTCATCGTAACTCCTTGAACCTTCAACATCCTCAGCCGCGTCCAGGTCCGACTGGCCGCCACCAGAACCACCTCGAGTCTCAAGCCAAGATTTTCGAGCCTGTTCGATCCCCGGACTTTGATCAGTGGGGAAGTAACCCCTCCCTCGCGCGTAACCGTCTCTCCGGCGGAGCTGCCAGCCAAGGCGCAGGGAACCTCTCCCCCATCTCGTCGGACGGAGGCTACAGCCAGCATTCCGCCGCGGAGCAAGCCGGCGCTCCTCCTCGGCCCCCTAAGATCCGCGACGATGGGCCTCTAATACCCCAGCAGCCTCTCGCCGGCCACGGGCAGACGAGGCAGATGTACAGCGCGCACAACGACTATGGCTCCCCTGCGCAGGGTGCCTTGACGCCGCTGGCCCCCATCCAGGAAGTCCGCTACAGCCTGGAGACGGACACTGGACACCACGTAGGCGAATCGGCTCACTATTAGACAAACCAACGAGTGCTAACTGATGTAGTACTCACCGAGCCCATCGCCTCACCCTAATAATCAGAATCTGGCGCCTGCGGCGGCTATGACGAGTCCGCAACGGAAGATCACGGGGCCTAGGCCCATGGGGAGTCGAAGTCCAGGTAACCCGCCAGGGATGGAGCATTCGAATACGGTTATTCGGAGAAAACCTGTTGGAGGTATGCAGAACCTCCCGGAAATTTGGAGCACTGGGTTGGGCGATGGCTAACGAAGTAATAGGTGATCGTGCCGATACGGAGAGTCTGCTCAGTTATAGGAGTAGTCTTGATTCGGAGACATTTTGAAGGGGATCATGGAGATGGCGGAGGGTTTAATGAGAGAGAAGGGGTAGGAGAGATTTGTCCAAAAATACTTTGGCCGCTCAGTGGAATTGCGCGGAAATTATCGTGGATCGTTTTCGGCGGTTATGGTGTTCCTGTTTCGCGTCGGATAATGAGAGTGATGTGGTCCGGCGAAGTGTGGTGGTGGTGATGTGGGAAAGCACATAGTGGGTGTAGGGGTATAGTGGCATAGTGGATTAGCGACATAGCGAGATTTTGCGAGGGATGTATCTACGCATCATGATGATGATGATTATGATGGAGTTTATATGATTGGTTTCTTCTTTTCCAACGTCCGGGTTCTCGGTTCATGGGTGCTTGAGTGATTGGGTCATGGGTGGGTGTGGGTCAGAGGGATCCGTGGATGTTTGGGAGATTGTCGTGAGGTGAGGTGAGGAAGGTGCGGGATGGGTTAGGATGGGATAGGAAGGTGCGTGGTGTGGTAGGGCTTTCCAAGGCTGGAAGGGAGAGGGTATTTTTTTTCGACGTTTGGGGGTGGTTTCTACCTTCTACCACCTTCATCACACTTCCGCTTCTGCCGCTTCTGGAATTCATTGCCGCGTCTGCTATTTCTAGTAACGTGGCGCGATATCTGCTAAAGAACGAGGTGAAACGGCTCCTTCTGGAGTTGTTCTGTGTTTGTCTCTATTATCTCGCCTCAGATGGCCAATGGGCCCAAGCCAGTGGCTACATGGCTGAGAAACGTCCCAAACCAGCTTCAGCTCCGTCGTTCCGTACCGCCCGAAACCTACCCTTGGGACCTTGCGACAGCAAAATGTTTTACCGGGAAGACTTGGAGCAACAAGGCTCACGTTCAGCTCTGCATCTCAGGTCTCAATCAGGCAGGTCGTGTCAACTATCTTACAGCCGCGAGGTATTGAGATCTCGTACAGGTCCGCTGTGCGTTTCAAAGCCAATCCACGGTCTAATTAAAGCATCGGCTGAAGCGTCTGTTTTCTGCTCCAAACATGGTACGCGGCAAACATGTTTCTCGAACCCTGTTCTCCTCCGTGAGAAATGCACTCCTGTTTCGTTGCTGGGTGGGATGCGTCGTTTATTGGCTAAGTCCGGTGACTGTGCCGCACTCCTGCAGAACACCGCGAATGAACCGCTGGGGGCCGGCTATGCATGTTTGCTGCCTTGCGGTGTATATCAGCTGGGGGTTTTTCGATTTGGAAAGCAAAAACACGTACAACTACCATCGCCGACGGCTCTCCTAACTGCCCCCAGAAACTATGGCGAAAACCATGGTGGCAAAGGCAAGTATTCCTGCAATCAACGCCCATCTGACTGTGCTAAACTACCGTTATAGCGTTCGAAGCCAGAAGATCGCTCGTCGTCTCGACGTTCCACAAAGTCGAATCGAACGCCTACCGCTTCGACGAGCTCCACTTCTAATGTTTTCGCTTTCACGCCATCGTCCGCAACTTTCAGCTTTGCAGAGCAGCGCGCATCCCACCCTTTTTTCAATTCCGGGGCTCAGACCGCGTCAGACGGGACGACTCCTGTCACATCGGGAACACCTCGCTTCACACCGTCGTCGACGCGTGCATCCAGCTCACCTTTCATTTTCGGGGCCCAGCCCGCGTCCAATGGAACGCCTCCTGTCACGTCGGGAACACCAAGCTCTACGCCGTCGCCAACGCCATTCATGTTCGGTGAAGAACGTAGATCTACACCAATATTTGAGGGCCTGTTCAGATCTGATCGGCTGTCGCCAGCTCCGAGTGGCACTGCATCAGGAACACCTCGCTTCACACCGTCGTCAACACCGTCTTACACGTTTAGTAACGATCATGATCCCGATAGGCCATTACCCTCAGTAGAGAAAATGCTCTCATCGACAAGCGATCGCCATAGCACTCCGAGCACAATCTTGAATACACCATTGGCTTCACCGGACGCGGATTCGATTTGGCCAGCCTCGGATCAGGACTCTGTTCTACAACAGATTGGTGGCCTTCATCACTTGAGGCTCACGTCGGTACCAATAACGGATACCTCATCCTCGCAGCGAGGTACGCCTACGCCCTCAATCCATGTCACCACGACGCCGCCTACGAATGGATCGAGCCGGGCTCCAGTCGACAGAACAGATAGCCTCGTCCGTGGCGTCACTGCTCTCCACATAGCATCTGATCAAGCAGACCCTCCAGGCGCCTCGGGACCGCGCGACAGCCGCCTCCCATCCCCATCATGCCGTAGCCGCTCCGGATCAGAGGTCAATTGCGATCGCCATCAGGTTGAGAATGAAGACCCGCCACAGGGCTTGCTTCACATGCCAGAACCCCAAGAGACCCTTGCCACTGCAACAAAATTGATGACAAGCATGGCCGATCTCCTTTCCCGTTCGAATCTGGATGGAGAAAACGGATCAAGCATCGGACAGCTGTATCAAGCGGCCATAAACCTAAGTAAATCCCAGCTACCATCGGCACGGATTGTGGGGCTTGTTGGCGATTCAGGTGTAGGCAAGAGCAGTTTAATCAATTCCTTGCTTGACAGGGAGAAGTTGGCCAGCACGGTAAGCGATTGGTATGCCATCATCAGCACCTCCTAGCTAACCTCAAGATGAGTAGAGCAGCAGCGGCAGTGCATGTACATGTGTCGTTACGGAATATCACTTCCACGATAAAGACGGTTTCAAAATTCAGGTCGACTACTTCCCATTGGCTGAGCTGAAGAAGCAATTCGAGGAACTACTGAGAGCTTACCGGGATTGCCCATCACTCCAGAATGAGTCAACCCGTACAGACGAGGACCATCGAGACGAAAATGATGGAAAACTTTTGCAACAAAAAGCGGATCTTGCCAGAGCAATATTCCAAGCGAGCTTCAAGGAGAAGGAGATGCTGGAACAAATGCCGATCGTTCTTTCTGGTATGCGCTTTGAGGATGCTGTAGCGACGATGGCCAAGTGGGCAGAACAGCTGGTTGATCGACAGAACTGTGAGGAATCGTTCAGCAACGTTGAAGACTGCGCTTCGCGGCTAAAACAACTAACATCTGAATCGGCTGCCTCCTCGCCTAATGAAGCGTCTCGAACTTGCTGGCCCTTCATCCGGAAGCTGCGAGTGTACCTGAAGGCTGCTATTCTGAGCAAAGGACTCATCATCGCCGATCTTCCTGGACTCCGGGATCTCAACTCTGCTCGCAGGGCTATAACCGAGAGATATGTCCGACAATGCGACCAGATCTTCGTTGTCGCTGAGTTTAAGCGAGCCATCACAGATCAAAGCATTGGAGAGATTGTCAAACTCGTCGGCCGTGCTGGAGTCTCCAAGGTCGATATCATTTGCACGGCGTCTGAACTAGAAAAGGCCCAACTCACGAACGCAGCCGACGAGTTTACGGCTGAAAAAGGGACGATCCAGGATATGAAAACGGAAATAGAAGCTCACAAGGAGGAGATTACCTCTCTCTCAGAAGAAATTGATAAATATGAGCAAGACCTTGGAAACCTTGACCAGGAGCAACAGAAACACTATTCACAACTACGTCGGGAGCGTTCCAGGGTCAAGGAATCCAAAGAAGACAAGAAGTTTAAGTTACGTCGCTATATCATGCAATTGCGAAACGACAAAGTGTCCGTCGGCTTACAAAAGCAATATCGGAACCATTCGACTGCCAAACCACTGAAGGTATTCTGCGTTAGCAACACAATGTACTGGGAGAACCGTGAGAAACCTGCTAAGGCCGCCTTACCGTACCTCGAGTTGAGTGGTATCTTGGGGCTACGACGCTATTGCATTGAAATCGTTGCGAAGAGCCGTCTTCATGCAGCCAGAGAATTCATCACGGACGCTATACCTGCATTCCTTGGTTCTGTTGAGCTTTGGGTGAAGGCTGGATGCGGCAATGCAAGTGTGGACGGGAAACAACGGATCCTGGACGCTGTGCGTGTCATTCAGCGAAAACTAGATGCGGTAAGCAGTTTGCAGTCTCATTCAACGCATTTCCAATCAATCTGGGGACTACGGATGTGAGTCATCATAGTAGCCTGACTCAAAGTGATCGGCCGCATCTATCCTGTCCACCGGTTTTGGCCAGGTGTGAAGGGCGAGCACCATCCTCATCATATAGCACTACTAATTCAGGGTTCTAGTTGACGTCTCCACTCTCTAAACTCAGAAGCCTGGGGCTCACATTAGCCGATCTGTTCGACGAACAAATCTACCGTCGCATGCGTACGTCCAACCTTGACAGAACCGACTTCGATACTTACTCTCCCCAGGAGAATCTGAACAAGAATGGGCCGACGCTGCCGAAGACGCAAGCGCAGAGTGGAATGGTGTATGTTCATCCACTTCAGGCCGAAGACGTATTCGCTGACTATTTTGCAGTGGCATTGGGCAGCGTACAGCGCCTTCTGCGGCCACCGTGGAAACTATTATACGGCATCCGTGGGGAGGCACAGCTGGAACGGAGAAGCAATGAAATCCATGAAGGATGATATGTCCACTGATTGGGATAATTTCAAGTCGAACGTAGAAGCACAGGTCAAAGCGATCGAAAAGGCAGTCGCTGAAGCTTTTGACAACTCCTTTAAGATTGCACGCGATGCAGCAGACTCATTGTCTGCGATGGAAACCTTCGCTGATACACTGCGGCATCGAAAATTCCTTATACGCCACGGCATCAAGCGAGCATATGAGAAGGAGTTCCAAGAGGAGCTTTCCTCTTTGGACACCGATGCCTTCTCGCCTTGCGAAACGGCATTTATAGGCCAGCTCATGGAAGATACCTATCACAAAGCAGCCCTGGAATCCGGTAAGCCCGCTCCCTTCGCCCAGTATTATCATTTGCTTCTAACACCTTTGGCTAGGTAAGGGAAGCCACCAACGCCGCAAGAGCCTGATTACAGGCAGATTCGGCGATATGTCCCTCTTCGTACAACACCGGCTTCTCTGCGAGGAAACGTTTACGCGCATCGCGCAGGATTTCCAGGACAAGTTGATTCAGATTGTAGACGAGCAGGTTGGGTCTGTTAAGGCGGATTTGAAGATGCTAAGCGATGAGAATGCGATCGCGGAGAGTGAGAAGGATCCAGAGTTTAGGGAGAGGGTAGAGGCGGCGTTGGAGCGTGTCAGGAAGAAGGTGGGAGGCCTCGCACGGAAGTTTGAAAATGTTCCATGAGTAGTTTCAGTAGGGAGTCTTGGAGTAACTTGAGAAAGAGGTAGGGATAGGGTACGGTGTAGTACTATGGATCTTTTACGAACAGCGGAGTAGCGACTTTTGTCGTGTTTCTAGATTAAGGTCTTTTGCTGCAGGCGTGAAGGTAACAAAACGAAGTAATCTTTAAGAAAGGGAGGTTCTGCAGAGGTGAAAGTCGCTATATGATAATATAGCCCTGCTATAAGGTTAGTCGGCATCAAGCTAAGGAATCCGTTGTGTCTCGTAGCACGGTGTTTCCCGCAGGACATTAAGGATGGACATCAATGTTACGAGGATTATACTCTGATAACATCATGGGCAGAGAGCTAGCATGTCTATGCAGTGGAATTATTGCCGTACCGGGAGAACATTATTGTACCATCGTAGCTGCGTTTCTATAATATTTAAAACGGCACTAGAAACTCCAGATAGACCTGTACATGCTTAACGGTAATAATATATTGGTATCCGACATGCGAGAGTGAAAATTACTCTGTAGACATCACCATTAGCTGAGTGCAGTTGACGCACAACGCCCAGGGGATCGCCGTAATTAGGTACGAAAAGGTGACGTATCGGTGACTCCAATAGTGTACCACAATACCAAATTCGCAACCAGAGGAACAAAGCCACCAAGCCAGTGCAATTGGGCGGTGGATAGCGGACTTTGCGCCGGTGCGCGTCATAGTTGGCTTAAGGTTCCGTCATATCTACGTACATTGGAGTTCGCCAATGGAAGTCGCGCCTCCCTTATAACAAACCACCGCAACTAACTTCCTCGTGAACAAGTCTCTACATCTCTCACAAATATAAGGGGCACTAAGAAACCCTCAATTAACGCTAGCGCTCCTCCTACTCCTCAATTGAATCCACCGAGTATCATCCACAATGTCTCACCAGCGCGACATCAAGCGCGACGCCGCCCTCGAAGGCATCAACGATACCCCCGAGGACATCACCAACCGCGCCAAAGGCTACAAGGCGAACCTGAGCAATCCGAGTAGGCATATTCATATTCCCCCCTGCGGCCTCTTTCAGGTCAGACAGCTAACGCCGCGTTCCGCAGATACCAGCGAGGAATCGAAACAGCACTCGCGCCAGGCCCTCGAGTCACTCGGAGGCGAGGAGGCTTTCTACGGGAAGAAGGAGGTCGAGAAGGATCCTACTAGGGTTGCAGCGGGGCTGAAATCGTGAGTGCGGTTTTCCAGGATCTTGTCATCGAGCGTTTGCAGCTGACGGTTGGATTTGCGTATACAGAACGATTAATCAGTCCAAGCCGGAAGTGAGCGATGAGGCGCGTCAATCGGCGCAGGAGCGGTTGGATAAGATGTAGATGTGCATCTGAGTGGCGGACATTCGTTTCGAGGGCGTTGGGTGGAATGAATGGCTTCGATACCTTTTAGGTTAAGGTGCCCTCGCTTTGGGCCATATGCATAATGCCTATCTTTCATGTTCATCCGCTCTCAGAGTTGGCAATGTGATGTTTAGCATCTTGTTTTACATTGTGAAATGCAGAACTCTCCATAATGGGGGGTGTTATCTAAGTCTTGTAGTCGATCGTGCCTTGATATATTAGTAGCTTGTAATACCAGTGTCCTACTTTTACACTTCTATTAACCCTTGCGAGTCTCAGCCCTACCGATTCCCGACATAGTGCAATACGGCTGGCCACCCCTATCAACACAAATGATCGTTTCCGAACTCGCAATTTTTGTGAACTCCGTGGCCGGCACCCTGCCTCTCGGCTCCCGTTCTCGACAATTTGACCGTATATGGAACCATGAACTTGACACTACGGAAGATCAAGGCGTTAGCTAAGCACGAATGAACCCATGCACCCTTTACACATGTGTTTATGCGCAAATAAGATGGAGGAGTAGCCAACTCACCAGTCAATATCCGGCGTCCAGCTTATCAAACTCCACCCTCATACCTCCGACATAAACATACCACCTGGACCTACCGTCTATCCTATGCAGGAGATGATGCCGAGGTTTGGGGTAGGACTGCTAACGAGTCCTGGGTTGTGTTCCAGACTGTGTGCAGTTCACTAGATGTCAGGACTTGTATATGTAATAACGAATTCATTCTCTCTCTGTAGGAATATGATACATACTCCTACACTAGACACTCGGCGACGAGGGCGTCAAGCCGATCGCCGCGAGTTCCTTTGCATTGGCGCAATGCGGCGAAAAGGAGGGAGCGGTACGAGTTGATGGCTTTGGGAGGGGTGCGGATGTTTGGGTCTATAAAAAAGAGCTCGGGAGTAATATTGTTCTATATAGTTATGTTATTAATGCAATTATCACAATGGAATGACTGCATCGGTGGTTTAGTGGTAAAATTAGCCGTTGCCATTCGACGTCGGCTAGCCCCGGGTTCGATTCCCGGCCGATGCAATATTTTTATTTTTATTCTTTTTTGTCCCTCTTTCTTTTCCCTTTCTTTTCCCTTCTTTTTCCCTTCTTTTTCCCTTCTTTTTCCCTTCTTTTTCCCTTCTTTTTCCCTTCTTTTTCCCTTCTTTTTCCCTTCTTTTTTTTTCTTTTTTTTTTCCTTTAGGCCTGCGGATCCCGCCGAAACGGCAAGTACAGGTAGACAACGGCTGCATGTCGCAGTATGCGTCGTATCCCAATACTACCGTAGAGACGTTACTGTTTAATATTATTCTTCTGCACCACGGCCGAATCCGAGTCACGGGAAACCGTCTGGATTGCCGTCACAGCTTTTGGTTTCATATCCACGGCCTGACCGGCTGCTGGTAGGCGTAGGGGATACCCAGGGTATCAACCTTCCGCGACTGGAAACGCTACATTGCAAATGCGTGGACAGCCTCTCTCTATGTTACTATTTACTTCGTAGTTCTGTTAAGGAGTCTTCCCGTTGTGGCAAAATTTAGCACACAAATGTACCTCGACCTTTGCGCCTGCATTAGTGTTCTATCAATTCTCGAGCGGCTGTATATCTCGACCGTATTATTGCCGTGCGTAAACCGCCCTAGGAGGGATGCAAACCAGCTGGACATGTAGTTATTTCGACTTTTACAGCAGTGTTACATAGCAGTTGCAAAACAGTCCTTATCTTCCTAGGGTTGCAAGGTCCGCCTCTGCTGTAGGTCCTGCAAGTCTTCCATAAGCCCCTAATTATGTCCTTCTACTCTCTCTGTCTAGTATTAGTGTTACATATCCAAGGGTTTGTCCGTAGACATGCAGATGTCTACATAAGAGGCAGGCATGGTATTAGACGCAAGGAGAAAATATGTGCTCTTATCTCTTATCCCTGTTGAAACAAGAGAGGGAGAAACGAAGTAGAGTTCTATTCCTGTGTACGGACTATCTACTACTTGTCACACCTCCGGCTGTAGGCCCGGGATGGGCACCCGTAATAAACAACACCTGGGAATCAAACAGAGACGGGACACCCTGCCTACCTCTAAAATACGGCAAACAAATGGGGATCTAGGGTGAAGCGTGCGACACCGAGAACGGCGGCTCCAACAACAATCGTGGCGCCTGTCCACATGGATAACGCAGGGTACCCCGAATGCTTTAAAATCTGGCCGCCGATGGGCACTCCAATGAGGGCACTGGCGCAAGCAGCGATCAGTTTACTAGAGGTGGGAGGGTGTGGGAATAGTGGAAAGACATACGTGATGGACAAACAACCCATGAGGAAGCCTACGGCGGCTCCCTGGCTGCGAAGTGGGGCGATTTTACCTGCGCAGGCATTCTGAAGACTCATGACGGCCTAGATGGATGCCCACTAGGTCAACATGGAGTTATTTGGAGGGAGTGGGGGGAGAAAGCATACCCCTGAGGTGAAGCCGTAGGCCAAGCTCCAGACAATCATCCCACCAAGGCTCGTTGCCCGAGTCCAAGTAAATCCGACAATTCCCGATAGCAGGGTGAAGATGATCAACAGGTTGTAGTGACCGTACGTGTCAGCGAAGTGACCAGGGCCCACTCTGCCGAAGAAGGACGAGGCGTTGACGGCCGACAGAAGATAGAAAGCCGTGGAAAGGGATTGGCCCTTGTCAATGGCGTAGGCGGATACGTAGAAGAGGGGGGTAAACAGGCCAAAGTAGATGACGGCCAAGCCGAGACATAGCAAGATGTAAGTGGGCTTCCACAGAAACGACAAGTCCGCCTTCTTGCTTTCGCCATCTGCAGCAGCATCCTCCATCTTCTTCTGCTCCGCCTCCTCAATGGGCTGCTGCTGAGTGACATGGCTTGTAACATGGGCGGTTCCAGATGGAGCTCGGGACGGCTGCTCGAGTGGCTCAACAACGGTTAGGCAGGCAAAAGCCAGTAGCGGACTCATCTTGAAGGCCACGGCCCTCATGGTCCAACCGAAGCTGATGCCATGGTGAACGAGAAGCTGCTGCATCATAATGGGCCAGATGACACCGCCAATGGAGGAACCACCAATGGTCAAGCCGAGAGCCAGTCCACGACGATGCGGCATGTGTCGTGAGACGACTCCCAGCGGCGGACAGCAGACAAGGGACATGCTAAGGCCTAGTAGGAGAGCCTGGGCAAGCATGAGTTGCCAGTACTGGGTGCATAAGGAGGTCATGAACAGGGCCAGCTCCAGGCCAAGACTGCCGACACAGAGCGGGATGTTGGGGCCAATCTTGTCGACGAGAATGCCGCAGAAGGGCGAGCCCATGTACAGCAGGAAGATGGACAGGGAGCCGATCCATGAGATGTCCGAGGCAGAACGGTCAGGGAGGTGGGTGGTGTAATACTCTTGAAAGACGCCGAAGGCATTGAGAAAGCCAACGGTGCAGTAAAGGGCAACTGCGGCCCCTAACACGGCCAACCAGGATCGCAAACTGTTGGTGGGTTAGCGAAGTCAAATAGCGGAAGAGTGGGAGTGGTGGTGTTTAGAATCTTGGAAGTGTGTCGTTGGAATACGCTTACCCGATGCGGTTAGGCTGACTCTCGACAATAGTGGCAGAGGCCATCGCGTACTCGATCAGAGGTGGGGGCAACTGAATTGGTAAAGGAAAGCAGTCGACCGTCTGGAGCTGTTCCCGCAGTGCCAGTTGTCGAGCTGGAGACGTGTTCGCATACTCGCAACCACTGCAAGAGAGATATATATATTATCTAGAAAAGGTGAGGTGCATGTCACGTGGGGCGTCGGATTATCCGCCGGGCGCTCGGATTATCCGCGATTACATACACATGTACCCTTCCCTACAATGGAGAGCTTCTCGCCAGATCCAAGAGGATGAAACGCAAGGTAACGAGCTCGAGCTCGCCCGGCCAAAGTCAATCGCGCCCTCCAGCTTCCCGCCGCCAACCCCAGGTTTCGTGCGACTCTTGCCGGCAGAAGAAGCTGAAGTGTGATCGCAGAGACCCGTGCTCCAGTTGTCGGGCTCGCGGGCTGGACTGCACCGGTCAATTGCAGCCACTTCCTACTCACCAGAGCAATGTTCATGTTGCTCTCGATGCTACCTCCACCAGGACAGATGAATCCATTCTAGGGAGGCTCGCCGCGCTGGAGCAGGCGGTTTTCGGCTCGAGCAAGGTCTCTACTACCTCCATAAACCACTCATCGCCGTCTTTCCTGCATCACGAGCGCCATCGGGCAGCCAAATTCCTCGACTCGGCCTACAACTCTCAGCAGACCATTGCCACGGACAGTGTTGGGCCTTACCTGGATGCGTCTCACATTATTCCCGATACCACTAGTGGGAGCAATCCACAATGGCTCGTTTCCCAGACGGACGCTCTCTCCTTGCTGCACGACTTTTTCGACAACGCGTACCACCTTCTCCCCATTGTCCACATGGCCGTGGCCGAAAAGCTCATCGGCAACTTCTACTCGCAGCTCGCAAGCGGAGGCGATACTGAAGTCAACCTGGCTCACGCTGCTCTTATCCTCAGCATATCCGCTACGAGCGCTTACTTCTGGAATTCCAACGACGCCACAACCTGCCAACATGGCTTCGAGTCGGCCGCGCAGGCCTCTCTCACATGGCGACAATCGGCATTGGACGCGCTCGACAAGTGCCAACGCGCCGGCTCCAGCAGCCTTGAGGAAGCCCAGGCGCGTGCCATCGTCGCCGCCTTGGTCTACAATGCCGAGGGCCAGTCAACGCGATTCCGACTGCTGCACAGTGGCTCCGTGGCCGCATGCCGCGAGATGGGCGTGCATCTGGTCGACAGCCCCGGATTCGTCGACTCGACCACGGACGACCATGCCACCAGGGAGATCAAGCGCCGACTGTGGTGGCATGTGACGGCCACGGACTGGATGCTCGCCCTGAATGGCGGTCCCTTGGATGGCACATACACAATCCACCCACGCCATATGAACGTTGCGAAGCCGCGCAACCTCAACGACGAAGATTTGGCCAAACTGGCCGTCGAGGTGGATGGTTGGGCCCACCCACAGACCGTGCCGACGCAGATGAGCTGCTTCCTTCATCGCATCCGGCTCGCCGAAGTCTGCCGCGCCGTCGTCGATGCGCGCACGCCAGGCCTGCCGGATGTAGAAGACGCAAACTACGACCAGGTGCTGGCACTGGACCTCCTGTTCGAGCGTGCCCTCGCCGAGTTCCCGCCGTTCATGTCCCTCGACGCACCGATGCCGCCAGGGGCCCCACGTTTCTTGCCTCTACAGCGCGCCCTCGTCCACCTGGGCTTCCACTCCCGGCGCGCACGTCTCCACCGGCCATTTCTTCTCTGCAAGGACGACGACGAGGGGTACCGGTACCGTAAATCGCGTGAAATCTGTCTACGATCTGCGCGAATCGTGCTCGACATCTCGACGGGGTGGTTGGAGCAATCACTTGCGGAGCGGCATCACCCACAGCAACACAGCAGCAGCACCCACGGCCCGCCCATACACCGCCTAGGCACCGTCGTCAACCACATGTTCATGGCTTGCGCCGTCTTGGCGCTGGCTGCCAAAGGCTCGTCTGACCCTGAGCGGATGCCCAAGTGCACCCACGCGGGCATGGACGAGATCCACAAGGAACTGAAACGCGCCCGCCATTTGCTCGCCGCGGCTGGCAAGGAGTCAATCGTGGCTCGGGGCCTTGGTCATGGGCTGACGGCTGTGCTCAAGCGATATCGCGTCAAGGGACTGGAGGACCAAGCGGCTGAAGGTTCCCATGGCCGTCTCCCTGAGCGAAACGCTGGCGAGGTCATGGAGCGTGGCAGTAACGTGTCCGACGCATACGGCGTCTACACTGCCGCGGCGGCGTCTCCGGCGGCTCCGGCGCACACCGAAACGGATCCGAATCAGTCTGTCTTCGGGGATGATTGGGGGAACGGTGGCTTTGAGCTGAGTGGACTTTGGGAGGACTTTCTCAACACCATGCCAACAACGGAAGACTGGGACCAGTTGTTCGCGGGACTGGATCAGGTTGGGTAATCACCGAAGGGCTGAGGAGCCCCAACGAGCTTCAAGCAATCTGCAGTAACCTGCCTCCCTGGGCGTTGAGAAACTCTCCGCAGAAATAGGAAGAGTACCTCAATTTTGAGCTAGAAGGGTATAGGGGCTGTCACGGCGTCACGGATGACTGGAGCAAGACAACCGAATTGGATGAAAGTGGGTTACTCTTGCGGAACGGGGGTTGGCCGTCTGAACATGCCCATCCGAATCCATTGCGCCATCCGCTTCTCTCTTCCCGGAAGTGCATGCATGCAAGAGAAGTAAAACAGAGATTCTGCGTGCTCCTCCCTCCACCAGCAAACGGGTGCAAAGAGATGAGGAGTTTCAGTGCCCCGTCCGCAATCCACACATCTCGGTCCCAAGGGCAAACATCCATGGCAGTGCGTAGCTGTTTCGCCGAATAACGCCTATGCCCGGCGGCTACCTTGGACGTCTACCCCATCGTCGATAACATCTCCGAGACCTTGATCCCTTCATCGTTTCGGACGTTGACCATGTGCAATGCCTTTCGGGGACAGAGTTTCGTCCGGCTGCGGAATCCAGATGCTGACTGACGTTGAGCGAGATGATCGGTGGCTGGGTCGGGAATTTGCGAATTGAGGTAGCTCATGGGATATCGGCAGCTTTCACCATCTCGAAGTCGCCAGGGAAGAAGCGCCGTAAAATGGGGGTTGAAGTTGAACTGGGTGGCATGGACCCATTTCGGCGTCTGCGAGTTCGACAAGCGCGTCTCAATGTCGTTGCAGAGTAGTTGTTCGTGGTAGAAGAACTCCACTGCGGGAATCTGGCCCCCGTGGCGCGTTCAACGCCCGTGTGATTCGACCTGGGTAGCAGACCGTTTCGATCATGTTGGGCATATTGGGATCGTGGGATTGGCCCATCCCGCGGTAGACCCCGTCTCTCGTCTACCCCGGGTTGAGTACGAGTTCGTCGTCCAGGAATCCGAGCTCCGCTTCGTGTGGCTTTGAGCAAGCGCAAATCTCCCTCAAAAAGACATCCTCACCGAATTTCACCGGCGTGCAAGGATATGCGAGGGTGAAGTAGACAGCCATGTCTCTCCAGGTTTTGCATACATCCATTGCGACCAGGTGCGGTGCGTGGCTCTACGGCTATGGCGAAGTATTGCTTCCAGTAATTGTGCAATCCCAGTAACGCGTGTGCCTGTTGTGCCTGTATAGCCAGCCACGAGGTTTCTAGACGATGCTCTAGGTCGGACTTTCGCAGAATTCACCCGAAGCAATACGGCGGGTCCATCATAGCCAGCGCATCGACTTTGCAAGCCCGCTGCTCCTTCGATTCTTCCTCCGAGACCGTTGATAGCTAATTAAAGCGACTACTTGATTGCCGTCTTCAGGAACCAGGTTACAGATGCACGGGGCGTGATAGATGATTCCAAGCTCGCCCGTTCAGACAAAACTCGCAACCCACACATCCATAGCCCCAACCCCTTTCCTCCCGCCCTCAATCGCCTGCAAACTCGCCTCACACGCGTCCCTCAACGCAAGAATCACGCCTCGTTCCCTCTCGTCACTTACAACCTCCACGACCTCCCTCCCAAAAGAGTCGGAAAGACAAGCAGACACTTCCCACTGTCCGTCCAGCAACCCCTCCCCAGGCTGCACGCGTGTCTCACTCTTCAACTGCCATCCAGCAGCGAGTGCCAGCTCGGTAAGTCGCTTTGGACTCAGCACTGTGCGCACGTTGGACTCGCTTTTAGATTTATGACACTCGAGTGCTGCTTGGGTGAGCGCCGCTAGGACGTGAGGTTGGGCAGACGGGTGCGTGGCGGATAATGACCACTCGGCGACGAGGAGCCGTTTGCTGTGCTGCTTGAGGGCGCGGAAGGTGTCAAGGATGAGTGATGGGGAGGAAAAGTACCATAGGCAGTGGGCCAGCACTACCGCGTCGAAGGCCTTGGATTCGCTGCTGGCTGGGAGCGAGGAGAGGTAATCTTGGGGCGATTGTTGGACAAAAGTAATCCTGCTACCCAACGGGCCTTGCGAGATGTGATTCTGTGCTTGGCCGAGAGTGTATGGGGCACCTGCAAGCAATAGCATCAGTGTCAGGCTTCCAATGTTTGCTATCCACGGGCACCACAAGGACAGGCAGCAGGGTAAAACAGAAATGCGAGAGCACATACCATAATCCAATTCCGCCGGATCGACTGCTACCACACTTCCCTGCTCGCCCACGGCGGAGGCAAGCACAGTCGTACAGTCTCCCTGCCCGCATCCTAGGTCCAGCACCTTTGAGCCATTGGGGATGTTCCAGTGCTGCACGAGCGCCAGGTGGTGAAGGGTTTGTGAGTGCTGGATGCTGAAGCGGGTGGGGTCGTGTAAGGAGAGACAGGCGATAGAGGCGGCGTCGCCGAGGGGAGTGGACATGGTGTGCTCGATGGGTGTGCGTCAGCTAGATGATAGTTGAGGAGGGTATGAAGGCAAGTATTGAATAGGTTAATTGACGGTTTGGCCGCTTGGTTACCCCATGCTGACAATGATCTACATCCTCTTTTGTGATAGCGTCGACTCGCAGCTTCGAAACCCTGCCAATGGGGCTACAATACGGAATGGGTTCTACGGGATGAATCCTACGGGCGGGGTGAATCCTACTTGAACAGTAACACCGATAGAAACCGGCATAGCCGCCCACTCCGGCTCATTCCCTCCTCCTCACCAACTCAAACCCAACCCTTGGCGCCATATCAATCTGCATATAGCTCACATGACACGCCACGCGCTGGCATCTCAGCTCCACCACCAGATTGTCCGCCTCGCTGGGACAGGCAAACTCGACTGTTGTGCTATTCGGCTTGGCCGTGAGATCTAGCACACCGAGCAGCTCTCCGCGTACGGGAAGGCTCGAGTATGACAAAGTATCATAGTCGAGCTCTTTTAGACTGCGGGAAGATACGGTGGCGGACGTGACCGACGGTGCGATAAGCTGCCAGACTTCGATTTCCGTTACATCTCCCTTGGTTGTGACGTCCTTTGCACGCGCAGACAGCTCGGGAGATGGCCGCCAGGAGAGTGCGCAGGCGTTGGCGCCAGTAGAAGGGATAGGAAAACGCATAATTGTCGAATCCTGCTCTTACACTTCAGCAGCTGCAAACATAAGGTGAAGGCGTAAAAGTCACGGAGTACGCACCTCGACTGTAATATACACCTGCACTCCATGACCCCACACGGCACTCTTCAGTTTCCGGCTGACCCGCACAATTCTATCCGGCCAAGAGTGGCGATAGACCTGGGGAGCAGGCATCATTTCTGCTGCCCTCTCCAGTCCTAGGCTAGCGTTGCCATAAGGGAGAGCTTCGAGCTCCGAGTCGGAGAAGGGGTACGCGCGGTACTTGGACAGTGTTGCGGGAAGGAGAGCAACATTCACTGTTGACAAAATCGCTAGGGCGAACGAGAGATAGATGATGAGCTTGGGCAGCTGGGACGGCTTGGATGGTGTGTCGACGGGGATGTTGTCTGAGGCTTGTAGCAAAGGGGCAGAGTGGTCGTCGTGGTCGTCCGAGGAGGAAGAACGCTTCTCAGTTGCTATGGAGCCCTCGCCATCGTCGTGTGGCGCAAGGGGCGCGTATTTGGGCGAGCTGGAGGTTGCTTTGGAGGAGAACATAAAGAGATGCCGTCAAAGACCGGAGAGAGCGAGGACTGAGGGCGGGCAGTGAGGAAAGGCATCGCAAAAGCAGTGACGCCTCTTAGCCATTGCCGCCCGCACGCATCCGCCAGAGAGAGTAACAGAGTAGGAGTCAATCGATAGGGTACCTCGGCCCTTGTCAGCAGTGCATATTCCCTGGACGATTATCCTAGGGTACGCAATGTGCCTGTGCTGCAGCAGACCCCTGCGCCATTCCCGCATCGCTTGATCCTCGCATCGCTTGATTCTCGCACACGGAAAACCTGACCAGGGCCTCCCTTGACGGGTCTATCCCTGTATACCGGTATGCTTGTTTCAACGTCGGGCATCGGCCTGCAAACCCTAGGATGCGACCTACCAAGTAGACAACCAGGTAGATATGCATAGCATCCACGCGGTTCCAACGTCATTCACCTCGGCGGCATGAATAGTGAAGAAAGAGCAGGGGCCGATATTAATCCTAACATGGTGTCTTTTCTCTTACCCAGGGTATCAACCAAAATCGCCGATCAGCCGTTTTGGGAACACTGGCACGCGGCATTCAACCACTTGAGCATACTTCATGTTCCACTCTTTCTCCCAAGGGTCCGCACCGTGCCGCGTTTGACCTCTGGCAACCATGGCATACCTCCTCACCCTCACCGCAATAACCTTTTTCCTTGCCCTCAGCATCAACCTCACATCCGCCGCGCACGCGGGCTTCCACGTCCAGTATCCATGGGCAACCCGCGGTGCAAATCCCAAGACCCGACCAGAGATAGAGCGGTACAACCCTTTCTGCGGTACATGTTTCCCCTCTTCAGTCCCGCAATAAGCAACCTAGACTGATAGAGAGAAGGTGAGATAGTCCACAACCCCGGAAAATACGCCCGCCGGTCCCGCACTTTCCTCTCATTCTCCGGCCATCCCGGAGACATTGTAACCGCCCTGTATACCCGACAGAGAGTGCCGAGAAAGAAAGACGACTTCCCCTTGATCATACTGCAAGATGTGCCCATCCAGCCTTCGGGGCAGCTCTGTCTGAACGTCACGATTCCATTTGAGACCGAGGAAAACGAGATGGGAGTCATGTACTTCGAGGCGAGGGATCCGAGCACGGGCAATGTCCAACACCATGTCAGTTACTTGCTCTGCCTTGGAAATAGCTAGAGCATATGCTGATGCTAGAAATAGTGCGTAGATGTCAAGATGGTTGACATGGAGGCTTTGCCGGAGGAGCATCCGGCTATGTGTGCGGCCAACAATGAGACGCTTATACCGATGCCGGACGAGTATCTGTAGATACAGGATTTTGGGCGCCGGTTGAAGTGTTGGTACAACTTCTTTGGTGCTTAAATAGCAATTCGAGAGGACAGTATATTTAAGAAAGATTACTTGAGATGTACAGCCGACTACCCTGCTGCGCGCATGAATGGTAATATTAGTCCCCGGAGTCATTTATTGTATATTTTAAAATACATTCAATTAAACCCACAGGGGAGCGATGCTCTGACAGGTCATCTTCCTCCTCATTCAGCTCATCATTGCCGTCCTTACAGTGAAATGCACCTGGGATACCGAGCAAGGAAGAATCCCGACCTGTAGTTAAAATGAGAGCATCACGAACATGAGGAGATGAGCAGCTAAATGGAGGGAAGTGATTGATTGAAGTGATAGCCTCGCAGAAAGTACAGACCTCCCAGCTTAAAGTAGAGAGGTTAGAGGCTACGTGAACCCAACCCTCCTGCCAAAATCAGTCGCTGCCAATAAACGCTCTCCCACTCCGCCGGTCTCGTCAAAAATCCCAGTGGGACGAGCAGTGAGTTGGACACTACCCAAGAGAGTACCCGTCTTAGCAGCCAGGGATCCAAAAGTGAGTGAAACAAGAGTTGGGCATGTCTTCCAATGGTGTGTTACGGCCGTCGCCCGTGAGACACACGTTGTAGATGTTTGTGACGCTTGCTCCTGGGAGACTTCAATCACACGCAGCCGAGCGGTAGCCGGGCCGCTTCTCGTTGTTGTCCCCTCCGACTTAATGGGTAGTCACGTCGTCGGCCTCGTTATAATAGACGTGGCGCTTCTCGTTTGCGACCTCGTCTTCGTCCAAGGCGTAGACGTGGCGCTTCTCGTGCGCAATCTCATCATCGTCCAAGGCGTAGACGTGGCGCTTCTCGTTGGCGACCTCGTCCTCATCCAAAGCGTAGACATGGCGCTTCTCATTTGCGACCTTGTCCTCATCCAAGGCGTAGACATGGCGCTTTTCGTGTGCGACCTCGTCATCGTCCAAGGCGTAGACATGGCGCTTTTCGTGTGCGACCTCGTCATCGTCCAAGGCGTAGACATGACGCTTCTCGTGGGCGACCTCGTCGTCGTCCAAAGCATAGACGTGACGCTTCTCGTGGGCGACCTCGTCGTCGTCCAAAGCATAGACGTGACGCTTCTCGTGTGCAGTCTCGTCCTCATCCAAGGCGTAGACGTGGCGCTTCTCGTGCGCAATCTCGTCATCATCCAAGGCGTAGACGTGGCGGCGATTGACATTATCGGCGCGGCGAGCCAAGCCGGCGACAGGAACTGCTGCGGCCTGAACAGGAAGAATATTCAGGCCGAGGCTGGCAAGCGTGAGAAGGGCGACGGTGAATTGCATGATTGAAGTTTGAAATATTGGGAGTGAATGGATGCTCTGGACGGGACTGGTGAAGAGCTGGCTCCTTGCCCTTATTACATAGGTATTTATGCGTTCACGATCTGAAGAGGAACCGGAGAAATATCCGTAGGGAGCGATCTTTGTCCGCTTTGGCATCTAGACGCAAAGCAGCGCCCGTTGTACCCCTCAGCTGTTCGGCAACTTTCCTACTTCGACTCATGTCTGCATGGTGAGCTTGTCTAGTTGGAATATCACCGTCAATGTCCGCTCCCAAGGATAGCCGTATGTTATGTTAGCGCTCTCCCGTGGTTGCCTTTGACGTGATTGCACTGCAGTGAAGTGAGACGCAAGGGTTTAGACCTAATGCACCCAGGGCTTGTTCCTTGTTAGTCCAACAGTTGCAATATACTCAGTGCTGCAAATATTATATTGCTTTGCCAATAGGAAAGTACGGACTGGTTGATTTGTATGGATTCGTCTTTTACCATTGAGGTTGCAGGTGGGTAAGTGAAATCAACTTCTCTATGAACCTAGAGGCCTGACCTATCAGTAGAAAATCCGATACCCATAATAATACGGAGTAGACTGTCAAGTATATGTGAGTACATGATTACGATGAAGGAGCTCACCCTTGGTATAACTGCAGACCTTGTGCAGTCGCATTTACAGGGTACTGGATTTCTCCTTGCTATACCGACCCTTTCACTACGGCCCCACCTCGGTGTGATGGTCCTGCCAGTAGGTGTAGAGCCGAGTATGCCTGGTAATTTCTAGATATTGACCTTCCGAATTGGTTTTACCACTCCGGCAAGTTCCAGTACTTCGCACGTGCGTAGTTAGTATGCTGAGACGGTTGGGTACTTCTTCACAGTGGCAAACATTATACGACGGTTCCGCCCGTGCCAATTCCTCATCTTTCTCAACTCAGTTCGGTGCGCACAGGGTCCTTGAAAAAGCCCAGCGAACCAAAACCAGAAGTCTAATGCGAATAAGACTGTGGAATTGCTTCGGAACCCGATTAGGATGCGAACTACACTACCTGGTTTAGTCCTGGATATTCAAGGCAACGCCCAATTGGATGGTTCGACTTTCAACCGTTATACTCGGTGTCACTTCAGATACACGTCATCTAGGATCGAGATCCGCTGATCTGACTCCAACCTTTGCCGTGTCTGAGTCCCCGGTCGTGAAGGCATTAACGTGCAGAGAAGATGTAAACTTCAAGATGATCATGGATCTGTGTCTTCCATTCACCTTCCATTTCAAACTTGAAGCAGTTGAGCTGGAATCCTTCGATGCAATGTGCGTATCGCTTCATCGTGAGATTGGTGGGACTCTTAGGGCCGCGTCAGTACAAGTACTGTGGTATCCGGCCGAAGTAGTGTAGCTGGTCCGGGCACGACAGGGGGTGTTTAGCTCATGTATTCAAATGACACTTTTCCACATCTGTCTATTGTTACATACAAACTTCAGTACTTCGTGTGACCTCCTTCTGCCTCAATCACAGCTTGGCAACAAGCTGGCATACTATTAATGAGCTCTCGAAGCACTTCCACTATGATTGACTCCCATGCCTCCTGAACCACCGTACGCAGTTGATCATACATAAATTGCCTCCCTCCCTCTTGCTCAGGGTAGAATTGCTCTATATAGTCCTTCATCTTGTTCCACACAGCCTCAATCGGATTTAGGTCAGGAGAGAATGCTGGCCAGAAGATTGGGTGGATACTCCTTGATGAGAGCTCCTCCATTATATATGCAGCTGAATGCCCAGGTGCCCTATCTTGCATGAACTTAAGGTGAGGATTCAGGCATAGCCAGCCATCAATAAGAGGCACAATTCGATCATAGTAGCTCTCTTTGTTGATCGACTTCTATTCTTTCTCCCAGAAGAGATGAGGGCCTTTTGACATGCCTGAGAAGCATGCCCAAAACATCCATTCATGCTTCTTATGAATTTTATCCACCAAGCACATATCATCAAGCTCCTCTTCTAGCTTTCTTGTAACCCATTGTTTTCGATGCTGCCCACCAGTTATCCAGGTCTCATCGCTCCATAAGATCCTCCATCACTCCCACGGCTGCCAGTTGATGTGAGCTTGTGCCCACTCAAGATGAATCTGCCAATTAGCTTCAGTAAGGGGTGGCTTAGCTCGAGCTATGCAGTGTCTGTACCCTCTTCTTCTGTCAGATTTGATGGTATCTGAAGATGTCACGGTGACAGAAAGATTGAATGAGGATGGGTTGACTGATTGTATTCAGGTGTGTACTTGTGTGGGTGAGGCTGGGGCCTGACACCGGTTTTGATGTTCCTTCTCTGGGCACCAAGGCTGTGCAGAACACTAGCCACTGCAAAATCACTAGCCACATATCCTCAGACAGTACCGGTACAGACAGTTTCTCCCAGTCCTCCTCTTCAGTCATCCCAGATGGGATGTCCATAAACTGGCTTACCATCTGACATCTTCGTAGAGCACTCCTGATTGTGTATTCACCAATGTCCCAGTGCTCAAAGGGGCCCTGAACAAGTTGGAAATAGCTCATTTGTCAGGTATTGCGGGACGATCAGATGTACACCTCAAGCTCATCAACTTGGGCATCAGTAAGACGAGGCAGATGACCGGAGCACTTTTTAGGCATGACAAAGTTCTTGGTTACTGCATAACCAACTTGTCGTTTAGTGCAATTAAGCTGGTTCACAATAAACATGTAGCTATGGCCTGCTTGATGTAGGGTGTGGGCCTCAACAATCTCATCGTGAGTGAGGTATCGGTGGTGGTGGTGAGGAGGCGTAGATAGGGCTTCAGGTATCGTGTTGATGGTAGGTAGATGCACGATGTGACAGAGGTATGTGGAGTTCTATACAAGATAGGGGCACTACTCGTATTTTTGTCTGTAATAACATTTGATTACATGGTCCGAGTACCCTTGTCGTGCACGGACCAGCTACACTACTTCGGCCGGATACCACAGTACGTCACAGCAAAAAGTACTGTGGTATCCAGCCGAAGTAGTGTACCTCGTCCGCGCACGACAGGGGGTGCTCAGCCATGTAATTAAATGTTATTCAGACAAAAATACAAGTTGTACCCCTAATCTTGTATAGAACTCTGTGTAGCTCTGTCACGTTGTGCATTATACCCATCACCTACCATCAACACAATGCCTGAAGCCCTATCTACTGAAGCCCCATCTACGCCTCCTCACCACCGATACCTCTCTCGTGATGAGATTATTGAGGCCCACGCCCTGCATCGAGCAGGCCACAGCTACATGTTTATTGCAAACCAGCTTAATTGTACAAGAAGACAAGTTGGTTATGCAATAACTAGGAGCTCTGTTACACCTAAAAAGTGCTCTGATCATCCACCCCGTCTTACTAATACCCAAGTCGATGAGCTTGAGGCATATATCCGATCGTCCCATAACACCCGACAGATGAGTTATCTCCAACTTGCTCAGGGCCCTTTTGAGCACTAGGGTGTTGGTGAATACACAATCAGGAGTGCTCTACGAAGAAGAGGGTATACATGCTGCGTAGCTCGAGCTAAGCCAGCTCTTACTGAGGCTAATCAGCAGATTCGTCTTAAGTGGGCACAAGCTCATGTGTCAGATTTGATGATATCTGAAGATGTCACGGTGACAGAAAGATTGA